TTTAAGATTGAGCTTTTATGCTCAAATCATCGGTTTTGAAATTCCTTTTAATAGCCGGGGTTTCAGCAAAAATGCAGCCAAAGTGGCTAAAGGCCATCAATCCTACGTACCTTAACTTCAAAAAGACCTTCCTCTGTTCATTTTTTACTGATGAGTGGGCAATTACTTACCAATATCTTCTTTTGATATTGCTAAAAACTCCAGCATCTCCAGCTTCTCTTTGATCTGGTCGAGTTGTTCTTTAACACTGTCCTCGTCCTTTTTCCACTGCCTCAGCAGCTCCTTATAATGATCTTCAACTTGCGGATCCATACATTCATCCTTCAGACTATCCACAGCAGCTGCATAAGTCACGCCTCCCAATCTCACCAGCGTGTCACGTATGTCACACCAGAAGTCATTGAATGTGACGTCATCAACAGATGCCTGTTCAGCATGCCCGTATATGGTGTTCCTGTAATACTTGATACGAGCAAGATCAGCTTCAAGACTCAGGTCTAATGCATCAGGTAAAGAGTCCCAGCCAGCGAGCGGTGGACTAAGACCGCATATATTCCTTAGCAAAACCATCAAAAGTGTAGTGTCGAAGTCCCTAGAAGAAACAGCAGCCGAGATGACAGGAAAGAGTTTGCCCCATTGTATTGGATTGATAACTTTCTTGTTTTTGAGAGACTGCAATGTGGTTTTATTGGCTGATAAAACAGTGCAAAGATTTGCTGGAGGGTGAATGGTGTCAAACGTGTTCCTGAGGGCCTGGGTTCCAATATCGACCAGGAGACGGCAGAGGCGAGCATAATTAGTCGTTTCCTTAGTTGAAGCTACCCCTGGTGCTGCATAAGCCATCAACAATAATCCTTTCAAATCCTGTTAAAATGAAGAAACCTTTGAACCCTATAATAGTGATACAATAATAGTAAAATTTTCTTGTCAGAAGTCCTTGTTATACATATCCCCTCATACTGGAGGGTGGTGAAGTCCCAGTATGTGTGGCTTAACTGAATACAGTCAAATTTCTTAAAGGACACGGGAGCAGATCTAGGGGGAGGATGAAGGGGGTGGGCACCCTCCCCCCGCCCCTGAGATGACATGAAGCTTTCTTAATAAAGTTAATCTGCTGTATCGTTTGACATCGGTATTGTCAGCAGTTCACATTATGTTATTGCCTAGTCAAAAGCCTTCTTCTTTGCATTTGCTTTTAATTATTTGTTTAATTGTCACCAGTCAGTTATGCCATTCCTTATTGGTGTACCCCTCCTAAGAAAAATCCCTGATCCTCCCCTGGGCCATCTCTTTAAAATGCACATTGTGTTGGGCGTAATCAAGAGTGTAATCAGTCTAAGAGGGTGTATGCATCAGTCAATTGAAATCGTACCCTCCCCACCCCCATCCAAACCCCATGAAATTGAGAGGAATGTACCGCGGCTAAACCCTTCTAAAACCCCTTACCAAGATGAATAAGCCCAAGTCTCATAAGTACCAGTTTATGGTGCTACTTTACAGCAGGGGCGGGTAAATTAAGGGTATTTTAACACCGGGTCAATTAATGATTCCTTGCTATGTCCCAGGTGTCGATGGGCTGGGGTTTTGATTCACTGGATGCATTGATTGTAGTGATCATGATATTAGAATGACTTATGATAATGGTAATGATGATGATGATGATGATGATGATAATGATGATAATGATAAAGAGAGAGATAATAATGTGTAAAGCGCCAAATCGAGTACCACGCCAAGAAGAGTACAACGCATAAATTATGACAAATTATGAAATTCCGGAATCGACGCGATGACAACGTAATGATAAAGCTATGACCTCGGAATCCAATCACCGCGTTTTATGCAATTGGATCCAGCACAATCGTATGATCTGATGAAGGGCGAATGTGAGAATGTACATGTCACGCCGACGTGTTTATAGGCACGCAACTAGGTAAGTTGAATAAAAAACAAAAGAAATGAACTTATTAATGGACTGGAATCTTAAACCCGGCCACGAAATCCATCATAGTATTCAGGGAACAGCAATAAAAGCTAATTACAAGTCTCTAACAAGCCTGTGCCCAAAGAAGCACTTAACACTGTTCATCGGAACATAACAGTTTAGTTTAGACATACATCTCCCCTAATACTTCGCGTACAAAACACAGACGAGGCAATCATAACTAACGTAATCTGAATTTTAAATTTGGTGCCAGGTTTGTTGCAAATATTGATAATTTAGGTGACAAATACCGGTAATATCCGTTTAAGAACAGTGTGTAATAAAGATGTTGATCGAGAAACGGTAGACATGTCTGTTGAACAAAATGAGATTGGATACGACTTTTGCTAAAAGAAATTGCTCCTCGACAGATAACCTAAATATGTGGACACAAACCTGTAATCAGGAATACAAGCCTGAGTATACTTTGACGATTCCTGAGCGTGGCGTCGAGACCACTGACAAAGAGTATAGAAAGCAGACCACAGAAGAAGAACAATTCAGAAGAAGGAAGCCACGGGTTAAACTTGGTTCCAGTACCTCACTTTATATTTAGCGAAGGGCGTGGCCAGGATTTTGCAGTTGTTCATGGGGGACGACACTATCGGTTTTCCCCTGGTTTTCCGATTATGTTTCTTGACCCACTGCACTCCGCTGGCCAGCACGTCGGGACGTCAAACCAGGGATTTCCTTGGAGACGTCTGCCCCTCCTACTTGGGCAGATCGGGGAAAAAAAGAAAGCGAAATCAAGAGACCTTCATTTACCTATCAGTTCCGATCGGTCACTCTTTGCGCCGCTCCCTCTTCATCTAAAATCCTGAAGCGAACTCCAGACTCGTTAAAACCAACCTTTGCATGTTTTCCGTCTATTCACCTAAATAGGTCTTTTGCATGAGCTGATCACGTGATCAACTTTCTGTAAACACGAAAACAGTTGGCGTTTGAAAAATTTTGTTAGCACGAACTGATAGAGTACATTGATACAAATCCTTTTAATTTTTGGCGGCCGTTGCAATCGCTACTTTTGAGATACCGTAAAATTCCGAAAATAAGCCCCTCCATGTATATGCCCCTCCAAATATAAGCCCCCCAAAGTCCCAAACGGGTAACGCGAAAAGTCCTCCGTTAAATCGCCCTTCCAAATATAAGCCCCCCGGAGGCTTGTACCTGGAAAATTGCCTTAAAATACGTAGTAACCAAAGCAAAAACGGTAAATTTACTTCCAACTATAAGGCTAGCCCAATCGATTTTGAAACGCAAATTTCCGTCCGTAAATAAGCCCCTCCGAATATAGGCCCCTCCAAAAATAAGCCCCTCAAAAAGGGCCTTTGAAAAATATAAGCCCTGGGGGCTTATTTTCGGAATTTTACGGTATACGGCTGAAAATGTAATTTTACTTTTAATATGCTCTTCCAGTTCCTGCTAACAAAATTTTCCAAAAGCGAACCAGTTTCGTGTTTACACAAAGTTGATCACGTGACTAACTATTGCAAAAAAAAAAAAGCTTATTACGCGGAAACCATCAACGCCTACCCAGGGCTTTTCCCTTCCCATTTTCTATGGTAAACGCCCTGCGCACGAGGTTGACGCCTAAGGTCTCTATCCTTCGCAAAAGCCTCATGGTACCACCAGGAGGATGCAACTAAGCAGGTTAAGTCTACATACGAGTCAAGTGGCCCATCACGCCGGAGCCTAATCCTATTTCTATGGCATGAAATGACTAGAAATATATTGTTTTTCTACTTGTCCTTACAATTGACCGCTCATGCGCGTGTTTTCACTAACGCAAACCATAATATACGGGCTGTTTTCCAGTCTACTCCTCCTATGGCATGTCAAGGGATCATAAAAGGGCCTCTTGAGCAAGTCTGTCAAAATATTATATTTATTTTTATCGCAGCTTAATTCTCTTAAGAAAGGAATCAGTCGCAAGTAATAGTAACACTCACTTCATCATAAGAATTCTTAGAGAACTGTTTTATTGATGCATCACATTATAAAATGTATTTATAATTTTTAAACACATTTCACTCCTTTACAAGTCTTAAACTGACGGTATTCAAGACAAAAATTAAAATAAACAAAAGAAAACTTAAAGCACTAGCTTCGTTCTATGCACATTGTACTTCCTCAGGATAAAAACTTCACGGTACAAACTTACAGGGGTTGATAATCTTCATGATTTATCAACATGAAAAAAATAGCACCTTAAAAAAACGCTTTCAAAACACCAACCTAGACTAAAAACTATTTAAACTCACTGAGTTTCTCCTTCAGCTTTAAGCCAGTAGTCCCAGGGTTAAGGTTAAAAATAGCTCTATTTTTTGTAACAGAAACACAAATTGAAAGACATTCTGGTAGTGGAAGTGATTGAATAAAAAAATAAATAAACAATAATTATTGCACTATCCCCATTTATCCAGAGCCAACACTGACACTTCCTAAAACTGAACAGCATTGGCTTGGAAAGAGTTCATTTTGTTGGTGACAGTGACAAATTTATTATATTTACTAAAGAAGCCAAAAAAAAGTTCATTACTTGCTCTGGATATGTAATTAGGGGTATAGAATGGTTCCTTGAAAAATGTGGGTCTCGGAAAATTTTGACCCGATCTTGAAATCTTGGAAGCGTTTGCAATGATTCTCGAAGTCTCGTTTTCGGCTGATTTTGCGTCTCGGAGGCTCGATTTTTAAGTCTTGGTCTCGAATTTTGAAACCAGGGTCTCGCGAAGTTTCCAATTTACCATTCTTTACCCCTGCAATTCAAGACGACTAATTTGACAAGAATATGATGCATTCCTACTAAACTTAATAAAGGCGAGTTTTCAAGAGACAGTCTTTAGAGTTTAAAGTAACTACAGATCTTTTGTCATTTTAAACGAAGTTTGAAAAGAAAATTTGCAATCAAAATAGTTATCTCAATATTATTAATAATTATACTTAATATACTGTTAGTTACTGTGTTTTGTAAATAAACAGAATACACTTAAAGACATGTACCTGTAAGAAACGCATCTTAGACTTTAAAATGTTCAACATTCGCTGCTGTATTATGGCCAATTAAATGAATACACCTCTTGCCACACTTGACAAAATGTTTGAGCTTGAAGAGGCAGTCCTTATCTTTAAGACAACTGTTGAAATCTTTGAGGATCTCATCCATCCTTTCCACAATGAAAAACAGTCTACCAAATGCCATGGCCAGCTTCTTGCTGCAAGAAGTGTCCTTAGCAAATGACAGCCTCATTGCTGCGCCTTCCAGAACTAACAGGGCTTGGAATTTGAAATTAAACACTTCTTTTAATTCGTGGATGGAATTATTTTCACACAGCTGGTTCAATCTCTTCTCAGTGCGACTTGAACCTGGCTTCAGAGGGAAACATTTTGCATAAATGTTCAGTTCTTTCCTAATCCTATCCAGCTTCCGATGGACTTTGCATATCAGAAATGATGTTCTGGCAACTCGGCTTGTAACTGCAACAAGCTTGTAACTCATCACATGAACTAGTTTTGATTGCAGAGTAACTGTGCGTAGATTCACAAACTTTTTGCAGCCATGACCATAATCAGACCACTTCTCCAGACATGCCCAGCAGAACTCTTTAAAGCACATAACACATCTCATGTGATCGCATCCGGTTCCCTTCTCTATAGGGTAGTGGCAAAAGGGGCAATGCTTCACTTGAACGTTTGTGACCAGCTTTCTGTCTTTAGAAGTTGTTAAACGAGCATAAGAAGCATTCTTCTCTCTGAACACTCTAGCCTCCTCACAGGTTGCTGGCCAGTGGGCATCTTCCTGACACTTGAAACACCACATGCTACCGCACACACAAGCCACCGGCACTGGCTGGGGACCATCTTCACACTCATCAGACACTGATGAGGGACTCTGTGGAATTGTTGCCTTGACAACCAAATTGCATTGGTCAGCAGGACACCACTTCCATTTAGGGTCAATCTCCAGAAATGTATCCAGCCTCTTTGTTAGATGCCTGCCATACCATGACGGCACAAGTGACATCAGGGTGACATCGTCCACTGCAGCAGTACAGTCAGGCCCAGGGCACCTCAGATCTGTGCGACCAAGCTGAATCTGGGTCTTCAAGTGAGCTCTCCAACAGTCATCACAGAACTTGTGACCACAACCTCCTAACGATGTGAATGAGTTATTCACATCAAATCCTACAAATTTTAATGAGCAATAGATCTTGTTAATGCTACATTGTAAGTTACGTTCCACATAGAACTGATTCACTGTCATTATATGAAGTAAAATTAAAAATGACAGCAGTGTAAATAATAGACCTTTTTAGCTCGTACATTTTCTTTTCCCATTGCAGACCACGTGATGTTTTTAATAACCTCAGAGAATTCTTTCTTTCAAATTTTGTGCCATGCATCCACATGCATGACTAATAAAAAGACAAACAACAAATTCCCTTCTTGAGAACATCATGTAGTCTGAATTGGGAAAACAAAACATACAAACTAAAAGGGTCATATTATTCACCATAAATTTTAGATGAAGATTCAATTTTTGTATCCTGTAACTCAAGATTCATTATTAGAGCTTTAAGACAGTTAATTAAATTTTAGGTGTCCTTGATTAGTTAAGGGGACTCTTTCCCATCAGATCTAAACTCATCCTCATCACTACTGGAACACTCAGCTGTTACTGACCGATTGAGATGATAAAAGTGAATTACTACATGTACAAGTAATTTTCATGATTTTAAATGCAAAATTCTGATTATTTTCACAGAAACCTGAGAATAAACACATCAGCTTGGCTCACAATAAAATAGATTGCATCCCCCAACACCAAGCCAGGAGAGAGAGAGAGAGAGAGAGAGAGAACTTCAAGATAATTTATGTGCATGAATGGTATAAACTATACATGTGTATTTTTGCCTAATTTGCCACAACAAGATGATCTACAATGTTTCATCAGGCATATATGTCATACGTGAAAATTAAATTCAGGTTAAGATTTTTTAACCTACAGTGTAGGTTGGTTCTCTACTTCCTTTGCCTCCTATCCTAATCCCTGAATATTAATGAATTAGGGCTAGGAGACATTAAGGAAATTGAGAATCAACCTACACTGTAGGTTAAAAAACTCTTAACCTGAATTTAATTTTGACCTGTAACAATACACACTGCATCTGCACAATTAATTGCGCTAATATAACATTGTTGCACTACATACTGTATAACTCATATACTCAACAAATTGTTTTTTCCTCACCTATTCCCAAATCCTGCGTTTCCTTGAAACAAATCTCACATTCCAGCCACTGCTCTTGACCACTTGAAGCCACCAATGAAGACGCTGTGTTTAAGTCCTTTATAGCCATGAGGGTCGATTCTTTGATCTCTTGCTTTGCACCCTGTGCTGAGAAGGTCTTAGACTTCCACCCAAACAGGTCAGAAAACACATCTAAAGACATCCTGGGTTGTCGTGGCTCCCTGAACTGCATTCCTTCTTTGGAGCAACTTATTGCATCTGAGCGGAAACAAATTGATGCAACACTGACAATGTCCTCTAGGGTCCAGAATTTTTGATCTGCACTTTTAGCTTCAATATTAGTAGCAAACTCCTTCGGCACTCTGCTGTAACAAGCATCATCATTACAAACTACTATGGTAACCACGGCTTTAGCTTCACTGGAATGAAGTGTAAGACATTGCTCTTCAAAGACTCTGAAGACAATAAAAACATCTTTACTGTTATGGATGGACAGTAGTGGTGTCACATTCAGAACAAATGCTCTGGGATGGCAAGCTCCTTCTTTGTACATCTGCCCCCAATGCTGCTTCAAGGCTATTGGCACAATGTCCTGTTTCCTCAGCATAATGAACTCACCTTCAACTTCATTTGAATAAAATGACAGAGGTTTAACAACTGGTGCAACTGCCTCTTCACTGACTGGTGAATTATTGTTTTCTTGTTGCCTTCTTGTTCCCTGGTTACGTTGGCGTCTTCTTTGGACTTGACCCTTTGTTACATCAGCATTTTTCATCTGAATTCTGACATCAAAAAGTGAGCACCCGGCATTCATTTGCGATAAGATTTCAAGATGTTCTTTGTGCATCTCATCGTCACTATCAACAAAAATGCATTTCTCTGCCAATTTTGACTCCTTTTCTCTGTGCAGTGTTGCACTCTTTCTTGCATTTGACTGAACTGACCGAGTTGACAAATCTACAAGTAAGTCAAAGTCAAACAGACAGCTTGATGTCCTGTCAAAAATATCCTCGCTGAAGCAATTTTCATCTTCGCTGTAACAGCATTCAGTGTCACTCTTGCCACCAAAATCATCTTCAGACATCCAGTTTTTGCATGTATTTTTCTTCCTCTTTCCTTGATGCACTGCGGGTCGTTTGTTACTCTTTGACATCCATCCCGAGGGATTCGGGTAGGTCACCTCGTACTGTGTCTTCAAAGCGTTTTCCTCGACCACCGTGGGAGATTGTTTACACCGTGTGCGTTTTCGTTTGGCTTTTTTGCTTGTGTCGTTTGTGGAGTTATTCTTTTTGGAGTTAAAAACAGAGAGGGTGCCTTGGCGACGATTTTTGTTGTGTTCATTATACCGCTCTATCAACACAACTTCACCTTCGAATTCAACAGAATTTGTCTTAATCACCTCGGGGAGAAGCCAACGATTCTGCTTGCCAAGCGAGTAGCTAACTATATCTGCCTCGTCTTCGTTACTGACATGCGAAGGGTTGGTGATTTTTGATCTTACTAAAAGACCTTCTGATCTTTTCCCTCGAGTTTGTGCAAAGCGAGAACGAACCGTACGACCAGCATAAGCCATGGCTTTTCCCTTTTTCCACTCCATAACTGGAAATTTCACTTCTCAACCTTTATCCAAAAACCGTTTTTGTTTGGAACTTGTCGTAATAAAGAAGAGATTGTTAGAAAACGAACAAATTCTATTTTTATAACCGCTCGCCGCCATGTTTCAGCTGATGGTGCAACTCGACGAACATTTATAAGGAGATTTGTGATTGGCTATGTGTTTCTTCATCCAATTAAAAAGTGGGTACCATATTTACTAGCTATTTTTAGTACAGACGCAAACAGTACTTTCGTGACAATCATTTAAACGTCAAGGTAACGCTAGATGTCGCCGGTAACCCCGGTAATACGTCACCTCGTTATTATAGGCACTTATTTTGGCCTCCTGGCAAAACGGCCACACATTTTCTTGTTTAAAAACCTTCGTTAATACGGTCACCCGTTAATACTACTAAATTCTCTTGGCCCATTGGTGACCGTGGGCGCTTTGCATTTAGTCAAAATTTCCGGAATTTCCGGTTCGGCGGTAAATGGAACACGTTTCGTCGGCTCGTCCCACTGGAAAATTCCCAGAAAAGTAGAAAATCTAAAAAGGTGGTCCCGTTTTCCCGGTTGGAATTTCCGAACGGAATGTCGTGTTCCATTTACGTTTCTCGTAGTTTGTACCAGTTCCAGGTCCACGGTCGGGCACCGCCACGTACCAGGGTTTACGACCAAATGGAACAACTTTTTACCAATCGGAAATTCCACTTTTGCTACCACCGAAATTTCCGGGTTTTTTTCCTAAATGGAAAGCGCCCCGTATTACCGGGGTTCCACTGTACTGGGGGAACGAGCCGGAACGAGTTGGTTCTGTCCAAAAATCATGGAAGCTAAAAATAAATCCTTGCTCGATACTTTCAAGGTTTCTGATTGGACGAAATAAATTATGGCCAATCAGGCACGAGCTTCTATCAAAACAAATTGTTTTTTTGCGGGCTTGGGGTTCGTAATTGCATCAGCGTCTATCATGGTTGCAGGGACTTTTGCTGAAATAATGGCTTTTCAGGGTCATAAAAGCCAGCTCCTTGTTGTTCAGAACTATCATTTGTTTACTGACAACGGTTGAGAACAAGACTCGCAACGATGGTGTGGAAAACTGGAAAATTCGGCGTTCACAGTGGAAAAACAGTGCGCTCAAGAAGGTCCCATCCAAAAAGATCTGAAGGCCTTCTTATCCAAACTACAGTGGAGAACGCTTGCCGCAAAGAAGAGCAGGATGAAGGAGAAAGCATCACTTACTCGCTTGGTAAGCAAAATCGTTGGCTTCTTCCTGAAATTATTAAGACAACTTCGTTTGATCTGGAAGAGAGAGAATTCCTCGGCCACGGAGACGAAGTCGTTTTAGTTGAGCGGTTCTCGAACGCGGGAAACGAAAAACGTCGCCGACCAGACTGTTTTTCTGTATTCGACTCAAGTAACAGCAGTACTCGCAAATCCAAACGTAGGTTGGCTCGTGCAGAAGACCTTCTCAGTGATATCAAATCAATGAAAACAAAATACGAAGTATCTTACCCGCATCCCGCGGGATCATGGCCACATGAGAGAGAATCAAGTACCAGGAAACATAGAACTCGTCTTGGAGGCAGGAAGAAAGATACTTTTCTCAACAGGACCATTGAAGAAGACTTAAGTGAACTCAGTAACACAGAGACACTTTTCCACGTTGATATGGATGACTTGCGAGATGATGACCAACCACATTACAGCAAAATGGGTGTTCCTCTCACATTTGACTTAAAATCACTTATCTGTAATTCTCCAAAGAAAAGCAAAAACTCACTGAAGGTGGAAAATGGCTCTATGCAAGTTAAGAGCGATGAAGAATGTAAAAGGACAAAATTTGGCAAAGGAGAGGCCATATATAGAGAGAGTGGAGATGGAATGCATGACGCCCACCAAAGTTTTTTGGCCATGGCAGAGGAAACGCAGCCAACTCATATGGATGACTGGCATTATCACTATCAGCCAGTACCAGAGCGACGGAGAATTAGAAGGCATGAAAGGGGACGTGGCAGAGGTAGAGGCAGAGGCCAAGGCCGAGGCCGAGGAGGTTACAATGGATATCAAGATGGTAGAATAGTTGATGATGAGACATTTTCATCCTTACGCTGGTCTACAGACTCTGCAGACCCTTTTGTGACCCCAGTTGAGCCAGTCCAACCTGTTAAACCTGTTAAAATTTCTTCTCAGTGGGTGTCTCTTGTTCTTCAACACCAAGACATCAATCCTGAATTTTTGCAGGAGACATGGGGAAGTATGTACAAGGAAGCTGGTTGTTTCCCAAGGGCATTTTTTGTCAATGTGACACCTCAGATCCTCAGTTCTAGTACCAAAGAACTTTTTGTCTTGTTACGACTGGCCAAGGGTGTCTCAGAAAATGTTGCAGCAGGAGTGGGAGCCAACATATACCTTGTAGGTATTTCTAATGATGAATATACCAGTGGACTAGTTCAGAAAGAGTTCATTTCTCACATCAAAGCAAAGACTAGCAAGACAGAGATCTGGTCTCTTAAGGACATAGTGAATGTTGCTAAAACTTGTTTCCTGAAAAGCATTACTGATGAAACTGAACCTAAGGAACCTACTTTTAGGAAATCCAGTTTTTCTCTTGGAGTATTCACAGAACTGTTTGGATGGAAATCAGAAGCTTTGTCATTGGAGGCTGCACAGAAAGAGATAAAAAAGTCTTGCATTGAAAAGACTAATAAGTTGGACAAACTGGTCACTATGGCAACAGCTGACTCTCAGCATCAGACAGAGTGTGGAATATGCTTCATGCCTTTTGAATGTGAAGGTAATTATTTGGCTTTTCCCTGTAAGTTATTTCTGTTTGAACCCTCTAAGTTCTAATACAGTGGAACCACTATATAACAAAGTCCTTGGTATAACGGATGAGTTTCTTCACCCCAGTAATGATAAAATATATGGAAAAGTACCTCGATGTAATGAAACCTCCCTTAATGTAGTTAACATATTTTGCCAATCCCTTGGCCTTTTGTTTTATCGAGGTTCCTCTGTATCACCTTTACACTGTTTTCCGCTAAAGTAATAATAACTGTAATAGTTCAATTTTCTGACAGTAACAAGGAGGACATGATTAAAATCAAGACAATTTATCATCGAGGAAAGTTTTTCAGGAAACAGTTTATCTTATCATTTTCTCAATGAAAACCTTGTCAATGTGGCCATATTAAAGGTCAAATGAACCAAAAAATTGACATATTTTCTTTTGTTGCTTTACCTTCACCAAACACTAAAAAGAACCATGCTAAGTGAGATTTGGGTAAAGATTTTTCTTCCCAAGCCTTTATAGAAAGATAAAAGATCAAAATCCGAGCATTTCCGAAGACTTCACGAAAACGTTTCTGAAATGGCCGCGTGATAGCTAGACTGGAGACTACGTGACGTCAATGTTGGTCTTTCACGGCGGGAAAACGTTCTGCGCAAGCTTCTGCGCATCCTTTATCGCCTGCGTTTGTTTGTCTCGAGGCACGAGGTGCGAACGTTTGTTCCTTGTAAAGGCTTTTTGTTGTTGTTGTTTTTTCGTCACTTGAAAATTACTTTGGATTCAGCACAACCAATGTTAGAGTAAAAACAGATCATTCCGTCAGTCTGAGGTGGAATAAAACGTTTTGAACATTTCCAAACAGGTTTGTATTTTTCTGATAATCGTGCATTCGATTTGTGAGTTGATTTTGTCTCTAGTGCTTCGCCTTCTTTCGTCGGGTTGAATTAAAACCTTCTTGTATTCTGTTATTAGTAGTTATGGTTACTTGTTTTTCATGCCCAGATTTATTTACGTTTGCAGAACCAGCTTTATCCTTGTCTTCAGTCAAAGACCCGTAATGGCTAACGCATGCGAGTGACTCCAAAACAATCGACTCTTTGCCCGTAAACAATTCCTGCAGCTGGATTTGACCGGTGAAGCGAGCAAAACAAATCCTTATGTGCAGTTTTCTGTATTTTCTAATGATTCAGTTTGCTGAGTTTAATTAGCTTGAATGAAGACGTGAACATGGACATGACAACACAAAGCAAAATTAATCTTGGCGAAATGATCAAGTTTAAAAAACTATGGTTGCTTTGAATGCGATCTTGGGGAAGATTTACTAGCTAAAGATTAACTCTTTTTCTGCCCACGCCAAAACTTATACATTGAGGATTTTGTTTATATTTTAGTGATCTGCGAAGCTAGAAGTGTACGATCGAGTATGGGTTTTAAAATATCAGCTCAAGTGCGACAAAGTTCAGTGACTTCAAACACATTGTGGGCAAACTTGAATTTCTTAGGGCAGATTATTATACAAAGATATTTTGTTTTGTGTCCATGATGGAGCTCCAGACCTTATATATCCAGGAACTTCCTTATATGAACACATTTTGCGAATGCATCTTGAAAAAAATCGGACTTACGCACGCACATTTCCAGTACAACTCAAGGAAATTAGTAAATGTCGTTAAAGTCTGTTTTACTATGAGTATTCTTCGAGAAAATTAGATAATAAGAAGGTCATAACCACAGCTTGTAACTTTGGAAGACAAATTGCCTGTTCTTTCCAGGTTTATGGCCACACAAACCACTTCTGCACCAAGTCGACTTGAAAAACTCTGTTTTGAATTTCCCGCTTTTTTTCACCTGACCAACATTGACTTCACAAGCTGTTTTTTCCGACAATTTTTCCGACCGCTCTACGAAGATAAGGGCCAAAAAAATAGCAATTTTTAATTGCGAATATCTCAGAGATACTTGCTTCAATTGAGCTGAAACTTCATAGTATGTTTATTTGGTTCGTATTAAACACATTTCACTAGAAGTAAACGAAAATAAAAAATGTCGAAATTTTGGTTCATTTGATCTTTAAGTACAATCAAAGACTAACAACCACCCATTTCCTCTTAACACGTCCATACTTGTTATAAGAATAAAATTGATATCGAATGGAAATCAGTAATTGATCTTTTATCAAATCCTCCTATCTAATTCTTTAAGGAAATGTATCTTGTTCTGTCTGGAGAATTTATGACTTTTGTGGTTACTAGGACTGAAAGTTTAACAAGCTTTTTGTGGGCCTGTCAATAATTACAAATGATGAACATGTTCCCTTATAAAAGTAATCACACAAGGGGATTCAGCAACAGATTCAAGACAGAATTTTTTAAAAATAATAATAATAATGAGGAGGATGATAATTAATAATAATGTAAATGAATCATCTGTCAAATTTTTAGTAAAAAGTTTCACATGCGGTAAGATCAACTCAACTCAACCCAAACACATAACAGTAACAGACACAATAATTAGCCTTTAAAATAATTAGGCTTTAAAATTAGTACTAGCTGTCAATCACGTCATGCCCAAGTGAAATATGAACGAGAAGCGGAGGCACAAATAATGATGATGATGATGACAATGATGATAATAATAATATTTAATAATATATATGAGTGTTATGAGTGTTTCATCTTGGTGCTTATCAGAAAAAACCAGTGATGATTGAACTGGCCTGGTCACATATATACATGCACAGCCTTATTGTGTCAAAAGGTGGATGAATGCAGAGCTTCTAGTGTAAAACTGAATCTTAAAGTGTGGTTCTGATTCTTCTTTTCTTGTGATTTCAGATCCTATTGATACTCTCTCCTATACCTTTCTGATCAGTTGTGGGCACAAGTTCTGTGATGACTGCTGGAGAGGGCACGTAAAGACTCAGTTACAGCAAGGCCACACGAATATAAGTTGCCCTGGATACAAGTGTACTGTTGCAGTCGATGATGTCACCTTGATGTCCCTCTTGCCAACATGGTATGGCAAGTTTGTGACTAAAAAGTTGGATAAGATCCTGGAAATTCACCCTGAATGGAAGTGGTGCCCTGAAGACCGGTGCACTTTGGTTGTCAAGGCAACAACACCTCTGAGTACGACAGACTTGTGTGATGAGCATGTAGGCTCTCCCCAGCCAGTCCCAGTGGTGTGTGTCTGCGGCAGCATGTGGTGCTTCAAGTGCCAGGAAGATGCCCACTGGCCAGCGACCTGTGAAGAAGCCAAAACATTTAGAGAGAACACCAAAGGATATGCCAAAATGGTCGCAAGAAATCAAACTTCACCACTGATTACAAGCGTGCAGATCAAAAACTGCCCATTTTGTCATTATCCAATACAAAAAGGTCCTGGTTGTAATCATATGATGTGTGGTCTGTGCAGTAAGGAGTTCTGTTGGTTTTGCCTTGAAAAGTGGTCATGGGATCATATCTGCAAAGAAAAGGTGGGGCACAATGAAGTGGAGTTGTCAGTCGATACAAAGCATTTGAGGTCTTATGAACACTTAGCAGTAACAAGTCGTATGGCTAGGTCAACCAGTGTGATACGAAGAATCAACGAGAAACTGGGAAAACTTGACAGAGGACTTAATAGTTACAGAAAGCTACCAGCTGAGGTCAGACGAGACACAGGAAAGAGTGGACGGCCCAAAAAAGAGCTAAATCATATGCTCGAGAACAACTCGTTGGATGTCTTGCGAGAGGTGTTCAGTTTTAAATTCCAGGCTGTTCTTGCCGTAGAGGGCCTAGCAATGGTTCTGAGCATCTCAAGAGATGCTCCAAATAAAAGGCTGGCATTGGAATTTGAAAGGCTGGTCTTTATTGTCGAGCGGCTGGATGACATGTTGAAAGACTTCAACAAATGCCATCATAGAGGGAGACTGGAAAGGCTCAAACTTTTCTTAAAATTCGGTAAACAGTCCCTCATAGTCATCGGTAAGAACAAAATTACAGGCTAACTGAAGACTGAGTGCAGATGAGTGATCTCAGAAAGCAAAGTGTCTGAGTATTTCTTGAAACAACAGTCGTGAAAGCCGTAAACGTTTTGTCAGTTGCCTTGATTACATTTTTGATAAAGCGATTATCTAATATGTAATTTGAGCAAACCTATTGAAGCTAACAAATCCCTACATATCCATAGAACGCTGCGCAAAGAGGGTTACAATCAGTCAGAAATAGATCTTCTCTTTAGTACAATAGTTCTACCTAATATTAATTACGCATTATCTGTCCACGCCGCGTCCGAGTCCGATCTAATACCTGTACAATGTTTCTTAGACCGGTGTTTTAAAAGGAAATATACGTCTAAGCCTGTAAGTGTTTATGATTTCTTAGAGAGGCAAGACCGTAAAATTTTCAGAAAAGTTTCTAATGCTAAAGGACATCCTCTTTTTTCTATTATGCCTCGTATTAAACCGTCCAGTTACAATCTTAGGAAAGAATTTTGTTTTAAACCTAAGATTAACCCTTTGCCTTTTAAAAACTCTTTTATTAATCGTTTAGTTTTTGAATGTGAACTAGCTATGTAATATACTAGATTTTTTAATTCTTGCTTTTTACCATTTTAAAATTTCTTACACTTGCAACAAAAGATATGTATTTTTATCTTTTGATGAAAAAAGACTTTATTATTATTATTATTATTATTATTATTATTATTAAAATAATTTGTCTCTTCAGGAAACCATACGTAGATTACCACGTTATCAACATCAATGAGGAAGATTAAAGTTTTATATTAAAATTGAACGTTTATTATGAAGAAATCAGCCTTAATAAAATGGTTTTACAATAGTGTGATGAATCTCAGATTTAGATGAATACGCAGAAAAAAAGGAAGTTGCACTCCACTGCAGGTAATAGAGTTGAATGGTGATGATCACACAAAAACGAAATTCAAGAAATTGTTGGATTAGGTGGGGTAAATTGAAATAACAAAATGAAAAATGTGTACTTACCAAAAATCAAATTGGTGGTGAAATAAAAGAGACATGAGGCTCGGATGACTCAATACAAATCTTTCTAAAATTGGCTTCGATTCTACGCGTTACAATACAGGTCAAACTTCGGGATTTCATGGAGTCAACAGAGCATAACGCTCCTTATATCTCACCACCAATTTCCTATTATTATTTGCTTGGTAAGCGTTCAGTTTTGAAGGCAGTTTTTGCGCTGTGATTTCCTCAACCACACCCGAGATTTTATAACTGATGGTGGTGGTAAAAAGGGCTTGGGAATTTGCATGACAAATATTTCGACGGGACTACCCTACAAAAAAAAGATTCCTCGGTGGTGGGAAATTTTCGAAAAGAGTCCTGATGAGTGATGGGGACGAACTCGCGAGCACGCGAGACAAGCGAGAAGCGCGAGAGAGGGATGATGGGGGAACTTTATCCGCCCTGGGAACAAGCGTAGAGCGCGAGTGCTTTTTCTCTTTCTCTCCTGTTCCCATCACTCCCTTCGTCCCCTCTTTCCCTATTAATTAACTCAAGTTTCCCCCAGTGATCGCGAGCGACTGAAGGGGACGCTTAGCAGTGAGGAATCAATCATGAAACGTCACGAGCGACACAGTTTCTCTCTCGCCCTCCACTCAAGTTTCTCAGTTATGTTAAAAAAAATGGCAAATTCCAGTAAGCGAACTTCCGAAGATGATCATCCCCCCCACTATTTTCCCACCCCATCTACGACAGCACGTGACCCCCTGATTATCCCGCTGACCGATAAGCCCGTGGACTGTGAACCAGAGTAACAAACAGATGTAGTGTGATCTGTCATATGGTGAAGATGTGCAGGAATGCCCTCTAAAACACAATGATTTCTGTTTTGTGGCTGTTATATCTTTTGCTGGTCAGTGTGCTACTGGCATTTTTCACCTATGCAATATTTTTTCGAAAGGTAAGGCAAGAATCATTTTGTTTGCGGTGGGTAACTTTGCACATCGACCGATCAAAGATCAGCTGAGAGATGTTCAAATAATGCCTTTTGTTTCCAGGGAAGACTTCACGATTCAACTCCAGCACAGGACAAAGTAAAATACCTCAAGAAGGTAATCTTACTTCGAAAACGTGAAATTTTATTTCCTATTTTGCCACGAATATAATGCTGGAGACTATGTACACTTTTGCATTAATTATGATGAACTTCTGATCAAACCCACTGATTTCCACGTGTTACGTATGATCTGAAATAGCTATGAAAATAAACTGAATTTAGTAATCCCTTTCTATTATAGCTATGTCACAATGGTAGTATAAAAATATAGACTAAACTCTCGCCCTTTTAAGCGTATAGATTCAAGCGAACTTTGGATTTAACCGTGATGTGTAATCTTCAGAAATATTTTTTTTACCCATGAGATTTACATAATATGCATTCGCTTACAGTAGGTACACCATGAAAGAAACCTGAGAATGCTTGACTGCAATGTACCTAGCATGCCGATTTCATTATGACTTAATTATTAATAACTTGTGACTTTATTTTACTATACAATGATCATTTCAAATTGTGTTTTGATAACCTTAAATCAAACAGTTTAAAGTTCTTTCTTAGGTCATTGAAGGTCAAGTTACGAGGTTTAAAAAATCCCAAAATAAAAACAAAAGAACTTTGCAATACCTCTAGTTTTAGTTATTTCACTTAATTTGTTATTTATGTATTTAGCAGAAAGTTGTTGTCCCACTGATAAATATTATTCGTTTCTTATAATACTTATTAACCCTTAATAACATCAATTTTCACCTAACATTTATTATGTCAATAATTAGTCAAGAGAAAAGATTATGGGAATTATTTAGATGATCACCTAATGTAATCTGCTTTGATCATTTATCAAAAGTTCCCAGTCAATTATTTAAGGAATTTATGGAGACCCGAATATGTATGACTTGTACAAGTACGTATCTGGGCTTAAAGGGTCAATTGCTTTCCAACAGGGCTTGTACCTTTACAAGTGCTGAACATCACCTAACCCTTCGGTTTCAATTTTTTCTTTAGTTCTTTGAATTTTTTGTGTTGGTCAGCTCCTTGCAATAAGAGAAACAGCACGAGTGTAGTATGATTATGAAGACTTAAATTAATGATTATGGAGATCACTCAACTGAGAGATGCTATTAGTTTTTATTATAATTGTTATTATTATCATTGTTAACAACAACAATGCAATGCGTAGAAAAGAAAAATATCTGAACTTGATCAAGGAAATGAGTAGAAATTACAGATGTGTGAAATTTGTAAATCTCTCCATGAGCTCCCTTGGCGTTTTCTCCAATGAATGCTCAATGTTCTTAGACATGATGAATGACATTGGCATTGACAAAAAGCAGCAACCTTATATAATCAAGAAAATGATAACTATAGCCATTAGAGCAACATATTACATCTCTTGTTTTAGAACTAGAAATTGGGATAGCCCAGACTTAATGCAGTTTGATGTCTTTTCTTTTCCTTTCTTTTCTTTTTTTTTCTTTTTTTTTTTGTTGTGTTTTGTTTTTGTTTTTGTTTTTGTTTTTTTTTGGAATAATTCAATCTCAAACAGCATTTGTAAATTGCCTATATGTAGCGAGATTTACAATTGCGCATTCAAAAACACAAATAAAGTTTCCATTATTATTATTATTATTATTATTTTATTATTTTTTTTTATCAATGCTTACCCAAAAATGGCATTTGGTAGGGACAGACTCTCATTTTTTTCCTCCCGTGAACCATTAGGACCATTAGGGAAACAAAGCAACCCTTATAATAGTCTGGTATCTCTTACACATTTGAAACTAAGCCTCACATTATTTGTTTTCATAGAACAGTTAAGTTGCTTCATGTTATGTGGACGTTAATCGTGTTCCGGTATATATTTGCACAAATTATTAAGTTTTTTTGTTTTTCCTCTGACAGTTGAAAAGGTAGGTAGGTGCCACTAGTGTCAGTCCAAGATACTTAATAGAATGCTTTCCGCATGTCACAGTCTTAAAACGGTACAGAATTTTGATCTGGAAGCAGTTTATCGAAGTTTACATTTCCAATCAAGTGTTATATGTGACCCTCCACAGGATTTTAATGCTTAAGGTGAAAGCACGCGCACAACACGTTTTCACTTTAAAGCAAAAGAATTTATTTTAACTCGCTTTAGCACGCTTTCAGTCTTGCCTCATTAGCAATTTCTTTTGTTTCAGAGGACATGTTTGAGACAATTAAGCGTGAGCAAGTTGAACAAAAGAGCGTGTTAAAGTTTTCAAACAAAAGCTCCGTGCAAAAAAGCACAACACGCTTTCAGTGTGTGCAAAAGCACGCAAGGCGTGTTATCTATAAGCTAAATAAATTTTCTCTACAAAAAGGAACCGTAAGTGATTATTAACGGCACCCTTTTTGGTAACTATCGAGAAAGAAAAAGTTATACCTCCGCGATCGCAGCGATAGTATCTGATTGAAAAAACGTTGTCGCTTGAAAAGTATAAACAGTGAACGGTGGGACCTACTGGATTTATGGGTAGAACTATATTAGCATTGCAAAATCATAGTTCTTTGCAGAAATGTTTACTGATGAAGCTGTGCAAGGGTTATCTTAACTTTCCTTAATTTAAAACACATTTGCAATTTTCTCAGAAACAGTGATCTTTCGGACTTAAGTCACTTTCTTTCCGATCGCAGCAATCGCGATCAAATAGAAATCATCAAGTGCCAGGATCGCTAAATTGTACTTCTTTTTTAGCGATTGCAAGGATTGTAGTGATCAAATGAAGACCAGCCTGCTTTTCTAGATGTACCAAAATTCCAAAACGGTTTCAAAAAGCGAAACCGGTATTTAAACAATGTATCCAAATTTGTTCTTCTTGAAATATTACATCGCGTATGCTTCAGTCTTATTGTCCAAATTCCGTAATCATCCTGTTGTCTTTCTTGTGGTTGCAGCCATCTGTTTTACAACCATCTAAACAAACAATCGCGTATGAAGTTTCGGTGACTGATTTAGCGTCATCAGAAGTATTACGGCCTACAGTTATATAAGTGTCTTAAATAGTCTGCCACACAGCCGTTTTAGTGTCGTCACACAACGCTCCATCCACTGAAAACGGCCGCGTAGCAGACTATTATTTAAGCGGCGCGAAAATAATTTTTTATTATGTCGCGCTAGTTTACTGCGTCTTTCAAATGCCTATTCTGATGCATGAGTGGATTTGTCACCCCTCCTGAAACTTGGTAGTGCCTTGAGGACTAAATTAAAACAAAGCGGAATTTAAGATAAGACGTAAAAAAAAACAGTCGCTTTTATATTTACAACCAATCTTCCCTCATTCTACAGTGTTTTTAGTTTACAGATTCTTGTTTTTTTCGTCCTGTGAAGAACGAGATATAGTACACGTTTACAGCGCTTGATTTGTCTTAGCGTAGCATAACGAGATATCTTCACATAAATTTATTATGATTGACGGCCCTTCGTCCGTCAGGGGCACCTGACGGCGATTTCCTCCTAAATGCATCCTAGCATCCTAGGACAACTTCAGTCGTTTCGAAATTACAAGGGCTTCAACATTATTTCCCGAAAAATTTAGCTTCCAATTGAAAGTTTTAGGAAAGTGAGAATTTTATGGTATTTTCGGTTCGGAAAATTTTAGGATTCCTTAATTCTCTACGAAAAATAGCTTATCTTGGGGAGTGAAATGGAAAAAATTAAACTTCAGAAAATCGTAAGGAATTTATTAGATAAGCTTCGAAAATTGTACATGCATGGAACGGTCATCTAGAAATGGTTAGCCTTCCTCAACCTATAGAAAATTCTAGGCAGTTTTTGTTTTTCCAATTTAATTACCTCCATTCGTCTCAACAGGGCTTATAAAGAAATATATTAAACTAATTTATTCAACTTCATTTCTCTGAGCATTACTGCTATTAAATATTCTGGTGGCATAGCTTAACTTCAGTGCCTCGCATGTGATAGCTGGCCTCTTTGCGATTCCGGTCAACAGCCGACAGCCGGAGGAATTAATTGGTTTACACTGATCTCGCGTTAATTCCAGGCTAGACCACCATTAAGTCGTGATTTTCAAATGGATACAGTTATGATCAAACTCCAAAACAGTCTATATTGGTATGCTGATTAAATCTGCTGAAAACCCGAGCCATTTTATCATCAAGTAGCACTTTTAGTAATCAAGCGTGTTCAGCGTGTCTTACCCAAATTGCACGCTAAGCGTGCTATAATTCGTACACTTACCGTGACATATGGCACGCAATAAAAAAACAAAATGTCTAGCGTGTTAAATTTACCAAAACAAAGGCAAGTGTGTCCGTTTTTGTTTTTTCAATTTAATATGCGCATATCCATGATTGACGGCACACTAAGCGTGTTGTGCAAGCGTGTCGTGAGCGTGCTTTCACCTTTAACATCAAATTCCTGTGGAGGGTCACATATGTGAGAGTTTTATGCAGTTAGGTTTCATGTAAAGAATCGAATAGTTTGCTTCTCTTCTTTTGAAATAAGAGCTCTTCTATTCTCAAATTTAAAAAGTTAAAATTAACTTCCTTACAATGTCTATGCTGAAATCCAGATATAATATCTCTCAGTGATGAAGCAATGGAATTCTTTTTGTTGTTCTTGGCAGAGAACACGTGCACCGGCCCACAACAGGTGCAGCAAACTTCAGTGATCTAACTTCACATGCTTATTTCCAGAAAGTCGAAAAACATTTAATCAATGTTTTGGTAAGCTGTGCACAAAGGCTGAGGTTTCCCTCGGGAAATTCTGAGATTCATCCACCAAAGACAACACCAGAAATTACTTAGGTCACGGCATTAACAATATTATTGCAACCAATCAGTGTTTCCCCCATATTTTGGGGAAACAGGAACACTATTAATATCTGCATGACACAGACGTATCTCTCCCCAATTTTTTTTGAGGAAGGGATGTCTGTACACCGGCTAGGTTAAATTTAATGTATTTTGGTAGAGCTAATGAGGTCTTCACTAAATAAGCATTTAATTATTATTTTCTTTTTTTTGTTGAAGCACATTCTTCCCATCTGCTCCACGAGATGGAAGCTTATGGCAGTAGACAGTGGATTACGAGTATGGCAGAAAAATGTGGAAAACAAACCTTCATGGATGCCCAGAACAATTTATGCTTGTTTTGGAATCATTCCAGCATCACAGAAGGTTAGAATAGAATGCCCTGATCCTAAATCCCTCACTTCTGAAGGGCAGTTCCACAGGTTTAAGCTGTAACAGCAGCACTTTCTAAAAATTTTGTTTTCCGTGTATGCCTGAACTTCTGAAGATGACATTGAGGGAGGGCTTAAAGTGCTTGAACTACATTTCATTTTGGACATGGGTATTGGTAATTGTTCTTCATAACCAGGCAGTGACCTGAAAACAGCTTTAACTACATTGAAGCTTCAAAAGGTGTTTTAGGGCAAAATCCCCAGGGGTAAACAGGGTATGGAAAAAAAACTAGCCCAGTGTGAGTTCAAGCTTGTCCTTTGGGCAAGCAGCTCTTACATTTTGCTTGCCTGGGACAACTTCCTGCTCATCTTATGATATTGTTAGAGGATGACTTTCCTGGACCCTTAATTGCCCATTGGTCAAGTTAGCTATAAAAGTCGCTGGCTCAGCTCCTGGACTACCGCATGGGGCTTTTTTCAAGCCGTGGTGAATGTGTTAATACATGTACATTAAATAAACTTAATCTGTATGCACTCCACATTCGGCTATAAATCGAGACCCTAAATTTTAAACTCTTAGAGTCAGCATAACCATGAACAAAAGGTAAGTCCAAAACACTCACAATCAGGGACAAAAGTAGTTGACTTTTTTGTTTAAAATGGGTGCTCTTAACAAACATTTAATTCATTTATTATTTCATTCCTACTAAACACCGTAAATCCTCTCACCCCCCGAATCAATGTTGTACGTCTGAAGTAAAAAAAAAGACTTGAGGGTCCAAAATACAACATTGATTTTGGGGGGAAGGGGTTGGGGTAGACAGGGGAAAGGGATAAGTATATCCACTATGCAAAAAGGGGCTGTTTTAGGGAGGTCTGTTAACACTTTTGTCATTGCAGCTATAAGCCGAGATCCATTCGTTACAAGACTTTTAACTACTTTTTTGTCTGATATTTTGACAATTTGGGACTGAATTTCTGTGCCTAGCTAACTTAACATTCAGATTCATAGTTATGTTGATCGATTTGATCTTTTGCCAGTGCTATTTGCTAGGCTTATAAGTGAATACTTCCCCATTAAGTAAAGTCTCAATGCACTGAATAACGTTTTTTGTCAAAAACTCTTGGCTATAAGCCAAGACCCCTCTTGATCTCAAATTGCACTGAACTTTAGCTTTTAATTAAGTTGTGTAAAAACCGCTCGGCTTATAGCTGAATAAATCTGGTATTTTTTATCGGTCATTAGCCTATTTGTGACAACTTCATGGGTCAAGATGAACTCAACAAATTAGCCTGCTCCCTCTGTATGGGTCTTCATAGCTCAGTTGGTTAGAGCACTGCAGTGCTAACACAGAGGCCATTTTGAATCCCGGGGTTTTTTTGGGGGGGGGGGAGGGGCGGGGTTAATTTGCAATAATATTGCTTAAATTGCAATTACCACTGCGATGATCATTAACTTTCTCCATCATTTACCTTTGACAGGAAGTAATTAACATTCTGAAGCAACCTGACTTGATGATGGAATGGGATCCAGCAGTAAAGAATATATCAAAGGTTACCATGGCAACTGAAAGTGATGTCATATCAGTGTCATTTAACTGCACAAGTCTCATTGCACGAGTTGTACATCAAATACGGGAAAGTTTTGGTGGGGAAATAAATGCTGTTTATTCAAGGTAAGTACACGTGTATTAAACTACAATTTTATTACTAAACCTCTTTAATAAATTACTAGTGCCAAACGAATAGAGCTGATAGTCAGCTTTGCAGTCTAGGTGTCCATATTATAAGTACATATGTAGACTGTGGCGGAAATGGTGTAGAGTTTGGTTTTTTGGGGGACCAGAGCTACAGTAAGTGTTTGTATTACAGAAGTGTCCATGTTATAGACATAGAAGCTTGGTACATGTATTTTTTAGACCATGAAGAGAGCTAGGTTCAACTGTACATGTACATCAGTACATGTAGTACTGAATAAGAGACTAAGGGCACTAATTTCTAAAAGTCAGAACTGGCCAGCCAAACCATGGCCTGACCAGTCATTTTGACAAAGAAATAAGCTTTCTAAGAGATTTTGCTGGAAAACCATCTCCTCCATACAAACTATTAATTTCAGGATTTGACTGATCTGGCTGTGTGGATACTCTTGATTAAAAGAGAAATTCCCAATATGATGGGAATGGTCTGGCTTCTCAGTTCTGACAAATGGAAAGTGCCCAAAATCTTTCCGTCTGTTCTTGAAAATCTTATGTGGGCATGCCATGTTTGTATCACTGAAGTCCTTCCTCACTTTTCAATAAACTAACTTGACTGTGCTTTCTTTAAATCCATCTTTCAGGCACTGGGAAGTAGATCCTAGTTCAAACACTGATGCGTGGTTCTTGAGCTATTTTGTTGAACAAGTCATCCCGGCAGAAGGAACTCTGTGGTCCTGCTTTTTAGTCTCCTCAATAGACAATGGTATGGGCAGCTAATATATTGCAAAGCTGTGCTCTGAGAGAAATTGAAGGGAGCCCTGGTGCTCTGAACCTGTGAACTCCAGGGTGCCCAGCATATGATTTCTATGAAAAAACGTAAGATTTTCTTGTCACCCTGGAGTAAAAGTTCCAAAGGTGCCAGGGGTCACTAGGCACCGCCAAAGCATAGCCTTACATTGTATCTATCTTTAGTTATAACCTTCTGTTACGCGGGTAATCTTTTAGAGGATGGTTAGCTTGCAAACCAAACTGAACGCAGGGTTGTCGGAACAGTAACTAGAAGATTTATTCCAAAAATGAACGTAGTTTCCACTGAGTAAAACTCCACAACAGCACTTAACTCGTTAAACTTACACGGCCTCCGCCAACTTCAATTAACTTGATAAACTTGAGGGCCACAAGTTTATTAGCCTTTGGCTATTTGGTGCTACCCTCTTTAAATAAAGGCTTTACTTACTTACTTACTTACTAAACTTACACGGCCTCTGCCAACTTGAATAAACACTGCTTTCGTCACACTTGACTAAACACGACTAACGTTGAACTCTCCTCGCTTGTGAAAACTAGTTAAAACTTAACTCGGACTCGCCTACTTATATACTTTCACAATAACATTCTAGGACTGTCCAAATAGTCTAATTAAAGAAAGATTACAAAATATACCGCTTTTAGAAAGGCTTACACAAGATCCTAAAATAAACAAACTACGAACTCTCGCGAAGCTTCTAGAAAGTCATGCTAGTCACGCAATACAATTTTTCGTAACACCTTCTCACTCCCAAAAGTGTCCAAAGTAAAAATTCAGCAAAAAATTTCCAGATTTCCAGATTTCATTTTGTAAAATAGAAAAAAAGAAATGGCATCATGTGAAAGCTCTGCCAGAAAGGTTCATTTAAGTGGCAACAACAAGTCGTATATAGGATTTTGTCTACACAAGAAAAATAACAATAATTATTGGAATCTCATCCCTGCACCTTGTCACCCTGTGATTACAGTTAGTAAGCAGCTAGTTAGTTTTAATACCAAATATCAAAGGAGATTGGCTTTTTGAACAGTCATTCTCTGAGAAAAACAATAACTTCAATTTCCCTTCTAATATTAAAGGCCAAAGAATCAGTTCTTAAAAAAACTTTTTTTTACAAATTGTAAAAAAAATAGTGCATGTATTTGAACTATAACTTGAATAACTGAATAAATACATGTACAGTACATAGTATAAACTTGGATACCCAAAAAGTTCTGCCTAAAAGGTTTCATTTGAATAACAACCACTGCATTTTTTCCAGCATAGTCTGTGAACTTCTTTGTTGGCAGGGGTTGGGGAGGGTGGGAAATGAGAATCTTCTGTCTTCCCCCATCCCCACCCCCGAGACCTTGCTTGCAGGCTAGGTCTAGCAGCGAAAGAGGTTAGTAAGGTGTCCAGTCATTTCGCTGTCAAGTCATTTCAATTCACCATGAAGTTGATTCTCTGCAAAGCATTTTTCGTCTCACTGTAGTCTCAGACTTAGGAAATTCAGTGATGGGCAGGTAAAAACTAACCGCTCTTATAAGAACCCCAAAGTTTAATATCAAAGTTTTCTTTATTTTTTTTCTAATTGATGCAAAAAGGCTGTGTTGTGAAAGGACTTCAATATGCCGCGAAATGACTTGTAGCGAAATGATTTTGTTGCAAAATGACTGCTAATAAGGATGTCAAAAATTTTGCCAGGTGAAGATGAACAGTTGGAGAGTCTGGTAACTTTGGTTGCTGCACCCGTTTCACCATGGTTTGCATCCATACCAACATTAACAGCATCAAGAGTAGCTGGACTCCAGGATTTCTTTACTCACTACAAGCCTGATGCATCTCCTAACAAGACGGCCAGTGTAGCCTCAACATCTTTATCATCAACAAGTGATGATCTTACAAAGGATTTGGTGCCACGTCTAATTGCAAAGCCATCAGGTAGGCGTTATACAGTGGGACCCCTTAACCCTTTAAGCCCCAATATCCACATATAAATTCTCCATACTGATCTTCAGTTGGGAGAGTTTGATAACAGATCAAAGTGTTTTCTCTGTTGTGATCATTTTGTTAACTCTCATAACCATTTCTTTTGGCAACGTATAGATATTGTTAGAAGAAAATTGATGTTGGTCACCATTGGGACTTAAAGGGTTAATATGGTCACCAGTGGTCCAAAAAAATTTGGCCGTATTAACAAGGGTTTTTTTAACAAGAAAATGTATGGCGGTTTTTGCCAGGCAGCCAACAAAAGTGGCCATAATAACGAGGTGACTGTATTACCAAGGTGAACATAAGGCGGGGTTTCACTGTAGTTAATATTTTAATGAAATAAAGCATCCACAGTGAAACTGAGTTTAACATTCTGGCGAAAAGTGCTGTATAGTAGTTAGGGTTACAGGTTCACTTTATTTGAGAGTCATTGTATATAGAATTAATGTACTTATTAAGAGCACTAATTTCACGTCTCTGCTGGAGACAGGACTGTCGTTTTACACATGGTCATCCAAGGCACTTGAGGGTCTAGCTGTTTGCAGGGCATGCAAAAGAACTCCCTTCATTTCTCAGTTATTTTAAGACCCTGACTATTGCTCCAGCCCCAGGAATCAAACCCAAGCCCTCCTGCTTAACAATCAAGCACTCTATTGACTGAGCTAATCTTGCCTGTATTAATCTGGATGCAATGATGCATTTTCCCTCAATACCATACAGACCACAACACAAGGGCCACAATGCAATACGTGTTACAATACACTACCTAATTACTCCTTTGAAACACTTCACACGACTTAATCTGCAGTTCATAACTGACTTATTTCATTTACATCACATTCATTATTATTTTACAACAATTAGTCTCTGCTTATTTTTGCATTTCAATGTATGTCAGGTAGCCAAGAGGATGAGAAACCGTCCAGGAAAAATACCAAGGTAAAGTAGACTGCCAACACTGCCTTCGCTAACGCCCGAGATTACTGTTAATATGTTAATCAATTTAATGTAAAGAGGACACATAGAGATTTGATGGTGTTTTTTTTTTGACTCTCTTATGATTTGTCTTATAGGGGGCTAGCTTATCTGTTCCTGATGACTCTCAAGTTCCAGGCGTTGTCAGCAGGTACTGTTTTGAAAAAGGAAATTTGAAAAACCAGTAATCAATCGGCCTGTGTAAGGGAATCCAAGACAGTCTTGGAATCTGGATTCTGCACCTCAGATTCCAGAAATTTCCAGGAAATGGATTCTGGAATCTTTGTCTGTGGAACTTGGATTCCAAATTCCAATCATTAATGGATTTCAGATTTCTTAAAGTGTATTCCGGGTTCCAAAGCCCAGGATTCCGTATTCCACAACTTAAATTTCCCGAATTCTAGATTCCACAAGCAAAAATTGATCAGATTCCGAAATCCAGATTCCCTCACATGGGGCGAATTCAATTAATAGCCAGATCCCTCAACAAGAAAATGCCAGCACTTTAATGGATTTAACGGTGGAAATAATTATTGATCGCAGAAGAAGAAGCGTAGAAACGTAATCTTTCTCACAGAAGTTTATTTATGCTTGGAGTCAAATGTTATTCTTTCTTTGTTGTAGAATCTCACAATGTTTATATAATTATTTAATTGATGAAATTATTATTTTTGTGCCATTTGTCTGTTTTGACAAGTACCACTCTCCCGAATTACTGTAGTACCCGATCAAAAAAATCTAAAATGTAATAAGCGCTGCAGCTTCCTCTAGGTAACACTACTGACAGTTGTTGTATTTGGTTTCATGCAACATTCAAAGGGTAGACAATTTGCTTCAAAAACTCAATGAAGTGTACGAGGGAACAGAAGGAACCGATGGCTGGATTACAGTCGGAAATGTTAAGTAAGTTATTTTAAGTGGACAATATTAAGGATACCCGCCGTCTTTGCACGCGCTTTAGGATTGATTTAACCGCGGCAGGATTAGCTCAGTCGGTAGAGCGCTTGACTGCTGAGCGGAAGGTCGCGGGTTCGATTCCCGGGGCCGGACCAATACTCAGGGTCTTAAAATAACTGAGAAATGAAGGTACTCCGTTTGTTCTGCAAGCGGCTAGACTTTCGCGTGGCTCGGATGACCACGTAAAATGGCGGTCCCGTCTCCATTAGGAGACGTAAAAATGTTGTCCCCAGTTAGCACTTTCGTGCTAAATACATTGACACTCAAATAAATAAAGTGCGATAAAAGCAATGTCACGTGAGTAAACACGTGATAAAACAAACAAACATGTGATAAAACTTGTTTTAGTCGTTTTCGTTGCCATTGCTGTCGTAGTTTCGTAAGGTCCCTACTCAAACGCGTCACGTCTCTTTAAATTCACCCTGGGAGGAAATACTCAGAATCGCTCTATCAACTAACACAGGTTTGTTTTTGTAGAGGTGTCGACATTATGAAACGACCTCCTAGAGCTGTTGAGAGACCATGGGATTGTTTAAAAGGAACTTCAGTGATTTGTGCACCAATCCATTATATTTTAGCGTATGTTGAGTCACTGGATTACAGAGGAGAGTGGGATGACATGTTTGTGAAAGGTAATTCTCAAACTCATTAATAATTCATAAAGAAAATTCAAAGGAAATTAATGTTTAATGAATGTTTGGATATCAGATGAAAAACTGCTCATTTTTGCATTCTTAATTTCTCCTTCAAAAATGATTTTGTTTGAGAAGAAATATCAAACATTCGACACAGTGTTTCATCACCAGATGAAACACCTCGAAGTTCGCCAAAAATACTCCGCTGCGCGTCGTATTTTCAACTCTCTTCTCGGTGTTTCATCGATGATGAAACACTGCGTCTCATGTTTGATATATTACTTCACTTGACGAAACAGAACTAGTTTCAGTAGAGTGCTCTTGCGTTACTTTGCTTTGTGGTTGGCTTAGAAAATCTCTCGCCTTTTCCTCAGCCAATCGTAAGTGTGCTAAATTCCATTGTTTTTTCGCTTTTATGTTTTCCCGCACGTTTCAGTTCACATTCTTTGCTCTGATTTCTTATTGGTTGCTTGGATTATTTGCCTCCGCCGTGATTGGCTTGATTTAAATGGAGTACTTTTGTGTTGCTTGGTAACTTGGTTGCTTAATAACCTTCTTGCGCTAGTAGACCGAAAGAAAAATACTCGCACCTAGTTTGTGCTCGTTTTCTTAGGTATTTAGTTAAGGCGGCTCCGCGAGACCCCCTTCCACGAGGACTTTTAACAACTGCAATTGCTAAAATGGAGGTTGGGTGCCTGGCGTATCCAGGGGCTTCCACTATTGGCAGCCAGCCCCTAGATTGAAGTAATGCTCCCAGGACTGGCACAACAGCGCAACCCAGCCATGAGCCCCCACACGAAAGGAAAGGAAAAAGCACCAGTCACACTGAAAACATCAGTGGAGAAAAACCAACAAAGCCTAGGGGGAGGGGGGGGAGGGGAAGAAAATGGCTGACAGAACCTAGCACAAAGGAAAACTGAACGCGCTAAAGAATCACATGATCGATGTAGCCAGCTACTGGGCATGAGCTTGCCAAAGACCGCTGACCTCAGGCACTTAAGGAGCTCTTAGTTGTTAACTCCTTTAAATTGCATTTAACTGTTTTTTTTTTTGGAAATATTGTTATTATTATTTTTTTTTTTCACAGGTGAAACAGTAGAGCAATATGACCCAATTACAAAGGTATTTATAATCGGCTTCACATGTTATTGGGCGATCCTAGTAAAACTCCCTTTTTGGTCCTTTATTTTTTAATTTTCATTGGACCATTATGTTTCAGCGTGTCTCCTATTTAACGTCACTATTTTTGTTAAATGGTACCTGCCGAAAAATACATCAATCTCGTTCATGGTAGCGATACAACAAAAACATCAACACACAGTACATCTCATACCAGCTATATATAAGTGAGGGCCTCTATAATAGAGTTATTTGACCCTTTAAGCTCTAAGAGTGATCAGCATCAAATTTCTCCTTGTAATATTAATGTTTTGTGAAACAGAGTGGTCATGAGAATTACGAACATGATCACACAGGATGAATTTGCTTGATAATTTATCAACTTCTCCCCACTACTTCTAAGTGAAACGAAAAGGAGTAACAAATGAGGATTCACATTTTGATCTTAGGGTATAATGGGTTAATTCCGTCATCCCGACCCAAGATAGATACTGTCTTTCGGGTCCAATCCAGAAATTTTCGCTAGCATTTGACAAATTAAATGAAATTGAAAAAAGATCGATGAAGTTTAAAGCAGTACGAATTCACAAAGTGCTGTTTTCGGTTTGTTGTCCTCCAGAAATTTTGCTACGATGGCAACGTGACGTAACGATTTCTCTCTTTTGACCTGAGTGGTCAATTGCCGGTAACTTGCGTTGTTATCAGTGACGTCATGATGCCGACCCCAGATCTTCCCAGCCTGTGAGCAAGCTCCCTATTTGGGGGATATCTTAAAAAGGAAAACGCGAGAGCGGCACGCGAGAGCGGCTCGCGAGAGGAGACGCGACAGCCCCATAGAGCTTGCTCGCAAGCTACGTTGTTATTGGTTTTCTGTCAGTTAAAAGGGCTTTTTTACGGCAGTCCAGTTCATTTTGTTTAATTTTGCCAATTATCCGCCCTCAATCGCTATGGAACTTAACGTAAGCAAAGAAATTATGGGTAAATGACAAAATCAGAGATCAGAGACAAACAAATATGTCTCCTGAGCATTATTTTTGAAGTTGCAAGCAGCAGGGATCAACTTTGAAAAACTGTTAGGCTGAACAGTTTTCAAAAACCCTAATTTCAATCCGTTTCAATATTCTTGAGTTTTGCCCATCCGTGTTATCTGTTGTTTCTGTCATGTTATTTTAACCTTTCTTTAAAGTTTTAAGCGGTTATTTTTATGTTTCTCTTAATTTAACGGGTATTTTGTAATTTCCTAATTTGGCTGAAGTACGTGACACAGCTCCTTTAAGCCATTATGTTATTGGCAGTAAAGACTCTAAATGTGAGTGTTGCGTTTCAAGCCGTCATCCAGGAAAACTCGGTCGCCTTTTATGTAACAGAGTGGCAAATACACTTCTCTACCCCTTACCTGTAGGCAGAAACATTCTATCTTAAGGTCTCTGTTATTGATATTATGCCTTTCTTTCAGGTTGCTCGGACACAGTTCAAACCAGTATGGCCGGCCAGTGGTCGTGACTTTTGTAATTTTGTTGTTCTCAGGGAGCTGGCAGAGGGTGTTTTTTGCCAAGCGTATGAAGCAGTATGTATGGCTATTTTAAACGTCTCAAGACGTTAAGCGTTCACATTCCCCTAAATGTTTATCTTTCATAGTCTTCATAGTCGCTTAGAAACAAAGGAAAAGTACCGTTTGGTAATCCCAAAAGTGGTCGCTTCCTAGAACTTTTCATTACAGAGTTTAAGTGACAGTTTAAACGGGGTTTCACAAAAGGTAGTTGTAACTGGAGCTGGTCGCTCACGACAGTGGTCGCAAGGAGAGCTTCGAGACTGTATTTCAATTATCTTTTGTAGGTGGAGCATGAGAATTGTCCAGAAGTGAAAGATCTCGTAAGGTACGAAAAATTTTAAACCCACTAGATGATTTTACGAACATTTTTTTCATTATCTGGCTTGTGTTTTTTTTATTATTCAGAGCTGAGGTCATTATTGGTGGTTTTGTGGTAAAGGAACTTAGTTCTGATCCCCCCAGCTGTCTTGTTACCTACATCACACGAGTCGACTTAAAAGGTAAGTTTCCCCTTTCGCTGATGATTCATACGTCATGCGTGTATAGTACTGCACACGTATGCTCTCCTCTTGCCCAATTTTTCGTCGTTTATATGCCTGAGCATTTCAGGGTTTTTCTGGACAATTTTGGTATTTCAGTTGTCCAATTTTTTTCCTGTTTTGACACATTTTCAACCCGGAAATTTTTTTTAAAGTTCCTTCTTAGCCATGCGTTGTAACTGATTAGTGATAGTGATAACGCAAAATTTGTATAGCGCCATTTCTGTAAGCGCAATGGCTCTTTTATAATGGTAGGTTAGTTTTACTTACCTTCACAACTATATTCATATTTTAAAAAAAATAGAAATAAGTAGGTAAAAAATGAGTATAACTAAATTTACTTTATTGTACAGGAAAACTTCCAGTTAGACTCGTGAACAAAGTGACGTCATCTCAGCCCGAGGCTGTTGCGATTTTACGCGACAAACTGGAAGCTCTTTACCAAGGAGATGTAGCGTCTAACAGTGGAGAAATGTCAGAGATCCAAAAGTTAGGCGTTGATTTATGGACAGAGTTAATGAAAGCCAAGGAAGCTCGACTCCCGCGCGCGGGCGAGGCGGCTGAACGCGAAGAGAAGGAATCAGTCCTGGAGTGGAGCTTAGTAGAAAAACATTTTGAAGATGACGTGTCTTCTAGTGATATGGACAGTAGACGAGAACCAAGTAATTTTACGGTAAGACCTGACTGTTTTGAAGTCGTGGCGTGAGACTGGGTCCTTGTTATGTCGTACTGCATTATGGGACTGTTTTGGAGACGCTGCCGCTTTTTTTATCGGCCTTTAAGAGGGTGCGCGGGAAACTGGGCCGAATGGCGTCCCCAAAAAACGGCCCCGTAATAAAGAGGAGAAGTCGTTACGTCACGTTGCCATGTTAGCAAAATTTCTGAATGACAACAAATCAAAACGTCACTTAAAAAGTGGATTCGCACTGTTTCAAACTTCATCGATCTCATTTAATTTCATTTAATTTGTCAAACGTTGGTGGAATTTTCTAGGTTGAATCCGAAAGGACCGTATCTAAGTTTAGAAAAAGAAAAAGAAATTTTTTGTGTTGTGCTCACCTACTCGATAAAGCGGGCGAGTGAAATTAGAAAGTTTCATCTCGCAGTCGTGCAAAAAACGGGTAAGGAAATGTGCATAAAAGCGTGATGCACGTGCAAAGTTGTTCTTTTGCCAGTCTAAACCTATTGCGTTTTTGCTGTTGTAAAAACTCCCTATTATTGTGATCCAGAAATTTTTTTACCATAGTAACGTGACGTCACACTTCTCTCTATTTATTGCGACACAAGCCCATGTGCAACCTTAGACTGATAGCAGTTTCTAAGGTGTCTCGCGCGGGCGAGCATTTCACGTGCGAGCGAGCGAGGCAAACGCGCGAGGGACAAGAAGAAAGGAAAGCTCGTTTCAGATGTCTTCCTCGCGCCTTTCTCTCGCTCGCACGCACGTAACATCCTTGCCCACGCGATCATCCTGAGGAACTTCTAGCCGTCTAGCGCAACTTTAAAATGTCCAACAGCTGCCCAACACTGGCTCCAGGGAAACGGGGCTCAAAACTAGTGTTTCCTAGGATCGATAGGATCCATATTTGGCAGCCCAAATATTTGTCACTTACTTTTTCATTCTAAATGCTGCCATAAGCAGAAACCCGAAGTTTAAAAAAATTGCTAAATTCTATGATGTAAAATACAGGGAAATGAATATCGCCCCTCGCGTTCGTAATGCGCACACTTGGCTTTGTCACTTTGGTGTCTGAAATCAGCAGATTTAATTTGACTATAGTTGTCAACTTTCTTACAGGACTCGGGAGAAATGTTCCCAGCCACAGATGAGAATATGCAACTACCATTCTGTAAGTAGGCTTTACTAGAATCGATTTATAAATTTGTTATAGTTTATCAGTAGTGTTTTGATATTCATGACTAGCATTAAAGCAGCCGGGCCACGTCTGGTAGAAAAGGAAACCGTTGTCACTACAACAACCGTTATCAAAAAAAAGCTATAACAGACACTTCTGCCGTGACCTTCACTAAGTAGACTTAAACGAATATAAATTGCGGACGTGACGCTGAATTTGTGAGTTTATATTGTTTATGTTACAGTAAACCGATTCTAATGATTATTGAGTCCAAAGAGTATTTACGCTTTATGATTGGGTTAAAAGTCACGTGTCACTTTCTCAGCCAATTACATTTGTGAGGCCAAAACGTGACTTCATCTTTATACGTGAGCTATGGAAACTTGTTCCAAACTTCCGTTGTGATTGGTCGTTTAGACTGTCCACTCTTGATTGATTAACCAATGGACCCTCTGAAGCTGGTCACGTGGCACGCGGGGGCGCAAGAAACACTAGGGAAAAAAAAAACAAACAAAAAATTATAACCATTTAAAATGGCGTAAGGTCTTAGCTTGTCCTGCTTTTTGTATCACATGACTGACCAGCTGAAAAGGGCCCATTGATTGGACATGACTGATTAGAGATTGATTGATTGCTACTATTTGCGCAACTGTTCGAAAACCACTGTCATTGGAACATTATTATGTAATAATCCGATACATCTTATTTGTTTTGTACTTGTTTTAGTGGACAGACATAACATAGATTTTAAAACACTTGGTAGCCAAGCAGCAGCTAATTTATTAGGAGAGGTAAGTAGCAGAGTTTAGTTTTATTTTTATTTTTTTTTTCCCAGTTTCTGTCCATTTCTTCTGTGGAAATTGCGTGACATAGTCTTTGGTGCTGAACCTTAGCAAAAAGGTGCTACTGTTCTGTAAACATCTTTTACCTTTTTATGATCGCCCTGCAGGTTTAGTAGGGGAGTTAGATTGCAAGTAGTGCCCTTTTGACGTAGGATTGTTCACGAGGATTGGAAGCTGCTCGCTTGTTTAATGGTCCACTGTTTTCGGTCAATTCTGGCGTTTATTTTACTCTGATTGCATAAAATTTTGTTTGCAGAGGTGTATGTGCTTATTCATGTTTTAGCCTGAGAAAACTGCTAATATCTCGCGACGTTACCACTAGTTTCTCCTCAAAATGACGTCCAAGAAGCGAGAACAGAAATTCCATACTGGTGACAGTAATCAATGTTTACATAACAAATCCGGTAGTCATGGGGTTCCAAATGTAAATTTGTTTGATTTTATGTTTCTCCCAAAGTTCAACACTTTTTCCTTGATGTTTGAAGGTACTGTTAGCTTCCAAAGTGGAAATTTCAATGTCAGAGGAGTTGAGTGAATTGGGATCTTCAGAGCAAGAATGGAGGTACATACCTTCTTTGCAGCCAGATGGGTGGCTTTACTTCGCACTACGCCGAAGTAACAAGGGAACTGGGGTCGAAATGTGTCCCGCAATTGTGTCTGGGATCGTACCTAGGGACACGCTGGTCAGCTATTGGCCAATTGTTTTCCTTGTCACTAGTAACAGTCCCAGACGTCTTTGGGAAAGTTATCTCGGCCCAGTTTCCTCCTCAATTGTCCAATCCTAGTATATCAAAGGTGTTCATTGTGAATAGTGTCGAGTGTGCATAAAAAGCAGAAGAGAATTGAGGGTCCCCAATAGGGTTTTTCTATCCCGTAATCCCGACCCAAAATTTCGGGCAATCCCGTAATCCCAAGGGTTACTTTTGGCATCCCACCTCCCGCGCATACTTTCAATCCCGAATCACGCCCCGATTTCGCTTTAAAATCCCGAATCCCGAGCCTCAAATAAGGGAAATCCCGCATCCCGAAAAACTTATTGGAGACCCTCAGAATTGCCTTTATCTGTTTCAAACAACCCACTTTTGAAACGATCGGAAGGTCCACTGTTATAAGCCGTCGTCTGAGTTAGTCTGCGATTATAACTGTTCCGAATTATCTTGCGTTTCCAGATAAACCGCGACAGACGAGGGTTGTCCAATACTACGACAAATTTAGGCATGGCATTGTATTTTATTGTCTTCACATTACAATACTGTGCAAAAGCATAACAATAAAGAACGAAGCAAAACAATGAGAAATTTAACAAAGCCATGCGTAAATTTGTCGGAGTATTAAACAAGTATGTGACAGACATGGCCCGGCTCTGGCAAACGCGTCGCAGTCATATTAGTAACACAAAACCTAACTGGCTGCGACAGAAGGATGTGAATCTCTTTGGTTTGGTAGTTCGGTTCGGTAGCTTATTCAAGCTTAGGGTCAGGAAAGACTGTAGTGTCATCTGATTGTTAGCACGTTTTTCTCAGGCGCCGATCAAAATACTGAAAGAAATATATATTTTAATCATTTTTCACAATTCAAACTGACATAATTTGAATGATATCTTTCCTTCGTTCGGCCTGACTTCGCCGTTTGAATCAGTCGTCTTAAATCAAGCGGGCTGCATTGTAAGCTTCTCATTATATTGAGAGGAGAAGTGTGACGTCACGTTAGCATGGTAGCAAAATTTTGAAGCTCAACGATCCAGACATTTTGCTACCATGGCAACGTGACGTAATGACTCTGTTTCGCCCATCTTCTGCTAGCTTAAACGGACGCTCCTGGTGACCAGGTTGCCTGGTGACTAGATTGCCCCGGTTAGTGTAATCGTTATAAACTTAATCCTTTCTCTCTTCCTTCTTTTCAGTTATCAAAGTATCGAAAAAGACGTCGTTATTTTGCGAAAGATCAGTCCAGGAGAGAAAATTCACAGGTAATAACTTTCTGTTTGTGTAACTTTGGGCGTGCAATTGACATATGGCCTTCAGTAAAAAGGATTTTTTATTTTGTTTTTTAATTTTTTTTTCTGCCTTTAAGGGGCATTTTCAACCCAACGAACTTCCTTTCTTTTATACAAATGAAAACATATTTACATTAACTGGCAATTTTCTAAGTCTTTGCCCATATTTCTACCATTTTTCAATTCTTTTCTCTTTAGTTTCTTAGGCAAAGGAATGATCAAAGTGAAGCCGCCTGCAGTGTGGCAAGCAATCCGGAATCACACGACTCGTCACATGTACGACAAGATGCTCAAGGTATAAACCACTGGGTTTTTTTTGAGAGGGTCTTTCTATAGTCTGCCACACAGCCGTTTTTAGTGTCGTCACGCAACGCGGGAGGAGCGTTGCGTGACGACACTAAAAACGGCTGTGTAGCAGACTAGTCTTTCTATTGTTTTTGTTTTATTCTTTTTTCGAACACAATTGTTGCATTTTGAATTGTGAGCATTTATGATGATCGTCTGGGTGAGAATAGACTCGTAAAATACTTTTTTTGGAAATTGGTTACATCGTTTTAATACTGGTATCGTTAAAACACAGTTAATAACAAAGTGTCGGCATTAGCGGGGGCTTGACTTTCCATGAAAGAATCTGTTTATTAGGGCCTGTTTACGTGGAGGTGGGGAACCCCAGGTAGGTGAGGTAACCCGCCTGTCCATGTGATCTCTCATTTTAATTTGATCACGTTTACATGATAGGTGGAGTGGCCCGCCAAGGCGGGTAGCCTGGTCTACCAGACCGAGTTACCCTCTCAGCCGGGGTCAAATTTTGCCATGTAAACGTTCAAGGTAGGGTAACCCACCTAGCCGGGGTCTGATTCGTGATACATCAAATTCGCGCAAAATTCACTTTGGCGGTGGTTTTGCATCATTATTAAAGGAAACAATAGAAAGCCACAGCACTGAAGGTTGCAGCAAGAGCAGCAAGTGAGTGTTGAAGAGCATTTTCGCCAAAACACGTGGTTTGCCAGCATATTTCTTGTTTACGTGCTTAACGACCTTTCAATAATCTTGAGAAAGTACAACCCGGGATGGCGGGTTGTAAGATTGCATGGAAAGGAGCGTTATTGTTTTACCCCACCTAAGCGGGTTACCTCACTTACCTGGGGTCCCCCACTTCCATGTAAACAGGCCCTTAGGTAAGAAACAAGTGCCCGTTGTCCGCATTTACGGGTGTGAGTATTACGCGGTTTGAAATGAGAGAAAATGTAAGGGCTTTCCCAAAGGGCAAAGAAAACTGTCGACATTAGGGACTTTAAGATCCAACGACGCGGACGGCAAAGAGAACGTCAAAAAAACAGTAGGTTTTACAAGCAAAACAACAACTTTGCACGTGCGTCACGTTTTTTTGTACATTTCTTTGCCCGTTTTTGTACGACTACGACGTGAAAATGCCTAATTTCGCGTTTTATAGAGTACGAGCAACGGCGAATTTTATTTCTGTTTCCGAACTTGGATATGGCCCCTAGGAATTCCATTCCAGGAGGGTTCGCCTACATTTGACGTAGGAAGTGGTTAGGAATAATTGCGATAAAGACTGAAAGCACGCAAATTAACTTTTTAAGCGACGTTCTCGTTGCCCGCGCGTCGTTGGATCTTAAAGTCCCTAATGACGAGATGTCTGTAAAGCGAGGTTCGACTGTATAATCACCTTTGTTTGTGTACGATAGGCCTCGCCGTTCATCATCAGCTCATGATAGTCACTTTGTTATTGACAATATTCAGAGTAAAAAGGGCTGAGAGTGAAACCCCACCGTAGGATCATCGCGTTTTTGCGACCACCTGGTTGTTGCATGCGACGAGATTCTCCCTGCTCAAATGTCCTAAAAAAATGAGTCATCTGCTTGTCTCAGCCTCGTTAATACGACTGCTGTAATTGGTTTTTATTCCCTGTAGCATGGTCGCAATGGCGGGTTTTAACTTAATTACATTTCTGCATTGTTAGTTGACGCCTGAGGTCTTTGGCGATGTGGGGCGTCTGTAAATGTTTATTTGACACCTGTGTTGGCTTTTATTTCTCAACAGAAAACTAGATTAGTGAGGCAAATTGACGAACAAACAAAAATACGTAAGCAGAAAATACTAAAAGTTTAAAATGAGTAATAAAAGCGATTTGGAAATCGGTATCAATTTCCCATGATTTCTTCTGTGTATATGTTTTTTTTGTGTTTCAGTGTACCTTCATCATGAAACGACACAGTGCTTCGTAAAGCAATCGCGCGATTTTGTTTTGTTAACGTCTGAGCGAGTTGAGGTGAGTTTGGCTACCAAACCCTAGAGTCCTCCGCAAGTTAAGACTAGTTCCCATTTCCATGATCACCTGGCATCGTTACGATCGCTATAAAAAGTCACGCAAACGTAACGAAAGGAGAGGTCATGTGGACACCAACCTTAAATTAGGACTGAAATCAAAGCTCTCTTCAGTTTCTTTCCTTTTCCTCTCCTCCATGACGTCACAAGCTGGGCTCTCTATATATTAACTTATCATTGTCTATGACATCACCCCCGCGGTGGAGCCACACGAACCACCATGATGCCGCGTCGGCTAAGAACCGCTATTCTGTACAAAAGTGAGTCGAAAGGAAAATGCCGACTCAGGGTCGAGATCCATTTGTTTTTTTATCTTATTTAATGTTTTATCCTAACCAGTATGTGAAACCAAAAGACCCCGACTCCGATTTCGAGTCGTCGTTTTACTGACTTTCAACGTAATGTCTTGTGTGCGTGCAGTTGAATTCTTGCGTCCCTTCTTGCTGCAGTTACCGTCAACTGTAACTCGCGACTTGTTCTAAACAAGTCTTATCATCGTTTGTAACTTTATGTACAGTAATACGGACACTGAGGGGACCATAGAAAGTGTCCGTATTGGGACAAAACCTCCGTGGGAACTCCTTGGAATTCTTGGCGGAGGTGTGCCACCCAGTTCTCCAACTCCTGACCCTATTTCACACTTGAAAAAGTCATGTTTACACCCGTTCTCAGACCTGTCCTCTAAGAAATTATGTCATCATTACTCAGATTAGAACGCCAACAGGAAAGATTTCTTAAAATCCATTTCGAATTCGCATATTTCTCTTTCTTCCCTACTCATTTGAAATGATAAATACTTTCGTACACTCCTGTAGTTTCCTTGAAATCCATACCGTTTCCAGACCAAAATGGGCAGAGTCTCAACCCGTTTTCAGACCAAAACGGCGCAAAAACCATACCCTTTGCGGCGGAACATACCCCTATGGCTTATATAAGGGAGTACCCCCCGGGGGGGGGGGCAGAACAAACTGTCCATAATAATGAGGTGTCCGTAACTTGACATTGGTGCACGTTCTGAAGCAATCAGAAGCACTACCCAGATCTGGGTAGTGACACGTCATCAGTATGGAATTTCTGCACTGTGTTCGTTTCTCAGACGTCATTTCGCGGGAAAACCGGAGGAGGCGTTGCGAAATGTCGGCTGTTTTCTCAGTCACGTAACAGCTCTCCTAACCCTAAAAGCCAATTGGTTCGATACCCTAACCTTGAAACAATGGGAAATCATGATAAACAATAGGGCCATTTATACGAGGAAAAATAAGACGCGTCTTACATAAGACGCGAACTTTCGGTATAAACGGCACATTTCGTCTAAAATAAGACGTGGCTTAGCTAAGACGCGTCTTATTAGATAAGACATGCTCGTATAAATGGTACAGTTCGCGTCTTATTTTAGAAGCGTCTTATGTAAGACGCGTCTTATTTTTCCTCGTATAAATGGCCCTAATGATGTTATTGTTTTCTGCGACCAATGAGGACACGCCTTACGAGCAGCTCCTACATTACTGGTTTTCTCAGGCTAGTAAAGATATCAAGATTATTTTTAATGACCGTACTTATATTCTTGTTGTAGCCTGAGAGATACGTATTGGCGGCGCTGTCAGTTGATATCCCGGAGCTGCCACCAACCAAGGATATTACCAGAGGCAAGGTAATGTGCTCCCCATTGTAAAAGTTTAGAGAATTGTAGTATTTCTCACTCGTCTTGCGAAAGGGGTATCGTCGCTTTCTTACAGATCTCGTTTTTTGATCGGCAGTCTGTTGTTTTTTTCATTTTTGTCTCTTTAAACTTTCGTCCGTAAACTTTATTTTAACTTGAATTAAAGGGTAGGTGTGTGACTAGCTTATGTCTCTTAGCGGAAATTACAAGAATTAGTATAGGTAATAGCATGATTTGTAGTGATATTTGGCATAAATACACGAGTGATATTTCAAAATTGTTATACGTAATTTCACGAGCCGTTAGGCGAGTGAAATTTGAGACAATTTTGAAATATTACGAGTGGTATTTATGCCAAATATCACGTACAAATCGCGATACAAATCATGCTTTTATTTGTTTATACTACTACCCACAAAAGGTTTGTAATTTTCACATGTAGGTATTTCAAATTAAGTTGAAATACCACTGCTCTAAGCCAATCAAATTGCAGAAATTTCTCATGTAGTAGTAAAAAAAAAAATTAAATCTTTATCGAACACTAAAATTCTCTAGGCCAAGTATCTTCTATTTAAATTCACGTCTTGAAATTGGGTACAGAATATATAGTTTTGCCGATAAATATCTAAAAGAATGAAGTCCATAAAAAGTAGTGTTCGTGACTTCGGAAAGGATAAGTAATGCTATCCACGAAGGTTTTAAACTGTAGATCGGAGGAGTTGTCCTTAGCCTCATCAGCGTTTCAGAGTGTGTCTCTTCCTTTGTAATGCCAGAGCATTGTGATATCTTTTTTTAAAGATTTTATCTTTTTTTTTCCACCAAACTTTTTTAAAGATTTTCTCCAGTGGCTGGATAATTGAGCCCGTGCTACAAAATGGTCAGCTGTATTCAATGGTGTCTTATCTTTCGCAGGTAATTTTAAGTTATATGGGAAAATAGTGTATCTCGTCGGGCGGGCTTTTAAAGGACGTTTTTTAACTTGGTGGAAGCTGTGATACAATTATAATAAGAAGAACTTTTGTTATAATGTGGCAGGGCTTACTAATTACGAGAACAAAGAAATATTAGAGGAAGTAGAAAGTGCGATCAACTAGGTTTAGCATTAGGCAGAAAAAACGAAGAGCGTTAAGTAAGAAAATACGCGACGTTTTCTCGCCTTTACCATCCTCCTCCTCCTCCTCCTCCTTTGCTGTTTTGGTTGACAAGTGCACCACATCCAGAGCGAGTTGCAGTGCCCATTATGCACCGTATTTACTGATTAAGCACCGCCCTCAAATAAACGCCTCAGGTGGAAGCAAAATTACCAATAAACGCGGCACTCAAACAGGAAAATAATTTAAGGCCTTCATTCCATGATTGTGAGAAAAGAAAGTCCGGCACAACTTGGTAATCTACACCATCCAGACAATTACGATTCTATCTCAGCAAAAATACAAGAGGTTAGAACTCAAAACATCTGTCCTTTTATTGACACATGATTTATCGTAATTGTTGTCAGTAGTTCAGAAGTGTTATTTTTAAATAAAAAGGGCCCTTGACTAAACGCCGCCCTTGAATTAAAGCTGCCGCTGCGTTTAATCGAATGTACGTTTACCCAACATGGCGACTCTGCGATCGAAAGTGACGGCTCCATCATTTTTAAAGGGAAAAATTAGACGCACTTGGTACATCAACACGATGTCTCCATTATCAGGTTTTTAAGGTAATCTGTGTGTGCTTTACTTTGCTTTCCGCAGGTTGATTTTGGGGGTGCTCTTCCCGTCAGACTGGTTAACCTAATCGCTCGCCGCCAGCCTCTGTGTATTGCATACCTCAGAACATACTTAGAGAAATTGGAAAACAATGAAAGCCCATGATCAGCACGCCGGTAACGCTTTGGCCGTTGTTGTTTTCCTGGATGCTCAGTACAGCTTATCATTGCTGAAGTGGTCTCCAGTATGGAGTTAGCTATAATCCTAGTCAATTTAGCAGTGATGTCATAGGCAGGCAATGAACCAATCAAAATCCAGTCAAGTGCATGAAGCTGAGGAAAATCGCGGGAAAACGCATGCGGCCAAGTCATGCTGATTATTTAAGGACGTACCCAGTCTTTTTCCGAGAGGGGGTTCAAGAAATGGTACTACCCTGTGATGCTGCAGATGCCTGGAAGGTTGAAGAAAACTATAGAGCAGCCTGGCACAGCAACATTTTCCGGTATTGACATTTGAAAAGTCAAATGAATAGAGCCATTTCTGCAGAAAGAGAAAAGGAGGATTCCAGGACCCCTTGAACCCTCTCCCTGGGTACAACCCTGTTATAGTTAATTTTAATAAAACAAATAACTCGGAAGACTCTCTTCTTCGCAGAGGCTAGCCCGCGTAGGTGGCGGGATTAGCGGGCGAGTGCTGTTTTTTTGGCCGCCGCGTGAAGATTGGGAGGTACGTACCCCGGCATAATAATCCCTCCGCTGGGTTCTGGGTATTCCAATTCACCACTTGAGAAACGAGGAGGAACCTGGAGCCGAAATGCGCCCCGCAATTGTTTCTGAGGGCATTACTGGGGAGTTTAATATACCTCGACGGCCAGGAAAACGTCGCTTAAAAGGTGAATTTGCGTTCTTTCAATCTCTATCGCGAACCATATTCAAGTTCAGAAAGAGAACGAAAATTTAGCCGTCGCTTGTTTATGTCCTCCACAAAATGTGAAATTAGTCATTTTTCCGTCGTGGTCGTACAGTAACGGCAAAGAAACGTACAGAAGAGAGTGATGCACTTGCAGACTATTGTTTTTTTTTTTGACGTTCTCGTTATCGTCCCCGTCGTGGCATTGGCCATTTTTTCCCCTGTCCTTTGTAACAGTCCCAGAAGCCTTTGCGAAAGTCAACTCGAACCAGTCTTTTTCCCATTTCTAAATTATTCAATGAAATAAAAGTAGCCTCCCTGTAACAAAAAGAGGCCTCTGCGGAGAGGTCAGAGGTCACCACAAAAAATCTTTAAAAATGATTCTAGTACTTGCTATATTTGGCAGTTCTATTGTGAGTAGCTGCAAGAGATCAGGGAAACAAGTTTAATTCACATATATTTCTGAATGCAAAAGTAAAAAAAAAGTAGAAAACAAAAGTTGTTGAACCACGAATAGGATAGTAATCAGTGTCGAATCAATAATGTAGCCTCTTGGAAGAAATGAAGTTTTAAAATAGAAAATTTAATATTAGTAATGGCGAAACAGATAAGTTCAATCAAATTGAGATTTTATATTTATGCTCTTATACAAGAGAGAATTAACAACCAATGTAGCTGATATTAGATATGCAAGGTATTAAAAGAGTTGTTACTTGTTTGTATACAATAGAATGGTTTCACTATTGTTAAACATGATTTACCCTATATTTCATCATCCCTACCTCTGTCTCACCTCCCCAAGCACACACATGCCTAAAGTTCCAAAGTTGGTGCATGCGCAAGAAAGCAAAATTTCTCTTCTCTTCTCTTCTTTTGCTTTTTTCAAAAGTCCTGGTAACTTTTTAAGGGTAAAGGCTACATTTTACAGTCAAACCAAGTCACGCGTACCCCCCAAGATTCTATCAGTGAATTGATTATTTGAAAAATGAATCCGTTAGTCGTTCCCGTAACTGGTGTCAAATTCAAAGCGGCATTTCTGCAAGCGTAATGAGCAGTGAGTATTTTACGAGAACTTCTCTGCATTTGGTCAGATTGGAAATCTTTGAATGGATTAAGCTTCTTAGAAGACATTTACATCAATTTCAGGAAAATGGAGCTGGTAGAAATTTAATAACTGCCCCGTGTGTGAATTCACGGCTCTTTACACATACAAGAATGCAGAGATCAATCTGAAATCTACAACTAGCAACGGATTCAACTTTTGAATAATAAATTCATTAATGGATTCTTGGGGGGTACGCTTGACCGGGTTTGACTGTAAAATCAACATCCAATATAAAGAACAACCCTAACCAGTCTATGTTTGTTTTGTTTTTGTTTGCCTGGTTTTTTTAACCATATATATTTTTTTACCTATTGACTGGATTCAATGGAGTCATACTGCTGCTGCGTTACAGCTCCACAAGGTATTGCGATAATCGTATTCCTAGTTAACTAATAGTTTTATAGCTTGCACAGGTCCCCTCACGCATAGCTATAACTGACAAAGACTAACCGGCACCAGCGCCTATTTCCCTTTCGTAAACAGTTGTTGCCATCACAGCCATTTTTAATGGTCCGATGCCACCATTGGTAACCAAGCCTTTAGTCATGATGGGTGTAATATATTCCCTGGATTAAGTTACAATAAGGCAAATAATACGTTTTTGAATAGTCTTAGAAAGAACGAAGTTGAAGCCCAAGTTGAATTTACGTTACAAAATTATGGAAAGCGCTAGGGTCACCTGTTATTGATGTAACAATTAAGAAAGGCAAATTGCTAGTGTATGTACTTAATTTTTTCTGAATTTTGGTACGTTGGTGTGGTAATGTGGTAGTAAGGAAGAGATTAGGATACGAAAGGTCCGGGTTCGAGGTCCAGGTTCGACCCTGGGTTGCGATTTTCTTTCTTTTTTACTGAATACAAATGATGTCAATAACAGGTCAAAAAATGGCACTTACTGTTAACGAAAGGGACAACTGCCGGGCCAGCCAAAGATTTTCAAAGCCAAACCAGGGACTTTCAAAACAACACGCCCTTCCCCTCATGCTCAAGAAACTATCCCATCCCCAACCCAACCCCCCCCCCGCCTCCCGGGCCAAATTGGGTTGTTAATTTGCCTTCGGGGTTAACAAATGGTAGTGCATGTTGTAAGCAGAATTAAGGCCCTGCCTATTTGGATCTTCTGCAAAACTCTCCACCTCCAATTCTTTCATTATAAAGTCTTCTCCATAAATTTCTTTTCTGAGCTCTTCGGAGATGCTGGCAGGTGGTTTGTTCCCGCGGTCAAGTTCATAGTGGTGGCTCTCCAACATGTACCTTCCATCGGCGGCTAGAAGGGATCGCATGTGTTTCGTGTACTTTTTGCCTCCATTACCAACTGCAGGCTGCATTGCGACTAAAGAAGCACGATCCCATATCGCATCGAATTCTCCACCGACAGCGTCCACTGTGAGAGCAAATAAATCGCAGCAAAAAATTGTTATTTGCTTCTCCACGCATTTGTATACGTCGATTGGATCGGTTGCTGCGACGATTTTAACTTTTTCCAGCTTGAAAGTCAGCTTGTTCTCTTGAAAGAAATCCTCGACTGCCTGCTTGGCTAACTCTACACCCACTACATTGTGGCCTTGATCCGCTAACCACAACATATCCAGACTTTTTCCGCACAATGGAACGAACACTCGCAAGCTGGATCGCCCTTGAGTCAGCTCATCGGCGTACTTGATGAGAAACCTATTCACGGTGTCTTTGTGCCATCCTATTTGATTATCCTCCCAACGCTTCAACCAATACTCAGGTGTTGTTGTCTCCACTTCTTCAGACATCATTTAGGCAAGATTTTTAGTTTTTCACAAAACAGATTCGAGAGAAAAACGAGAGAATGCTATAATGTGCATGCACGGCCGGCCGGCGACCTCCACTATAAATGTTTTATATAATACATCACAAACTGTCCATCCACACTTCCCCAGTCCCTTCCTATCAACGAGAGACAGAGCTCCTCGCGCAAAAAAAAAAAACAGGAAAATAAAAAAGGAGATAAGAAGAAGATTCTGATATAATTTTATTGCTAATTTTGACACCTAAATAACGATTACTGAAATTCTCATGTAAACCCTCATAAAATAAAATCTGTGTTACAACGATTCTCATTTGAGTTTGGGGTTCCTGTGCATGCCGTCAAAAGACGTTGGGAAGGGCGTAACATGGTAAGTGTTTTAACAAACAAGGGGGAATAGGGGGATTCCAGGACCCCTTGAGCCCCCTCCCTGGGAACGACCCTGTTATAGTTAATTTTAATAAAACAAATAACTTAAAAGTCTCTCTTCTTCGCAGAGGCTAGCCCGAGTAGCTGGCGGGGAGTAGCGGGCGAGTGCTTTTTTTTTTGTCCGCCGCGTGAAGATTGGGAGGTACGTACTCCCAGCATAACAATCCCCCCGCTGGCTTCTGGGTATTCCAATTCACGCCTTGAGAAACGAGGAGGAACCTGGAGCCGAAATGCGCCCCGCAATTGTTTCTGAGGGCATTGGGGATGAGCTGGTCAACTATTGGGGAGTGTAACATACCTCGACGGCCACGAAAACGTCGCTTGAAAAGTGAATTTGCGTTCTTTCAATCTCTTTGTCAAATACAAGCGAACTCTTTTTGCGCCATATTCCTAAGGACCATATTCAAGTTCAGAAAGAGAACGAAAATTTAGCCGTTGCTTGTTTACGTCCTCCATAAAATGTGAAATTACGCATTTTTCCGTCGTAGTCATACAGTAACGGGAAAAAATATATATAGAAAAGCTGGATGCACTTGCAGACTATTGTTTTTTTGGCGATCTCGTTATCGTCCCCGTCGTGGCATTGGCTAATTTTTCCCTGTCCTTTGTAACAGTCCCAGAAGCCTTTGCGATAGTTAACTCGACCCAGTCTTTTTCTCATTTCTAAATTGTCCAATGAAATTGAAGTAATAAAAGTAGCCTCCCTGTAACAAAAAGAGGCCTCCGCGGAGAGGTCAGAGGTCACCACAAAAAATCTTTAAAAATGATTCTACTACTTGCTATATTTGGCAGTTCTATTGTGAGTAGCTGCAAGAGATCAGGGAAACCAGTTTAATTCACATATATTTCTGAATGCAAAAGTAAAAAAAAAGGAGAAAAACAAAGCTGTTGAACCACGAATAGGATAATAATCTGTGTCAAATCAATAATGTAGCCTCTTGGAAGAAATGAAGTTTTAAAAATAGAAAATTTAATATTTGTAATGTCGAAACAGACAAGTTCAATCAAATTGAGATTTTATATTTATGCTCTTATACAAGAGAGAATCAACAACCAATGTACCTAATATTAGATATGCAAGGTATTAATAGAGTTGTTACTTGTTTGTATACAAGAGAATGGTTTTACTATTGTTCAACATGATTTACTCCCCCCCCCCCCCCCTGCCATGACCCTATATTTCATCATCCATACTTCTGTCCCATCTCCCCAAGCACACACATGCCCAAAGTTCCAAAGTTGGTGCATGCGCAAGAAAGCAAAATTTCTCTTCTCTTCTCTTCTTTTGCTTTTTTCAAAAGTCCTGGTAACTTTTTAAGGGTAAAGGCTAAATTTTAAAATCAACATCCAATATAAAGAACAACCCTCACCAGTCTATGTTTGTTTCAGGTTTTTGTTTGTTTGTTTTTTTTTTAACCATATATATTTTTTACTAATTGACTGCATTCAATGGAGTCATACTGCTGCTGCGTTACAGCTCCACAAGGTGTTGCGATAATTGTATTTCTAGTTAACTAATAGTTTTATAGCTTGTGCAGGTCCCCTCGTGCATAGCTCTAACCGAAAAAGACTAGCAGGCGCCAGCGCCTATTTCCCTTTGGCAAACAGTTGTTGCCATCATAGCCATTTTTAACGGTCTGATGCCACCATTAGTAACCAAGCCTTTGGTCATGATGGGTGTAATATATTCCCTGGATTAAGTTACAATAAGGCAAATAATACATTTTTGAATAGTCTTGGAAAGAACGAAGTTGAAGCCCAAGTTGAGTTTACGTTACAAAATTATGGAAAGGGCTAGAGTCACCTGTTATTGATGTAATAGTTAAGAAAGACAGTTTGCTAGTATATGTACTTATTTTTTTTGGAATTTTGGTACGTCGGTATGGTAATGTAGTAGTAAGGGAGAGATTAGGATACGAAAGGTCCGGGTTTGATGTCCAGGTTCGATCCTGGGTTGCGATTTTCTTTCTTTTTCAATAGAAATGATTTCAATAACAGGTCAAAAATTTTCTAAGTGTCTTAAAAATGGCAGTGACCGTTTACGAAAGGGACAACTGCGGGGCCAGCCAAAGATTTTTAAAGCCAAACCAGGGACTTTCAAAACAACGCGCCCTTCCCCTCATGCTCAAGAAACTATCCCATTCCCCACCCACCCACTGCCCCCTCCCCTCCGCCCCCCTCCCGGGCCAAATTTGGTTGTTAATTTGCCTTTGGGGTTAACAAATGGTAGTGCATGTTGAAAGCAAAACCAAATCCCTGCCTATTTGGATCTTCTGCAAAACTCTCCACCTCCAATTCTTTTATTATAAAGTCTTCTCCATAAATTGCGTTTCTGAGCTCTTCGGAAATGCTGGCAGGTGGTTTGTTCCCCCGGTCAAGTTCATAGTGGTGGCTCTCCAACATGTACCTTCCATCGGCGGCTAGAAGGGATCGCATGTGTTTCGTGTACTTTTTGCCTCCATTACCAACTGCAGGCTGCATTGCGACTAAAGAACCACGATCCCATATCGCATCGAATTCTCCACCGACAGCGTCCACTGTGAGAGCAAATAAATCGCAGCAAAAAATGGTTATTTGCTTCTCCACGCATTTGTATACGTCGATTGGATCCGTTGCTGCGACGATTTTAACTTTTTCCAGCTTGAAGGTCAGCTTGTTCTCTTGAAAGAAATCCTCGACTGCCTGCTTGGCTAACTCTACACCCACGACATTGTGGCCTTGATCCGCTAACCATAACATATCCACGGTTTTTCCGCACAATGGAACGAACACTCGCAGGTTCGACCGCCCCCGAGTCAACTCATCCGCGTATTTTATGAGAAACTTATGAACGGTGTCTGCATGCCACCCGATGTCATCATCCTTCCAGAGTTTCTCCCAATAGTCAGGTTTGGTTGTTTCCTCCTCTACAGACATCACCTTGGACAATTTGCAAATTCTTTACTTCCAATGATGCTACGTAAATAGTGGCGTGCCGATGTAGCGGTCCAAACTGTCCATTCACTGATAATCTCGTACCCAAACCTCTCGTCGAGAGCACTGTGGACTTAATTAGTGCTAGTTGGTGCTAGTCCCGGGGGTATACTCCCATACATTAACTATACGGGTATGTGCCGCCCAAAGGGGTCGTGATTTTGAAGCTCCTGGTTTAGAACGGGGTATCCATTTCAGACGCGGTTTCTAGAACGGGGTATAATATTTCGAACGCACGAAAGCTCTCCACTTTTGTAAGCAGCCATTTGAAAGCATTCAAGGACAGATTGCTTTTAAAAATACGGTTCAGTGCGTTGACAAGCAAACCGTTGTACTCTTGTTCTGTCTTGTTGCACCCTAGAACGGAGTATAAAAAATTGGCCCATTTCTAGAACGGGGTGTTAGTTTTAGGGCGAATTCTAGAACGGGGTATAAAAAATTGGCCTATTTCTAGAACGGGGTATCAATTTTAGGGGAAATTATTTCTAGAACGGGGTGCCAATTTGGAGTCCCGGGCGGCACATGTGGAGTCAATTTGGAGTCCCAGAGGGCCATGTGTTAGAAAACTCTTAACTGGGTTAATCATGTATATCTACCCTCTCAAAATAAAGAACATTGTATTGTATTGTATTGTATTGCACATACCCACCCAAAAAATACCCAAGTGCCCCCCCCGGGTGCTAGTACAGGTAAAGTTTTTCACTCGGCACGATTTTGCTTTGTCATTTTAAGTTTGGCCTCAAATCTCCAATCAACAAAATAGACTCAAGAAGTTGTCATGCATGAGCATCAGGATGGTAGATGGGCATCACATCAACATTAAATGGGACTATAGAGTATATGGATTGACATATCGGATACACAAAGTATTAACATAAAGGCACATTGTTATTTAGGAAAGAAAGAGCCAGCTTGAAATAAAAGTGATTTTCATGAAAAGCTTGATCGTTGTTAGTTTACATGCTTGTTTTTATGCCAAAAATTTTGCTCATAGACCCCCTAGGGTTGCACTCCCTAATGGCATTTCCAGGGATGTGATCTAAACAATTCCCTGGGGAAGCCCGCCCCCATACCCAGCGAGAAGCTTGCACCTTCGGCGCTCGTTTAGTTAATCGGTCAGTATTTATCCTAGATCCACGCCTGGATTTTGCTTGAAATTCATGGGATGCCTGTGACAAAGTCTATTTGAGATTTTGGTCCTTGATTCTCCATCACAAAAAACAAACCTCTCCCCCTCCCATCACCCAACCCTCCTTTCCTAAGTGGATGATAATTTGACTTTTGTGGGGAGGGGGTGTTGTTGATTAGTCTCAACAACACTCATGACACTACCTCATCTTTGGACTCTCACAGATAGATACTTGAAGTGAACCAATTAACAGAAATATTTCCTGAATAATAATAATGATAATAATATTAATTATTAATAGTAATAATAATAATAATATATCACTTTCCTATTTGTCACTGCTGAAGAGACAACATGGCCATGTTTGTTGGCGGCAATCTTGAAAAAAGGGAAACAGTGAGTCTGCACATTTGGTGGCCGCAGCAAGTCACAGGAGGCTAAAAGAATGTTATCAAACGTGACCACTAAGCCTTTGTTTTTGGATTCAGTTGGCTATCTATTGACATCTAACTTAAAAAATAACCCTGCAGCTCCAAAAAGTTTTTGGAGTTTGACTTTTCCACGAAGCTTGAGAAATCATTTGCAAATTCATGAGAGCATGAGATAGGTCACGAAATTGTAAGAATCATGACAAAGTAGTGAGACTTGACAAGTCTGGTCAAAGTTTTGGTGTTGCTCTTTCAGGCAGCCACAACCAAGGCTTCCCCATACCACACCACAAAGAAAAATGCACAGTTCTGCTAGGCAATGTACACTAAAGTGGAAAAAGCAGACTATGGTGTTGACGCTTTCTCCATAACAACACAAGATGACTGGCACTATAAGTTCCACAATAAATTTGAGTTTGAGTCTGAAACACATGAAAATGTCATTTTAACATCTCAAAGGGCCATTCTACACTGCATATTTATTATTACATGATTAGTTCTGGCTGAAATTAGCCTTTTTTAATGTATTTTTTGGGAAAAAATGGAGTAGGGATTGTGATAAAAAAAATAGACTGTTCACAGTGCCCTATTTTTTCGTGAGGTCGTTTAGATATACCGCATCTTACCGTCAAGGGTATTTTGATTTTCAAATGTACCGAGGGGGCGGGCGTCGGGGATTATACCTCTGGGGGGGGGGAGGGGCAACAAAAATAGAGGGGCTGTAATAACATCACTGCAGCTTTGCCTAGTCCCTATACGGCGTTTTCCCAGTCCCTCTCGGTCAATTCGTTTCGGTGACGTATCCGAGGTGAACGGGCAAGAAACACCTAGACAAAAACAGAATGCGCATGCGTGCATAATACTTTTTGAAATTCAAAGATGACGTTAATGTTGTGAGCAGCAACCAAGCAGGCAGCAGGAGAGTTTGGTTATTAACCACTCTTGTGGATATTTGCAGGATCGACTTTTGCCGACCGGCTTTGAAAAAGTCATCAGAATGTTATTCATAGTCCTATGAAGATATATTCTGCTCCTTCAATCTCATCATTCCAACTGAGCTATCGGAGTTTGCCGCTCACAAATTTTCGCATGGATTGATTGGTCATTAGACAATAGTTTTAATTTGCATTTTGCCAACATTGACAAGTCGACGTTTCCATAAAAGTACGCTTTCATACCATAAGGCACATCTTGCACAAACACACAAAGGATTTTTGGTATTTTGATAAGGAAAATGTTTTCTTGTGCATGTTTGCTGACTTTATTTCAAGGAATGGCCCAGGAATATTATAAAATCACTGTTTCGCAAGGAGATATTTGAAAACACACGTAATGGATGCTAAATGTGTCTGGCATGTTTTTCATCACCTGCAGAGTTTCTTAATTAATTAATTGTGAAAGGCGTGAAATTCCTGTCATGCCTCCTGAACGCGAGCTGCAGTGATGTTATTACAGTCCCTCTATTTTTCTCGCTTCCTTCCAAACCGCCCCTGCCCCCTAAGTAGTTTTGACACTCATGCAAGATGGCAGCACATAACACAAAACGCTTGATCTAAATGATCTTACAGAAAAATAGAGGACTCTGAACAGTCTATAAAAAAAGTGCAGAATTACGAATTCTTGTGCAACACAAGTGGGAATGTGGGTTCATGAACCCCACTTCCAGACGCCTGCATCCATTCTTGAAATATTAACAAGCTAAATATAAAGTGAAATTTTTAATTAGCCTTTGGAGTGAACAAATGGCAGTAATTGTCCATAGTAAAGGGCGCAGGACTATTTGGATCGTTTCCAATACTTTCAACCTCTAGTTCTTTAATGAAAAAATCTTCTCCGTAAATGTCGTTCCTTAGCTCTTTGGAAATGCTGGCAGGTGGTCTGTTTCCGCGATCAATTTCATAGTGGAGACTGTCAAGCATATACCTTCCATTAGCTGCCAGAAAAGATCGCATATGTTTCGCGTATCTTTTGCCTCGATCTCCTACTCCAGGTTGCACTGCAGATAAGGAGCCACGATCCCATATCGCATCGAATTCTCCACCAAGGTCCTCAGCTGTCAGAGTAAATAAATCGCAGCAGAAAATGGTTATTTGCCTCTCCACGCACTTGTAAACATCGATGGGATCTGTTAACGTTGCAGAGGCGATTTTAACTTTCTCCAGCTTGAAAGTCAGCTTGTTTTCGTTAAAGAACTCCTCAATTCCCTGCTTTGCTAGCTCTACACCCACCACATTGTGCTGTTGGTCCGCTAACCACAAGATATCCAGACTTTTTCCGCACAATGGAACGAACACTCGAGAGCTGGATCGCCCTTGAGTCAGCTCATCGGCGTACTTGATGAGAAACCTATTCACGGTGTCTTTGTGCCATCCTATTTGATTATCCTCCCAACGCTTCAACCAATACTCAGGTGTTGTTGTCTCCACTTCTTCAGACATCATTGAGGCAAGATTTTTAGTTTTTCACATGACAAATTCGAGAGAAAAACAAGAGAATGCTTTCACGTGCATTCACGGCCGGCCGACGACCTCTACTATAAACATTTTATATAATATATCACAAACTGTCCATCCACACTTCCCCAGTCCCTTCCGATTCTCCTCGCGCAAAAAAATACAGGAAAAATAAAACAAGGACACAAGAAGAAGATTCTGATATAATTTTGTTGCTAATTTTGACACCTAAATAACAATTTCTGAAATTCCCATATAAATGAAATCTCTGTCACGTGGACAACGATTCGCACTTTTGAGTTTGGGGTTCCTCTGCCGTCAAAAGACGTTGGGAAGGGCGTAACATGATAAGCGTTTTAATAAAGGTGACGAGTATTGTGTATAAAAAACTCGCGGCTCATTCCGCTCCTACATTTAAGACGTGTAATTTATAGAAATAGTCGAACCCTCTGTTAGTGAGCTCCCAAAATGGGAAGATAAGTTAATTTAGTGACCGGCTAGTGACCCGGGGCGGTACTTTAGGAATTTCTGGGTGGGGATGTGCCGCTGGTACCCTGGAACCCTTAACCTATACCAGAGCTAGTTCAGCTGAATTTTGCTACCGTGTACTAGAGTAAACTCCCCAAATCCCCCCTGTCCTATAGAAGCTGTTTTCCAGAAACTACCGAGGTCACTAGCACAGTGGTCTAGCCAAAACAAAACCTTATACCACAATCCCTAGTCAACCAACTGATCAGTTTCCTTAAAAATGATGCCCTATTCTAGACCCAAACGCTCTGATTCATATACCCTATCCTAGAGTAAACTGCTTGAAAACCATACCCTTCACAGGGCACATACCTATATAGCCCATATATGGCAGTTTCCCCCCCTCCCTCCCGGGTTTAGTGATCACTAGCCTGAGGTGGTCTCTACTATCGCGAACCATGGACAAAGGTTCTTTTCCCAGAAGAAGTCGAGACACATATCACATATTCCTTTTTCGCGGAGAGTTTATTACATCACAATCACATAGCTGGCTCCTGACTGCACGTAACTTTTAAGTTACGTATTGGTGTAGTTCCACGTTGTTATAATGAAAGCTGTTCAAATACTGAATGGTATAGTACAGTCAGGTAAAAAAGTGGTCGTGGTTGCTTATTTATGATAGGTGGTCGATTACGAGAGGTCTCTATTAATTACAGCGGAGCTCCACGCGAGCGCGAAGCGCGCTTGAGAAGAGCCCCATCCCTAATAAAATTTGGTAATCCATCCATTCGAGAAATTTTGGTAATCAAGTGACCGTACGCCCGTCCAACCGAAAGTCCGCCCTCACCACAGGCATACCAATGTAAAATAACTCAATTAACAGGTATGACACCACAGCTAACTCGGAGTGTTCTTGGCGGGAAATCGCATGGCCAGCCGGGCTTTTAGAGGAAAAAAACAACAACAAAGTCGAGTCTTTTTCGACATCATTTCTAATGTCTACACTAACGTGCATAACAAAGAAAGAGCTAGAACGAGTGATTAAAATCAAAGAAGACGAATTTCATTTCGAAGCTTGGTATACTGATTCCGATAAGCAAAGTGTCACCAGAGGATATATAAGAACCTCATAAAGCCTGCTAAAATTTAGCCTCCCCGCAGACGTCCTTTGGGGTTCGTTCGGTCACGCATTCACTTCTCCCCCACGTACTTGGGGAGTAAATAAAATCCAAAAAATTAAAAAAAAATTCAACAAGTCGCCCCTGCATATAAGGGCTTAGTTAGTTTTAGGTTTCAGGAGATGGTAGTGCAAGCTATATTCAAAAGCAAACGATGACCTTTTTGGATCTTTTGCAAATTTCTCTACATCTAGTTCCTTGATAATGAAGTGATCTCCATAAATTTCCTTCATTAACTCCTCAGGAATGCAAGCAGGTGGTAAGCCACCACAGTCCACGTTGTATCGATGACTTTCCACCATGTAGCCTCCATTATCGGTCAGAAAAGAGCGCATATGCTTCGTGTATCTTTTGCCTCGGTCTCCTACTTGAGGCAGTACTGCAGATAAGGATGAACGGTCCCATATCGCATCAAATTTTCCACCAACGTCCTCCACCGTGAGAGCAAATAAATCGCAGCAAAAAATGGTTATTTGTTTCTCCTCGCACTTGTATACATCGATTTGCTCACATGCAGCAGCCAATTTAACTTTAAAAAGCTTACTAAAAGTCAAGTTGTTTTCTTCAAAAAAGCTTTCGATGGGATGCTTTACAAAGTCTACTCCAACAACATGGTGCCCTTGGTCCGCTAACCACAACATATCTAGAGATTTCCCGCACAATGGAACGAACACTCTCAAGTTCGACCTGTAATCAGTCAGCTCATCAACATATTTGACAAGGAACTTGTGCACTGCGTCTCTTTGCCATCCGATTTCATTTTGACTCCAACGTTTCTGCCAATATTTAGCTGTTATCGTTTCAAGTTTATCGTTAGACATCTTGAAGCCTTCTTTTAGTGCATTGGCGACGTCAAAATGTCATGAAGAACTGTGCAAAAGAGAAGGTCAGTGTGAGCAGGTATTTTAGGAGTGGAGAGGGCAGAGATTCTTTCTGTTTTTCAATACACTGTAGAGTGTTCACTCACAGTGGCAGATCCAGGGAAAGGCACGGGGGCGCCGGGCCTCCCCTTATTTTACGACCAAACGGAGGCCCGAAGGGCCAAAAAATTATTTTTGGAGACCGCCCCCCTCCCCCCTTCTTATCTAAGGGTCTGGATGACCGGCCCCCCCACTTATCTCAAGATCTGGATCCGGCAATGACTCACGTGACCAAAAGAAAGCGATTATGTTGTAGTTATTTTTGATTTCAGTTAGTTTTTATTTTTCCTTTGTTTTTTTTGAATTTGAAACAAAAGAAAAACAAAAATTAACTGAAATAAATAGTTAACTACAACATATACCAATCGTCTAGATGATGAGTGGGCCGGCTGCGACCGGGGGGAGGGGTACTCCTTTATATAAGCCATATAGGTATGTACCGCCTTAAAGGGTAGGGTTTTTGTGCCGTTTTGGTCTGAAAACGGGTATAGAGTTTGTCCATTTTGATCTGGAATCGAGTATGGTTTACGAAGGAACTACGATTGTGTATCAATGTATTCGTCGTTTCAATTCGAAATGAATAAAAAGGAAAGTGTAATATGCGAATTTGAAATGGATTTTAAGAAATCTTTATGTTACGGTTTTAATCTTAGCAATGATGACATAATTTCTGTCTTAGTCTTATATAAACATGTAATGTTGCGTTTTGTGACCACCTCCAGCTGTGAAAACGGGGATGGATTGTAGAGGCCACGTCTGAAAACCGGCTTGAAAAATGACATTTTAATGGTCTGAAATAGAGTCAAGATTTGGAGAACCTGGCGGCACACCTCCACCTAGAATTCCCAGGAGTATCCCCGGGGCGGGGGGGCTGCATAGTGAAGAGGCTAGACTATAGCAAACCTGGTAGCTAATCAAAACGCAGAATTCGCTTCATCGTGCCCGCTCTCCGAGCCAGCCGGTTTTCACTTGATGTCATCAAACTTGTAGGTAAAGATTATAAATTCTTTTGCTGAAGTTATAAGCGTTTAAGAGGCGGTCCGTGTAAGAACCGACCACTCGAATTTCCGTGGGAAACCGAATTCCTTCATTTTTTTTCTGCAACATAATTAGCCCATTCCATTAACAAATATCGAATTTGTTTGGCTCATAGTGCTTTTTTAAAAAAAAATTGGGCGGCGATTCGCCTGGACGGTCCAAAGCTGTCATGATCGTCTTTTTTAAGGTCAAATTTAAGCGTTTTGTTCAAGGCTCGCAAAAATTTCGCATTTATCCAAATAGCATAAAACAAAAGTATGATTTTAATTCATGCTTCCTTTATTCAAACAAGGTAAAATATTTAAATTCTGACCCCCCAAAAAAGGAATTATGATGTTTTTGAAAATACCACGTAAAGCGTCCTTGAAAAAAATGCGCGGTTATCCTAGTTTTGAAATGAGCTTTTTTTAAAAGTCTGACGTTATCTGGAGTCTTGGTCACGATCCCTGTTCAGTAATAGGGCTAGTGTATCGAAATCAAGAAAAACATTTTTGGGCACTGTTGATTCCGAAGCACAAGAGTTCGATAAAGTTGGGTAACAATCTACTGTAATTGTGCGTATGACGTAATTTACGCATTTTCTTGATTCCGAACTTTCCTACTATAAAACTAAAAATCATTACTGTCAGGGAGCAACTATTTTCAAAACTAACTTAATGCTGGGGACAAACAGTGAATATCTTAAAATCCACTACATATTGTCCTAAATTAAAATTGGGATGTTCCAAAAAAACGTAGCAGCTCCGGTGAATGTTGCTATGTCAAGTGGTGGCTAAACAGTTAAGAAATTTCGTTGAAATAAAGGAGCTAGAACGGTAAAAAAATTTAAAACACATTGTGAATAGATTCACCGTGTAATTACCACCTCAAAAGTTATGACACGATCCAGCAAAGAAATAGTTTACCAAAATGTACCAAATTTTCTAGCCACAAGTTTTTGCGTGCAGACGACATCATTTACATTGTGTCTGAGGATGTCAATTTCAGACTTCAGTTTGCAGTGCAAAACATGTTGGATGTTATTTTATCGAAGCTGAAACTACTTATCAGGCTTAACGAGGTAAAATAAACAAGGTACAAAAAAACTGGCTACTTTTAAGAATAAAAATGTTTTGCTGGTTTACTAAAAATTTCTTCAAGTTTTTAATTCAATTTAAGTTAATTTTTCTGGCGTCGTTCACTTAATTTAATATCGTATGCAAATTTGCAACACAAAACGTAGAGCGTATTTACAGTGTGCCGAGATAACCTTCGCAGATAGAATGGCTGCATTTTGTTCTTTTTCCGCAGTAACAGGCGGAAAATGCGGAAGTAATCGAGGATGTGTCGATTTTGTGTGCTTGAATAGTTGCAACGCTGACATTAGTTCACACCTAATGAATCACCACCTGTCAAGGGAAAATGTTTGTGAAATGGATCTGATACTGGCAAGGGCAGGTCTGTTAGAACTCACTGATGATCAGATCAAGAATATGACGGTTGGTCCAGTCCATCGTTACACTTTGGGAAAATACTGGCAAGCTCCAAAGACCTGCCAGTATCCAAAACATCACGGGAAGAAAATGGCAATAGCCGGAACACATGTTATTAATTTCAAGACTGCAAGGGAAATAAAAAATATCTTTGGAGAAGCCGTTCCCGTTGGCTCGCGTAAGTACTATCAGACTAGCAACTATAACTGTTTTATGCTTTCATTTTATAATTAACACATCACAATTAAAGGGTTTTGTCTTCCTTAACATTTCAACTAAATACTTTCGTTCGTAATTACTTAAAAGCGAGCTGTAGACTTAGGGGAAGTCCCATTCTATATATTTTCTGAACGATAAACGATCGATCCCGTATTTGATAGTATTTTGGAGCCAGAAAATCATTTCCAAAAAAATAACATATCAAATGATCATAATTTGGTTTTTATAGTTCATTACAGCAATAGTTCTTTGCTGTGCATCATCCATAAATTCGGTCGCTGATTTATAGCCTATATAACATAATTTCCAAGATGGGATATAAAGATATAGCTTCTATTATCAACTTAGTAGTAAATTCAGTATTTTTTTAACAAGTCTTTCCAGGTTGGAAAACTTTTTTTGTTTCTTTTTGTTATTATAGCTATTTGCACAACGTGCAGAAAGAAACACAGTGAAGAAGTAGATCGGAAATCAGACTGGCTATACCCTGAGGAAACTGAGGGAGATGTGCTCCTTCAAAGGTACTGTCGGGAGGGTAGTCGTTTGGTTGTTGTTTTATAAAAAAAACACACACGGTTGTCCTGTCAGGTTATCCTATCGCAAGGCAACTAAGTAGCAACCTTTCCATTTTTATTCTCCGCAGACATGCTAAAGAGGGCTGCTGTGGGAGCCATCGGTCGCATGGTCACTTCAACTCCATTTCTTGAAGACCAATCAACGCCAGCTTCCTGGAATCCGATAACACCATGCTGGACTCCAGGGTCAGAGGAGGCCTCTTTAACTTCACCCGTGGTAACCGATGCAGTCGGCAGGTATAACGAGGCGATGGATACAATTGCGAGTCTTACTACACAAGAACAAGTAGAACGCGAACCTCTTAAATATCAGCTTAAAACTCCATTCCAAAACTTAAGCGATGGGGAACAGCTGAAATTTGTAAAAAAGGCTAAAGAGGACTGCTTGCACATATGTAATGTAATTGCCCCAGGTAACGGAGAGGAGCTCTTCGAGTCAATGATGTCTGTACAAAGAGAATTATTTGATGGCGCAGTCCCCGATGATCTTGTGGTACTCATGACTGCTTATAAGAACGCAAAGACCAGGAATTTAAAGAAACAGATTCTGAGCCTTTACGCTCAAAGATACCCTATGACCAAACTGAAGAAAATTCACCAACCTTACGGAAGTCTCTCTACATGGGAAATAAAGCAAGCACGTTCTCATGCTAAAATGCACGGTCCTGGGACCATCCCTGAAATCAAGACGAAGCATCGCGTACGCCTTGATATGGGGAAGGTCGACCACTTTGTAGAGTTCATTAATAGACCGTACTTTTATCAGGATGTTTCATATGGTAACAAGGTACTCACCCTAGATAATGGTGACAGAATTGAGATGCCTAACGTTGTAAGGATCCTGACCAGGTCTACAATGATTGAGCAATACTTGGAGTATTGCAAAGAGCAATGTCACGAGCCACTTATTAGGTCTTCTCTGTTTAAAATATTGGAGGTTCGAGAAGCGTCTCAGCGTAAATCGCTCCAGGGATTGGACAATACGGCTGCAGATGGTGCTGCGGGCTTTCAGACTATTGAGACGCTGGTTGAAACTCTTGAGAAGGGAGGAATGGAGAAACAGCGGTGTTTACGTATTTGCCAAAACCTACGCGATGCTAAACGCTATCTCAAAACTGACTACCGTGTACACTGTCAACAGCATTACTCTACTTGTGCTGACCACTGTAGAAAGTTTGCGCTTAGTGATCCTGTTGATCCCGAGCTCCAGCATCCTTGTCCGCATCAGCATCAATCGACTTGCGAGCAATGCCAAGGGCTGAAGGATGTTCTAAAGGAAGTGAGACTAGCGATTGAAGGGTCGTCATGGAAGCCTTACAGTTGCGAACAACGAGAAGATGTCCTTTACGACTTTGACCGTGCACAGTCAGACATCTTGCTGTGGAAAGCGCACATTGTACGCTCAATAAATCAGGAGGAGGCGAAACCGGATGCACTGAAATCAGAAGACCCACGGTCAGCCATTCTGATCATGGACTGGGCCATGAAGTTCCTCCAAATAAAATTTCGTGAGAAACAGTCTGAATGGTTCGGCAAACGGGGGCTCAGCTGGCATATTTCCACCTTTATAACTAAGAATGTTGACTCTGGAAAAATTGAGCTGCAATCGTATGCTCATATCTTCGACTCTTGCCAGCAAGACTGGTACGCAGTATGCACGATCATCGAAAACACACTTGAGGTTGTAAAGAAAGAACATCCCCAGATTACCCAAGTGAACCTAGGGAGTGACGAAGCAGGCTGTTACCACAATAACTTTCTCTTAGCCGCCGTTAGAGATGCCGGAAGACGAGTAGGCATTGAAGTAGCACGGTATGACTTTTCCGAGCCGCAGTATGGAAAAGATATCTGTGATAGAATCCTTTGCCCAATGAAAGAATCCATCCGACGATATTGCAATGAAGGACACGATGTCGTTTCTGCGAAAGACATGCGTGTAGCGCTTTCAGAACGTCCTGTTCAAGGTACAACTGCCTCCGTGTGCGCAATGAATGAGACTCAAAAGACACTCGAAGTACATAAGATAGAAGGTTTCAGCAAGTATCACAATTTCAAGTTTGAAGTGAAAGGAATTAGAGCATGGAGAGCTTATGGTGTTGGACTAGGCAAGTTTATTCCTTACCGAGAGGTCATAACTGAACCTCAAGGTCCTACTGGTCTCATTGTGCATGAAAACTTCTTTCCTCTCAAAGAAGCTCGAGTGTATAAGAGAGAGACAAACAGTGAAAATGAACAATGCAACGGTCTTTTCTCTTGTTCTGAGTCCGGGTGCAACATGGTTTTCAAGAAATTCAGTGAACTCGAAAATCACCTTGATGTTGGTGAGCACAGCCAAGTTCGCGGAAACTCTGATACGGTGTATGACAAGCTCAGAAGAGACTGGGCGGAGAAATTTCGTACTGTTGATAAGGACGAAGAAATCAGAAGCGTGCCTGAAGCAGTTGTAGAGGAGCATCACGAAAAGAATAAAACTGGCCGCTCTCCCGAGTGCAGTGACTTGCAGACTGGATGGGCTCTACACAAGCCCCGAAACGAAGCTGTGCGTTTTCCTACCGAGGTTAAACAGTACCTAACAACGAAATTTGATCTTGGAGAAAGAACTGGCATCAAGTCAGATCCCGCAAAAGTGGCAGCAGATATGCGAACTGCAAGAAACCCAGACAGTTCTCGGATGTTTGAGAGGAAACATTGGCTCACAAAGGGTCAAGTACAGGGATTTTTTTCGAGGCTAGCGGCCTCGCGAAGAAGCAAAGCACATCGAGAAGCGCTCAATGAAGACGTAGAGGCGGAACAGGAAGAGCAGGAAAGACGAGCCACCGTGGAAGAGGTAGCCACCCACCTTGGTCCTAAGCATCCGATCTGCTATGATTCATACTGTTTATGTGACCTTTCACACGAGAAGAAACTTGAAACATTTAGCGTTGCTATGCTCAAGGACATGTTGAAATACTTTGAAATTCCTTTTAGTTCTCGCGATAGAAAAAAAATTCTTGTAGCGAACCTATCGGAATTTCTTGAAGGCTGTGACTGTAACCAGCCACGTTAAGGCACAAACCGCTATTATAGTAACCAACAGGTTTTCCAACCTCGAGTTCAAGAAGATCGTGGAGGCAGTTATTTTTCAAACACTTGAAAAGACGTTTTAAGACCTTTATACTTTCTGAAATTCCTTTTAGTTCTCGCGATAGAAAAAAATTCTTGTAGCGAACTTATCCGAATTTCTTGAAGGCTGTGACTGTAACCAGCCGCATTAAGGCACAAACCGCTATTTAATATAGTAACCAACAGGGTTTTTCGACCTCGAGTTCAAAAAGATCGTGGAGGCAGTTATTTTTCGAAAACTTGAAAAGACGTTTTAAGACCTTTATACATTTTGAAAAGTCGAATTAGAAAAGAACATGTTTTTTTGTCAACCGTACTAAAAAGGTACATACGCGTGACAAGCTAAAAGACTGACATTCACGCGTAGCCAGCGTGACGGGAAATTAACACTGTTCAGATGATTTGAATTTCGGCTGTAATGTGCCGGGTGTTTTTAATAAAATGTGTAATTCTTTTAAACAGGACTCACTTTCGTCAAGTAATTATATGCTTAACCTGAATGAAAAGCTTTTTCTTTTTTTGTTGATCAGGAAAACCTACGACCAATTTAATTGAATGAAATTTTGTAAACGGCTTTTAGAAGTAAACTTAGACGACTGACAACTTACCCCGGAATCGATAATTTCGACTATTAAACTTCGCAATTCCTAGTTTCGTGGAGCATTTGGTAAGTTGTTAGCTGTTCACAGTTTATCTCGAACAATAAAGGCCACTTTTAAATACATTTCCTCTCTCGGTTTGATTTTCTGTGGGAAAGTTCGGAATCACCAAAATGCGTAAATTACGTCATACGCACAATTACAGTAAAATATTACCCAACTTTATCGAACTCTTGTGCTTCGGAATCAACAGTGCCCAAAAATGTTTTTCTTGATTTCGATACACTAGCCCTATTACTGAACAGGGAGGGTGACCAAGACTCCAGATAACGTCAGACTTTTGAAAAAAGCTTATTTTAAAACTAGGATAACCGCGCATTTTTTTCAAGGACGCTTTACGTGGTATTTTCAAAACATCATAACTCGTTTTTTTAAAGTCAGAATTTAAATATTTTGCCTTTTTTGAATAAAGGAAGCATGAATTAAAATCACACTTTTGTTTTATGCTATTTTGATAAATGCGAAATTTTTGCGAGCTTTGAACAAAACGCTAAATTTGACCTTCAAAAAGACGATCATGACAGCTTTGGACCGTCCAGGCAAATCGCCGCCCAAATTTTTTTAAAAAAGCACTATGAGCCAAACAAATTCGATTTTTGTTAATGGAATGGGCTAATTATGTTGCAGAAAAAAAATGAAGGAATTCTGTTTTCCGCGGAAATTCGAGTGGTCGGTTCTTACACGGACCGCCTCTTAAGTGCAAAGGGGCATTTAAAGTTGTCATTTTGCAATCCAAACAGTCTATGTATAGAATGGGCATCACTTTAATCTTAAGATCTCGAGAGATCAGCTGAGAGATGAAATCGTGCTTTTGTGGCAAAACTCAGTGACAGATATTGAAGGATATGGGAAGTCACGGACGAACGGCAAGCGACCTAGAATTATGACCAGCAGCACTGTTGCGGAACGTTCGAAATAAAATAGTATAAGGATTCGAATGGGAGAAAAACTCGGATTGTATTTGTAGCCTACGAATGAGAAAGCATTTAAATAAGTTGTGTGTTTCTACTTTCCTGTAAGGTTCCCGAGCCGATTTATGGCCATTATTGGAACCTGTTTATTCTCAAACCTGCTCCAACAAAATCCATAAAATGGCCATGAATCGGTTGGGATAAAACACAAAAGGGAAGCACACAACCCAAACCCAAGTGAGGCGGCTTCAATCACCATACAAATCCTAAAACAGCTAACTCCCGATAACTCAAACCCTCGCTAACTCGAACCTTGCGCTAACTCGAACCAAGTCGATTTCCCCTGGATTTCCTTCATACTGCAATTTTACCGTCGGTAACTCAAACCTTTGACAACTCGAACCTCCCTCTAGTACTCGAAGTAACTTTTGTTTCCCTTTAGATCATTTCTATATATTTTTTGCCTCAATTAATACGGCTCGACCATTCTGTAATCCGAAATCGCCTGACAAGTTTGAAAAAAAAAAAAACAATGTAACGGTGTCCGAAACTTTGAATTGATTTCAAAACAACCGTTTCACTTCGATTCTTTGTCTTTACCAGGAGCCCATCACCCATGATAGCTGAGTTGCATTCCCTCCCCACCCTAGCCTGTTCCAAGCGTTCAGATAGTGGAGAGCGGTGCGAAGTAAAGAAAGCGATGAAAAGTAGAGGGGGACTGGAGAGAGAGAGGTGCGGTTCCCTCTCTCACCTCTCCCCCTCCCTCGCTTTTATTTTTTCGCGCTCCTTTTTACTTCGCACCGCTCCCCACTACCTGAACGCCTGGAACAGGCTATCCCCACCCATTTGCTTTGCTTTGAGCTTCCGATAACTCGAACTCCCCATGCATGACTCGAACTTTTTTCATTTTCCCTAGACTGCAAAACAGTCCGTATTTTTGCGTAAATTAAAGAACGCGCGAGCAGTCAAACAAAAGGTCTGGAACGAGGCTGAAAACGGAGAGCGAGACTCTCGCCTCACACTCTCGCACTTCGCGCGCGTAAGACTCTTACGCCACGCTTTACCGATTGCTTTACTGATTTTGAGAAAAAAAACCGACTGTTTTGCAGTTTACGTTTTCCCTGAAAGGTTTGACACGGGAGGCGACTGTATTTTGAAGGTTACGCAACAATGCCGGTGGTTATATTTCGAGTTTAGGCCGCTTGTGGCTCAGCGTGCTCAAAAGCTTCCGGCATCGATATCTTCGACATCTTCATACAAGGTCTGATCAGCTCCATGAATTTGGATAAATTCTTTCTCTGGCATGAGTATCTCGCATATGCATATCGCACGGACCTGTCTCTTGACTTGGTTATTTGCATATTCATCTTATTTCATTTCCCAGATTCTGAACATCATCTATTGACAGCCACTGTGACAGAGCAATAATCTGTATAGTATTTCACGGTTCACCCGGCTACCTTAATTCTTGGCGGCTACTGGCCCGATTTTCTATGCATTCAAGCAGCGTAGCAGGGTCAATCTTTCTTTGTTAGTCTTACCTGTATTAAGCCTCCATCCTTGAACGTAAAAACTATAGAATGACGGGATGTGATTTCGTTTTCCGCACTTGGCAAGAGGACAATTGATAGTACCCGGCTTACATAACAGTACATTCACTGAATCATGTGATGCCGCCTGTGCGGAGCGAATACCGGGGGAGGGAGGGGTAATGCCTATGTTGTCGTTTAATTTTATCGTTGGTTTAAATTTTCTTTTCTTTTGTTTCAAAATCATTATCGTACATTACCGTACCCAAAAACAAAAGATAATAAAATTTAAACCAAGGATAAAATTAAACCACAACACCTATATTTATTAAATTCAGCCGGACAGGAGCCCATCACCTTCCATCACTATTTTTTTTTATTGCTTTTAGCTTACAAACTATCAAAAATTCCAGTAGGCAAATGCGACAGCTATACGCGTATGTTGCAAATGAATCCACCCTGTTACAAACAAATTAAAGCATGCATAGGAAGCTTTATGTTTAGAACGTACATTTATAGCTCTCTGAGTTACTTTGTTAGACAGGAATGTACACCGCGCGCGCTATTGTACAATTAACTCGAAGCTTTAAGATGCGAATCACATTTAATTAAATCACTTAACATTTAATTATGGAGTTATGGACAGTTTAGATTAAAATGCTATGATAATTACTGTTTCGCTTTGTGGAGAGTAATGTAAGTGCTTTACCGAAAAATAAAACATGTTTTGGCTGTAGAATGAAGAAGACATTCGACCCGTAGCCAATAAGATTTTTAAGTTACTTTCTACACGACTAGAAAGTGCGGTTCTCTGCTGCGAAAACACAAAGAAGAAGAAACAAACTTTAAATATTCAGACTGCATGAATACTCTGCATCACAAAAGCGATGCATTCTATAAGAACGACAAAGGCAGCAGCGCGCAACAAAAAATTAACAACTTATTTTATGCCCAAATTGTGCATAAAATGAATCAGCACTTTACTTAAGTCCATTCTATGGACAAACAAACCAGCATCAAACGCGCTTCGTGCGATGGTGTCATTTAGGCATGCAGTACTGCAAAGAAAAGTTGTCATTTCGCTAACGAACAGGATTGTAGGCACAGTGAGCTTAGTTCAGTGCGCACCTCAAATAATGTTCAAAGCACGTCATTACTGAAAATCACATTTAGAATATATTGTGCGTGTATATAAATTAGTCGCATGAGATTGAAAGGAGACTAAAGACCTTGGACATTATTCGTAATTTCATGATTGTTTTGTCTCAGTTAGGTGATTAACGCCTTTTGGGCGAAAATGGCTACCTTAGCAGTTACTCGTTATGTCTTCGTTATGTGTCAGTCGGGGGTCTCCTTAACCAATATCTTCAAATCGCCTTCTGTGTCACGTCGGAGGTATCGGCAAGATCCAAGAGTTTTAAATTGATCTTCCAAAGTTGGGCTTTGGGGTTTATCGCCCTCATTAGGAAATAATTTGAGAAGACTATCACGCCGAGCTTGTTCCCTTAGTTTAAGGTTCCTTGGCATTAGTGGTGACACTTTTGACGGGTTTCCATCTTCCGAACTCGGCGAAACCTGGACGGGTGTTAAGAATTGGGGACAAAGTTCCCCGCGGGAAGAAAACGACCTACTTGTTTTGCGCCTTGGAATCGGGGAGCTTCTTTGCGATTCAAATGCAATGTCATTGAAAGAACCTCTTCGAAGTACGTCTTTACCAGTAGACGAGACATTCAAGTTGTCCCAAGAAAAAGTAGATCTTCTTCTCTCCTGGCTCGGAGAACATGGTGCAGATTTGACCTCGTTTCTGATTACTGGTAACTTCAACTTATCTTCCGAAGTTTCTTCTTCTTTCGTGGGTGATCTCACATTGTTCGTTGAATTTGTCTTTGTCCTACAGGGAATCAGAACGGTCAACTTTTGCCGCAGTTTTTTAGCTTCGAACTCCATGCTCTTTGCAAACAGGTTGTGTTCATTTTGTATAGAAGCACTTATCCTCTGATTTGTTTGTCTCAGAAGCGAGTTTCTTTGAGCGCAATTTCTCTGTTTTACCGTGAGGGAGGAGTTTGACTTTTCGTTAACCTCCATTTTTTGCCTCCCTGTTTAGGTGCGCAGAGTTAGATAAAGCAAACTTGCCGAGTCAACGCCGTTAACACTCAAATTTACTTTATTATGATCTGCCGGTGCCGTAAATGCATTAAGTTCTTAACGGCTCGTAATTGGAAATTAATCATTGAGCCATTATTTAGCCTGCTTTATATTTCAGAGCTCTCTTTTGTTCCCTTGAGCTAAGAGCGCTTGTTATTGCAAAAAATAAAAGAAAGCCGTTCTGTTTACAACATTTTTCTCCGGCTTTGTCCTACCTTTTGTATTCGCCAACATGGAAAATTACAGTATCAACACTTTTGAAAGCAAATCTATAACATAGAGGCGCAGTTCATGCTTCAAATTGGTCTCAAAAAGGAATTAAAAGCCATTTATTGTCGGTGCCAATTCATTTGATTTATGAAGTTCGACGAAGTAATAAGGTGGCTTCCAAATTTTGAAGTTATTAATAGCAACAAACAAAGTAAACCGGAATAAGATGAAATTAAGCTCAATCCTTACTAATGTTTTGCGAAAACAAAGATTTTTAGTGTATTAATATGGCAGTCATACCCAAAATTAGGGACGACTGCCATTTAGTTTGTTAGGTCTCAATTACGGGTTCGTGTCATGTTATAACAAGCCTAGATCAGTACTAGCAGTGATCTGTTCAAGGTTCGGTCAAGGTTACAGGGATATATTTACATATAAAAAAGCTCGTCTCGTGATAATCCTTGAAGCGAGCTAGGAAGAAACCCGGGGAAGAACCAGTGTTGTTAATTTTTTTGGTTGATGTCACTCACTGAATATGAAAAGAATTTTCGGGCTCTTTCGTTTATTTTGAGATTAAAACCAATTCAATGAAGCATCATATATATAAATAGTGGGGTTTTTCTAGGTGAACGTTATAATTCTTTGCAAGTGCCGCAAAAGGTATTTCCTAATAAACAGTAATCATTGCTGAGTGATCAGTACAAACGTCCAAAAAGCTATTTTCAACACTAAGCCATGAATCCAAAGGCCGAAGGATCTCCCGGGAGAATCGGAGCGAACAATTTTTTTTATTTTGTCTTTGTTTCTAGAGGTTTCTTTCTTTCTTATTTGCTGAAGGTCATAAAGATCGGGAAAAAATCCCTATATAAAAGAGAATCCCTTGCAGATTAATCTTTATCTGAGCTTCTTCGACACGGCTGCTTAGAACGGCAAGCAGGGGGTACGCGCGTATTCGAACCAAGCGTTTTCAAGTCTGCCAGAACACTGAGGTTTAAGGGCAATGTTTGATCGACCTCAAACAAGTGAAGAAAATGTGTTTGAAAAGCAATTGCAAGTTTGTGAGGAAGCAAAAGCAAAAAATAGGATAGGAAACCGCGGACGAAATTAATTAAGAACAGACGAGAATTAAGTAGCGCCCGAGCGGACGATGATCGATGTTGTGTACATGTTTTCTAGAGACATTCGCTTCGCCTCTAGCTTTACCTATATCTCCACCGTTTCAGAAAAATCCTATGAGGACAGCCACAAGATGATGTATCTCATTTAGGCTAACCCTGGTGCAAAATGAGAGTCCAATAGACCGTTCAAAAAACATCAAGAGGTCGGCGGGAATAGGGATTCTGAAGGCGCGGATGCTGGCACAAGACATAAAAGGGGAACTTGCGACTGCGGACCCTTGAGGGAACATCTCTCCAATCTTGACACAAGGTCAACCAATCACAGCGTAATATCGCATCGCACACTGTGCTCCATCACCCGTCGAGGCCTTTTATCAGTCAGAAGTCGTAAATACATTATTGCAGTAACTACATTTTTGAACAGTCAGGAATGCAGAGACTCCAGATAAAAACATCGTCTGTATCGTGAGTTTATACTTGTAAAGATTCATCTCGGGATTTGCTCTTTTGCCGGTTTAACCCCAAGAGGCCCTCGTGTCACAAGTAAAAGAGCCTGGTGTTGAGTGCTGATGGGCCATAACCCTCACTTTCAGAATGTGGCGAAATGTGTGAATCTGATTGCTTGAAAACATAAAATTAGTTTATATTAGTGAAGACAACGTAACCTTGTTTTTAAAAAGGGGCTTTGCGGAAGTTCTCGAATTGAATACCATGATCACCAAAGGAACTGCGAGATAACAATTGCACTTCAGCTGTTCAGTTATAGTGACTATATTTCATGGTAAATGCTGTGGGTTGCCAAACATATCAATTGCACTAGGAAACAGTCATAATAAAACGACAAATAACTAAGGCTGGACAAGCCGCGGAAATTTCAGTATTCGCATTTAGAGCGTTTAATAGATCAATTTTGTCAACACTTAAAACTCATCATTTGTCAACAACACCAGATAAACAAACGTCTAAAATATGAGCTCTAAAACACAGGAATGTGCTGAAATTTAAAGTTATCCAAACTAAGAAGGGATTTTTCTGAGCGGCAGCCCAGTTCCAGCAAAGCTATATAATGTGACAACTAAGCAACTTTACGTAGCTAGATCAGCTAATTAACTTCCATCGAAAGATGGGTACGGAAAAGATCCAGACAGAGCATTCAATTAGCTTATTGATCTTAACAGAAAAGCGCTGATTTATCAAAAAGAGAAGGCATCTTCCTTTAATTTAAGTTCGTCGATTCTTCGGCATTCTCTTGTTCTAAACGGCTGGGTGTCCTAATATAGCGACAAGCTTTAATAGCGCGAAAGGCGTCCTGTAGATTTTGATTTATAGCCTTCCTTCTTTGCGCTTCGACGAGCAAATAGTTAAATGGATTTGCGGAGGAATTAGCTTCATCAGGACCTAGCTCTGCGCCACTTTCTATTTGTAAAACAGGTTCGTCTCCTTCAGTAAGTTGTGCTGTCTCCTTGCCGTCTATCATAGTTGGGGAGGGTAATCTTATCTCAACTTTACTGTCCTCCTTACTGGAAACAAAGTCTTCCTTATGGTTATTCGAAGTCACATTCTGAGCTAGCACTAGCGGTGAACTCTGGCGTCGTTTTTTAGAATTCCTTGGATGGCTGGATTCCTCGAAGTCGCCTTCCATAATCTTTTTATTGCTTCTAATAATGTTGTTCTTTTTGGCCTTTTTCTTAAAGGGTGTGGATTTTCGTTCTTTTTTCTTACTCTCTACAACATCCTTTTCAATCGGTGGTAGTGTAAATTTCTGCTTTTCGCCGCCATCGCGGGCCTCTCTATTACCTTCAAAAAATAGAAATTCATCCTGAATTGGAAAAATAGCAGACGTTGGTGAGTAGCTGCTGCAAGAATATTGATCAACATCTTTTGTTTCTCTGCTTAACTCGTCATTAGGTTCCCCCGACGGTCTTGTATAAGAAATCAGGGGTGGAAATGTACCCTTGACGCTATCATCGCAATTAGCGGCATGTAACTCCTCCTTTTTGCCCTTCTGAATATCGCACCGGCGTTGGTCAATTTTATGTTTCCTTCGTTTCATTCGACGCTCTTCTTTCTTCAGAGCTCTGCTTCTTTCGTGTTTTTCACTATCGAGTCTCGTTGACAGTGCTCGAAATTTAGCATCCTCGGCCATGTTGCTCGGCGTAACCTTTTTCTTGTCTTTCATTCCAGTTGCTATGTGAATACCTAATTTTCCAATGTCTGGTAAATGAATTCCTGACATCTCGGTCCAAGACTACGTACTTCAAAACGCGCTCGGAGGCAACGCTGTTTAGGACTTCAAAAGTGTTTTGGTGTTTTCACTTACTTCGATGCATTTTCACTTGGCTTAATACTTGTTAAATTGTCAAAAATGCAAATGTAGTGCCACTTGTGTCTAGAAAACGGATGTAACTATGTAAACATACAGAGCTTTGTCAATACTGCAATTTAGATTCCTTTTTATTGCTGATGAACGTTTCTGAAGGCAATGTTTTATTTGATTTGTTGATTTAATTGCATCGATTCTCCGCTAGATGTATTGACACGGCTATTCTCCTTAATCTCGGTGAGTGAAAATTCCGAAATAATGGTCATGTAAAGCATTGGAAATCGAACTCAAAAAAGTACCAGGCTCTTGTTACTGATGGGAAGAAATGAACTTTAAGTGGGGCGTTTCTTGACGATCAAGTTGCCATGTTCTTCCGCGAGCAAATCGTATGACTCAAGTGTTTTAATTTCTCCGGCTTTGTCGCGTTTTTTCAGATTGGCGGAAAAATAACAATATTATTGTTATACAATAAAAATGTAAGCAATGGAAATTGTTATTTATGATCAACTTATACCAACTTAGAGAAAATAATTTAAATAATAATAGTTAAGATAATTCCCTGTCACATCATAGCTGTATTGAGTCATCAAGCTGTAAATGACCTGTAAGAAGTTGTTAGCCACCCGTGTTGTAATCAGACTCGGTACTGTTGTACTGTGTTTTTGGCATCGCATAGTTAATTCATATATAAGCAAGTTTAGCCAATCACATTCGGAGAAGAAGCTAGACACCTTACCAAGATCGACTACTCCGTATAATTTTCAAACAACAACTTCAGAACCTTCTTTACTAGTATTGTAAAAATTCTATATAATACTCGACACCTTGTAATTTCTACATTGCTTGTTTCATTCTTACTGGAAAGCCCAATCTTAACAGTGAAATATGAGAAAGAAAATTATCTTGACAAGGTAAACGCCTCGGAGGTTTCGTGCGGATGGGTCACTTCCAGCCAATCACAGTTGTGTAAGTATTAATTTGAGCTGAGTCGGTATAAAAAGCAAGGTGTGACAACAATAGAGAGAGAATTGTAAAAACTTAAAGCTACAAAGTGAATAAACGTCCTGAATTATAGAAAAATTGTATATGTGAAAAGGCCACAGCTAGTCCCCGAAGAAAAGTCTTTTTACAAAATTAATAATTTACAATTTCAACAAAAAAGTCCGGTAATTTCATAATTACTGGCACTGAATCAGCGAGTTTCTCGAAAGGAAATGGCTGAAAATTATTGCGAGAGGTTGCCAATTAAATTGTCCGGAGAAATGAAAAACAAACTAATTACAACCACAATACTAATCGAATACCGCCAATATTTAATTTATTTGTTGTAATTCCAATGTGTTTATATATACACCCGAGATAACTGGTAAGCAGTGTAGTATTTTGAAATAACTATAAATATAAATTTATGCATGAACACGGTGAAACTTTTTCTCTCGATGTTTTGAGAACATCACGTTGCAATGAGTGTGCAAAACCCAAAAACTGACATTTTTTGCAGTAAGACGACATATTGCTTTTGTTTCGTTTGTTTATTTGTTGCCTTATACATCTATTCAGATTTTTAAAAACGTTCGGGGGTACCCAACGAGAATGTAGTTCAAAACCGTCAAGTAGACCAAAGTAAAACTGAAAAGAACTTAGAGTGCAACCCATTGCTTTATTCTCTTCTGCTGGTTTCTTTTCAAGTCTTCGCTCCTGGCTCTCTCTCCTTCCTTTTCCTTCGCTGGTGTGATTTTCGAGCTTATCAGGCGCAAAAAAGCCCTGCCCTGGCCTTTTGGCCCTTTTTTTCTCAAATGGCTTCAAATTTCTTTTGGTTAGGTTCGTTTTTAAAAAATCGGCTTGACATGTACAATATTCCGTCTACGAAACTCACTTCAGATTCTCTCTTGGGCCTTTTTGCAATTGCTTGAAAACAGTTCTAGTCAATTACTTATTCTGATTTGTTGAATTGGACGAGCAATTGGGTTGGCCTTGATCTGCCGAGAGGGTGGCGAGCACGGCCTGGCTGGAAGAAGCTTAAAGGGCTTCTGAGCATATGAGACCATAACACACACATGCAGCCAGAAATCAGGCTTTTTTCGGGTGCTTGAACCCGCATCAAGAAATCAATCTAGAACATAGAACAGCTGTATATTTTTTGCGTAGGTCAAACAAGTGGGCACGGGCTACGAACAAAAAGGCCTGGACTGAGGGAAAATGACGTAAGGGTTGCGTTTGACAGCGGGCAACGAGAGAAATAGGCCATTTCGGAGTTCAAAACTCTCATTTTGAAAACGAGGCTAAGTGCGAAACCTTTGTTGTGAAAATGAGTTTTATTTGCATGAGAGTAAAAATCATTTTCCTATCACTAGCTCATTTGCACCTTAACCTCGCTTTAAAACAGAGGCTTGAGGCAACTCGGAACCGGCCCATCTGCAAAAGGCAATCTTTATCATCGTCATCGTCACCACATCATCTCCAATGTTATTATCAGTCGGGAAACGATTTAAATGTACGTGCGGGTAGTTGTTTTGTTACCAAAGTGTCAAAATATCCAAGGCGTTATTAACGGGCAGTAAGGAAACTGAGAACTAGAGACTCCAGTGCATGCGCAGTTGCACAGCTGGCCGATCGGCCATCTTGGTTTTCATCCACGTTTCTGATCTTTTTCTGTTTTTGTTGGAAAGCCTTAAATAACAAACGCTGCAAGGCCCTGCGGATTTGCCCGTAATGATTTATCAATGAACAGACTGGTTCTCTGAAACCTTTAAAATGTCCAGGTAAGCGCATCTTCTGACTTAAACGATTATACCGGTTTGAGATGAAAGAATTCAATAATTCTGAGAACGTTTTTTGGTTTTCGCGCCTCACTCAAATCATGTCATTGATTCTAGTGCTGCCACCGGGGGACAAACACAAAAGTCCTATGGAATCACTTCCCCGATATCTTTGGCTGAGCCGAAGTCCAATGTAAGTTAAAACCACTTTTCTTAGTTAACACTTGAATTCTTCTTTGATGCTTGCACGCCTGCCAGCTTGGTCAAACACAGCTTGTTCTTCCATATCTTTGTGCCTAGGATCGGAGTCAGGTTACTTGGCGTACAGTGTCCTTTTTACACCTAAACCTTACACTGCACTGCAATCTAATAAGCGGGTTATTTTAAACGAAGCTACCAGGTAGTAAACAGTGATGGACTTTTATTGTTTATTATTGTTCAGTGAAAATTTAAACGAATCTTTGGTCAGGTCCGGCCATAATCATCCACAGCCTCAACTACAAACAAATCCTTAGATCTGGCACTTAGGATTGAATTTTGGTGGTTCAAGTATTTATGGTGGATACACTGTAATTAAAGAGATCACATAATTATTATCACATAATATTATGTCTTCAGCACCTAAGAGGGTATTATCATTTCTAGTTAAAAAGACAAAAATGCTGTGAGATAACCTGGGGCTAGTTAAAAAAACACCCTTTCTTAACAGTTAGCCTGTAAAAAAGACTGTCATTAAGGCTGGGGACTAGGGATTTCCCCTGGCTATTGTGAATGTGATCCCTGGCTACGTTCATAACAAGATACAGTGTATCAAAAATACAACCAAAAGAAATTCCTAGCTGTTTGATTTCCTGCCTATCATTTTATTAACCCAACAACTTGAAATGCAGGTGGTGTTTGCCGACTAAGAGAAATTTGTCTTTAATTGACCTTTTAAATTAGAGTTAACACAACCACAACTGCAATTACAGTAGTAAAAATTTTATTTGTAGAAAGTGAATTTTTGTTCTTTCAGTGGGCTTGATAAAAACTTGAATTCCAGCTTTTCCTTTGGACAAGCATCCGGCTCTTGCATTTTGCTTGCCCAGGGCCATTGCTGGCAGGCTTGTCTCAGTAAATGATTTAGTTACAAGGGCAAGTGAGCTTAAAAGTTACTCGCCCAGCATGAAAATCGACTTTTGTCTGCAGCCTCCATAAAAGATATTATTAATTATTTACTACATGTAAATCTGTTAGTTAGAATACGTACTGAAATTGGTGAATTGAGCAGGTTGTATTTCTCTGAACAGACCAATAAATTGAAATGTTGTTTAGACAGCAACTTGTAACACCATTTGTTTCATGTTATTTTGGACCATTAAGATTCTCAAAAGTAGCCTGCTGCCGGCGAAAACCGCCGCCTACTTGATTAGTATCGGCTGGCTATTCTCCTTACCATTTCTTTATGGATGACCTTTTTTGAATAAAATATCCCTGGACTGGCCGCTTACTTTTGACAACTCTGCCATCTACTTCAAAACTTTCTGACAACTGTGATTATGAGTATGTTTCGTGTAAAATAAATTAATGTTTCAACAACTCAAAGCCTTGATTCTAAAAGCTGTTACAAAATCTCTGGCTTTAGGATTTTACTAAGCATTGATTATCAATAATTTTGTCCATTCCCACTTGGGCTGTCAATCTACATGTAGGTGGTTATAAAATTGACCAAGGGTATCCTGCTTCCCCACCAATATGGATGTTGTAGTTAATTTTTTATCTCAGTTAGTTTTTATTTTTCCTTTGTTTTTGGCTATGGTAATGTGTGCTAATGAATTTGAAACAAAGGAAAAATAAAAATTACCTGTGATAAAAATTAACTACCACAGGGACTTTGAGATCTAACAACATGACAGCGAGATGTCAATTTGCATTCTTTCAGTCTTTATCATGATTACTGCTACCCACTTACTTTGTAAAAGGTAGGCGAACCCTCTGAGATCCAAGTTCAGAAAGAGAAATAAAATTTCGTCATTGCTCATTTACTTTCTCCATAAAATGAGAAATTAGGAATTTTCATGTGGCAGTTGTGCAAAAACGGCAAAGAAATAATTTACAAAAAAGTGTGCTGCACGTGCAAAGGTGTTGTTTTGCTCATTAAACCTATTGTTTTTTTTTTTTTGACGTTCTCGTTACTGTCGCGTCGTTGAATCTTTAAGTCCCTAATGTCTCTGGACTCTGGTTTCTTAGTAGAGGTTAGCTTCTTCAGTTGATACATGTAGGAGACTGCTTACAGAGGTTAACTGTAGTTATACCGAAATATTATGCATACACTGTACAAGATTTATTTATATTTATCATGTGATGATAATTCTCTTAGGACATTGCACTCACTAAGGCCCTTGAGGAAACTCTCAAACCTTATGGAGTGTTTGAAAGTGAGGAAGAGCTCCAACACAGGTAATTAAGCTACTAAAAATGGTGTACAATTTTTCATTTACACCCTCAGGGCAGTTTATACACTGTAGATTTGTTTTCTCTCTTTTCTCAACAGGATGGTTGTTCTTGCAAAACTGAATACTTTGGTTAAACAATGGATCATAGATATAAGTTTGTCAAAGGTATCTTGGAACTCATGGATTTTATTTGATGACCAGTTACAAGATGAATACAAAAAATGCATGTATAGTATATGAAACAACCTGTGTTTTCATTATTTTGTGTAGAACATGCCCGAGTCAGTTGCAAACTTAGTTGGTGGAAAGATCTTCACATTTGGTTCTTACAGGCTTGGTGTGCATACCAAAGGTAAAATTTAGAATGATAATTTTATTATTTACTGCTGTCCGATGATACTGTACATGTAATCAGATATATACACGTGTAGAACAAAAATATTAGTCTAAATGTCGGGGTACAGGATGTCATTACGTAAAGCAGAATCTTGATTTTTCAAATCTCCTGATACCTGCAATTCAAACCAAAAGTAAATTTACTGTTGAAGTGTAATGTTATTCTTCAGGAGGCTTGGAAAATTGTGATTGTTGTACTTATTTTAAATTACATGTACTTTGTGTATAAGACTTCAAGAGTTTCAAGGCTCTGCTCCAGGGAAAACGAAGGGGAGCCTAGTGCTCTGAACCTGTAAAATCTAGGGTGCCCAGCATATGATTTCTGTAAAAAACCTGAGATTTTCTAGTTGCCCAAGAGCAAAAGTTAGGTGCCAGGGGCCACTGGACTCTGCCAGAGTACAGCCCTGCATTTATAATGTATTCCCGTCCTTGGAAACAGCAGTTTTGATCTTAAGAAGGCTCAGAAATTATTAGAGTTTTGACATAATTCAAGTGGAATTATTTTCTACAGATCTTCATAAGTATACTATGTGATTGCATATGATTATTAATAACACCATCTTTTATGAATTTTATCCAGGTGCTGATATTGACACACTCCTTGTTGCTCCTCGTCATGTTGAGCGAACTGACTTCTTTGGAACTTTTTATGAGATTCTCAAGAACAATGAGGATGTAAAGGAATTAAGGGTAAATTTTTGCAGTAAATATGGGTCACCTTTACTTTCTTATAAAACCTGATCAGAGCTTTTTCCTCTATTTCCCGAGTAGTCATTTACACAGAGTAGGACGTTTACTGTGTAAAGGTTGCTATCAAGGGAAGGTGCTTGCTTGAAAGTGGTTGACTGCATCACACTGTTCCAAAGTTATTTATAATTTATGGATCATTCTGTTGAGAAAATACAATTCTTGTGCAGCTAGCTCCTTTCACACTTTTTATGCTTCCCTGTATTATAGTACAATGCCTCTTTTCATTTATTCATGTTTAGTTCTTTCTTTCCTTTGACTTTTTTTATAGGCAGTTGAAAATGCTTTTGTTCCTGTCATCAAAATGGTATTTTGCAATATTGAGGTTAGTGACCATTTTTTCCATCACCATAATTTATCTTAAAGTATACGGTCCCTTCAAAGATAGCCCACAGCGCCAAAAACCTTGTTCTGGGCCCTGTCTGGTGTACCAGCATTTGAGTACATTTATGTCTGCCATAATTGGCCTGTTAACAAAGCCATTTTCAATTTACCAATCAGGTTGAAGGGAGCTTCAAGACACATTTCTGGTGATTCATTTAAGCTGTTGGGGCTCAAAAGAAGGGTTGAGGTTACTAACTGAGGATAGATTACGTCTTTCATGCTGGCTACTTCAATGAGGATACCCATTCTCCTTACAAAACAAAAACATGCCATTGTATTTTGTCATGGGTCATTCTCCTGGCCTTCAAAGTCTATCTGATCCAGTATAAATTGTCATCATTTTTTGACTCAATTTTATAGATGGACTTGCTGTTTGCCCGACTAGCCCTCCCTGAGGTCCCAGATGATCTGAGTCTTCTTGATGAGGGTCTTTTGAAAAACCTGGACCCAAAGTGTGTTAGAAGTTTAAATGGTAAGTGTTATGGAAAAATAATTTATCATTGAATAATGGAGACAGCCTTGACTGCTGTTAGTATTTTTAGTTGTGGAGGTACATTGTGCCATTTTATCTTTGGTATGACCATAAATGTTTTTGTATTTTGCAGGTTGTCGTGTCACAGATGAAATTCTACACTTAGTACCCAACATAGAAAACTTTCGACTTACATTAAGGGCAGTCAAATTATGGGCAAAAAGTAGGTTCTCATTATTATTAACTTGTCAGTTTTATGACTAGAGGATGTAACTTCTTCCCGGTTAATAGAATGCAGGGTTACAAGAGCAGCAACAAGTAAATTTATTCCAACTGAGGGTATTCTTCATGGCTGTAAAGCTCTCTAGCAACTCTCCACACTGGCTTTTGCAGCTGTATTGCAAACACAGGCTCTGGCAGCTTGAATAAACATGACCTCCATGACACTTATACTGAGCTCCTGAAAAAATACCAGTAGCTAAACTCTTTGGCTCCCTCTTGCCTGCTTAAACTCTTTTTGAGATAAAATTCTATAACCTTTCCAAATAGTTTAATAACATACATGTAAGCTCTTGTAAGCGGACACCCTTGGGATGCAAAAATGGTGTCCGTAACTGCAGCCGGCTGCTTACGAGAATAAACAAAAATGCAGAGTTTGTAATAATGAGAATCAAGAAAAACAGGGTTTTGTGATGGTGTCCACAGGTTTAGCTGCCTGCCTACAAGTGTGTCCATTAGGAGAGCTTCTACTGTAGTTGCATCGTTGTAAATAATGAAGAAGGTCTTAAATGAAGAATATATGAGAAACCTTTTAGATGATACTTGTACATTATGTTATGCAAGTCCCAAAAAACAGTAAAATGTCATTTTCATGTAAGAGTACATGTACATTCTTTTGGATCAATAGATATGTTGTTATTGTCACATATTAATAGTAACACATTTGTATTTGTGATCAGAACGTGGAATCTATTCCAATGTTTTGGGTTTCTTGGGTGGTGTGTCATGGGCCATGTTAGTGGCTCGTACATGCCAGCTGTATCCAAAGGCAGTGGCAGCTACGCTTCTCCAAAAGTTTTTTCTTGTGTTTTCAAAATGGTAAGTACAAAGTTGTGTTTGAGGAAATTACTAACATTTTTTGGTTCCCTTTTAAAGGGTTGGGTAATGTAATGTAATAAATACAACAATGTATGTTATCACCAGAGATCGTACACAACCACACAGTATTAATTTTGCTGTGGTGTCTCGTGAGACAACGTAAAAATACATCATTGGCACTAATTGCCATGAAAATTCTCTGTTTCTCACAGACCATTGTCAAAATCAGCATGTTAGGTATCTTCTCAGACAAAAGATCCCAAAAAGAAACACATTTAAGTTTTGGCAGAGGATTTATTGTGTGCAATTATGTCAAACCTGTCTTGAAAGTTCTTCAAAACGCGCAAACATATAGTCTGAACAATGTGGTGTAACACATAGACAGACTAAATGATCATACTACCTGCTACAGGTAGCTGCATAGTCATTGAGGATAAATAATCATAATTTTGTAGGCTCTGAATTTTAGGTAAGACTTTCCATTGAACAAAAAAGATTTTGGTTTGAAATTTCCAAGCAAAGATCCGGAGACATTTAAGAAATTTTCTTCATATAGTCTGAGTGGTGTAACACATAAGGGGAACAAAGGGCACTTTCCATTGAACAAAAATTTTGGTTTGAAATTTCTGAAATTTCGTGTGCCCAATGGAACGGTACATTCTGGTTGCACAATTTTGTTATTTTAGGAGCTAAACTGTAAGTGATCCCTGGAAAAAAAGTTTATTTTGTTCCTTGGTAAATAATTTATATGGTGTGTTAATTTTGGTTGTGTTAACAGGGAGTGGCCAAATCCTGTTCTCTTGAAAAACATCCCCATACCTTCAGAAAAACTGAATTTTCCAGTCTGGGATCCTAGGGTAAGCAGGTTTTAATCAACTGTCAGTTTTAGACTAGCAAACTGTTGTTAAAATTCGTTTTACATTGATGTACATGTGAAGATATCAATTAGTTGCATTGTTTAATTAGGTTATACAGATAACAAGAAGGGGGTTAAAAAGTCAGGTTTGGAAATCAGACATGAAACAACCTTTCAAGTGCCTGATATACCTTCTTAAATGATGATTATTTTTTTCTCTTGAAGAAATCTAAAGCTTAAGTTCGTAGAATTTTATTGTAATCACTTCATAGCCAATATCCTAACCTCTTTGAATGTAGTCATTAATATTAAAATGACTTTGAGAACACTCCATCATGCATGTTACTGACAAATAGAAAGAATTTATTGAAAATAATTATAATGACAAATACTTACTTCCTGACAAATAAAAAGAATTTACTCAAACTAATTATAATGTGAGTCATTGAAGAACTACTCTTTTTTTTTTGACAGAGTAATCCTTCAGACCGTTATCACTTGATGCCCATCATAACACCTGCTTATCCTCAGCAGAACTCAACATTCAATGTGTCATTTTCAACAAGAACTTTAATGAAAGAAGAATTTGATATTGGTTAGTGAAAATTATGTATTTTGATAACTCATGACAGTCAACCTTTTTTCCCATTTTGTTAGTTGATTTTATGACAAGGTCACGACCATTTCAGTGCAAAGCGGCAAAACCATGAACACTTAAAATACTTCAGGAATGTTTATTGTGTTATGGCCAATCACAGCAAAGATCATGACATGTGAACTACAGTCTCAGCCAAAATTGTTGGGACACTTCACTGTCTTCTTGCCCTCCCAATGTTGCTGTGCAAGATTTGGTCAGTGTAAGTCTGCCATATTGCACGCAAATTAAACAAAAAATAAATGCACAAATGCATGAGAAAATACAAGCAAATTTTCGGAAACTGAGTTTAAAATTTTACACCTAGACTGTGTGTATTTGATAACTTTTTTCTTTGGCTGAAATTTGTGAACATTGAACCAAGATCTCTCACCCTCAATCCGTACTTTGAACATCCATCATATTTTGGGGAAAAATAGAATGATCATTTGTTTCACTTAGTCAGCTACAAAAATTAGGGTGGATTCAGTTTCACATTGTAGATTGCAGTTTAATAATTTGAGCCTCTTTTAAAATTTTGTGATGCTCTTTGTTACACGATTCAAACTACGATGTAGAATGATTCGCTGTGCTTTTTGAAATGTTTCTGATGTTTTCAAACATTTTCAAGGACAGGTGATGTATGGTGTGTCATGTATTCTTGCTTGTCATGTATTTTGCTTGTAAATCTGCCATATTGCATGCAATTAACACACACGTAAATGCTGAAATTCCCATGCAAGACTGTTCTGAAAGGAAAATTGAAGGGAGCCCAGTGCTCTGAACCTGTGAAATCCAGGGTGCCCAGCATATGATTTGTATGAAAAAAACATATTTTTCTAGTCAACAGAGAGCAAAAGTTGGGCACCACAGGCCACTGGGTTCTGCTAGAGAACAGCCCAGCCCATGGCCTGCACTGTAGATAGCAATGAGAGAAAAGCAAGGTGTTTGTCCAATACATGTAAATAATTATTTGATAGAAATTCAAAATAATAGTTCTCCTATATTAATTTAATTGTCAAACAATAATTTACAGTATTTTAGGGCTAACGTTCGATGTTTATTGGCTTTTGATAGTTGACATGGGAGTTTGTCACCAATCAACTTTCTACCAGTGAAATTTTAAGTTCAGCTTGCAAATGTCAATATACTCTGACAGTGGTAACTTTTTTTGCAGGCCTTAAAGTTACAAGTGATGCATTGATTGGCAAGTCCAACTGGGATGCACTTTTTCAACAACCCAACTTCTTTAGCAAATACAAGTACATAATATTTCCTTGTCTAATTGTGTGTCTTAATCTAGCCTCAAGCCCTCCTTCCCTTGGCTTGAATGATTTTCATCATCTAAATGTATATCTTGTACTTGCTATTGCAATAAAGAATCTCTGCTTTGTTACTGTGGTGTGTTTGATAATCTGTTCTTTCCACACAACTATTTCTGAATTAATGGTAAAGAGACACTATTCCTGTTCTATGAGTAGGTGTTCTAAATCTGTAGGGTTTCCTTAGCAACATTCCCAAAACTGAGTTTTGCTTTCATTTGCTGTGAACTACAGGCTTTCAGGGCAAAGTTATAATGTGCTCTCAGTGGGTTCTTGTCTAAATCTGTTACATTTCAAAGTTTCATTCCTTTCATAACATTATTGTCATGTTTCCATTTTCTAACACATCTTGTGTGTCAAATTCATTTACAGCAAGGAGCCCAAAAGTGTGACCTCCTTTAATTAAATCACATTCTTTTATGCAGACATTAACCAATCAGAAGTCGAGGACAGTTTCCAGCTGGCTTCTGATTGGATTAAATCTCTACAAAAGAATGTGAATAAATCAAAAGCGGTCACATTTTTGGGTTCGTTGCTGTAAACTTCATGTGTTATTGTAAGTTTTCATCAATGATATCTGTCAATTTGCATTCAAGAACAAAATATTCGATATTGTTTCCTGTCTTTCACAGCTGCAGTTTAACAACCCCAAAAAAGCTGTGAAAAACAAATTTTCTGAAGTGCATTTGAGTGTGTTGTATTGTGGATTGCCAGTTAGAGCTGTATGCACGCTGGCAGGTCATTTATGGCTGGTGAATTCTGTTCTTCACATTTCAGACACTATATTGTGTTAAGTGCCTTATCAAACTGTGAAGAGGATCATTTAGAATGGTGAGTTGAGTTGAACTGGTACTTGTTTGTGCATTTAAGTTTTACAGTGTAGTTTGGTCTACAAACTTGAAACCCAAGAAGCCAGGTGGGAGTATGTCCATCAATAACGAAACAAAAAATTCAGTACTAGAAGTGTTACAGTGTGACAATAGGGGCATTAATATTTTAAACCACAGAAAAACTGGGTCTGGACCAGTCAAAAAAGTGGTGTGGTACCAACAACATTTGTTAAGAGATACTGGAGTTTTTACAGGGCCATAGGTGCCTATATGACCTTTACTCCACCACTTTGTTTACTAGTTCAGAGCCAGTTTTTCAGTATTGTTTTATGAGATAGAGCATTGCTGGGAGAAAACCAATAATTAACTCCTCAAATTTTATTTTTTCTTCCCCATTCATAAAAATTTTCAAAAGTGTTGTAAATGCATCCAGGTTCCACTCGTCCCCACCAAAAATGCATTTCAGACCCAGTTACCCTAAAATACTGACCAAAAATTTCTCACTCTCTCCCCCCCCTCACCCATCCTGCCCTTCCCCACAAATTATCCGTCTTGGGCTAAAAAATGCGCTTGACCTCATGCTACTCATGATGTTATATCTCTAAACCCAAGTCTTTCAAGCAACCAAAATTATTCGCAATTTTCCTCTTACGGTATCAATATATAACTAAGACAGAAAAGGTTGATGATCAACTGAATAAAAATGCTTTGATCTTTAAAGAAATTCTCTCTAATAATTCTTCAAGGAAATGCACGGAGATCAGTCAAGAGAATCTGTACATTAAAACACGAGAGGAATAAGTGAACAGTGACTGAGGAGAAGAGTCTGTGACTTATTATTGAGTCCCTCTTAAGGGGGATACGTATGTCCCAAGTCTAAACTTCAAAACTGGCAATTTCGCCTTTTGAGGAGGAGGCCATGTCGCTGTCTGCATTTCACTATTGGCCATTTTGAAGTTGTGTAGGGAACTCGGGCAAGTTTCAAATTTAAACGAATCGATAAACTGACACGACCATATAAAAGGTCATGCTGAGATTGGTCATTTGACCAAGTTTGGTGCTCTAAGGTTGAACAGGGATCAAGTTATGACTCTTGAAACATGGTTAAAGAGCCATACAAACCTCTGTAATTTTGTGACAGCGTCCCCCAAAACCATATTCACGATTTCTGTGATATTTCTAAAAATGGGCAAACACATGATTTTTGAATTAGTTCCTTCCAAGTAGTAGATGCATGACGAGTATCACAGTTTAAAAGAAAAACTATCTTTAACCATGTTTCAAGAGTCATAACTTGCTCCCTGTTCAACTTTAGGGCACCAAACTTGATCAAATGACTAATCTCAACATGACCTTTTTTATGATGGTGTCAGTTTATCGATTAGTTGAAATTTGAAACTCTCCCCAGTTCCCTACGTAACTCCGAAATGGCTAATTGTTTTTGCGCTTTTCTCTGTTGCTGTTGCTGTTTCAACCCATCTTCATGTCATGTGTCGCCATTTCATCTGTCCTATGTCCCTGTTTCAACGCCATGTCGCTTGTCGAATTTTACCCTAAACAGGGCCTCATTGTTAAAACCTTTGGGAAAACACTTGGGGTCAGGTGGCACACCCCCTTTACATCCCAGGGTGAAAGAAAGTTGAGCTCAGTGTATTTTTCTTTCAGGATTGGTTTAGTTGAGTCAAAAATCAGAATTCTGGTATCAAACCTGGAGAACGCTCAATATGTCCTGTTGGCTCATGTTCAACCAAAGTCATTTCCTGCACTAGTACCTGACAAGTAAGGTTTCTTTCACCGTCTTTGGTTACTTACTTTAACACAGTAAATAGTATTGGCTTTTGTGCCTTTACAACAACAACAACAACAACAACAAATTTATTTCAAATTAAACATAGCTTACAAAGCTTGTGCCCGTAATTAGCGAAGGCTATTCGAGGCTGGTACAAGAGAAAAAAGAAAATTGTATAACTATATATATATGTTAAACGAACAATCCTAGAAGCAATCTAGTTTGTCGTGTGGTTTATAGCCAGAGTGAGACTGGAAGGCAGACTGTAGTTCATACGGAAGCACACCATGTTACGATTTTGAGAATTGGCCTGTAATATCATAAACTCTAATATAGTCGTCCTCTTTTTCCAGTATTTCAAAGAGTTTTCTCTTTAGTTCCCTTTTGAATTGATTTTTTTTAAGTGTTTTGATAGAAAGTGGAATACTGTTCCAAATTAAAGCACCAGAAATAGAGAATGCTCGCTTCATATTTTCAGTTCTAACTTGTTCAACATAGTAATTTTCATTAGTAACAGATCTAGTCCGGTAACTGTGGACAGAAGACAGTTTCGTGAACATATTCTTAATGTTATTAGGAGCGAGATTATTATGGACGTTGTACATTAAAAGGCTCATTTGCTCAAATAGCAAGAACGATATCTGCAACTGTTTTGATTCTCTTTTGAGATTACAGGGGCCAAAATGGCAATTTAAGACTTGATGCTTATAAACAACGGTGGTATAATTTGAGTCTATGTAGTTGCTGTGGTCATTTTGGTCTATTCCCTGCATGCAAATGAGGAATAATAAGAGCATTATGTGAGCAAGTCCTTCATGCAATCATTTTTCCCATGACTGCTCACCTTTCAGGCCAGGGAAGGTGAATTTGTACTTAAACTTTAATTAACAATAATATTATTGCCCAAGTGCTCATTGGATATGAGATGGCAGATAGCCAATGAGGTGCGTTGCACCAAGTTTTTTATAATCATCTCATCCAACAAACGCAAGTGGATTGATAATATTGTTTTATTAAAAACACCCACAAAACATCGAGAATTCTTCCAGATTTTGTTTGTACAAACAACCGATTTTCAGCTTGTTTTTTAAATTTGAGGAGATGCGTACAGTTACCATATTTGAGAGCATGGTATAATGACTCATTTACCAGGATGACTAAGCCAATCAGTGCTCTAGAATTGCATAGTTCAGTGATTCAGTTTTTAATAGTATTGGTTAGCCAAGTTGACAAGATGAGTCTATGTTGTCGGCTTTGTTCCTAGAAGAAAGAAATCTCTTTTCAACTTACACGAGATGCTCTAAAAGCGTTGACTCAACCTTGCTTGGAGATAAGATAAGAAATGAGGAGGCAATTAATTCTTAAGGAGCCTGTGTGTGGGCGTGGAAGCCATAGGGACCATACATGAGGTGTAGGAGAGAATAAATGCTAGGTAGCCAGGTGACACAGTAACCATTGAATGCCTCTGGTACATATATATACAATAGTCAGAAACTTCTTTTAAAACTGGAAAAAGATAATGTTACAGTTGGGTATCTGAACTTGCGCCCATTCGCTAACCATTATTATCTGGATAAACCTAAAAAAAAACTATAAGATTGCTTAAATCTTTGTCATTTTTTTATGACGCTAAATTTTAGCAATGACTAGAAACACCACACCGGGGCCACGCTTCTTCTTCTCAGTTCTTCTTCTTCTTCTTCTTCTTCTTCTGTTGTGGCGTTTCCTTGTGCTCTATTGTTAGCTGTCAACAACAAAAGAATACTAAGCTACCAAAAACTAATACTAAAAAAATGCAATAATTATGAATCTAAAGCGAAAATCTCCAATGATGTAGGCAATTGTAATTTCAAGAAGTCTTCCACAATCAAAGGCAATATGAGGCAAAGAGACCTTGCAAATCTATGACACCAAGGAAACATCAATGAAGACAGTATGAAAAATAAAAACTCATTATATTTCTCAAACTACTACAAAAATAAATAGTCTTGTTCAATTTGTAGACTAGTAGTTTCCACTGGAAACGAAGCTCTGCAAGCAGAGTGGGTGACAGTCAAGTACAACGCTACCCGTAACACATCCGTGACACATATGTGATGAATATTTGAAGGTTCAGTCATTGATATTTCAAGTATTTATCAAAGTGCAACGCGACTTCACATCTCAACAATTTAGAAAATCTATCAAAGTGAATCTGCCATAAAACATCAGGACTATTTTACTGTAGAGTTCCAGGAACTGCTTCAAATATTCTGAGGAATGTATAAACACCTAAATTCATGGGAATTTAAAACCTGATCAACATGGCGCATCATTTTAATCATCCACATGCTCATCAAGAGTCTTATTTGCATACAATGAATCACTTATCCCCAGTTTCTATGGTCTCTGCTAGGAACGCCTGGAACCATAATGCCCTTTTGTAGACTAAATATGGAGAAAAGAAAACAGCTTGCATTTTACAACTCTTGCTGCTACGCATCCAGAGTAATAAATCCTTTATTGACGAATAATGCATGTTCATTCAAGATGCCTGGATATTTGTATCATTTGTTCATATTTGTGAAGAGAAGTTGAGAAGAGCGTGGCCAATATTATTTCTAGATTTTTATCAAGCTTGAAAAAAAAAACTTGACTATTTATGTTATGGTTAGTAACAATACATGAACATCACTTATCAACTTAACAACCCTTTAAGCCGTAGGAGTGATCAGCATCAAATTTCTCCTTGTAATATCAATGTTTTGTAAAACAGAGTGGTCATGAGAATTACGGACATGATCGCAAAAGATGAATTTGCTTGATATCTTATCAACTTCTCCCCACTACTTCTGTAGGAAATGAATAGGGGCAACAAATGAGAAGTCATATTTTGATCTTAGGGTTTAAAGGGTTAAATTATAATTAATCCTAAAATATCATTGGTGGATTTCTTATCATTGTGGGATGCTATGTCAAGCTTGCCTTCTTTTTAATGGTGTGTTTTCTAGGGCTGCCCCTACTACCAGGTGGTTTATTGGGTTACAGTTTGAGAAAAAAGGTAAGGTTATTACCAGCATCAATTATTATTTCTTTTAAAATTATCAATACACGATCAAGAGGAAAAGTTATGATAATTATTAAAATAATCACTAAAGGGAGAATTCTATGATCTTTTGTCAAAATATAATTCTCTCAACCAATTCTGTAAGTAAATATATGGAGATTAGTTTGGAGATGTCTTCTTTCAGGGGCAGTTATTGCAACATGGCAACCAGCTTTAAACTTACTTTATACACACAATGTTGTTGTTTCAGTAATTAACAACTTGCAAGTCAGCCGTTCCATTTTTTGGTCATGTTTTAAAGTGCTTCAAAGTTACAGAATTTTTGCTTGTGACTCATTTTAGTAGATAAACTGCTCTGAAAGTTTTCTTGCTTGGTTTTGCTTTGTTTTCAAAAAGTAGCATGTGCAAAAAGAAAAAAAAATCCACATTCCCACTTTTAGCATTCTTGTCATGCATCAGAAACAAATGAAATCTTTTGTTTCTCAAAACAGTGAAAGTACTGGAGCGGATTGAATAGTTGTTCCTTGTTACCTTTGTTCTGGTTACAGTTTTACTTTTATTGCATCATGACGTGCTTTCTGAGATCGTGCATTGTTTTATTAAAAAGTTTCAAAGTCAGTGTTATATTACTACATACTTCAACCTCTTCATTCAATTAGCAGTAATGAGTATTGTTTGGAGAAACTTGCATATTTTTATTGCTTCTCTTACCTGTGTGCTCAACCTACTTATGAAATGACTCCTGGCTTCATTTTCATATTCCACAGAAAATGTGAAAATTGATTTGACTGGAGCAATTCAGATGTTTACAAACACTGGTTTGTATTTTAACAGTGCTAAAACAATTTTTTGTTGTTTTGTTGTTGTGTTTTATTTTTTGTTCAAAAGTTACAAACAGCAGTGGTAAACTTTGTTAACTGTCAGGCTGAACAGTTTTTAGAAACCACTTCTTCAGTTTTACCCATTTGTGCCTTCTTTTGTATTGGCTGTATTATTTCAACCTGCCTTCACTGTTTCACTGGAGTGAATCACAGGGTCATAATTCCAAGCTGTATCAGCAGATACCTGGATTAAGAGTTTCATAGTCTCATTTTTATCTTTTAATTTTGGCACCCTTTTTCTGCAGTTCATATGCAAGCTAACTCGGCGAAAATGTTTAAGGAGGGAATGAAAATAGAGGCCAAACATGTGAAAAAGTGAGTAAACTAGGGGTGCTTACCATTTACATGGAAAAGTCGGAAATTCCGGTCTACAAGAAAATTAAATGGTTCACACGTCGTGGGAAGCCTCAGAAAATATGGGCTATGATTTGAGGTGATGCAAGTTTTCTACTCCTTTTAGTCGGTTCAGCTGACCTGAATATGTTTTGTAGCAGCTCGTTCTCCCATCACATTGCATTTTATAGTTTTGTGTTTATGCACAAGATTTCCACCCTGGTGGTTTGTTTTACAAATGGTGAGCACCCCAGATCAACACTTCATTTTCTGACTCGATTTCAATACAAATCATAATCCCTGATATGACCTTTTGTAATCTATTGGTCGTTTTGATTAATTTTTCATAACATTACCTTATTTGTTGTAGGTTTTAATTTTTGCGCCTTTTTTGTGGCTTATCATGGCTTCACTTAAAGCCAAAAGAAAGTTGTGGGAGAAATGAAAGTTTCTTTCCCATTTTTGGTAGGCATTAATGGCCAATCGTCATCAAAATTGTATCCCAGAGAATGGGGACAAGTTTACCTCTTTTGGCGTCACAAATCTTTTGTCTGCAATCTTTTGTTTGCCATGATAGCACGTGTAAATTGCAATTGACTATACTTATATCGGTGTTGTTTACGTGTTTTGTTTTGTTTTGTTTTGTTTTCGTACAGAAAGCAGCTCAGTGAGTATTTACCAGCAAGTGTTCTTAAGCAGAAAAAGAGGAGCTCTGCCACAACATCAGAAGGCAAAAAGGAGGTGCATAACATTTCTTTTACTTTATGCTTCTGCTGTATCTGTCAGTAAAACGAGAAGGGCGTATATTTTGTCCATGGTGTAGGTTTTATCTTCTTTATTGCCTAAACAGGGTAAGTGGCCCTCCAGTTCCTGAAAACGGGCCAAGTGCCTCTCCTTAGGAGGTTAGACAATACGCTTAACATGACTTCGAGGCTTTCTGGTCATTTTTCTATATCTGGTTTGGTTTTCTTTGTGCTCAAGTTTCTATGGGAATTGTGAGACAATGGAGTCGTGAAAAAGTTGCAGTTTGTTGACGCTAAAGCCTTGGAGTCATGTTAGAATTGTAAATAATCGAACTTGGGCTTTTAGATAAAACTTGATTGCTTGGGCAACGAAGAATAGTCTTTGTTTGACTCCTACTATCCTGTTCCAGGCGTTCAGATTGTGGGGACGGTGCAAAGAGATGTCAGCAGGAAAAACAGCGAGGGGGTGGGGTAGGGAATTAGCCCTTTTTTCTGTCGCTCTCTGACTTCGCGCCACACTCCACTGCCAGAACGTCTGAAAAAGGCTAGACTCGTACAAATTGTTCAGAAAAGTTAAAAATTAATGAATGAGAAATTTTATTTAGATCTTAGGAGGTGGCGGTTAGGTTTAGATATTTGAGTATTGTTTTTCTTTCTAATGCTTTGGTCTTTCTGGAATTAATTAGAGTACTGTTGGAGTAACAGCTAAATCGGATGGTGGTAAAGCAGATGTGTCGCTTGATTCAACACTTAATGCCAGCGATTTGAGCCTGGATACCACTACAGAAATCATTGATGGTGCTGATTCGACAAGCGGAAACGAAAACAATGAACAAACAGGTAAAGCAACCGTCTCCTACTGGGAGCTATGTTAGAAACAAGGTGGGAACTGGAGCCGAAATGCGTCCCGCAATTGTTTCTGGGATTGTTACTGGCGACGTGCCAGTCAGCTATTGGCCAATTTTTTTTTGCCTGTCCGCCGTAACAGTCCCAGAAGTCTTTGCGGAAGTTAACTCGGTCCAGACTCCCTCTCGTTTCCATAGTGGCGAATGGAAGCCACGTGACATGTCAACATTCCCTTTCTATATTACCGTGTTTTCTCTTGAAGCCCGGCGTCAAATCGCGAAAAAATAACTCTAACTTTAGTAAAAATCGTCGATATTATATAGTTAAGATCACAAACCTATCAAATCATTAAATTCGCTTCACACCACTTGACAGATATCCATTTATCCCTCAGTGCACTAGAGTAAGCCTTTGCGTCTGGAGCATTCAAAAATTTCCGCCGTTCAAATGAGAAGGCATTCTTGATCTTTTATAACTTCGTGTTCTTTCGTAGCAGTTGTCAGTAGTTCAGATGATAAAAAAGTGCCGCCTGTGGTGCCTGCCTTTACAGCCCCCGTGTCAACAGTTGGTGAAGTGACGTCATCAGATACAACTGCAGTTCCTGCTGAGCCGTCAGCGGTTTCACAGGACAGGGTATGCGCTTTAAAAATGACTTGTAACTTTGAGCTATGTTTTTATGGTTGCAATTTTTTTTCCTTTTCTTTGTAACTTCTCCCTTTTTTTCAGCCTACTGGATTGAAGCGACCTAGTTCTCCTAAAGAATCCGAAAAAGAGAGCAAGAAACCTCGATTGGATAACGCCGAAAACTCGGTTTGTTGTTATTAATATTGTCAATTCTCGTGTTTTCTCCTCCCCAAAGATCGGGTAACTTGACACAGATAGGTTGATTGTGCTTTTACTAAGATTCATTTCCCAACTTATTGTGGCTGAACAGTCTTTGAAGCAGTCAATCGCTGTTGAGAATGCCTTGTCCATTCATAGTACGAGCTGCTGATAATTAAAATAGTCAATCATATCTCAAATCTCAAAGCAAATGCGTGTGACCGGCACCCAGCGCTGGAAATTTCTGTGGACAACTCGCTGTTGAGAGTACCTTGGCCAATAATAACAAGAGCTGGTCATTAAACTAACCAATCACATCTCAAAGCAAATGCCTGTGACTAGCGCCAAGTGCGGTAAAACTGCTGTGAGCAACTCACTGTTGGTCCTAAGTGTTTATTTTTGATTTGAATGATGAATGATTTGTGAATGTGAACATAATCTTCCCAGTAGAATGAAAAACCTAAGTTGCTGAAAAAGAACCTGAGCGTTACGTCCAGTTATCGCAAAGGTCAGGGTTCGGTTCTCGGTCAAGCCTGAATTTTTTCAGGCTTTTAGTCACCCGCTTAGGTTATTCACTGCTGCGAAGATAATTTTCACTTTCATTTCTTGATCCGTAGTTCAAAAATATGATTCTTTTCACATATTCCAATTAAGGATTATTTTGTTCCGTTACTTGAAGGCGGTCAGTTCTGTTGATTCGATTAACGGTGAAAATGCAAGGAAGCGGCCTAACTCTGCTGACGGTGACGGTCCACAGAAAAGGATAAAGTTGGAGCCAAACAAGGCGAGTTTAATTCTTTGTGTAGAATTTGTCAGAATGGCTAGGTGGGAGAAAAAGAAAAGCTTGCTCTCACTCATAAAACCGTTTGCTCTAACCTGGACGAGAAGCAGATCTGTTAGAAAGGGTGACAATGAAAGATGGAGAAGCATCAGTAACAGTAAAATTTGACCTTGGATATTCCAGAGAGCATCTCACGACAGAAAAAGGTTCCGAAGCGAAGTCTAACCTGACCAAAAGACCTTCGAACTTTGATCCATCGTTACTTTTACCCTCGTAGCTCTCACCAAGGAAACGAAAAAGCGTGGTACATGAATACGAGAACGCTTCAAATTCCCACAAATTACAGAAGTCTTGTCTGTTGATATGCCGTTAATCATCTGATCTTTCCCAGGACACTTCAAACGAAGAGGAAGAAGAAAAAGAAGATGGAATGACCGAGGAAGAATTTAAAGAAACTGAAGTGTATAAATTGCTTATGAACGACATTGATATTAAATTTGGGACGATGGTAAACTTTTTATTGCCCCACCCTCCCCCCACCCCTCCCCTTCCATGTTCTGGCCTTGAAACTTACATAAGATGTTAAGATGTCTCTCCTCTAGTGAGTGATTTAGAGTAGCAGAGAGAGAGACTATCATGGGTAGACTTGTTGAAAGATTGTGGCGTTGCTATTTCTGGTATTGGTTCTTGTTCTTTTGGCTAGTTACATATTTGATTAACAAAAACAGTGTTTGTAAACAGTCTCCTACTTGATGCGTTCCATTACCCTGTTACCTTTCTTTATTAGTCTTCAGGTGAATCGTCAAGTACAGAAGGTGTAGTGGATGGAAACACAAGCAAACCGACCGAGGTAAGTGATCTGAACATCCAATAACTTTCCCTTTCTTATCCCACGTGTGCCCCGACGTAAAGGTAATTGATATACAATCGGACCTTTCTCGTAAGCGACCGCGTCCTGTAGGCGATCATTTTCTTAAAGCGAAAAAAAATTTCCCAGTCAAAGCTTTATAGTTGGGGCCTCTTGCAAACGACCACCGCTCGTAAGCGACCGCTACCACTTTGGGGGGTGATGGTTTTGTTATTACTCTCTATTGTTTGTAACCTCTTTAAGCGACCACCTGATTTCTGTATTTCAGTGCTGTATTTACCGTGCTACTCAGATTATGCGAAGAATGTTTAGTGACAACATGAACTATAAATGTCATAACTTTGAAATCGCACGCAGTAAATTTTGCTCTTAAACTATATCTCCCATTAGTATCATTAACCTAGAGTACAGTGAGATATAAATTTGTAAATGTAAGGCGGAGTGTTCATGAAAAATCCCATTAGAGGCTTTAATAGCCACTAAAAGAATGTGGGCAAGAGTGAGTTTGGGCTCGATGGCACGATTTGTGTGTAAATTTTTGACAAACTTAATTGTTAAATGGTTGCTTGGTCCCTTTGTAGCTGTGGTTAGCGTATGTATGTATTCTGTGTGTAGGGACGAGACCAAGAGACGTGTGAAGTAAACGACGGCAAGGGCTCCCAAACAAGTGAAAACAGCACGAAAGAAGACGTAAGCGAACTGTTGTGTATTGGTAAAATCCAGCTAGTGGTCTATTATCATTACTGCGTTCTGATTGGTTGAGCTACTACTAGGCTATATGTTATAACCCACTAGTTGGGGAAAGCACTGGCTTTTTGGCGGCAAACAAGGATTAAAGTCTAGCTTTGACTAGCTAAAGTTGTTTTGTCTCGATATATTTGACTAGCTAGCTGGATTTTCAATTATTCCTCTCGCCCTCATGGCCTCTGAGTCAATAGCCCATTCGCCCTTCGGCCCCATGGGCTATTGACTCAGAGCCCATTCGGACTCAAGGAATAATTGTTAAATAGTAGTTTCAGAGACAATTCTACAACTGTTGCGTCAACATTTCAGTTATAAAAAGCAGAACTCGCCCTTCAGATCTTTTATGTTTATCGTTTCCAGATACCCAAACCTGAAGAGACTAAAGGAGCTGTAAAAAGATCGATATCACCGAATAACGAGGAAAAATTGCAACAAGAACGGCAAAATGTGAGTCTCAATGTTTTTTTAAGCCCCGTGAAAATGGTCGCAACATTGCTGGCCAACAATTCCCAACATTGTTGGATGTTACATGTTGCGTCCGTTTGCACACCACGTTGCATGTTGTCGGGTGTTGTTGGGAGTTGTTGTGCAACGTTCGAAAGCGGTCAAACTTTTTGAGCCAACAACCCCCGACATTTCTTTTGTTCCGTGATCGCCGAAGCATAGCGCATCAATGTTGAAATAGGATCCATTTGAACAGCTCTTTCAACGTTCTTGGGACCACGCACTTGCATTCTACATAGTTTACAAAGTCTTATGGGTCGTATCCTTCCCACGATGCACTACTACAGGTCCCAACATTGTCTGGAGTCGTTGCATCCGTTTGCACACCACTGCCAACATGGACGCAACAGCTGCCAACATTCTAAGGCCAACAATGTTGGGAGTTGTTGCGTCCGTTTGCACGTGGCTTTAAAGGATGAATGCTTATCTATTCACCTTCTTTACCTTGAAGGTTATCTGCCTTTGTTGTAACTCAGTTATAATCCATAAATCTTTTGCATTGTTGTCACGTGCCTATCTCTTATCTTACTGTGTTGGACAGCAAAATATTAGACTGTTTGCACATTATCACCTTTTGTGATTGTTGCGTGGTTGTTTGTTAAGAAACGGTCCAGATAAGAACGATAGCAACAACGGCAACGAACATGTTGGAATTCGAAAAAGGTGCTAACTTTTCTATTGTCTGTACTTACTTCTGATTGGCTTAAACAGCAAAAATTGAGAAAACTTCATAAAGAAGTACATATATTCATCCTTACTTTCCATCCATCTTCCATATAACAAAATCTGGTCTCAGTTTGAATAACAAAGAAATCCTATGTGGGGAACATGTAAAATTGTAAACTTTTCTTGGCTATTGTTTTCAACTCTTGTGATTGGTCAAAATCTTTTAACGCAAAAAAACAGCCTTTCAAAGTGGAGTGTAAATGCATTTTATTGCGTAAACGGCCTTCATGTAGGTTTATGCATTCTCTGTGTAAAAATGACAACATTCCTATGTGGGGAAAGCACCGTTGCCGCATAACAAAAGAAATTGCTATCCACCTTACCCGGATCATTACTTAATCAATTTCATTGTCCCTATTTTTTTTACATACTCGGAAAATTTCGACCGAATCATTTGGCCTTCAATTAAACAATTAAACAGCAGAATTATTCCAGATATATTCATCAGCCCTGTCCCTTTCTCGATTTTTACTTGTTCTCTAAGGGCCTGTTTACATGGAGGTGGGGGACCCCAGGTAGGTGAGGTAACCTGTTTTGGAGGGGTAACCCGCCTGTCCATATAATCTCTCATTTTAATTTGATCACGTTTACATGTTAGGAGGGGTAACCCGCCACATGTTACCCCACCTACCTGGGGTCCCCCACCTTCATGTAAACAGGCCCCTATTTAGTTTTGGTTCCGCTGTTGTTGCAGGAACCTGAAAAAGAATTAATCGATGAAGGCCCTCCTCCAGCAAGCCAAATTCCAGTGGTAAAAAATGCAATTAAGATAAAGCTCAAGTAAAAGCATACAGCGGAAACTGATTTTTGGAAGCAGCTGCAAGACCATGATACGGCACAGCCCAATGACCTTTCTACTGTTACGATTAATGTTTGAGCCACTGAAAACCGACCGGAAAGAACCATCACTAATTAAGGAGTAACGAGTCACATGTCCTTCCACGTGATCGGTCACGTCTTCGTCACGCGCCGCAGGGATTGTTTTCACCGCTCTCTACGTGATACGTGATTGCGATGCCATCATCCCGTACGCCGAATACCTTGTATTATTTTTGTGAGTCTGTACAAAGAAAATAAACTAAAATTGTATATTTTGACCTTTGTGTTGGTGTTAGTGTAAGCTTTGTTTATCACTTGCTACAATGTTTACTTGTTTTGTTCATTGAGGCCTGTGAGAACTTTTCCTATGTACAAGGAGCTTCTTAGAAGGGCAGGGAGTTTATAAACTTCGTGAGTTTTACACTATTATGTCAGAGGGTCGTTGATTATTTGTAAGGTGTGACAGAAAGTAGCAGAAGTTAAGGAAGTAGAAGTAAATGAAAGGGGCTGTGACACGGCTGGCATATCCACATAGTTTCTCTTGTTATTTTGTTTCCAATGCCAGTTACGCGTCCTTATTCGCTATGAAATAAGGGAAATTGAGAAATTTCTCGTCAATGACAAAATCACACCTTTGTGTCAAACAAATGTCTCCCAAGCGTTAAATCAAACGTTCCAAACAACAAAAATGAACTCTGAAACACTGTTAGACTGACAAGTTTTCAACAACATTAATTGTAATCCGTTTGTATCTTCTTCAATTTCGTCCATCCGTGCTTCCTTTTGTATTTGCTGCATCATTTTTTCTTCTTTGAACGGTTTGAGCAGTTATTTTTACGTTTCACTTTATTTGGTGACAGTTCCCACTGTTTAAATTTTGATAACTTTCGTGACACAGCTCCTTTACATAGTAAGGGACCACGTAGCTCTGAGGAACTTCTTTTCATTGGCCGTTGAAAACACACCTGCTGTTGCGTTTAGGGCTAGGGATACTGTTGAAGTCTTTCATCTTTAGTTTCCTCAGCTAATTAAACAACTAACCTGAGAAAACAGCCGACATCTCGCGACGTCGCCATTGATTTGCCCGCAAAATGACGTCTGGGGAACGAGTGGAGAAATTCCATACTGATGACGTGTCACTACCTAGACCTGGGTCGTGCTTCTGATTGGGTAAAAATTTACCTTAACCAATGAGAAGCACTTCCCAGATCTGGGCAGTGACACGTCATCTATCAGTATGAACTTTCTGTGCTCGTTTCTCAGACGTCATTTCGCGGGGAAACTAACCGTGGCGTCGCGGAATGTCGGCAGATTTCTCATGCTATCCTTTGGGCTATTGAACAATTTGTTCTTAGGACTTCGTGGTACCCAGGTAGGAAACAGTATTTGCAAGTTCAATATCATTTTCCAGTTAACAACTTTTGTGAGTAGGGTTAACTTTTGCTGTCTCACCTGGAAGCAATAAACACTTGTGTAATATTGTTGTGGTCTTCTGTTGTTTCTTTCGGAGGCTCTGTATGAAGTTATTAGGGCCATTTATACGAGGAAAAATAACACGCGTCTTACATAAGACGCGTCTCAAATAAGACGCGGACTTTCCGTATAAACGGCACATTTCGTCTAAAATAAGACGCGGCTTAGCTAAGACGCGTCTTATTAGATAAGACATGCTCGTATAAATGTTACAGTTCGCATCTTATTTAAGACGCGTCTTATTTTTCCTCGTATAAATGGCCCTATTGAGTGTTACCAGAAAGTTTCTGGTGTTACTAGAATTAAATAGCAAAGGAACTTGATATATTGACCGGCATTTCGAAAGGCAAAGGCAGCGTGGTCTTGCCTTAAGTCATTTGTAAGACTGAGGAAGAAATTTCCTTTCAATGTTTTGGCAATTATGTCAAGTTCCTTAACTGTCAAATCAGCCCCCTCCCACGACCCTCTTCAAAAAATATCTAGGCTATGTAGTCTACGGTGGAGATCATTTCCCAGGCCTCCCTCGCTGTCACGAAGGTCGTAGATGGGAAAAGAATGAATATTCCTATTTATATTCACCACTAAGAGACGGGAATGGGTGCGCAGCTCAAGCTGTGGAGCCTGAGTGTTTAATGCCGTCCAAATAACATACAAAGTTCAACATCATAACAAAAGAATGGTATTCAAATATTCCTAAATAAAGTCACTCAGGCTAAACTATTCACGTGCGCCGCCTGATACGAAAAACCCAAAAACCCAATGGGAAAAAATTGGGAACCTATTCCCCAACCGATGCGGTCGCACAACCTCTGGGGGTTAAAGGTAAAAAATCAATCGATAGATGAATAAAGTAAGATATAAAAATAAAAGTTGATAGCTCGAGAGCTGAGATAAATACATTACAACCGTCAAAACCTTATGCGTATACCCAATAACAATAGAGTCAATTGACGCCATAGCGGCTCACGTGCGTTCATACCAATAGGAAAGTATTTTACATTCTCTGTCACTGCCACTACGTTTAGCTCCGCCGAATGTAAATACATTTCTAGTCTTCACTTTTCCCCCCCTCCGTTTCGAAGGAAATCACGTTTTTCACAGAAAATGTGACGCAAATTTTACCATCACTAAATTCGCTTATTAATGACAAAAATCGAGATAGGCCAGTTTCGAACTATTGAAATTCATACTTGGCTCCGAAACTGAGTGCACAAAGACTAAGTCGGGGTGAACAATTCATTTCCTATGTAACGAAGTGTAAATTTTCGTAATTGAAATTGGCCTATTTGGATAGCTTCAGGCGTTCACTCGCGCGTACGCAAAAGCATGCAAAGAGACGGAGCAGAAAATACAGCGAGGGGGTGAGGTTGGGTGAGTGCGTGATGCACGGTTGGAATAAAAATTTGAGGCCTTTGGCATAACATAAATTTTATAAATCCAAAGTTGATTGTCTCCAAAATGAAGAATTCAAAGATAGTATTTGAGGCGAATTTTGGATTCTATGCCACAGAATTTGCCGGGGTCGTCAGAAAGGAGTTTCCGGTCTTACGGGGGGTTCCGCCTTTTACGGTACTCCCTCGTTTGTGATCTGATAAAGAAATGGCGGGATGTGAAAGTGAAAACGTTGATTACATGATGTATGATTTACACGAGCCATCGAATGACAACAACAGCCCACCAGCACTCAACATTACTATACCAAAGACAAGCGATCTGGTTAGAACTTCAAAGCGTTGGGCAGAAGTCCAGCTGCCGATAGATATTTTGCTTTTGGCAGTAAAGGACGACGACTTCTTAAGCTGTTACTATTTTCTGAGCGATGTCTTTCGAAGCTTCACGACAACCCTTGGTTACGTGTATTTCGGGAAAATCGGCAACGATGGAGAGGTGAAACTGAAAGTCGCCTTGATTACGTGCTCAGAAGGTGGTGGGGAACCCGGAGGGTCAGCAATGGTAGTGAACAAAGCCGTTGAAGTTTTACAGCCAAAAGCGGTACTTTGCATCGGCTCTTGTAGGGGCTTGTATCGCGATAAAACCAAGCTAGGAGACGTAGTGGTTCCATCCAAGCTGACCACGTACGCATCACGAAGAATGACAAGCACTGGAGTCGTGCCGTGCGGCTTTACAACGCCTTTAAGCTCAATGATGTCCCGCCTGATCAGACAGGCTGGGTTTGGTTGGAAGCCGCCATTGGAGAACCCGGAAGTTGGCGAAGTGAAAGTTCACCACGACATCGAACTCCTGAGCGGACCAGAACAGGTGGAATCGAGTCAACGACGTGATGAACTCGTTGGATTGTACTCCAACGCTATCGCTGTTGAATTGGATGGGGACGGTGAGTAAAAGATTATTACATTTTTTAAAAAATGGATAGATGTCATGAGATGTTGCTTTGTTGACTTTCCGTCCGCTTTCCATATATTTATAGATGTTATATTACTAGCAAAATAACAAATTAACATGTTAACTTTGTGTTACTTTATAAAAATCATAGAAAAATTACTCATTGCCAGCACTCATCGGAAATATTTGCTGGAAAAACAAATTCAAAGGTCAAGGCGTCATTTATCTTTGCCAGGACAGCGCGTGACATGTTACATAAGGATCACATTGATTGAAGTTGTAAACCGCAGTCCGTGCGGTGGCTTGCAACATAGGACCGGTTTCTATTTTCGGTTATAAGGCTTTGTTTGGTGTTTTAGTTGTGCTGTAGATACGGCGTTTTGGCAAATACCTACCCCTTTTGCTTGACGCCATTTTCATCACTTCTTTAAAAATCTTTGAATATTATTTGCAAGCTTCTAGAAATGGTCTCTTGATCTGTCTCTTGATATGACATTAACTTTCATTTTTTTAGCTTACTTCCTTTTTTTCACTGATCTTTCTGCAGGATTGGCAAAAGCTAGCCATGAAGGCAAATATATATATATTTTGTACAATCTGTTATATATGTAGGTGATCATCCTTTGACTGACCAATCCATTTTTTTTTTCACTTTAGGGATTTTTGCAGCAGCACATGATCTGAAAACAGAATGGGTTGTCATCAAAGGTATCTCTGGTTATGCAGACTGCGCGGCATCACTCACTAAACAGTGGTTGTCATTTGCAAGTGTCATGGCAGCATCTGTGATGTATAACATTCTCAGTGATACCTTTGTTTTCGAGCAATGGCCTCACTATCAGAATCCGATCAACTCCAGTCAAAGGACACGGAATGAAGGTACAGCATATTTTAAGGCCATGAAAAACGATGTGGAGTTGGCAGTGAGTGACTGAAACTCGAGAATAGTTTTGAAGTGGTGACATAACAAATTGGAACAGGGGCACCCAACGACAGTTTTCTGTAAAATATCTGTTCGGAAGAGCAAATATTACCTAGAATTTTCTATTACTTGAGGATGGTTAGAAATTTCTAGATGGCTGTTCCATTCATGCACAATTTTCAAAGCTTATCTAATAAATTCCCTACGATTCTCTGAAGTTTAATTTTTCATATTTCGCTCCCTAAGTTAGGCTATTTTTTGTAGAGAAAAGGAAAACTAAATTTTTCGGATTCAAAAATATGGTGGAGCTGAGAGAGAAATCAGAAAAATTCTCACTTTCGTAATACATTAATTTGCCTCAACAATTTTCAGGAAAATAATACTGAAGCCCTGTAATTTTGAAAAGACTCAAGTTCCCCTAAGATGACCGAACAGATAGAAATTATATAGCGCCGCTTAGAATGCATTTCTAGAAATCTAAAAGAACTCTTAATAGCCTAAAAAGTGTTTTTAAAGTAGTTGGGAGGAAACTGTTGTTGGGTACCCCTGTTGAAAGTGGACTTTTACGAAAGTGAAGTATTAAAAATCCTGCTCATTGAAGGTTTAAGGGACTAGAGGGCTAGCACAAATAAGAACATTTTTCGGGGGAGGGGGTGGAGAATGGAGAACACTTCCCTAAGGTTGTTTATGGTATCACTAGATTAATCTTTAGATTTTTCATTAAACTAGTACAATTTGAGTGCAGAGCATTATTATCTGAAGCACAGCTGTAATTGATACCTGGACATGTTTGGAGAGTAGAATTGGCCACTGTGGAGTAAAATAATACTGTACTTACCTGGGGTGTTAAATATAGATTATTGTTATTTCATATATTACAGAAAGCTTCAGCCATGCATCAGTTCAGCTACGAAGTGAAAGACCTCAGGTTACCTCAACTCAGACTGGTCAACATCAGAACTATGGCGAGGGATTTCCAGGTATTAATTCATGAATGTGGTATTGGACGTCTATTAAATATTTCCAAGAACTTCAAGTGCATAGTCTGTGATCACATGGTGGACTGATCACATTATCAGTCAGGGTTCTCATTACATTAAGTTTTAAAGTAGATTAAAGCTATGATATTGTTGGTTTTCACATGACGTCACTAAAATTCAAACTACAAAACTATCGATCCTACTGAGATTTTACTTTCACGCTGTATTAGAGCAGCTAAAAACTAATTTTCAAACAAATGTTCACTTCAAAAGGGTTCTTGGTTTTGTAATAGAGTACGCTAGAATTTCTAAGCTTTTGCGTGACGCAGCATTTACACGACGCCCAAGAGAGCTGTCATTTAGGTTAAAAAGGTGACTTTTTTTGAGGAATTTTGCTATCTAAACAGTTCAATGTGTTAGAAAAAGTATTACTTTAATGTTTATGAGTTCCTCTAGGAGTAAATTCACGCTTTTGTAGCAAAACTCAGTAACAGATGTTTCTGTTGGTTTCCGTCCGCCATGTTGGAGCTCATCCGGATGAGCTCCAGCATGGCGTGTCCATACAAAATTCTATAAATTTGGGTAAAACATTTCCTCGGATATCTCATATACGAATAATTATTGCTTCGACCCAAATCTTGGCGAGGGTCTTTGTACATTTAACTCCTTTCATTTCCCACATTCTGGACTTAAGCTGTTGAATGGTTTTGATTTTTATTTTGATCTATTTTGAATGGCGTGACGCTGAAAACCAGCAATAGAAAGCAGGCAGCTTGCCAATTGAGTGCTGAAGGCACTGAAACTGATGCGTAATCTGCCAATAGTTTTGTTTTGAAAATTAGAAAGTAATACGTGGGAATTTAACAGCTTTTTTACCAAATTGAAAACAATGAGAAGCCTTGACTGTGCTTTGTTCTGTTGTAAGCATTTGGGAAGGGGCTTAAGAGCACTCAGGAAGTAGATCAGATTGACACACTCAACTACATCTCCTGTTACCTCAGCCCTATACACTTCTTTAATGCTCTAGCTGCTTCCTGTATGCTTTACAACTTACCATAAAATTCCGAAAATAAGTCCTGGGGCTTATATTTTTCAAAGGCCCTTTTGAGGGGCTTATTTTTGGAGGGGCTTATATTTGGAGGGGCTAATCTATGGAGGGAAATTTGCATCTCAAAATCTATTGGACTAGCCTTATAGTATAGGATATTTTCCATTTTTGCTTTGTTTTACTTTGTATTTGAGGGCAATTTCCAAGAACGAGCCCCCGGGGGGCTTAAAGGAGGGGCGATTAAACGGAGGGTTTTTTGCATTACGAGTTTGGGGGGCTTATATTTGGAGGGGCTTATACATGGAGGGGCTTATTTTTGGCAGTTTACGTTAACAGAGCAGAAAGAGCACGAAGCGATAAGATCACTTGTAAAAATTTTTTGAAAAGCTCAGTTGGTTAAGAAGTTATATATTAAGCTTTGATTTTTGAATTTCTGGCCATTTTGTTACTATTTTTAGAAACACAGGCACATTTTACAATGTCTCCTAAAGTAACTGAATTGAGCTTCTCAAAAAATTTTCCACTGTTATTTGTATATTGTTGTCCTCATTAAAAATTATCTATCTGTTAGCTGGTCACCTGTTGAAGTTTAAATTTTGTTGTCAACCATGTGATGTAATTTTCTGCCAGAAACCATTAAAATCTAAAAAAAAAACATACAAATTATTGTATGGAGCACAAAGTTCTACCATCCTGGAAACTTTGCACTCAAATGGATAAAAACTGTAATTTTTAAGTAGTTCCTTGGCTTCAATTAAGTGACCTAAAGGTCGTGACAGGTGACCCGGCGTGAGTCAAGGTTTCTTTATATGTTAATTTATTTCCTGTCAGTAGCCTGATTATCTTTAGATTGATATTTTTTTATCCTAATATAATGTTAACATCTGAGTTTGATAGATTTTATTATTCTTTAAATAATTTTTAGGTCCTTTCAATGGAGGTAATTTTGGTAATGCAAGTAATTTACTGGGAAGCCTGTTTCAGACATATGTTGGAAGCTGTAACTCTGGCCAGGTATGTACAATATTATTATGGCCTTCAAAATATTATTGTATTTAGATTTTGGGTTTTGAAAAAATTTCTTGGTTAACAGTTTATTTTTTGCTAGTATAGGCAAAAAAAAGTTTCCTTGAAGAATCCCCTTTGCTAGGAAACTGACATGCTAGTTTTTGTTTGTTTTTAAAATCAAAAGAAAAAAAATCTGTCACATCTAGAGTTTATAGTCATTTCATTGGTATGGCTGCAAAGAAAATTTGTCAAAAGATTAGGAAAATCACAACCTTGGAGACTCAGATCTACAGTTAGCTGGCTCAGGATAAATTGCTCGACAAAGGTTTCTACATAATGCTTGAAAAATATTGTTTGTGCCATTTCTCCCAACCTGACTGACTACCCCTTGTCTCCAAAGATGGTAAAATCAGTGTGGGTATACCATTAATTCTGGTACATGACATTATGATGGCTAGTGTACTTGCTTAAAGTATCGTGGTTCAACTGTTATTGATAATTCTGCAGCAATACTTTTATTTAAAAGCCTATAGTTAACAAGCAATAAATCTGGTAATTCTCCATTTTTGCATAGACCATATTGCACCTTGTTTACCCTCCAAAATTTTGAACTGTGGTTTAGTTCTCCCAAGAGAAATCAAAGACAGTGGTTAAGAAAAATTGAAGGGGGGGTAGGGGGGTAGACATTAGGTAAATTATGGTCTATGTGAAAATGGTGAATTGAGGTGCAGAAGAAAAAAAAAGCTTTGAAGGTTGTAGTTTTTTACTATGGAGTGTATCATAGAGTTTTGTTGTCAGACCAGTACTTATGATCGGCGTCCTTGCAAACAGTTAGGCTTTTGCATGGCTCAGGTGACCACAGCAGTCCCATCTCCAGAGCAGACATTAAAATTGTGTCTTTTTACTTTCCTGCTAAATGCATTGACACTGAAATAAATTGCATCTTTCCATATGATCAGTATGATACTGAAATTAATTGAAGTTTTCATATTTAGATGAACTACGAGGGACGAATTTTCTGCTACAAAGCTTATGGCAGGTTTCACTCCTTCAGGGAGCCATTGGTGTTTGATGCCAGTGCTTCGGATCAAGAAAGTGGAATCACTGTTGAAGCAAAACATTATGATAACGATCAAAAGGCCATTGGTCATGCTGTAGAAAAGCTGAAAGGCAAACTACAAGAAAAAGGGATTATCTGAGGCCTGGACCTGACGTTCCATTGAAAGCCGTGGATTCTGAAGGATTGAACTGCTGGTTCTTTAGGGGCGTGGCTAGTGGGGTCCTGGGGTACCCGTGACCCCCCCTTGGTAGGCCTTCTTTTGAGCAAACAACCTACAATATTCAGGTGGCGAAAACGCCATGACAATATCTTGGCCATAAAAGCCATTGTTGAAAAGCCCACTTTTTTAAAATTTGTTTTTTTGTAAAGTATTTTCGTCAACGGCTATCGTCTTTAGTTAATATGGGCCTTCATGCCGCGACAATACGACTGAGCCCCCTCTGTGACCCCCCCCTTTGAAAAAACCTGGCTACGCCCCTGTTCTTAGACTACAAGGACGGCGCGACGGCGGCACCAAAATCGTCACCGAAAACATGGATTTGCGTTTTTTCAAACTTAATCGCGTTTCTTTAGCTTCGCTCAATCTGCCCAATGTAGGTTAATTTTCCTGGAGTGACTTAAAAGATTTACTAAATTCGCCCCACATTTGTTCTAAAAATAAACTGGTCAGTGAACACGCGGCGTTACATGTGTACATGAAAGTTGCTCACCCCGGGTTATGGGCTGCTGAATTCATCAGATGAATTTTAATTCTGGGTGGAGTGGTGCACTACACGATAAAATTTTAAAAATTAAAAATAACTTTAAAATTATGTACAAGGATTTTAGCTGTTTTAAAAAGTGAATAAAAGGGAAGTTAGGTATCTTCATAAAAACCACAATTTGTTTAAGATTAAGACAAAATAAGAGAGCTGTCGAAGTTTATACTTAAATATTATATTAATCAGTAAGAAAAACTAGTGGCTAACATGCAATCTAACGAAGTTCTCGAAAATGGGAAGCGACGTGGCCTCTTTTATTGATGTAGGTAAATTATTAAAAAGAACCGCACCTGAAAATCTAAATGTGTTTTTTCCTAGCGTTAACTGAAGGTTCGGTAGATGAATGTCGTTCGTTTGTTTTGTCTTGTAAGTGTAAACAGTGCGATTTCTAATAGAATAATGCGATAACATGATATGAAAGAACTAATTCATTTGGACAATTTTTTAAAAAACTAAAATACATTTGTGGGCTTACCTTTGCGTTTCCAAATCCACCCACCCTAACTGTTTCAATGATTCTTTGGTCGTTGCCCACTCCATATAATTGACGAGGATGCATGATGAGATAATCGATACTTTATAAACGTGCATCCCGATACACTAGTGTTAAGTGTATAATAGGATTAGGGTACGAGCTTGAACAATGATGTTTGAACAAACGAAAGATACGTTACTAAGTTATAGTTCGTTGAAAGGAAAACTTTTAGAATTAGCGTCGATTAAGTGCCCTCCTTCCAATAAACGGCCCTCAGCAAACACAGAAGGACCTTCGGGATAAAATTACTCATGTTGTGGGAGAACTAAAAAAGACATAGACTCAAGGCTCTTTTTTGCACTGAATGAGTCTTTGAAAAATGAGCAATGTGTCCTTGAAAGTTCTTGAAAAGTCCTTGACTTTTTTGTTGAAAAAGAGTACGAACCCTGTCTATAGTAGGATGTAGATGGTAGCTTTGCAGGGACGAAAGGAAATTGTGGCTGTAGGGAGACTTTAGAAGATCGATATTAAAATCGCCCATAATGTAAACCGGTTTATCTTTAGTTGCAAATTTTTCCAGGCAGTCATCAAAATAGCCTGAGTAACAGATGATTACTTCGAGTCGTGTCATTTCTACTCCCTGAGAGTAGAAAACGACTAGAAGTGGTAATCGTATGAAATTCAGGCTATCATCAAAATACTTTCGGAAACTCTCCTGGGAGTATTGTTGTCTTTACAAGACACCAAAGATTATAGACTTGTTTTTGTTTGACGGACTAAGATTTTAACTCCTAGATTTTAGGTCATTTTTGATTTTCTAGAATGTTTATAATAGCGTTCACTTGCCCTTGCCGAAATGTCTATGACTATAAATTTAGGAGATTCAAAGCTTTTAAAAGAGAATCCTCCTTCTTACTTTTGAAACGGAAATGACCGGAAGTCCAAAAATCTTCAAATCTTATGTCCCCAGAGCCTCCTGGGCTTCGTGCTCAGGTCTCGCCGACTAAGGGAACAAGAGGCTCTGGGGACGAGAGTGCCCCTCCCCTCGTCTCGCGCTTTGCGCAAAATGCCGCGTTTGCCTCGCTTGGCTCATACCCTGAATATGCATGTTTCGAAGCTCTTTTTCTATTAGTATGTGTAATCAAATGGTGACGAGTGAAATTAGGGAATAATTTCACGCGCGTTTTGTCCAAATCCTAATAATTTCCCGAGCCTTTTAATAGGTTCAGGTTTTCTAAAGCGTCTTTTTATGCCACGACATCTTCATTCATGACATTTTAAAACTTCCTCGCCATCTTGAAACGGAGACGTACGTCAGGTTGCCATGGCAATTTGGTAATTTCACATGTGAAATTACAAATTAACGCTGAAATTTGGCGCCAAAATTAAGGAGTAATTCGTTACCTATGATATTATGGTTGTTAGCCCCCTAGGACAAGCCAATCCATATTAAATAAGCCCTCCGAAAACCCTTACGAAGTTGCCTAAGCTTAGGGCTTATAATCAGCAGCTTACAGTATATAGAGTAGTTTTAACGTTCGTTCAATAATTGTTGCAGTCCTGAGCTGTCGCGCTTGCTCTGGCATCGTCTACTAACTCTACTCATCTTGAGTGCGCGTTGTCATCCACTACGAAAGCCCCCTTCCAGGAGCAAATTCAGCACACCCGTCTGTGCGTCACGGTTAGGAACCCATGAGCTCCTAGTCAAGTCCACTTCTGCGGTTCACCTTCACTGACCGCAATACACAATACTGAATAGGCCCAAATTCCCTCTGGGGTCTCTGACGATAATGTGGTTTCCTGTCTAAAAAAATCTTGCGCATTCTTACACGCTGTTCACAAACATGGCTGTGACATGGTACAGAAATATCGGCGTTTGATTGTGTACTGTTGTTATTCCCCAATTCCTAGTTAACGAATTTGACAATCTTGAGGCTGATACCAGAGACGGCGAGCATCTAACGAAGAGTTGATGTCTTAAACCGAAGGTAAACTTTGTTGATCTGATAACAGAATGATGCTTCGATACATGTTGAGACAATTTCCTAGCTACCCGTGCACAAAAATGCAGTTACATAGCGCGGATAATGAGCTACAGATCAAAAGCCTTGAAAGTCTTAGTAAAGGCTCGCCAAATACATTATCAACTCAGTAGATACAAGTTTGGTACGGAAAGATATTTTGCGTATAGAGGCATGCGGAAAAAAGTAAAGCTGTTTCGGCAGTTTTACCAACAAAGCAAAACTTGACTACGACACTGACAATTGACAATTCTTCGACACTGACAATTCTTCTCGGCATTTCGTGCCTCGCTCGGAAAGCTTAGCTTTCCAAATACGTCGCCCTTCGGGCGACGTTCGTTCCCACCGAGCATTACGTAATATTTTACCACGTTCGTATGACGGTTTGATAGGTCAAGTCGCATAGTCGATTCTACAGTAAACAGAGGCGACTCGTGCGATCAGTTGTAAAGTTTTCGCTTCGCTTGCCATCACCAATAACTCCTCTGCGCCCTGTTTTTTGGCCCAACTTAACTATCGATAGAGCCCTCACCACAGGGGTAGCTACTTCGATATAAGGGCTATATAGGTATGTGCCGCCGTGAAGGGTATGGTATTCAAGCAGTATAGTCTGGGATAGGGTTGAGAAATCAGAAAGTGTGAGTCTAGAGTAAGGTATTATTTTCTAGAAAACTGATCAATTCATTGAGGATTAACATGCGCAACTAGCGAAATTCTTAGGAATCCACGCGAGTGAGGTTTTGGCAGCGAAGCAGCCATTCTCAGCATTCTCGCGCGCGCGGATTCGCAACTCTCTGCCTCAATGCGCGCTGACTTGACGATCCCGCCAGCTACACAGGCTAATTGAGGATTTTAGTTTAGACTAGGGAAAACGGGAATTGACAATAAAAAAAGAGAGATTGGTAAATTAATATTTACCCGCAATTCAGTTTAATAGGAAAGAAAGCGTTGATAGATGGGAAATATAGTAAAACAAGATAGCAGGTCTAGTATAGGCTAAAGTTTGCATGGGACCAGTGACATATCCCTGCTCAAAACGTCCTAAAGTACCCCGCCAGGCCCCCACCGAAACTTGATTTAAACCGGCGTCCAGTTTGTCTGTCAGTTACTCTTAAAGCTTTTCTCGTAGACAAGTTTCTCCCTCTGATAGCATCCCAACTCGTATAGGGTCGCCGAAAAGCACGCGATCGCGAAATAAACAAGAAAAATGCTATTTTTGGGAAATAAGCGTGTTGAGTTTGCTGATGATTTTTTTTCTTTAATTAATTTTAGTTCCTTCACCTACTGCGTATACTAACTGGAGATGACAGCATTGCAGCCGTTTAGTGACGAACAATTAAATTTCTTTAAGTTCTCGTCCTTAGTGTTAAATGAATTCCCGAAAGCCTTACGGCAGACCTTTAAAACCATGTGGGACAACACCTATGGACATCTCCCTGGTTTCCAGCTCTGGGATGATTCCACTGCTGTGAGAAATTTGTTTGCCGCTACAGAGGGTGGCAGGACTAAAGTTCCTGTTCTCCAGTCTTACAATGAATGGGATTGTACCAACCTGTTCCAGGCCACAATATTTGCTCGCTCCTTTGCCTTGACAGGAAGCACTGGTTCCTACACGACACTCAGTGATTTGTACTTAAAACCCTGTGCGATACCTCATGGAACTTTCCATGCTTCCTCGGTCAGTTTAAGTGGAAATAATGCGGAGACCTTTACACTTGCGATTGATCAGCTTCGTCTTCTTAGAAATTCGCTTTGTCACTCCACCAGTAGTGAGATGGACAAAGCTACGTTTGACCAGCGCGTGTATTACGCCAAAGCCGCGTTTCAAGCCCTTGGTGTCCCGACAGCCTCAATTGACGCACTTGGTAGTTTGACTGGGTCCGATTTTCCCACAAATGAGGTTCGAAAATTGGAAGAAAGAATCCGAGAGGAGACTCGGGCGTACATCAAATGTCTCGAGGACTTCAGGGAAGGGCTGGAGAGTTTGAGTTCAGACATCAATGATTTAAAACAACAGGTCGAAGTGGATAATGCCAGCAAAGAAGACATTACTAGGTTAGAAAAAAAGATTGATGAATTGAAAGTAGGAAGAGACGAACATGATAATCTACCTGACAATTCAGGTAAGATATTGAAAAATTATTCCAGCCGAAGGGTCAGTGTACAATTTGGACAAATACAGTTGAACTCCGGTAACTCGAACTCTGAAGGCAAACGAAAAACAATCACATTAGCGAGGAATTCAAGTTATCGGGGTAAATTTTAGTGAAATTTTGATCAAGGGAAAGGACATTTAGTTCCTGTTATCGGGGAATCCAAGTTATCCGAGATGGACTTATCGAGGTTCTACTGTAGTAAGCAAATTGTAATTGCAGGACTGGTTAATTCAGCCAGTCCCATTTACAAATAAGCAACCTCAAAGCCTGACTTTTTCTTTTTGATCCGTGCCCTCAGATTATAATGAAATTTAAAAAGGTAGCAGTCTAAGTCGCGGAGAGTTAACCTTTTTCCAGGTAGGTTTTGTTTGCACCCACAAGTCTCCTGTAGCTCAGTGGTAGAACATCTGTTGACTCCTGTTGGCGAGTTCTCTGATTTTTTCTTTCGAGTCGTCTGTGTCACTTTCTAGAGAAAATCTTTGTCAAGGTTTTGATATGTGTGGAAAAGATTACTATAAGCTTTCTTTATATAAAGAGATGAAGGAATAGCCTTGGGTCGACTTTATAACCAAACTCTCTTCCTAATTCATCAGGTTTCGTATAAATAAATTTACGGATTCAAATTCACTGATTTATGGTCTTTTCTCATCATAAAAGGTATGAGACCACCGCTCTCAAGAGCCTACCTTCCTTCAATGGTTCCCAATTTCATTGGGCGACAGAGCGAAGTTGAGGAGATCATCGGACATGTCACTTCCGAATCCACCCGACTTGTGTCGATCTGGGGTTCACCTGGATTCGGAAAAACATCGGTTGCAATTGCAGTGGGACACGCTCTTCAGACTCAAGGGCTGCCTGTGCACTGGGTCTCATTGCGGGGACTTCAGTCAAAGGCGGGTCTGACTTCAAAGATTCTTGGCCTTTTAAGGCAACCAACCATTAATAATCAACCGTCCGATGAGCGTCTGTCCCATGATGATGAGATCTGCCAACTATTCAACAAAATATCAGAACAGTCTGTATTTATTCTTGATAATGCCGATGATTTGTTAGAAACTGGTTGGCCAAAAGTGAAGAAAGAGGTCATGCAACTTCTTGAAGAAATACTCAGGCAAAACCCAAGGGTGACATGCATTGTAACCACGAGAGAGTCTCTTGAGTTTATGGACATTCATTTTCGAGGCCATCAAGGCTTGAGAGTAAGAACATTAGATAAAGCCTCCACAAAATCCTTAATTCATGAGTTACTTCCAAATGCGAGCGCTGCAGATTGCATAGAAGTCGCGCATATCTGCGGACAAGTTCCTTTGGCCATAAAATTAATGTGCTCTTTGATTTCTGAAGATAATTCTTTACCAAGCCATTTTCTAGATGATTTCAAGGCCTCCTCTACAGAAAGTATCGTGAGCATGTTGGACATTTTTGACTCCTCTTTCCAGAGACTAACTACACAAGAACAAGAAGCACTAATTTCTTTGAGCATTCTCCCTGATAATTTCACTACTGAGGTCGCTGCGGCCATTTTAGGCACCAAAAGTGGTTTTCAAGCCAAAAGGATGTTACAAAACCTTCGGAGGAAGTCACTAATTGATTTAGGCTCTAAACCCGGGACTTTCACGATGCACAAACTGTTGCAATCATTTTCGAAAGATAAAGGAGACAGTGAGATGAACAAGACGATTCTCAATGCAAAGGGTCGTTTGAATGCATTCTATGTCTCGTACTTTGATAAACTAAATAAACAATTTCTCACCAGGCATTCCATGGATGCATATATTGCATTTTATGAGGATAAGGAGAACATTATTCAAAGCTTAGTAGAGGGATGTTTTGACTCCAAAACAGCTGACACTGTCTTTGACATATTGGTCAAGGGAGAGTTGTTTCTTGACTCTCTGTTTTGGACCGCGAGTGAAGGAAAAAACTTTGATGACATATACGATGCCGCCATAAAAGCAGCCAATCTGCATGGAAATGAAAAATACCATAGGCAGCTCCTTACTTCCAAAGCTGTCGGTGAAGCAACCTGGGGAAGAAAAGGACAGACGAATCATCTTCTCTCTGAAGTGAAAGTTCTGCAAGCAGCATCGTCCCTTGTTTCTAATCAGGAAAAAGGCAAACGCCTCTGCTATTTAGGAATCTGTTACCTTACTGCAGAAGAAACGAAGAGTGGAGTCCACTGCCTACAGGAGGCGCTTTCATCACTGGAGACTTGCAAAGACCCAGAGTCGTTATTTCTAAAGTTTCTCATTCTTCAGATCCTCGTTTGTTATTATCAGTCCCTAAATGACTTCTACAATGCAAGTTACTACTATGACAAACTCCGCTACCTCTGTCCTCTGCAGTAGGAGATTGCAAGCTGCTTATTATTCCGCCGATGAAAAGCAAAGCACAAAAAACTACCAATGAAATGCAGGTTGAACAGGACTCAAACATTTTGCTGAATCAACCCTTCGAATTCCAATTTGTCTGTCTCTTAAGTGAAGCTACAAAGTTTTTCGCTGACACTAAAACCAAACAAAATACAAATGTTACAGCGCCTCGAAAAAGATGTTACACCTTCAATTGGTTTGATAACTTTTCACACAGCTGTGGTAAAGCTGCTGTGGAATAGGAATGGTCAAGACCCTGAAAAACTATTTTGGTCAAGAATAAATTATCATGAAAAAACACTCAATCAATGCAAAGAAACTTTCCCAAATAGTCACTACTTTGGCGGCTATGGTCAAATACAAATTGAAGCGCTTGTGGACTGCTACTTAAACCTGGGTAAAGTTTACAACAACAGAGGAAACTATTCAGAAGCTCTTCAGTCATACAAGAGAGCGCTGGACACAGCAACAACGTCCTTAGGAGAACAACATGAAAGGACTTCCGTTACCTACAGGGAACTTGGTGTAACACAAACCAACATGCATGACTACAGCGCAGCTCTACAATCTCACCAGCATGCATTAGCTATCCGTATTAAACTATTTGGAGAGGAACATGAAAACACTGCTGACAGCTACAGGGAACTCGGTGTAACACAAAACAACATGGATGACTACAGCGCAGCTCTACAATCTCACCAGCATGCATTAGCTATCCGTATTAAACTATTTGGAGAGGAACATGAAAGCACTGCTGACAGCTACAGGGCACTCGGTGTAACACAAAACAACATGGATGACTACAGCGCAGCTCTACAATGTCACCAGCATGCATTAGCTATCCGTATAAAACTATTTGGAGAGGAACATGAAAGCACTGCTGACAGCTACTGGGAACTCGGTGTAACACAAAACAACATGCATGACTACAGCGCAGCTCTACAATCTAAGCAGCATGCATTAGCTATCCATCTTAAACTATTTGGGGAGGAATATAAAAGCACTGCTGACAGCTACAGGGCACTCGGTGTAACACAAAATAACATGCATGACTACAGCGCAGCTCTACAATCTCACCAGCGTGCATTAGCTATCCGTATTAAACTATTTGGAGAAGAACATGAAAGCACTGCTGACAGCTACAGGGCACTCGGTGTAACACAAAATAACATGCATGACTACAGCGCAGCTCTACAATCTCACCAGCGTGCATTAGCTATCTGTATTAAACTATTTGGAGAAGAACATGCAAAAACTGTTGAACACAAAATAACATGCATGACTGCCTAAAGATCACAATCTCACCAGCGTGCATTAGCTATCTGTATTAAACTATTTGGAGAAGAACATGCAAAAACTGTTCACAGCTACACGTGCCTAAAGATCACTCAAAATGTGCAACGCGATAAAGATAAAAAGAACAAAATGGAAATGACGAACCTGTAGACCTTTTTGAAAGCTAAGTGAAGTTTCTTTGTTTAAATGAATGAGAGTTTGTACAATACAATACATTATTATTCATTCAAAATATTTTCCCGATTCTGATTGGCTAAAAGCACACGTTTAATTCACCATAACCACTTACTGATAACCAAATTTGGAAGAATTTTGTGTTTAACGAGCAAATGACGTCAAAAATGCAGCGTTTTCGCAGGTTAAGGCACCGTTAACCGAGAAGACCTGGGGACGAGGTTGAGTTGTTAAAATAAAAATAAAAATAGAAAGAGAAGATTTCTCATTAAAAACCTATGTATAAAAATAATTATATACACAGTTAAAAATTATTAAAACTAGGACTAGATCACAAGATTATTACATAATGCTGTAAAAGCTAAGCAAAATGTATTTACATGTATTTGTCGATTAAAATGTAAAAGTTAAGAAATCCAACTTAGACTTCATGTTTTTATTAATAAATGTTCCGATTTTATTAGCGGCACGAAACTGATCCGGAAGAGCGTTCCAAATCTTAGCTGCAGTATAACGCCACGATTTAAGTCCATAGGTGGTTGTATTTACTTTGGGTAGCTCGAGGATGTGTCTTGCTCTAAGATTATAATTAGTTCAGATCGTTCATGCAATAGCTCTCCTATTCCTCTAGGGACTTTATACCCATGGATAGCTTTGTAAACAACGGTGGCCATTTTAACAATTCTTTGATTAAGTGGGGACAGCAGGTCTAGTTGTTTAAGCAACGTCTCGTACGTGGTTGACTTGTCACGGGTCACAAAGCGAAGGGCTCTTTCAGCAATTAAAATGCGGTGTAATGAAAGCACGATATATATCTGCTCTCAATTCAAAAGCAACATTTTCTTCAGACGATTGAGAACATAAACCTGTTGACTAACTCAGTACGACAGATTTTACGTGTTAAGGGTTAATAATAGAACAGATTACTAAAAAAATTCCCTTTCTTGTATTTTATGTTTACACGGCATGTGGGCAGAAAATACGTAAGAGCTTGATCGTCAACTTAACCCCGGTTTATTAAGGAGACCCGGTCAATTTTCTGCCGGGGGGAAGGGGTAAACTATTCGCCCAAAAAAATTCTTGCAAGTTGCCCAAACGTTTAGCATTTCGAATGGTAGCCGAAAAAAAAAAAATAGGCAGTTGCTCTATATCCTTTCTGGCTCATCCAGGTAGTCAAGCATGACGTTATTATGCCTGAGCGCTTCTAGGATATATAACACGTTTAGCATTTCGACTGGTAGCCGAAAAAATAAAAGTCCTGACATTATGCTAATATGCCTTTTGGAGTAAGCGCTTGTGGAATATAGAACACCTTTAGTATTTCCACCTTTAGAAAGAAAGATATCCTATCATTTCGTTGTACTAAATCAATGTCAATGTGATACACAGCACCGAGATACATTAAGGGGAGCACTAACGAAATTGGGTAATATTGAACTATAGATATTTAATCGTTCTTGCCTGTGTTGGCAATGAGATCGACCGCAGACTTTAAATGTTCTTTTTAGAAGGCAATGAATTATTTTTTTCGTACATTTTGTTAGATACCGCGCTTTAAATTAATTTTATTTCTCGCCCCAAGATAATGACATGATTGCGTGGAAACTGACGCCTCTATCATGTTAGATGCCAAACACGATCAGAGATCAGATTAATGGAATAGGAAACGTTGCAAGCTACTGGGTATCCAGCTGAGATATCTGACTTTTACCCAGCTATCTCAGCTGGATACTGAGGTGTTTTTTTGGTTGCTATTAAGATCGTGCTGCTCGTTATGCTTGCACATCTCCCATAATGCGCCTTATATGCCTCCCCCCCGCCCTCCACTTCGCCACTTTTTGTCTCGTTTTTCAATATAGGCTTGGCTCGATAAAGACCAAACTTGAGGAATCTGTAAATCTCTGTTCCCTGAGCCTCGTGTTGTTTATTCCATAATAAATTGACTAGTACCCAGCCTACTCGGTTTGAAATTAGGCAAGAGTGTTTTCACATGACGTCACGGCGGCCATGTTGGTGTCCCAAACCAGTCCTGTGGGAGTTGAACTCTTTTCTCATGCAAACGCTTTCTTTTGTTTCAACAAATTTGCATAGATGCTGGCCACGTGAGTGAAAACACTCTATATCGAAAGCAGTCTGGGCTCGACGTGACACTACCCGGAAGTCGGGCATAACGTCATTCGTTCATTTTGAGCTGGGCAAAAACCTAAAAACAGGTTAATTTTTACAAGTTAAAGCCGATTCAACGTCGAACCGTCCCTTCTCGAACATAACTGCTGTTATTTCTCCAAACAGCCAGGCGACATGAATATTATCCAGGATATCGCAACATTATACTCTGCTCTTTTGCTGATAACCGGTGAATCAGGACAGGTTCGTTATCATAGCTGTTATAATTCATCTTCCAGTTTTTTGTTGTGTCACTTACTATCTATTTGCACTTGCTTTATCTTCAATCCTAGTATTGACTGTGTTAAAATAATAACTTAAAAGTTCACTTCCGGCCTCTACATTCACGCGCCATAGCTAAGCTGGTTTTCATGTTTGTTTTCGCTTCCTGATGAGGGAGAAGTTAGTTTTTAGTTTCCAAATGACGTAAGTCTACAAACATTCTCAAATACAGGCTTTCAAGACTACGGCAATCGCGTAACGCAACACACGATAGCGAAGATGCGTGACGTTTTCTTTAGCCGCGAGGTAGGCCTTTCAGAATCAACAAGAAGAGGAGGCTGGCGAACGAGTTATGCGAGGAAGGGGCGCCGGGGAGGAAAAAGAACTTGCTCACTTCCTCACGCGCCCTTTTAAACGCCTGTCAAGCAGGTTATCTGCAAGCGGATTGATCAGATTGTTACTGATTTCCTGGAAAAGCAGGATCAAGGATCAGGGATCAGTTGAAAATATATCAAATAAATTACCCCTACGTGACTCAGGGTTTCCTGGAAAAGCCGGATCAAGGATCAAGGATCAAGGATCATGATCCTTGATCCGGCTTTTGCAGGAAACCGGCTGTTACTACGACTTTTGCTTTTTTAATACGATCTCTTTCTATGTATATAATCTTTTGTTATTGTTGTTGTTGTTGTTGTGTTGTCATGTTAGCATGTTTACTCCATCATCCAATAAAGCAGTACCTATAAAACTATCCTGCCTGCGAGAAAGCTCTTTGGAGGACCGAATTTTATAGTAAATTTAAAACAGTAAACTGATCCTTACGGCAGCCGGAGAGTGATAGAAAAAATGAATAAAGAAAACAAAAATAAAGTGGTGAGTTTTATTTACCCGATATTTCGGTTTGCAGCACTCAAGATTTTACTGATCCAGGTCTACTAAAGATCCGCGGATCCTCAATGGTTTGTCGTTGTGGTTTTGCCTTCACAAGAGTCTCCTTCTGGGAGTCTGGGATCGAGTGACGGGAGCTGAGAGAGCCCCAGAGTCCTTAGAGAGTTTGCTTGCAGGCTACTTGAACTATAATACCCCATTGGAATTCTTTAATTCACTCCGGCAAAAGGCTAGTGCTGAAAAGCGCAGGTTGTGAGGCATTTATAGGTAGCAGATTCATATTTTATCAACTTGATCGACAAATCTTAACTTTGCCAACCTCGTTTCCAGGGTTCTCTCCTACCCGTCTCGCTCCGCACTCTGGGAACGAGGTCGTAACTTTGCATCACACTGCCTTGACTGACCACTGACTGACTGATCACCACAGAATTGCCGACATTCAAAGTGATTTCCTGTTGCGTGCAGAGGCGACACTTTCTTTGTATGAGCTGGCTTTTCGCACGCCTGCAGTTCACACTCGGCTCGAAGATGAACCCTTTGCTCGCAGGATATCAAACTCGTAGTACCCTGTCCCAGTTCGTTGCTTTTTTCAACATTGTTGTTTTTTCCCATTTTTTTTCGCAGCTGAATTATCAGGGACGAGTGATAAGCTACAAGGCAGAGGGTCGCATCCACAAGCTCAAGTGGGTGTACGATGGAACAGCATGGGATATAGAGAGTGGAACAAGTGTTAAAGCTAAACACTATCAAAGCAAACACGGAGCCATTGAACACGCTGTTAAAGAACTAATTGATAAACTCAAAGCTAATGGAATAGTAACTGGTTGAATCCACGGTTCTTTTTTTAACTGGTTGAGTAAAGAGGTCCTTTGTTCTTTTGTCATGACTGGGCTGCCTGTGGCAAGCCCACACTTAAAATTCTGTTCTGTTCAGTCGTCTTCGACAAAAAACGAGAACCGTTTATTATAAACCCGGCGTTGTGTGTTTTCGTAAAGCATTGGATCTTCATTTTAATATTTTCTTTTCTTTAATGTAACACACCCCTTTTGGGGGTCTAAATATTAAAAGATTAGGATAAATAAGACACGGACCCCATAAAGGGAACCGCTATGAATTCCGTGCCAGTTCATCTCAAAACTTCACATAGCTTGAGCCCATATGATATATGAGGGCCGGAAACCCAGTTCCAGGTGTTCAGATAGTAGAGCGCGGAATTCAGATCCGTACGACGGGGAAAACGAGGGGAAAATACGAGGGCTGAACGCCTGGAAACAGGCTGAATGAATGTGACAATGACTCAGTTAACTCAACAATTGGCGTTAAAAAATTAGTTACTAAGTGTTATCGAAAAAAATAGTAGTTTGGAACATTCCTTCCGCGAATTTTACACTGGAACGATACGGAAAGCTGTTTTCCGTTTTCAACCAGATTTTACGGAAACATTTCGTATTATCATGCCATTTTCTTACCAATCCACGTCCAATATAACTCCACGCATTCCACCCAACCCCTAAAATATACAACGCTACTGCACTACTCACACATCCCTAATACACATACGAAAACTTCACACACGCCTAGTACATCGACGCCCAAAATCGAATGCAAGTTAAATTCGGCGTCCGACGTTTCTGGCCATGATCCACTTTCAAGTACATTATAGCCTTAAATCGCAAAAAAAAGAAACAGCCAAAAGCTTGTCTCAAATCAACAACCAAATTACCCAAAGTCTGTTTGATTCGCTTGCCAACTCTGTTCCCTACTCGGTTCTTAACTCGGCTCCTAATATAACTCGGTTCACAACTCGGTTCCGAACTCGCTTGTTTGTTTACCTGCCCACGCATACAGTTATAATTCCACCGGTCCAACTTTTATGCTATGCTAATGAGATAAATATCTTACGAGCGTTTCTGTGTAGGTAATTTTTTTCTGTACAATAGATTCTCACGAATGTTTACGAGAACATATAATAATGATTCATATTTATTCACCCATGCGCAAACTCGGCCAACTTTATTTTTGAAAATTTTTAGCGACATCGTTGTCAGGCCTCTTCCACTAAAACATTGCTGATCGCTTGTGTTTCGTGAAAACTGAGGAAAGGCAAGCTGCCAGGATGAACAATTTAGAAGATCTGAACCACAGCTAATTAAGTATCACGAAATCACTGAAAAAGTATCATGCGTCGACTCTGATCGTAAAGAGAGCTCGGAACCTCAAGGCTATCCTTGCTTCTCTCTGACCAGCCGACTTGGCGATATACTGCAATCGGTTGATGACTTGGTATTAAAGTGGTAAGTAGAACTGCAACTAATTTTATAGTTAAACGCCACGATGTTTTTCACAAATTAAGTGTTTTCAAAGGTTGTGATCCGAGAAGTAACATAGCTGACGAACGTTAAACTGGTGTTCGATACGCTGCTAGAAAACCGTGGACCAACAATTTCACATTGATGTATCTTGGCCTGCGAACAAAAGTACCCTTTAGTTTTTGTTAGGTTTATTTTGAGGCTTTGATTGAATAGTGAACAGTGGTGGGGATATAACGAAAAGCGAACCGTCGAGGTATATATCTATTTACCAAGTCAGTTGGATAAAAATAAAAAAGAAAGTTTTTCGAAATAAAAGACGTCACTCAGAAATTGTTTACGTTGCAATTGAATGTGTTTCGGGGATCACTTTTCACGAATTTTTTTAAATTCAGTGAGAACTGAAATTTTTTTTCTACCGACCAGTAAACGTCGTCAAGCCAAATTTTGTCTCTTTCTTGGTATTTGTTGGTGCAGCTCTTCATTTACCGCTAAAATTTCATCTTTTGAAACTGTCACGAAACGAGAAGCGATTTTAAGACCCTGTTATTGGTGCGGCGCTTATACTAGAGCGGCGCTTATTCGAGAGCGACGTTTATTTCAACTACTGGTAAAATACTGAGGGGAATATGAAGAGAATTACTGGTATGCACAATTTAGTATAAAATATGTACATCTTGATGAGAAATAAAACGCAAACTGCGGTGACAAACATGAAGTTAAACGAGCGCATAATACGTTTCGATCAATCAATCAACAACTTTATTTAAGTGTCTAATCCTCTAGCTTGCCGTCAGGCCTACTAACTGGGGACACTACTAAATTACTTGTTAATAAGAAATATATATACATAATACTATAAGCTAATAAGATTTAACTATTCTAAAACTACTTAAAAGATACACCACATTCAATATGCTTCGAAAATACACCTATGTAATAAATAAGAAAAAAAAAACTATATATACAATTTTATAATATATCAGCTCTACTAGTTATGATATTTTGAATAACTGTCTTAACATATATCTTGGGAAGTATCCGTAATTAAGCTTAAAATTTTGAAATATATAATGACAGTAATTTGAGTAACCTTGAACTGTTTCAAGAGTTACCCTACATTAAAACTTTAGAAATCACGAGTTGGTCGAAGTCTTATTTCTCAAGCGATATCAAGCGCCGTAACAAAGGTGGGGCGTTAGCTATAGATTGTAATATATCCAAATAAGCGCCGCGACGCTAATTCGAGAACGGCGCTTATTCCAGAGCAGCACTTAAGCGATCATTTACGGTATCCAAGGATATTTCGAGTTACGGGAGCCAATCAGAACGAGCGAAAATCGCTATCCACTGATTTGGTGAATACCAACAGTTTTACCGTAAAGTGCAGTTGCACCCCATGACGCTGCGCTCCAAAGGAAAAGAGCCAACATTGAAACATGAGAGTATGAAAATCTGAGAAATTAATTTTTATATTCTACTTTTGTCGTTGTGCTGTCATGAAAAAACTGGTCAGAAATTTAACGCGATCGTGTTTTCTTAAAACAAGCTTTTTTCTTTTCTTGCCATCAGTTGCATGTTTAGATCACATCAGACCGTGGACGATCAGGGCCCGGCAGGGGAAGTCTCAAGAAAAAGTGAGGGATAGTCTGTAGAGGTAAGTATTTTAGAACTAACTGAGTTTCGTTAAATCAAATCCTGATTCCTGAATTAAACAATGAAACCGAAAAGGAAAACCGGCGGTGATATTGATCGACATATATTGATGAAGCTGAGGATGTAAGGATATACAACAGGGCCCAGTTGTTCGAAGGCCGATTAGCGCTTAAGGCCGGGATGCACGTGATGGGCTCCTGCCCGGGGTTAAATTTAACCCTTATTTCTTTTTTTTTCTGGCGTTCAAAAGCAATTTCTCCGGTAACTTTCTCTGTTATTTTTAGAGCTTCCAATCATCAACTTGTAGACAAAAAGAATTACTGAAACTGAAATGCTTTTTAAGCTTTCAAATCTGAATTCAAATCTCGCACTAACCCAGGGTTCTTCTTAACCCAGCTTTGAACAACTCGGCCCAGGCATATATATGAATGTACAAGGGAAAAAAATTGAATCAACGGTGCACGACTAGTCGAGGTGGTTCAGCAGTCACTGAATTCCTGGGTAGTACTTGGTGTAAGACTGCCCAAAATGTCTCGGGCCACCGCCCACCACTGAATTCCTCCGACGCAATCTATGTGGATTTTTTAGCGATGTAAATCATTTGCAATAGCTGTAGTAGCTGTAGTAGCTGTAGTAGCTGTAGTAGCTGTAGTAGTTGTAGTAGCTGTAGTACCTGTAGCAGCTGTGGTAGCTGTAGTAGCTGTAGTAGCTGTAGTAGCTGATTTTTTTTGCGATGTAAATCATTTGCAATAATTAACTGAGTTAATTGGTAATTATTAAGTTATGGTAATATTGTAGAACCACCCCGAAACTTAGAAGAAATGTTTCCCATCCGGATATAGCGACTTCCTAAATAGCACGCAAACTTAACAGAACGTGATGGAAACTTTATAAATAGCATGCATACTTAATATAATTCGCGTGAAAGCTTAATATAGATCATGCAAACTTAACAGAACACATGCAAACCAAGAGAGGATAAAGGAGACAGAGAAGATATCCTCCATACACACCCTATTCCATAGGTAATTCGTCTCGAGTTATTTTTAGAATCGGGATAAAGTAACCTCGCGCGCTGCGTGGATGTTTCGTGGAGGTGTCGTATGACTAAACGCCGTGCAAAACATGTCGGGCGAAAGGCAATGAAAGCGTAAAGAGACCGAGAGCATTTCTGAATATTGAAGCGAAATGAGTCAGCGCTCACCTGGGAAAAGGGAATCGCTAGACTCTTTGACAACCCGTGAAATCAGTTTAACTCGAAGTTGTCGTAACCTCATTGCTTTAATAAAATGAGAAATTTCGCCGGTCTATTGAAACTGGTCGTTTGTACAATAAAGCAAGTAGGACGCCAAGCGTTATTTTTGTTGAATAATAAAAGACTAATAAAAGAATAAATATCAAACCAGAAATTGCTGTCTTCAAACTGTAAATTATAAATGATCCTGAGATAATGTTCAATGTGTTAAGGATTTCCCTGCTGTACTGTTAGCTCCATACAAGAGAGGAAGGGAGATTCTTTTTTAATTTCCGTTTTGCTGACACAGCTTTAGCAGAAATCTCTCTGTAGTCGTTTTCGTCGACAAAACGAATAGCAATATCGCTCTCCGCGTCTTCCGCCATTATGCTCTGCGTCAATTCGTGAAGGACGCGTGGCGTTGAGCGTGGGTCATCCACGCAGAACACATTCGCGCTATGTGATTGGCTGTTGTCTAATCCTCCTTGAGATCTGTGGTGTTAAAAATAACTCGAGACGAATTACCTATGGAATAGGGTGTGTATGGGGGATGCCTTCTCTGTCCCCTTTATCCTCTCTTGATGCAAACTTAATAAATAGCATGCATACTTAACAAAACGCGTGCAAACTTGCTATAGCCGGGAAAGCATGCAAACTTAACTGAACACATGCTAACTTAATAGAGTGTCTGAATGGGGGTAACTCGATAACACCAAACACTTCATTTTTGGCTTCGTAACATGAAACAGTTAAATGAGGGTCTCAATGGGGTTAACCGATAGGCGTAAAACGGCCAACAATTTAGTCGATAGCGGTAAAAATTGAAAAATTTTAACCGTTAGCCGTCAATAGAGTGAAAAAAGAGTTAACCGTAGAAGAAATTGTTCCCTAGATTTGCTGATGGTTGCGTTATTTATCTCCGGGCTACTTGACTTCGTACGCACGTTAACCCAAGCTCCTGTTAGTTTTTACCTAGACCTAGACTCCATTTCCACCGCTCTCCCGGGAACTATAACTTTTTTCCATAGCAAATATCTGGCTTTTTGCTGGGGATCAAAATTTGCAATTTTCAGGAGGTCGTGCCCTCGAAATACTAGTGAAACAACAACCAGAGATGTCACTGTTTGTAAAACACGTTGCCGATAAACAACAATTCCTTGTTTTTCTCTGACGCTACGGTAGATATTCATTTGCCATGCCTAGTCCCTGTTCGGTCCCCTGTTCGGCGTCTTCCCACGCAATCTCGGTCAAAGCATTTCGCTGGCGTATCTGAGAAAAAACTCGCTCGGACCACGTGACCCGAAACGCATTAGCCGCGCGGAATAATGAGGCCCGTGGACAAGGCAACGGCAGACAGTCGTTCTGTACAGTCCTTCGCTATCACTAAAAACACTGGACACGGGAATTTTGTTATTGGCCGTTTTCAAAAAAGAGCTAGAAATGGATTATCCGTCTGAGACTAGCCTGTGTACAGTCGCCCCCTCCCCCACAGACACCCCTTAGTTCTCCAATTTTTTCTGAGGGGAGGGGGCGGCTGTACACAGGGTATCTGAAACGGATAATCCATCTTCAAACTGTCCGACAAAAATTGACGGATAAAGTCAGGCGGATTGTTCATTCAAAATTTAAACCATTCCATTTTCAAATTAAGACGTATTGCCTATCTGACGCGAATTATCAAACGGATAACCAATATCTCACGAATAATCCGTCTGTAGTGTGAATGCGGCCATTTCTGTTATAAATGAATACCCCCCTGCCTTGAGTTGGGCGTTCGCGTGTCTGCTTTTGCTTTTTCACAAAGATGATTTTTAAATTGACTTTTAAGATACAAACAATAAAATCTATCAAATGTTTTTTTCAAATAATTTTTATCCCGAGATGATCCTAAGGCCTTTTTACTGTTTGAAATACGAAAGAATTAATTTTAAATTTTTTTTGAAACAAAGGAAATTAATTTTTAATTTTTTTGTTAACCGTAACTGAAAAAAATTAACCGACAGCCGTAAAGGGGCGAAAATTTTAGCCCATAACCGTAAAACCCGCCACCCCATTGAGACCATCTTGCATTTTAGACATTTTAACACTAACAGTAAAAAATTCTTTGAAAGAGTACATTTTTCCAGAAAGAAGCAAAAACGGCTCCAAAAGGCCAATATTATTTTGCTTGGTACGTAAAGGAGTTTTCGGCCATTTTACGACAACTCCGGATTATATCAATAGATTTCCGAAGGCTACCAACGATTCCCGAATATTGTCGAAGATTTCCGAAGAATAACGAAGAGGTCCGACTATTCCCGAAGATGTCCGAAGAACCCTCCAAACACTTAACAGTAGTTTCTTCGGAAACGGTAAACATTAAAAAATTGGCCAATTTAACAGCAAACGCTAGAAATTATGGGCAAATAACACTAGACGTTAAACCCCATTCCGACGGACCCTCTTAACAAATAGCATGCGAACTTAACACGTGCAAACATAATGAGCGAAAGGGTGGAGAGGGGGAACTGCTTCAGGAAAACAAGGGCAAAATGACCCTTAATATATTTTCCAGCGCTCGTTATCCTTCTTTTTTAAATGAATCAAACTTAAGTCTTGAAAAAATTGTGTGACGCTAAATGAAATTACGTGACTGGATAATTAATTCCCAGTCCTTTCTGCTCTTCTCTGTGCTTGGCAACATGGACAACGCAGATTTGGAAAAGCTGTCCATTTCTCCAGGCAAAATAACACCGAAATTTCATCCTAACACCACTGAATACTCAGTAACTCTTGGAAGCGATGTCAAGCAAATTAAGATTGATCCACTGACAAGTGATTCAGGCGCTTCTTACTCTATTCGTGTAAGTAAACTGTGACACTTAGCCTTCCCACCAATTTGATCAATTTCTACCTCCTGCAAACGACATTTTTTTACTCGCTACAGTGTTTCTTTTGCTTTTTCAGGGAAGTGGTGGTGGAAAAACAGTTCCCCTGAAAGAGGGAGAAGTTACTTCGGTAAAAATAGAAGTTACAGCTGAAGATGGTAGCACGAATAAAAATTATTTCGTTCACGTTACACGACTGTCTGCAAGTGATGCCTCGCTGACTGACCTCAAACTGTCAGTCTCTGCGAACTTGTGTCCAGATTTCGCCTCTAGCATCAAGAATTATTCAACCAGCGTCCCGTTTAGTTGTTCTTCTGTCGAGGTAACGCCTATTTTTGCCGACAAAAAGACTGTTGTGAAAGTCAACGGTGTGGATTCTAAAGAACCTGTTGCTTTGAACTATGGAGAGACAATCGTTGAAATTGAGGTGACTTCGCCTGACACTAGTAACAAGCAGCTCTACACACTGTCAATATCCCGTTTGAAACTTCTGTGGCCTATAAAATTCGCGGACGAAAAGGAGAAATCGAAATTTGAATGCCCAGTTTGTTTAGCCGTTCTTTATCAGCCTAAATCAATAAAAAACAGTGACCCGAAGCATGTGTTTTGTAAGAGCTGCATCGATGAACTGACTCGAACATCAAAACAAGACCCCTTAGACGGCTCTGCCCTGTCCGATGAATGGCGTGTTGATGAGTTCGAACTGGACAAGGAGCTCTCTTCTCAAACAGTAGTTTGCATTTACAAGCATTGGGGATGTTGTGAGACAATTAAATTACGTGACCTTGGTCCACACGTGAAGCAGTGTGAATTCAGACCAGCTGTGGTGGAGAAGTCAGGGGAGCTAGTCCCAGCTAAAGAATTGGATGAGAAAACAAAAGTAGGATGTTGAATAAAAGCAGGCTGCAATTGTTCAAAAGTTGTACAGCTCTATCCATGTGATACAATAAATTTATCACTATCCAGAGGGTAGTTAAGGTTATTAGGAGAACCAATTTAATTTTCACTGGATAAAGATTTATCTAGTGGATAATGCTATCCACGTTTTGAACAACTAAGCACTAGCCCTGGTTGGTCAAAAAGAGGATAGGGCTACATGTATCTGTTGTGACTCAATTTTATCCTTGGTTTAAATTTTATTTCCCTTTGCTTTAAACTCATTACCACATACATTACCATACCCCCAAATAAAGGGAAATAACATTTAAACCAAGGATAAAATAATGAACTGCAACATAAGTCCATTGGATAAACCACTATCCAGCAGAAAAATATTAGGAAAACCAACTGCGTTATTCACTGGCTAGAGATTTATCCACCTTTAGAGCATGTGGCGCCTAGTGGATAGTGTTATTCAAGTTTTGAACAGCTGGGGCCAGTGTTGCATGTTAGAAGTGCACCTGCCAGGAGGGTCCTCAATACAGTTTTCATTCCCTGTAATCCCAACCAAAATTCTCCCACACTCTTGAAATTCTGACTATTGTCATCAGGTAATCCTAATTACTAACATACATTCTGAAAAGTGCCTTATGTACAGGCTATTCCCTCATTTTAGGGGAATCATTTATTGGCAGTAACATGCAGTGGTATAGGGTGTTGAGGTTGGAATATTCACATGCCAGGGTTGAGGGATGTCTGTTAAGTTAAACTAAATGGGTTTTTCCAACATTTGACAAAATGAAGAAGACTTTTTCTTATCAGAAATTGCTTCATTTGAACAACATTGTAAAATTGCCTTATCCCACATATTGATGATTATGATCACCCCAAATCTCACGTCTCATTTCCTCTTAAATCCCCAATCCTAACCTTCTAATAAGGCATATCCTAGACCCTAAAATAAACAATTGGGGAATCTATCACAGGACTGGGAATATTGAGCTGATCTTCTGAACCTTTTTGATTAATCTTTCATTGATCAGTCGTAAAAAGTATCGATAAACAGAATTATTGGAAAAATAAATTCAACACCAGCATTATCACTAGGACATTAAATTTAGAAATTTTTTTACTGATTTTACCCTACTCTCTCCTGGTTTCTGCCCTGCATGTGTACCAATCCCTTTTCTATGCCCTGTCATTCATGGCTTAAAGTTGATTAAGTGAATAATTTGTATAGGTAGTAGCATGATTAGTAGTGATATTTGGCATAAATACCATGAGTGATATTTCACAATTGTTATACGTAATTTCATGAGCCGTTAGGCAAGTGAAACTTGAGACAAGTTTGAAATATCATGAGTGGTATTTATGCCAAAATATAAATCATGCTATTATTTGTTTATACTACTACCCGCAAAAGGTTGTATTTTTCACATGTAGGTATTTCAAATTAAGCTGAAATACCACTGCTCTAAGCCAATCAAATTGCAGAAATTTCTCATGTAGTAGTATAATTCTAATTATTAGAATGGTTACATTATGTTTTACAGGATGCATGTAAAGGTTGCAAAGACTGTAACCGGCCAGTCAGAACAGCTGAGCTTGAAGAGCATAAGAACTTTATGTGTACAACTAAACATCCCAACACAGTAGCTAAGCATAAGGCTGAAATCAGAGCCTGGGAAAAAAAGTTACAGCAAGATACAAGTGAAAAATCCATCAACAAAATGACTCTTACCGCAAATGAGCAGGCCGAAGAATGCTTCAAGGTTCTGCCTCAACATGGTAAGTTCAGCTGAAGGGCAGTGTAAGTACCTTGTGGTACAAATAAAGTGAAGGGGTGTGGTTGAAGCTCGGTAACCAAAGTGGATACTATAAATATAGTTATTTTCTTCCCCTTCTACATTTTGTTTACCAGTACAACTGCTGCATGTACCTCCTTATTATAAATTAAAAGAAAGTTGGTCCATTTCGACCATATCAGAATCTATTTTACCTACAACGTATACACAAGAAGGTGTGAAATATTTTGTCTTGTTCTTTTTTAAAACAAACCCCTGTTGTTATTATATACAGGTAATGCAGGTCATTTTGATGGAGAGGTTTCACCGTTGAGGTATCTTGAGATGGCTGCTGAGTGGTTTGCAACAGCCATCAAACTGTCACCCAAAACAGCTGAACTACACTTTCAGCTTGGACAGGTTTTTGAGGAACAACATTATGTGCAGGATGTGTATGGGATAAAACCTTCTGTAAGTTCAGCATTGTTTATTTAACTTTCTTGTCCAGTGTCAGTAAGAAAGACATGAAGGGTGTTGCAAAGGTGTCCTCTAAGGTCTCCGGATTACAGCTGTAGTAGCACAACCTCTCAAAATCTAGTGTATTGGTCATCATGAAGAGTAGAACAATTTGACTGGGATGACTTAGATGGCTGGGATGATTGAGTTGAATAGGATGACCAGAATAACTGGGATGCCTCGGATGTGGACAGAGATGATGGAAATGACTAGGATGACTGGGACGACTAAAATGACAAAGATGACTGGGGACAACTGATTAACTGGGATGACTAGGTTGACTGGATGACTAGGATGTCTGGGATGATTGGGAAGACTAGGATGACTGGGATGGGTAGATTGACTGTGATAACTAGGATGAAAGTGGATGACTGGGACTGAGATGACTAGGATGACTGGGATGGGTAGATTGACTGTGATAACTAGGATGAAAGTGGATGACTGGGACTGAGATGACTATGATGATGAGGATGAATGGGATAACAGAGATATCTAGGATGGCTGGGATGACTAAGATGACTAGGATAACTGGGATGGCTCAGGGATGACTGTGATGATTAGGATGACTTGGATGACTTGCAGGACTGGAATGAGTTGGGATGACTGGGACCAATAAACTGACGGGGAAGACTAGGATGACTGTAATGACTTGGATGACTGGGATTACTATGATGTCTGAGATGACTGGGTTGACAGGGATAACTTTTTTACTAGGATTTATGGGATAACTGGGAAGACTGGGATGGATAAAGTGACTGCTGTGACTAGGATGACAGGGGATGACTGGGAATACTGAGATGACTAGGATTACTGGGATATCTGGATTGGCTTGGATGTTTAAGATCACTGGGATGACTTGGATGACTGGAATGACTAAGATGACTGGGATAGCTAGGATGACTGGGATGTCTTAAATGAATAGGATAACTTGATGACTGGGATTACCAGGGTGAGGATAACGTGGATGACTGAGATGACTATGATGACTGGGATAAGTAGAATGACTGGGATGACCAGGCTGACTGGGAGGACTGGGATGACTAGGATGACTAGGGTTACTGATCGACTGTGTCAATGTTGATCACTGGAATTATTGACCATGGTGATTGGGTTATCTGGGATGACTTGGTTGATGAGGCTGAGTAGGATGAGTGGGGTGACTGGGATTAATGCAATGACTGACTGGGATGACTGGGATGGAAAGGGTCGACTTAGAAGGCTAGGATGGCCTGGTCACTAAGAAAATGGTGTGTACCTCAGGATAAGTTGTGGCTACACCCTTCAAATTATATAATGTTGTAATGAGAGGAGCTCCTCCACATTGACCTTTCAGCAAATTAATATTATTATTTGCCTGAAGGCTGGCATTGACAGAAGGGAAAGCAAAGTTTGTTGACTTCAATATTAAAGAGAATACATTAACCAGCGTGCAAAGAAAGTAGTGTCCAATAGCCCGGGGCTGGTGGATTTTGCTATCGGGCTAGTGAGTTCTGTTTTTAACTTGCCCGACAGGCAAGTGATGTCTTTTGAGGAATTCGAATAACATCAAGAACTGTGATATCAATTCTGCTGGTCAAAAAGTTTTTAGGGCTAGCTTCAGCTTGCCCAAATGGCAAGCTGTAAAATGATTTTCTTTGCACCCTGATTAAATTTGGGCTTGCTCTTTGCTCTATTCCTATCTTTGTTTCAACCCACTAGCACCGTAGTTCTACAGTGTAACTTTTGAGTCTGTTGACTCATCAACTACACTGTAAGTCTGTTGATTGTGAGGTGAATTGTCCACCCTAAAGGCAATGAAGATTTGTCTCCTAAACGTCTGACCCTTCATGTGGTTCTTTTTGTCTCGTAACAATTGGCCTCCTGTTCTAAAATAGTGGTATCATTCAAAATGTTAGCTTATAGCAAGTTCCTGCAGATCAAGATTAGTGAATTGCTTGAATTTTTTTCTGCCAGAAATTCTTGGATGATGAAGAAATGGATTTTAATATGAAATCCAAAGAGAGCTCAAAGGAAGATGATATTCAAGCCATCTGTGAGATGCGTGGTGCTGGACGGAATGCCCCTCTAGCCCTTCAGCTGAAGGCAATCGATGAGGAATATCACTATCTTTTGGACCAAGGACAGTCTGACAGGGCGGATTATGTTCAAAAGTTGTATGCATGGAAATCAAAACAGGCTACCCAGGTAAGGAGGGTTACTTTAGTCTGCGTTACAGTCCAATGTTCCTTAACGAACACTCGTTAAGTGGGCAGTACTTTTAGTTGCCTTAACAAAACTTTGTTTGAACTCCCTGGTTTGGAAACAGTTAGTATGGCGAAACAACCAAATTTCCTCCAAAACCATTCCCCATACGTCAGGGGCACCCAACGAGAATATAGTTCAAAACCACTTAAACGTAGCATTGTTAAACGTATTTTAGTATTTAAACGGTAGATATAGGCATATTTTTATCCCCTAAAATTTTTCATCTGTTCGGATTTCCTAGCTGAAAGTCTAGTGATCCGAAAATTACAGGGATCAAAACTTACCTTTTCGAAAATTTGAGCCAGAAAAAAGGCTCCCGAAAATTCTAGGTGACGTTTGTAGGGTAAAAATCCGTTAAAAATGGGCAATTAGATGTTCGAACATTCTAGGAGAGGCAGGCAAGTAAGAAATTTTACAACAAATGTTCCGAAAATTCTAGATCTCAAATCGTCTTCAGAACAGATATTTTCCGAACATTGACGTTGGCTCAATCCAGTTCCATGACAAAAAAAAACAAGGTTAAATGAAATGTTATCCAAAAAAATCAAAGTTACCTTGACCTTGATTATTCCAGATACCATAAATAATAAATCTGTGTGCTGTTTATTATAAAAAGTGTTGCTGACAAATTATAAGAGAAACTAGATTTGAACTGTTGTCAAAATGATATTTCCAGGTTTTTACTGACGGTGAGATCTTAACTGTCTCCAGAATAAAACAGCTCAAAAGGCCACCAATGAAGAGGAGCCTCTTGGAAAAGCATACATGAAGTATTTAGATGCTCTTTCTAATGCAGCAGATAACCATCTGTACAACTTGCATGTTGGCAGAATGCTTCTTTTACAAAATAAACCAGAGGATGCTGTAACATGCCTTCAGGTCGCTGTGGGATTGAAACCAACCAGTGTTGATGCCAGGTCAATTTGTAATGTATTTGCTGAATTTTGAGCTGCTCACTGATGTTTTCCTTGGGTGTTGAATTCTTTGCGGTATAAAGCATTTCAATTTTCAAAATTTTGCTGGGGGTTACATAAAATCTTATGAATGCTACATTGTGGTTTCGCCTGAGACTAGCTGAGACCAGAGTGTTAGCTTGTAGTATGGTGCTTGATCTCGCATCATTAAAGCACTTGAAGTTAGAGTGGTCTTCACCTGGGTGTAGGTACCCTTAAGAAAAGATTGTTAAGTCCTAAATTTTCGTTCTCAGCTAGAAACATGGCAGAGTTAATCGTTAACAGTTAGGTTATTTTGTATTTTGTTTAATATCCCCCACATGTGATTTTGTGTTTGCAGATTTTATCTTGGACTGGCTCTTTGTCAGCAAAAAGATGGACCTGGGAAACGAGAATCGGAAGCAATCAAATATTTGTCTGAAGGAGTACAACACCTGCTGATTCAAATGACTGCTGATTCAGATAAACCAGGCTTTGATCCCGAAAAATGGCAACAAACGACTCTGTCTTCAAACAACTTGATGAGACCTGACAATGTTCAGGTGCTGCAAGGGTGTGCTTTGCTCGGAAGTGCATGTAAAGGAATGTCAACGTTGCCAACTGGCATAATGTCTGCACAAGATTCCCTGCACTTGTCAGTCAAATTTTCTTCATATGTACTGTCGCATCTTGTTGCTAGGGGAGACACCTACCACCAAACTGAGTGGGTTCTTTATGAGGCTCATTTTCAGCTGCTGCAAATGATGCTTGAGGCAGCAAAGAACAAAGAGACTGGAAAAAGTGATGTCATTTCGCGCTTCTGCGAGAATTTGTCTGGGTTGCTTAACTGTTCAAATATTCCACCTGGAAAACAAATTCTAGAATTACAAGAAAAGGTGAGCACACCCCCAAGGGAGGGAGGGAGGTGGGAGGGGGTATCTGCTGTAAATAGTTCAAGTGTCCGTTTATATTGGTAGTTTTTTCCCCGTAAAAATATGGCCATTAATTCGCCTTGCCGATGAGTGAAATGATGGTGAAAGAGTAGGTTAGTTGGATAAAGAAGAGATGATTGGACTTCAAAAGTTAATATTGCCAAAAGGCAACATTCAGAGGGGAACCTTTACGCTGTGACTGGTTTCTTTTTTTTCTTTCTTGTTGTGTAGTCTTGTTCATGGCTTTACCACTTATTTTAGTTATTTTATTGTACAGTTTACTCTTTGCATTCACAGACCTGCCAGCAAGCTGTTGTTCTCCAGCCATGCAACAGTCGGGCTCTTTATCGTTTGGGCGATGCGCAATTACGTTGCCATGACAATGATGACCCTAATTCAAGCGGAGCTAAACAGATCCTTCAAGATGCGGAGCTAAGTTATCGTGCCAGTATTGAAGAAGAAGGGAAGCCGTCCGCGGGCATGGAGCCTTCGTCCAAGCTCACGGAACAGCAGTGGCACAAGGAGCGCATGAAAAAACAAGAAGCAGAAAAGAAAAAAGTTGCAGCTAAAACTCCCCAGAAGGCTGATGCTGCATCGGCTGGTAAGGGAGCTTTGCCAGCTGGAAGAGGGGGTACACAAGCGGCAAGAGGTACAGTGCGAACACCTGTGAAAGGTCATTTAGTAGAAAAGAGGGTTGTGAGGCAGAATCATAATATCCACTACTACTCACGCTTACATGTACAATCCAGTTAGAGCTGTACTTAGCCAAGTTCAATTTTAATTGACAATAAAGTATTCAATTTAATTCTTACGATATTCACCAGACTCAATAATGCACTGAACAGCACCAAATTAACAGTATCAATAACTTTTGCCTCGCGCGAGGTGTCCCCCTGTATATTCTATTCTTTATAGACCTCTCTCAGTTACTTTAATACTTTCTTCATGTCCTTTTTTCTCCCTGCTAGACGAGCAAAATACAGCCTGAGAGTGAATTGTATTCTGAGCCTGGGGAGGTTGTATTAATTTTTTGTTCTAGCTGGGAGTTTTCGTTATCGTGCACGGCATCAGCCGTAATGGAGGCTTCTCTCGCCATTTGTATTCAATTCCACATCTTCTGGACTTTTATTTCAGGAAATTCTATTCAACTTATTGGCACATGTGCTTTAATTTTCAGGTCGTGGTGGAGCAGCAGCAAGAGGCAGAGGCAGTACTCCACCATCCCGTGGTGCATCAACTACCGCAGCTAAAGCAGCGGCTGGAGGAGCACGAGGCAGAACGTCACCTACAAAGCCCGCTGGAGCAACAGCAAGAGGTGGTACGAGAGGAGGTAGTACAGCAGCTACCGGAAGAACCACAGGTATTGTGTTGGCCCAGCTGGTTGGGTAGCTGACAAAGTGTAGCCTCTGTTTTACATCTAGGAATGGTTCGACCTTTGTTTCCTCTCGGATAAGGATAGTTGCAGTAACAATAACAATAACAATACTTTATTCAGGCAGGGTTTGAGCTAGGATTTGATCACTAGGGGACAATTTGTCCCCTTGGCTGAAATTTTGCGGGATATTTTCATTTTTAGGGGGACAGAAATTTGTACACCCTTCTGCTGATGCAAAGGGGTTTGTCTTCTTAGCAGGGCTTCTGACAGGTCTCGGAAGAAAAAGTCAAATTTCACGGGATTTTAGGGACAAATTCGCGGAAAAATCTGCCGATTTCGCGGGAGTTTTCGGGGCAAACTTCACTGAAAAGCAATCAGTAAAAAAGGCCGATTTTGTGGTTACTTTCAAGGCAAATTTCGCTAGAAATCAAGCGGTTTTGCGCTGATCAGACCAGCCTTTTTAACGTTTTTTCTAACAGAGGTCATCATTTGCTCTTTCAACAACAATACACTCCAGAAATGAACCAATGGCAAAGCCTTTAACATCATGGCTAATGCCCAGTTTTTCGCAACATAATCTGTTTGCACGTTTCAGTGACGAAGTTCCAAGATAAATTTGCAAGTTTACGGCAAGTAAATAGCCCCTATAGCTGAAATAACTTTCAAATATGTTGTACAGACATGTATTTGATAAGATTTCTACCGAATTTCGCGGTATTTTATAAAATATACAATTCTGTTTCAGCTTGCAATTTCTGTACTGAAATAAAACTCTTCGTTTTTTCGTGTTTTTTCCCTAAATTTTGGGGATAAATTGTCCCCTTGGCCGTTTTTAACAAAACGAATTTCCAGTGGCTCGAAACCCTGATTCAGGGGATAACAAAACAAAACGAATTTCCTCTCGAAAGGAAAAATCTTGAGGTTAGCCCCATATGAATGACTCCCTAAAGTAACATAGAAAAATGTAAAATCAAAAAACTAGAATCTAAAACATTATTTACATATCATAGTCGTAACCATTTAAAACCGTTCGCCTTGTCTCGAAGCACTTTCGCTTTCTGTAGTTTAGAACTTCTCGCGTTGCTCAAGGCACGGAGAGAAATAATTCCTTCCAAATGGCGTGCTAGCAGTTGCCATAGGTGGGAGCCTATGTCATTCTAGTGGCAGAGGATATGATGGTGAACGTTTTTTTTGTTGTTGTTGTAGCCCCATCATCAAAGTCATCAACGGCTTCAGTTTCGAGGCATAAATCAGGTGCGTGTTCTCCGGCGAAGCAACCAGCTTCAACGAAGTCATCAACACAGACAAAAACAGACACAAAGAAACCAGCCACTCCGACTCCAGTCACTCCTGCACAGCCCAGCCCTGCAACTGAGCCTGCGCAGAAGCCAAGTGGACCACCTAACAAGCCTTCCTTCCAGGCCCGACTTGGATTGGCGCGAGTTTTAATGCGCAAAGGCGGCGAAAGTATCAGTGAAGCCCACAAACTGTACGAAGAAGTGATAACAATGGCGCCTGCTGTCCATGATGCATACATCGAATTAGCTGACTCCTTGGTCAAGGCAGACCCAATGAAGGCTGTGGACGTTTATAGCAAGTACCCCTTTCAGGTGAGAATTACGCAGTTATTATGTTTTATTATATATTTGCTGCAAGTGATTTATTGCTGTTGTTCATGTCACCATGTTAACAGTGTTTCTAATAATGGTCTTTCAAAGGTTTCCTGTTAGTAAATATAGTAACGTGCTGTGGTGTCCTTATTTTTCGAGTCATGTTGTTTTTGGCTTGAAAAACTGGACGTTCGTAAACTGGGGTTGAATCCATAGCACCTGCAATGCGTGCCTTAGGAAGAGAAGTAAATTTCACAAGGTTCGGAAAATCGATGGTTTAAAAAACCAAGTTTTTCACACTAACACTTACACCATGGTTCGTACAATCGTGAAATGGTCTTGAATTTTACTAGTCGTCTTGAAATGTCCTTAAATTCAGTTAAGGTCCTCGAAAAGTGCTTGATTTCTTTATTAGGTAGTGAAAAGTCCTTGAAATTCACTACCCTGTCTACGCAAACCATTCTTTTCTGTAAAATAAGATTAATTTGGCGAGGAAACTTTGGCTCATCCTCGTTGTAAGAACTTGTAAACCTCACGGGTAACGTAAAACATATTTGTGCTTGAACAATATTTTATTTCTAGTTATATATTCCAAATGCTATTCTTTACCTCAGATGCAATTGCAAGTCATACCCAGTCATTTTTGCAAAGTGTTGTTGCGGAAAGTAGTATAAAATATAGTCCTTGAAAACTGTAATTTGTCCTTGAAATATCCTTGAAAAGTCCTTGAAATTTGTTTGTCTGAAGTTGTACGAACCATGTTAAACATAAGTAAACGTGTTAAAGTCATTTACGCAGTCCTGAACAAACACCTCTAACGGTTTAGATCTTGGCTCTTTTGAGGCTGTTTGAGGCCCGATGTACTACAGCTACATAGTGGTTATAGCGAAAATTGACGCTTTGTGAAAGTTCACGTCTTCTTCATGCGATTCCTGAAAGGTGATCTAGAAATAGAATTTGAAACATTTTACATTTTTAACGGCCTTAGTGGAACATGCGAAAGACTGAAGAAATGTGTTGTCTTAAATTTGCACAAACAGCATTTTCCCATCAGACTTTGCTATCTTACTAGACACATAGTTCTACTGTGGAGTTGTAACGTCCTAGTATATGTACGTTCTTAGCCAAGTTGATTAAGGAAAGGTGACTTTACCAGTTAAAGCGGTTTTAAAAGAGGAATTGATTACCAGTTTGACAAATCCACGTGCTTCCAAGAATCGGGATCTCTAAGAGTCATTTACGGGCTGCACTGAAAATGTCAAAGGCCCCAACCCCGATCTACCCCGATTGAGGGCGAGGCCGTGAACACTTTGAACTTCGGATCTTTTGGCCCGGTTCGAGCCTTCCGATCGCTTTGTTTCCAGAATTTTTTTTCTCCGCTTTGTCTCCCTTTACCCAGGTGTATAAATAGGTATACCAGCGACATACCGCGGGGGCTAACCCTGCGATGGACTAACATCCCATCCAGGGGGAGTAGCAATGCTCCTAAGCGCTCCGTGCTAGAGAAACCTGGATAAGAGCCGGCGTGTGGGTCGCATGGCTCGTGTTCGCGTTTACCTCACCTCCTCCCCACCTCCACTGACAAACACAGTTGTTACTCCCTCCCTTCTTTTGACCCAAAACACAATTATTGCCCAAGGCACAAACTACATCATTATGGTTATTATAGGAGCCGTTAACATTTGACGATGCTTACATCCACGGTGAAATGGTTCGCTTATTAATGAAGAACGAAAAGTATGATGATCCTCGGCTGGGGCCCAGCATGATTTCACTCGGAAAGGTGATGGGGCTCACGGTATTGGAGAAATACGTGGATACCTTAGACAAGACCTTCAAGTACAGCAAATTGCTCATGCAAATATATGCTGGCGTTCATGGAAAGAGTCCAGATGATCAGGATTTACAGCAGTTTTTCAAGTTCAAGTGCTGGATTTAAAGTGCATTGTGCAGTGCATGTTGTAATGGTAGGATATCCAATATCCAAGTAACATAATAAAAACAACACAAGACTGTGTTTGAGGAAAGTGACATAGTTACATGATCCAGTCTTGTCAGCAATGTCTTGACTGTTTGGTTTTAATCATTTACATGGAAATGTCTGACCCCTTTTGGCATCGTCAAGTTGGCGAAGTGCACAATTGTTTTTATACAGTTTTTAGTGCATATGTAATGGCCATCAGTGTGCGGGCTTCAGTGGTTCATTTGTGTTGTGACAAGTACCTTTTGTAGTTCTCTTTTGGTAGTTGTTGGATATTGTTTCATTTGAGACAAATCTCGATCCTACCCCATCCTTCCATAAGCAAATATTACACATGTTTTATAATTTGACTTAAAAGACTCGATTGGCTTTCTTACAGTTAGCCTGTCCTAGGCAGATATTGGGGAAGGTGCAAAGAGAAGCGAGGAGGAAAAACAGTAGCTTGATTACACAGCCGACATTTCGCGACGCCATCAACGGTTTCTCCGCGAAATGAGGTTTGAGGAATGAGCACAGAAATTCCATACTGATGACGTGTCATTACCCAGGGATCTGGTTAGTGTCACGTTATCACTATAGAATTTCTGCGCGCGTTGCTCAGACGTCATTTCGCAAGCAAACGGTTGGTGGCGTTGTTAATTGTCGGCTGTTTTCTCAGGCTAGAAAAAAGAAGAAAGAAAGAAAAGAAAATACCTGGAGAGAGTCAGGGAGAGAGGGCAAGGAGAGTTCTCTCCTTTCTTCCTCTCCATCTCTTCCGCCTTTTTTCTCCCTGCTCTCCGTTTCGCGCCTCTCTCCACTATCGGATCGCCTGGAAGAGGCTATCTTGAAATGCCTTAATTTCAACCGTAAATCGCTACTAAGCGTACAGTTTCATACCGTTTCTATCTCGCACGCGAGTTCGTACGTACAAATCTACAGGTTTAGTTAACTATAACATAGCTGGCTTTTCTTCAGTACCAAACTCTTTACTGGCTAATTTTTTTTTAACCCAAGAATAACATTACAGAAAGTAATGGTGTTTGTTAATTAGTTTTTATTTATTTATTTAGGTATTGTGAAGGTATTTGTTATATGAAGTTTTCGTTTAATTTGGCCAAAAGGCTTGGTAACTTAATGAATAAATGTTATATTTCTTCCATCAGTGTTCAAAATAATAAATATATTTGTTAATCTAACCAGTATTACCCTGCCTTTCGCGCGGGGTTGCATGTCTAGAAGACTATATTCTTAAATAGAAAAAAACCGAGGTCTTTCCGTTCACTAAAGGCCTTTGGCAGCGTCTGACCTTTCCGGAAACTTTTTTTTGCCGAAAAGCTCATGCGCTCCTGGTGGTCACCTATGGTAAGACCACTTTTACGATTTCACCAGATCAAATTAACTTTTTGTTTACAAGACAAATTTGGGTAAAAATGGTTTTGTATGTTGCTCCCACTCAGATAACTCGGTAAAGCTGAGGTAATATTTTTTCGCTTTAGAGTTTGATAAACCTGTCGCAAAAGGTAATATCTTAAAATGGAATTTAATGTGGTAGCTTACGGTTAAAAACTCTAAATTAAACTTCGAGGTTTGTACGCAGCGAGAAAGAGCTTCTTATGTTTGAGGGTGAAAAAAAGAAGCATCGAAATGCTTTCATTTTTCGTTTAACGAACATATTTTTATAAACTTTAGGCAACTTACGTCCTTTTGCAGGTGCTATAAAAATAAAAATGAAAAATCCTCTGTTTATATCTTCCTCAAAAGAATATCACATCTCCTATGCATCTCATTTTCACAAGAAAACGTGTGAAAATTCTCACCAGCATCAGGAGCTGTTGAGCAAGTTGCTAGTTGCTATTATCTCTCGTTTTGTTCCACGTTTTATCACAGCGGTTTGTTAAGGCCTCTCTGTGGCGAGGAATTGATCTAATAAAGAGGTGTTTCACCGAGGGTCGTGAAACCAAAACAAAAGTGATTGATTTCAGTTCATCGATGGCGTGAACCGTAAAACGATAATAATTACTTGGGCCAATCACGATACGAGCAGGCAATTAAGTAAACGAATCGTCTTTCAAGGCAAATGCTTGAAGCCGACGCACGGTCAAGGGCAGGAAAACGCTTCCTGGTAGGGCAAGATTGGTTGAGAAAAAGACGCGAAAATGTTTGAGCAATGCAAAGCCCAAACAATTACTAAATTGCTTCCAAAACCGATCTTATCTGTTATACCTTTGAATCTTTTGAGTGATTTTCAATTGGATGAAACCACACTGATCGGAAGGCCAAAACTCAAAGAAAGCCGATATGGGAGTAATTTAAGATTTCTTGTATTGTGCTATTTTTAGTCAGGACAACGAAAGGTTTTGCTACCAGTTACTATACAAAGGAAAAATCGGTGGACATTCAACTGAGAACCCTGTAAGGAAAACAATTTTAGGAAAAGTTGATCATCTCTCGAAATGTTTAAAAAGAGTGCCTATTTTGATGATTTCGTCTTTTTGCTATTTTGCAGCTTCCTTAAAATAGTTTTAATCTTTTTCTTGTTCTTTCCCTTTCCCTCATCTTCATCTTGATCCTGTTGTGCAACTTTTTCCCTGTTGTGTTCATTTTCGTCTCTGCCATTCTGTTCACTTGGAAGGCTGCCTTCACTTGTGAAGGATAACGGACTTGCTAGCCTTGACAGCGGATCTGGTGCTCTTGTACCAACTGAGCTGTTCCCACTGATTGTGTCTGCTGTTTTAGAAAGCGAAAATTGCTTTTACTGAGCTTTCAAATTACAAGAATCTGACCTACACCGTTCTTTTAAATCCTTTTTTTTTTCTCTGGAATATTACAAAGGAATAAAAAGGGTCTTGGGAAATCATATGTGTTCGATGGGCCGAGAAACTTACCAGATGAAGTCAATGCTTTGCCAATGCTCCCTCCATCTGAATGTTGATCATTCAGCTCTGCAGTCAGGTTCAAGGGTAGCAATTCCTGTCAGAAGAAAGAAGATGACGGTGATGATGATGAAGAGCATAAATAGAGAAATAATGATCTTTGCTGAAACATTTTTTTAAAATGATTGAAGTCCACCAACGTGCTTTGGAGCTCTTATCAATAGAACCTTAAAGAGGCCTTGTCTCGTTAGTAAGCGAAAACAAAATTACCGTGTTTTCTAGATTAAACACTAGGCCTCGAATTAAAAGAGGGAGTTGAAAACCCCTCTAGGATGCAAGGTAAAGATACACAGGAGACTTTAAAGCTGATTAACACGCTTGACGAAACTACAGATTCAAACAAACGCTGGCTCCACCACGCCCAGTCTGAAAATTGAATTGGTGTCATAAGCTATCTGACTTAAGCCGTGGTTGTTCGGGGTCGGCGAGATGGGATGAAATATGGGCTTTGCTGACGTTTGATTTTACCTCTCTGGCTCTTCGGCAATGAAGCTAGTGCAAAACTGGCACTGTTTCATTTTATTTTTTACGATACCTTACGAAGAAATCCAATTCAGACTATCCAACAATTGACTGATTATTTTAAGTGTATTACATGACAAACGTGAGGGTGAAGGTGTGTCCTGGGTGGACGGGTGAACTCCCAATTAATACTTTATAGCATCGTTTTTGGTTAGACCTATACCTTGACCAATTTCTTTAGCAAACTGTGAAATGAATCAGTCCAGTTCTACTTTAATGACGGGATGTCACTGTTTTATCTAGGAATATTCTATTCCTTATGGCTTTTACATTATCCAGCTCTCCAACTTTCGTTATGCTTACTTAATTTGTTTTTTGATACTACAGTGAAGCCCCGCTTTACGGACACCCGCTTAATACGAACACCTCATTATTACGGACAGTCCCTGGGGAAAGAAAGGCCTTGTATTTTCTCTAAATTGAATCCGCTTAATACGGAGACTTTCTATGGTCCCCTCAGTGTCGGTATAAACTGGATTTGACTTTACTAACAATGTGAAGTCCTCTTACCGGCATTTGGGTACGTTCAGTGTGTTGTTTGTGCTGGCTAAAAGCAATGTCAGTGGACGCTCTCTGCTGGAGATAGATAGAGTCTTGTCTTGCCGGTCGTTCCTGTAAACCTCTGCGAGATACGCTCCTAAGATCCCCATTGGATAATGATCCCCACAAGGGTAACTCCTGTGACACTGACTCATCGCTTAAAACTCCTTTGAAGCTACGAATTTCCTCTCTTAGCTTCCCAATTTCTAGTTGTAGCCTCCTGTTCTCACTCTGTAGGTTTACTAGTTCTTTCATGGTTCTGTAACTCTCTGCCTTAATGCTTGACAAATCAGACTTTAATCGTTTATTTTCTGATTTTGTCGAGGACATATTGCGCTCGAATTTAGCCTTTTCTTTTTCGAGTCTTGACATTTCTTCTTGCATGGCGAGAGCTTCTTGTTGTAATCTGTTATTGTCATCTTTTATACTTGACACCTCCTTTTCCATCCTTTTTACAGATAATGTCCTCTCACACATTTTAGTTTTGAGGTGATTATTTCTGCTCAGTAACTTTTGCACTTGACTCTGAAGATCCGAATTGTGCCTCTTGATAATTGACAACTCATTCTTCACAAGAACATTACTGCATTTGGTCTCTGCGAGTTCTTTCTGCATCTTTTGTAGCACCCTTATTTCGGGGCCTATATTGGTGCTATCTTCTGACGAAATTTGATCAGAGGATATACTCATGTCGAGATCCGTTGCGGACACAAGCGAGCTACTCGTGTTGTTAACCTCCATGCTGGAATCATTATCATCAGAATCGCGCGTTAGAACATCTTCAGAGGCATCATACATTGGATCAAAGCTGGCATATTTTCTGGAATTGTTCTTTAGCCTTTTCCTCTGAGGCAGCCTGTTTATCATAGGAGTAGCGTGTTTTAGGGATTTTTCGGTGAGTGCTCTTTCATAGTCAGTCAGCAATGGGGGAGTTCTACCATTTCTTGCATCATGACTTGACCTCAAGGATTGATGGCTATTCTCAGCTGTCAAAGGACCTCGATCCCTTTTTATGCTTTTCTCTTCGTCAAGCGAATTTCCCACGTGGTCTATTGACAGTTCTGTTTTCTTCTGGCGAGAAACATTTGACGAACGTGGGAGCTGATATGTGTTTTCTCCTGCCTTGCCTTCGGCTTGACATGGCGTAACATTGCTGACAGCTCTTCCTTGACCGTTTGGAGATGGTGGAGAATTAGTTGAAGGCACCTGTATCAATTTTTCATCAACCGATAATGTTAAGTTAGCTTTTGAGGTAAACGGCTTTGTTAATGTCTCAGCTTCTTTTCTTTTCTCAGATTGTCTTCCTTCGCCGTCACTTTCATCTTCTGTTGTTCTTGGGGAGAACTGGGTGCAGTTGTCAGTGATCTCCATAATCTTAAAGCTCTTTAGCATGTTGTTCTCAGATTGAAGTGCCGAGAGCTGTGCCGTCATTTGAGAGTTCTCATCAAGCACGCATGACAGCACTGTTTCCAGTTTGGTGTATCTTTCAGTTATATCATGGAGTTGTGTCTCCAACCTGAGTTTTGACGCATCTGTGTCCTCGGAACTTACGCGAAACAGCTCTCGCTCCATCGCCTCTTTTGTTTCCATAGCGTCTGATAATTCAATCTCAAGTCTTGCATTTTGGCTTTCAAGGTTCTTTTTAGCTTCTTCGATCTCATTTTTTTCTTGTTTTAAGTCTCTCAGGTTTTGCTGAAGCTCTTCAAGTTCCTCGTCGTTTAGGATTTGTTCCTTCAAAATCGCTTCATTCTGTGTTTGAAGCACAGCTGTTTTTGCCCGAAGTGACTCGCATTCACTAACCAATGAGCTGATTTCCCTTTTCATGCATAGCTTTTCGTCCATTAGCGCGCCAATTTCAAGCTGGTTTTTCTCGTGTTCCTCAGCACGTTGTGCCAGCTCTGACTTTAAACTGGAGATATTCCACTCTAATTCACGTCTTGTTTTTGAAATATCAGTATCAGTGTTGGTGTCAGGAATTTCCCTGTCATTGGAGCTTATCTCTTCTATTTCCATTGGCTTGCTGCTTAAGGCATCGCTAGGTGCATCATCAGATATTTGCTGGTCAGTTAGCAATAAATTACTTGGAGCTTCGAGGCTGGACGTTTCACCTGGTTCCAGGACAACCGTAGTATAAGACGCCCCCGGATACTCATTTTCCATGATTGTGAATTCTGTTTCCGAAGGTAAATTTATCTCAAATGTCTTTTCGTTCATATCTTGTAAGGTATTGATGAAACCAACTGGACCCTCTGGCTTCATCTCTCTGCAACGTTCTTTGTCCACGGAATGCTCAAATTTCTCGTTTTCTTCGTCTGGAGTGCTCTGATCGTTTGGTGAGTCACATTCAAAGTCTTCGATGCGAAGACTGAATGTTGCAGTGTGTTCGCTTCTACTTATGCCAATATCATCGAACTGCGACACGATGATTATTGGAATAGGAAGTCCCTGGTAATAAATTGCTTCTTCTAACATCTTTGGTCCTGTGCAATTTGATAGTGTCATCTCCGCAGTTTTTTCTGGGTGGTCGAAATTACCTTCTGGAATATCGGAACGGCTGATGCTTTGAACACCATAGCTGTTACTCTCGACGGCATTGGTGTTGTTTGAGACATCCTCAGTTTTGTTCTGGTAACTGTTTTCTTTATCGTTATCAATACCTTTAGCATTTTCTGCATGGCTAGCGTTATCTCCATGGCTAGCGTTTGCCACGGTTTTGTCTTCAAGAACGTTATTTTCCCATTTATAGAAAGAAGTAATGGTTTGAACGCACCGACTTTGAAAGCTTTTCGTGCTAGGATTTGTGCTTGCAGAGTTCCTTTTCGGTTTCTCTGCTTTTACCAGCTGTAAGCTGCTGTATTGCGCTTCATTCGCATCTTTCCATCTTTTCACTTCCTCTGTAAGGTGCTCGTTTCTGTATTGTAGGTCTTTAATTTCAGCTCTACAGGAGTGTAACTGTTTTTCCAGATCGGTCATTTTTTGAAGTTGGTTTTGACACGTTTGAAGCTCACGTTTCAACTCGTTTTTCATCTCGGTTTGAGAAAGTAAGTCTTTCTCAAGTTCCGTTATCAGGTGTTCAGCTTCTTTACTCTTTCTCCGAATATCGTCAAAGTCAGACTCGATCTGTTGCAATTCTCGCAGTTTTTCCTTAGCTTTCCGACAATCAGTACTTGTGTTTTCGACTTCTTTTAACAAGCTTTCTTTTTCTTGGCTATAGGATGAGAGTAAAAGTTTCATCTCTTGTTCCTGTTTCAGACAGGACTCTTTGTTATGCTTTAGCTCATTCTCCGTCCAGTTTTTTTGCTTATTTGCTTCCTCTAATTCCTCAAGTAAGCTCTCTCTTTCTTGTTTGAGCAATTCATTTTCTTGTGCGAGATTCTCGAGACACTTGCGGTCATCATGTTCTACCAGTTGCTCCCTCCCAAATTCAAATTGAGTTGTCTTCAACTGGCAGACACCTTTGAAAGTTGCCTGTTGTTCCTCTGTCGATTCTTCGCTTAGGGTTTCATGGCCTTTCTGTGCTAGGGCATCTTCCACATCATCCTTATCAGTTTTGAAGCATTGATTTTCTTGCACCAGTTCTTTCGTTTCCTTTTGTGTTACTATTTGATCAGCAACATCAGGCTGCACTGATTTTGGTTCGCATCCGTGATTACTAGGCAAGATGAACTGCGGAACGTCTCTGTCAAGTCCGGTGGTGGTTTCCTTGTCAACTGGAGCACTTGCACGTTGTGGTTGTTCAACCTCGATCCGGGATGGTTTTATTAGACAGCTGTGATTATTCGCCGTGGTTAATTTTTCTACCTCCATTACTAAGAGTTGCAGATCTTCCTGTTGCTTTGGGACGTTTTCCCAACTTTCCTGTTGAAGTTTCAGCTTAGCCATTTCAACTAGCTTCTCTTTTTCCCTTCTTGATTCTTCAACGTCAGGCTGCAATGGGTTTGACGGGCACTCTCTGTTACTCTTTGCTGATTTCAACGCTTCGTGCAAGCTGGTTTCAGAGTCTGCATTCTCGCTTTTGCCCCTGTCTTTTGTCGAGGGGTCTGTGGCTTTGTCTTGTTCAAATTCTGACTCACTGTCGCTGGATATTAGCACATTTTGCTTTAAGTCCACGGAAGATAGGTGCGCTGAGTTCTTTTTCTCCAGTTCATGTACTTTCTCACGAAGAATTTCAAGGACATTTTCTTTCTCGCCAACTTTGGCCTTTAACATCGCATTTTCCTTCATCGCCTTAGCAAAAGCTTGCTCTAGTTGCATCTGTGTTCTGGCGAAATGTGTAGCCTTTCTCTCCAGTACCAATTTCTCCTTTGCCATCAACGAGTACCCTGTCTGCATGTCGATAGTTAAAGGTGTGCTTGCACTTTCATTTTCAGGTTTTGCATTTGCTTTGTTGTGGTCTTTTAAGATAGAAGGCGTTACAGTGTTAAGCGTTTCCACGGTCTCATCCTCGGATTGAAGTTCCGTGGTTTGAGTAGCCATAGTGGCACGAGGTGCAGGCTTGACTGCACCATTACTTTTTTCTTTTAAACTGTTGAGTTTTTCTTCTAATTGGATCTTGTCGTTTTCCAGAAGTTCAATTTTAGTTTGCAAGTTCTTTGCCGTTTCCTCGGCTGTTTTGCTTGTTACAGATGTAGCCTCTTTGCTGTCTTTTAATGCAATCGGTTCCCCTTTGATCTTTGCCTTCGGCTTATTTTCGACGTTGTTTGTTTTCTTCTTGTCATCCTTCCGTCGCAGTTCTTCATTTCGTTGTTCCAGGCTCTTAATTCTACCTTTCACAGCCTTGTTCTCCTTCCTCAGAGACTCGTTCGCCAATTCAAGTTCTTTGATCTTTTCCCGAGATGATGCGAGTTCACTCTCAAGATGTTTCTGCATCTTCTGAAGCTTCTCAACTTGATTTTGGAGTGATACGTTACTCTTTTCTGATGAATCTTGACTAATATTCCTGCTTTGCTCTTTAAAAGTGAGCAGCTCTCTACCCAGCTCCTCTATCTCCGCTTGCAGTTTCCCGTTGCAATCCTTAAGGCGTTCAAGTTTTTCTTTAAGGGTAGCGTTTTCTGACTCCAGCGATTCCCTGCTACGTTGGTGATCTGTCATGGCTTTACTCGTGTTTTGTATTATCTCCACCTCATGCGTCAACCGCTCGTTTTCTTTGTGAAAGCAATGAAGCTCTTTTTGCAAGCTTTCCAGTGCCTTGGTCTTCACTTCAAGCTCTTGTATTAATTTATGTGAGTCGTCGCACTCTGTTTCAAGTCTCTGATTTAAAGCACGGAGCTCTTGGAGCTCCTTCTGTAGCTGTTCATGTCTTTCCTCTAAATCTTTTCTTCTCTCTTCCTGTGTTTGCGTATTCTCCGATGCGTATTTGATGACTTCGAGTTTGTGCTTTAGCTTACTGCATTCTTCTTGGACTCTGGTTAGTTCCTTTTCCAGAAGCCTTTTCTCTTTTTCCAGTAATATTGTATGTTTTTCAATTTCTAATGTATCAAATGTGGTTCTTTCGCCCTGAGACTTGTTTTCAGTTTGGTAGTTAACTGTTGCCTCATCTTCCTTTGCTTTACATTGGCCACAACTATCTGTTGTGGTAATTGTAATATTTTCATGGCTTTCCTTAACATTTTTCACTTCCTCCAGTGGATTTTTCATCTGGCTGTGGTCGGTGGTAATGTATACTTCTTCGCGATGACAAGGTGATTGTTCCTGATCGTCTTTATTTCGCTTACTGTAACCTACAAAGTTTTCCATACCAGAATCGCCGTGCGTCATCTTTTCATCTTGGTTCTTTTCGTTCTGTCTCGTCTCGCTCTCGGCTTTTGACTCCTCAAATTCTAGTTCTAACTTTCGAATCTGTGTTTTTACGTTTTCTATTTCTATCGTTAGTTGGTCTTTCTCTTTTTCTAATTTTGCACTGTTCTTTTCGCTCTCTCTTCTTTCCTCGTGCAAGGTATCCAGCTCTTGACGCAAAAAGTTGTTCTCTTTGAGAGAATCTTCTAAACGCTTCTCCAAGATCTCTTTACAAACACTTGCTTCGTGTAGGTGAAAACTTTCTTGTCGCTTCTGATTCTTCAGCATGTTGATCTCTTCCTTAATCGTTTCACAAGAACATCGCATCTCCACGAGACGTACTTCCAAATTTGCCGCTTTCTCAATATTGTCATTCAACTGCGAATTCAAGAGATTTCTCTCGGACTCACTGTGATCAAGGTCATTCTTAAGACGTTCACAGTCTTTGTTAGCACTTGCTAATTCAAATTCAAGCTTCAATTTTTCGCTCGTAACTTTCAAGAGATCTTCTTCGAGCTTACGCTTTATGACCTCATCGTCATCGCTCGTTACCCTGCGATAAACGTCTTTCATGGGTTCTAGTTGCAGTGGATTCGGTAGGCCACCGCTGGTGCTTTGTTGCAGAATTTTAACATCACTTTGAGCTCTCAACTCTTCATTCTCACTTTTCAACTGGGTAATCTCCTGTTTGGCATCATCTAGTGACCTTATTAGAACAATTTTAGCCATTTCATTTCTTGATAGTTCTTCTGCTTGTATTTTCAAATGCCCATTGTCAGCTTCTAGTTCTGTAATTCTCTCCGTTAGACCTGAAACATCTTTCTTTGCACTTAATACCACTTTTTCTGTTTGGTCTATGGCAGGTACGCTTTGTATCAAATTTGTGGTTTCCCTAGCCATTCCGTCTGCTTCTTTTTCTTTGTCGGTGAGAGCCTCCTGATATTGCTGTCGTAAGATTTCATATTCTCTGGTCAGCTCAGCGTGTTTTTCTTCCAGTAACTTGTATTCGTCATTCGCATTATCAGGGTATTCTTTAATCTCCTTAATCGTATCGTCCTTGTCTGAAGGAGTTTTACAGTCCTCTTCTGGTAACTCGTTTTTCTGGTCTATCGGTAATACCTTAGCTTCGTTAGCTTGTAGTTTGTCTATGAGATCATGAGCACTTTCTAGGTCTTGCCTGTACATTGTAAGAACGTGTTCACTTTCTGATAGTTGCTGTTGAAGGTACCCATTCTCGAGCTTCAGTAGCTGATATTCGTGTTCTAGTTGCTTGCTTTCGTCTGCAGGCGATTCAGCTATGGATGAAGATGTGTCCCCTATTTCATCCTCACTTGTATGGGTGATGGTGTAAAATTTCTTACTAGGAGTTTTGTTAAACGTTTTCTTCCCCTTGATTAACTCTGGCTTCTGTGTATTGTTGTGCGATTCCTGCCCAAAGCTCAGACTGCCTTCCCTGAAGATGGCAATCGCTCCTTCAGTGTGGCTATTTTGTGTAACTGTGGCGAGTTCTGTTTGCACTTCAACAACACGAGAACTTACTTTAGCTAGTTCTTGCCTGAGACTCTGTTCCATGCTCTTTACTTTCGAGTATTCATTTTCTAACGCTTCCTGGTATTCCGCCATGCCTGCCAACTCTTTCTGCAAATTACAATTCAGTCTCTTCTGTTCAGACTCCTCGGATTCCAACAATTGAGTATTTTGTATTTTGAGAGTTTCGAGTTCATGAAGAGCCTTTTCGCACTCTTTCTCAACCTGAACTCGTTCTTGGTTGAGGCGTTTACATTCCTTGGACGCAACTTCATGTTTGCTTTTACAAGAAGATAAATCAGATTCCATCTGAGAAATCTCCATTTCGAGCATTTTGTTGTCTTTTTCTAGTCTCGTGCTCATGTACGAAATGGCTTCAATGTCCTTCTCGAGACGCGATGACTTGTCTTTGTACTTCTGAAGTTCGTCCACAATTTTCAAGTTGTTGTTTCGTATATCAACAACTTCACCTTCCAATTTCATCTTCTCTTTTTTAAGAATGGCGAATTCGTTTTTGAGTCGGCTGCATGCATCCTCGCTCGTTCTTAAGGCAGCTGTCATCCTTGCTGATTTTTCTTCTTGGAATTTTTGCGACTTTTCCAATCGAGCTTTTTCCTGTGTCGCTTTATCTAGTTTAACTTTCAGTTCAGCCGTTTCTTCTAGGAGGCCAACCACTTCCATCTCGTTTGATGTGAACTGAGTTTGAGGAGGATTTCGAAGGTCAATTTTGCCGACCTTTGTTTTCCCAGGAGACTTCAGTGAAGACTTTGTCGTTATCTTGGTTGGCGAGGGAGGTGGATTGTCGCTTCTATAACCTTGAGACGTTTTCAGTGCAGCACTAAGAGCATTGTTCTCTCTCACTAACACCCTCTCTAATTCTGATCGTAAAGCCTTTATCTTTTCATCGAGTATATCCCTCTGGGTTTTGACATTGAAGTACTCTTCTCGAACCTGTTCACAATTTTCCTTCTCTTCTACCAGCTGGTTTTCCAGATTGGTTATGGTTTCTTGTGCCTCTGCTAACTGTCCTTTCTTGTGATCGAGCTCTTCTTCCAAATCTTCGCTACTCTCTTGAGCTTCCGCTAATTCTTGTTCGGTTTTGTGCAACTTTCTCTTTAACTCTTGTATTTGTTTCATCAGTGCTTCCTTTGACTTGCTTTTCAAGTCTTCGTTGTTATCGTTTGCCATAATCGCTTTTTGCCTTGGACCTAAAGAGGTAGCATTCAGCTTCTTTCCACTCTTACTTGGTGATGTCGCTTCGCTTGATTTCTCTTTGGCTGGGCTTGTGCAAGGTGAACGGAGACTTCGTGCAAGTTTCGTAATAATGATCTCTTCATCGCTGTCGTCTATGTTCGCGTCGGAAAACGTCGGTTCCTGATCATCAGTTAATTCATCGTCACTAGCTGCCTCTACGCCAGGGTGAGGCATAAAGGGGTAAATCTTGGATATGTTCTCCATACATGTTTTCAAGAACGCTTCTCTGGACTCATGTCCATCGCTCATCTGAGAACTGTTTTCACTGTCGTTACTTTCATGTGAAACTTCCATAACGTCAGAGAGCTCTGGGTAAGTTCTTACCACCTCTTTAGGCGATTCAACGACCACCTTTCCGTCATCACCATCAATGGATTGCTGTAAATTCTCTTGACTCTGGGACCTTTTGACATCATTTTCCAAGTTTGATTTTTCCAGTTTAAGGTGGAACAATTCAGATCGTAGTTTCGTGACGTGATGCTTCATTCCGAACAGTTCTTCTTCAACTTTAGTCTTCTCTTCCATTGTGGAGAAGAGCTCTGTTTCAAGCTTGCTGGTGTCCTCGTGTACTTCGCTGATTTCCTTTTCAAGTTCTGTTTTACTGTGTTTGAGATTTCGAAGTTTTTCGCGCCTTGGTGATATCGATTCCTTTGGTTTTTTTCCATTCTCTTGACCTGCGAAGGCGCCTTTTCTGTTTCCGGTACTCGTCGATATTTCAATATCCCCCTTAACGCCAGACTTTTCGTTGTATGATTTATTTGGATTAAGTGTGTCTTCTTGCGCAATACTTTGGTTTGGGTCGGTGGGAAAGTGTCGCCTTCCTTCGATAATTTCACAGGCTTGTCGTAGATCTATAAGCTCTATAACAAGCAGACATGCCAGTAGTGTTTTGTCAATGATCACAAACCGAAGACAGTTCTCCAGAACAGAGTTTAAATTTTCAGAATTTGCCCACAAATCGGCGTCAGTTAAACCTGCAAGGGAAAAGCCATCGTGGTTATGGAGAGTAACTTTTAGTTTTAAATGAGATTCGATTTTGTCACTCATCAAAACTCATATCACATGTACCAAGTACATTGTGAACAAGTAATGAACAACACACGCAATGATAAGTGTGCCGCGGAGTTGCAAGGCACTGAATTCCTTTTGCTGGCTACTACGGCGAATTACATGGTCAAAAAAGTTTACACTTAAGCCTACGATAACCCATGCAATTGCATTACAAAGAAGTAAAGAAGTGAATACACCAATAAACAGTAAGATTAAGTTTATCACTAGCCAAGAGATCCAAGTCCAAACAGATGTTTATTCTTACTTGGCATGTTATTTCGTCGAAACATGATCAATCTGGTGAGCTTCTTCCTCAACTCGTTCCACTGCAACGTTTCCGCCAAAGATTCTATAAAAGGCATTGAAGCATGCAATTAAGCGCCACGACGTTACGAGATTTAGTTTAGTTAAGGGGATAAGTAACATGGAGAAAAGGTTGAATCAAAGGGCTTCTTCAAAATATATTAGCTGTTTCGATCAAATTTTTTCATTCTTTTTGTGTAAAGCATACTTATTAAAAGTTTTCACGAGGTGTGCATTAATTACTGGGCTGCCTCAAGGCACGCCCAGTTATAACTCCTCTTCCGTTCAGTCGTCTCGGCAACATCCGGGCACTTACATACGGGCGCTGTTAATTGTTCACCCAGTTTAACCCAGAAAGCGGTGCGTGTTTCGACAAAGCATGTTTTCCCAGTTCAGCATTTCAATTTTGGTAACTTGGCTTCCAATAGGTTACAGTTGTTCTCAACATATTGTCAGAGTTTTTGCTATTGTTTGTATCTGTATCTTGCTAAGCTTTTATCTGAATTAAATTTGCGTTTGACCTTGTTACGCTAATCTCCCGTTCAAGTTCGCTCGCTTTACGTTTTTCGCCATACAAACCTTTTGATGAAGGTGTAAACTAAATCCATCGAAAGTAGGATCTTAAAAAACCCATATAAATCGATTTCACTCGAAACGTCACATAACATAAGGTAACACATGTATTGTACTGAAGGTGTTTTGAATTCGTACACTGTAAATGTGGCGGAGAAGTACAGTATGATACGAATGAACCATAGGGCTTCAATTTAAGTTCTTGCAATCATCACTATGACCCAGGCTAGATGTAAACGAGGTCACGAGCTATTGTGTTTCGAGGTGAGTTTAGTTTGGTCCTTAGCCACCCACGGATTTACCTGTGGAAAGCGTTTAGCCTAAAATCTCGGAGAATAAACAAGAGGATAAAATTTCTTCCATGAAAATACGTTAGTCACGGCTGAGGAAAATGGCGAATCCTCAACTCGTATTACGATATAAAAAAATTGTGCTAGCGACAGTTTAATCTGTTTACATTTTTGTAAAGTTCATTCTTTGATGAAATCAACACGTGGGTAATCAAATCTTTAAACTTTTTGAGGTCGGAAAATGCAAACAGCTAATTCCTTTAAGTTGAAGAAAAATAACAAGAAACGAAAGGACAAAATCTTTATCTTGTGGCAAAATCCGCTTTCGCGGTGTCGACCATAATTTTAAAATATGATTATCATCTATTTATAGTCTCAGTGCAATCGGTTGAATGAGGCCCATGGATCGATCGGGATTGGTTTAATGGGTGGATTCCTTGTATTATAAGCTGTTGCCTGTCTGTTCTAGAAAACCTCTCGTTTTTATGCAACACAGGTTTTATGGCAGCCCAGTGAGGTTGCTTTTCGGCGAGTCTAGTTATTTATAAATTCAGGCAACCGTGAGTTCACTTCACGATCATGGTCGTTTCCTTATTTTCAGTTGTAGTGGATGTTTAAATCTAAGGATAGTGGACAAATCGTTAGCGCATGATTTTTATGTAAACAGGATGGTCAGACACGAAACCGCAATACAACCAATGCCTTGGAAAGTGAGCATGTTCAAGACGGGAAAAAGTCAAACTGTAGGTGAAAAACCAAATTACAGAGTGCTGAGATTAGTAGGTTAAGGTTTTCAAAGTTCTTTTGTCACAGCAAAACCTCTCAAGGAAATTTTCTCCCTAAAATTCGCAACCTCTGCACACCACCGCTGCACCACAAGTATCTGACGTCTCTTTCACTAACCTTCACTGCCATTAACTTGTTCCTCCACCAGCGACGACATCAAGTTTAACACTTGCTGCTCCACGTTTCCTTTCGAATTCGACAGCTGTTTTAATAGCGCTTTTGTCTTAACCATGATCTCCCTTCGACCAGGCATAGTCACCCTTCCGTCATTTCCGGACAAGGAGCCTTGTCCATTAGAGAATGAGCGGGCACTGGGTTGTGCATCGGGCGATGTCCTTTCCCTAGAGTCTCTACCAATAAGTTTAACCAGCATCTTCCTCACTCCCCCTGCTAATCCTGTACTGGTTTCATCACTTTCTGGGTTGCACATGGATAGACTTAGATTCGGTTCCTGGAAGACACTTCTAGAAGAGTCTTTGGGAGACATCTCCACTACGCCTGGCCGAGGCAAAGTAAACTGAAGATGATCTTTTGTCCCGGGCGCTCCGTCCTTTCTCCACATAAAATCCTGATTACAGACCAGATGTAAATCTAGCAGTTGCAGAAAGCAGCCAGCGTTGCTCAAAAGCGCTTCTTGGGTTTCAAATAAAGCTAGATGGCTTTTGACTTTCGCAGGCAACGATGTGTCAGAGAGAATACTCTTTGCTACATCTGGGGTTTGTAAATTTGCCAGTAGGTCCAAGGACATGAGTTCTGCCAGCAGAATGGCCTCGACATCAGGGGAGCTTCCCATTGGTTGAGACACTTGTTTCTTGAGACAGACCAATTTTGTTTGGAGATTGTTCTTCTCCTCCTTTTCTCTCTGAACGCTTTTGGAGAGGTTAGCAATCACAGAAACCAGTTTCTCATGCTGCAGAGAAAAAAAGGTACCAAACATGACGAAGAAGTAATTTCCTGAAACTAGCTGAAAAGATATCATCGTATGTATGGAAAATACAAATTTGCTTCATCTTGTCAGCTACCGAAGGTCAGCCTAAATGGACATGTAGTTTGTTGTTTACTTTAAAGTAAAATTTGCTATTCAGTGCAGCGAACATTTTCGTCAACTGTTTTAAAAGGTAAGTAAATTCCCCAAAGGAGAATGGCGTGAATGTTGGAGAGGCCGTTCTGTTAAAGGCGATGATTGTGAGAAGGTGGAATAATAAGAACCCACGGTGAGAGATTATTCTGCCATTTCCACCTTGACCGTTTCTATACGTATATTGATTAGGATGTAGTGAATCGGAGAGACTTACATCTTTTCCAGCGAAATTCTCGCTTTCCTGGTAGCAGGTAATAGCGGACTTTAAGCGTTGTATTTCTCTGAGGTATTCCAACTTCTCGAATTTGTACTTGATATCTGAGCATAAAATATTCACACATCATTAACCTCTATGGTGTTTTTGTGCTCTGCATTCTGCTATCACAACTCGCCTTGTAAGCAAGCTGATAATAAGAGATACCGAGCAATACGTAACAAGACCAATTCTCTTTTAACGGACACCCTTATTAGAGATACATATCCATAAAAAGACACCTAGAGTTGGACCCTGCCAGTCTTTTCTTATTTCCTTATAAGAAAGACACCTAGTTAAATTGGACGCTTTTTTAGTGTCTCAACGCTGTCGGTCTAAGACAGTACAGTACAGTACAGTTCAAATCCTCCAGTCGGTAAACCTGTTACCATGGAGTTGCACTGGCGACTACTCGGTCGACTGGTGCAGCGAAACCACTCTCATCCTGGGTAGTGTTTATTGTCTTTTTAATGTCTTGCAAAGTGTGTCAGCCCATAGATAAATCAATTCAAGTTTTCGATTGGTAGTGGTATTATTCCTTAGTGCCGTTATAGTGCTGGGCGAGTGCATGGGTCAAACGCTGTGACCATTCATTTTAAAACCACTGATCCTGAGTACCTTCTCGTGACATTTTGTTTTCTGTGCAGGGTGGTTTTCAATTTGAGAAAGTGTTTAAAATCTTCAAATATAACTTTTAAAATGGTACCTATAACAGAAAAGTACTTGCATTCAGTTAAGGAGCAAGGGCGTAGAGATAAAATCGTCTTAGGAATAAGTTAGGAAGGGCCCCAAAGACACAATAATCTAATCTTACCGTGATCTTCCAGTTTCTTTGCCAGTCTTTCAGCCAACACTTTATAATCAACCTGTTAACGAATGCATTTAAACGAGATTCAGTTGCATAAGATCTAACTTTTTTATGGTTTAGCTTGCGCAATGTAGCTACAGTCTCTAACTCTACACGATACAGAGTAGATGAAAATCCCTAACACGACATTCACATTTAAGAGTATTTTTCTTCAATACTTTTATTTTTAGTAGTATAGGGTGTAGGAAATAAAACTATTTTGAGCGGGAATCTCGACTAGGTCAGGACTTCAGTGATGTCAGTGATGACAGAGGCTCGTAAATTTAACGCATGGGATCACATTTAGAGATTTTCTATGTTGTGTTGATTTTATGGTGGTCATAGTTGGTATTTAATAGTCAGATTTGTCAAGTTTTAGGTTCCTTTTGGATCCAAGGTGTCATGATTATTTTCATTTAGTTGACTGCAATTTAACAAAGACGTTCACAGGTTCAATCGTGTTTACGAAGCAATAGACTGTTCCCGCATTCCTGTGAACAAAGACACCAACTCGAGGCTTTTGATGACAAAATTCAAACCCAATCCTTCTTCTTGTTTTAGAGATAGAAGAAGTAGGTACGTTACGTTACCATGGCAGCAAAATTGCTGGATCTCAACAAACCGTGGTCCTGCTAATGTGACGTGAATGACTTTCCTGTTCATGATTGAAATCAGGAACGAAACGGGAGCCCATACTTTCTTCCGTCGCTCGACAATTCCAATTGCCTTCTCTGTCAAGAAAGATGGTTGAGGTCCAGAAATTTTGCTACCATGGTAACGTGATGTCAAACCTTTCCTCTCTATTGTGCACGCTCACAGGTGTGGAATGCGGGAACGGTTTTAGTGGTTTGTTACCAAGCGCCAGCTGTTATGTAGCTTCTTACCTCAACATTGAGTCGCGCAACGTTTGTTATTCTCATGGCTCTGAGACCAAAGTTTAAACTGCATTTTGTCTCGTTAACCTCGGCAAGCGACGGTGCGATGCAAATCTGCATACAAAGCAACAAAAAGAGAGACAAAGAGAGAAATACGTTGGCAGGTTGTTATTTGGCTGACTTTTTATTGACATGAACATGGTATTTTCTATTTTTGATGTGGTCTATAGGCACAACACAGTTGTGAGAAAGGTATTTATCAGGGTCTTAGTTAGACAGATATAGAAAACTGTGGTGGGATGTTTTGTTCAGACTCTGTTTGTTTTGTCTGATGTTTTGTCTCCACACACTGTAAATAGTACAGGGCCTGGCCCCCGGTGTAGTGGTCTATCTCTCACTGGGGAGAGTATCTGTTACGTGCCCGCAGTAATGGTTGCCACGTGTTGTTGCGTTGACCCTTTCAACAATCGGCGAACCTAGGCCTAAGTAAATGGTTGCCACGTCTTCCTTCAACTTTCATACCCTTATACATACATTGTCAATCTAGATCCTAGGCTTAAATGTTGTTTTTTTTCAAAACATCCATCTTCCGTTCAAAATTTCATCTAACATTAATATGACAATCATTGTCACCTAGATCATGACAATTAGTTTCATTTTATAAACAGTTATAAGTTTCCTACTGTGCCTAAGGCCTCAAAAAGGCATTGGCAATTAAGAGGTTAGATAAACAAGTACTGCTAGTTATTTTCTTACTATGAAATTCGTTTTTCCATTGTCGCCGAGGCAGTCCTGCAAGAGCCTGGTAAGAGTTGAATTCCTATACGGCACATGACGCTTGTGTCCCCGTGCAAGAGCATAAATCACATTCCTGACGGGTGGGGTAAGAAAATGAATCGACAGTATATAATATCTGTCCTTCTTAAAAAACAAAGCGGTGACAGTATATTAGTTGAACTTCTTTTGCTTTTAAATTGTTATCCAGGAGGGGTTTTCTTGAATGCAATCGGGACGTAATGGAGTGGCCATTGCCCAAAAGGCGGGCGAGAGGTTGCAGAAAAAGTTTAACCAGAATGATAGAATGAATTTATGGACTGTCTTCCAAGAGAAATAAAGTGGCCATTGTGGAAGAGACGCGTAACCGTTAGAAGAGGTGCGACTCTAATATGCTCATTTCTATTTACGCTTTTTTTTTATCAGTTCTAATTTTATACGCGCTTCTTAGCTTTTCGATGTAAACTTTGTAGCCTGTGGTGTTAACTTTCCTTATTTAATCGATAAAACGTACTTATTGCATCACTTGTAAATAGAAAACGCAGCATTTTACAATGAAAAGTTTTGTACTGTCTTAGTAAAAGCAATAAGAATCTTCGGGACAGTCCTACAGAACGGGCGCTGTCGTGATGATGAATCTTACCAGCACGTTTCAGGATTGTTTAAAAGGTCGTTTTAAGTGAAAATGCTTGCCAATAAGAAGTATTTGAAACATCGAGCTTATAGTTAAGAAGGAGGAGCTGAATTCTCACGAATAATGTAATTGTGCTTTTTTAAATCTATATTTTAACCTACCCAAGCTCAAGCAATGATGTGTTCAAATACTTTGCCTCTGTCAAGCGTACTCCTTCAGCTTTTGTCTTAGTCAGCCTCTCACTTCCGGCTAAATCACACCTGAAAAAGAGTTGGCCATGATCGTTTATCCTTCGTGCTTTTCATTTCTCTACCACCCAACAGTAAAGAAACTAAAAAATACTTACAAGTTGATTTTTCCTTTTAGAATAAGATCCCCTTCAAAATTGTTTCCGTTGTTCAGCTAGAAACCGAAAAAAACATCATCATCATCATCATCTTTATAAAATTAAGATTGTAAAAAGGAAAGAGACCGTGAAATTTAACTGAAGAAGTCATCTACTTTGTGATTTTTTGTAAAGCAAAAGTGTGATATTCAATAAGAGCTTCTTACAGAGAAGTGCACGGTTGGACATTTGTCGACTATCTACAAATGCCGCTGCTATTCTTCAACAAACGTTGAACAGTGCATCATGCATTCCTGATAATCAACAGGTCAAAGGCTGCTGAACAATTCATCAAGTTGTAACTTGCTGAACAGCGACATTGCTCGGCCGGTTAATTGCTTGACAAATGTAGAAGGGTGTTGAACCTTCTATCATCAAGCGTTTTGTGCAGGTTAAAAGTAGTCTCAAGTTGTCTTTTATCTAAGTAAAGGACTAATTCACCAAAGAAACTTTTTCCACCTCTTTCTCCATTAGCTCTTTAAGGCACTCCCTTTCACGCTAAAAAATGAAAAAGAACGTTTTATAGCTATGATGAAATATAAAATTCAATCAAATTATCAAGAAAACAACAACAAAATGGAGGTAGCGAATATTGAGTACAGGAAATTTAGCAGACTCAAATTACATAAGAACCAGCTAGAAGGAGAGGTATCAAAAACTGCAAGTGGAGAGCGCATTTTTTACAATACTCGCTTTTAGTATCTAAAAGACACTTTAAAACTTAGGGAAACTGTTCTCTCTATACAATATATAATGTGTCGTTTTTGCCTTTTTTTTCATACATTTTTCGAAGTTTTAGAGTCCAAACACACCATCTATCTACGACAAAAGAGATTAGAAGGTAAGTTAAATTGCCCGCATAAACCTTTAAATGTGCCGCATGGCTTTACCTTATGGTGGCTTTTCCTCTCCTGTTTGAGTTCTTTAATGAGGTTGTTAATGGTTTCGTCAACAGCCATAATGGATTCTTGAACAGTCTCCTGAGAGGCGGAGGTGTCACTTTCACTTGGCGGTTTTTCTTTTAAATGAGAAATGAATGTCTTAAGAACGCCCGCCATAATAAAAAGACTTGGTGATGGTTTTAAAGAAATACGAGGGAAGCCTGTGATCAGACTCCCAGGGAAGCGTGTTGTGCTTCTGGCCCTCCCTCCTGCCTTTCCATCCTTTCCATCCTTTCCGCCTCCCCGGCTGTTCTTAACTTCTCTCCTTCCTTTTTCCCCATTGCCCACTAGAGAGTCACCTCAAAGGCTATCGAAGGGATTTAATATAAATGAAGTCGTTTCTGTGTTGCTGGGACATCGGAAGGTGTTTTGATAATTTTTGTATTTTTGATTTTAGAGACTGAGGGCATTAAATCATGGTGTTGGTGGCGGCGATTGCGCGGAGTTCTTTGCCTGGTTTAAATTTCCGCCTTCAAATCTGGTCAATGTTGTTGGTGTTCGACTTGCTTTAGAATTTCTTGAATTGTTTACTCTCTTACCATTGGCAATGTGTTCCTTGAGTCTTCTTTCTATAATGAGCTGCATGATGGAGTGAGACCTGTAGGGAAAAAGAAGTTCTTTGTCGATTTGCTTTTGTTCGTCGTCGAAGCTTCATCTTGCTCCTAAGTGGAGCCTTTACCTTGTTTTGTGGTTACAGTTAAACCTCTCCACAGAAGCCACCTTGTGGACAGAATAAAGTAGCCTTTGAAGAGCGGTGACTGTGGTAGAGAGGTTATTATTTACCAGTAACGCCTACCCTTCGAAGCCGAAGATTGATGGTGTGGGGTCAGCTAAATATTACGAAAAAAGAAAAATGCAGAGTACATTGTTTTCGAGTTTACAGGACTCTGATTGAATGAAGAAATGGACTGTTTAAATTTTGTTAAATTAGTGTTCTCAAAGAAAGACTAACACGGTTCCACTGAGTGATTGTTCTCAGCAAGGGTCAATGTATGGACTGTCAGCCAAAAACGTAGCCGTTGTAGAGAGGTGGCCGTTATTGAAGGTCCGATTGTATTAGGAAGTAGCCAGATCTCTGTCCAACAATTAAACTTGGAGAGTAAATACTGAATCTTCACACAGGAGTTTCCATTGGTTACTAACAACTGAAGTGTCAGAGGGCTTACGATTTACAACACCACCCCCACAATGCAATTTGCCTGATCTTCTAGAGAGACGTCTTCAAATCCAGAGACATTTTTAGATTCAAGCCGTGCCTTTCGAAACTGGGGAAAATATATACTCGCAAAGTTCGGTTCACAGACAACAACAATAACAAACAAAGAAAATTAATTCACCATGAAATGGTGCCATCTTGACTTCACACTTTGTCATTGACGCATATTTATTGTTTTACACAAATTAATTTATATGAGACTCAACTGAGTGTCAGATCTTTGAAAACGAAAGCTGTTTCCAGTAGTGCTTTACCTGCTTGAATGCCTGACCATTTTGGTCTCGGCAATAACAAGATGTTGCTTTCCAACCTCCAAAAGCGCAAAAACATCTCCAGCGCTCTTTACCTCGTGCTGTGTTAAGTTTGCAACGTAAACACCTGGAACAAAATTTCATGCAAATGAATTTTTTTTCTGTCGCTGAGGCCCCTTCCACACGAATGCGGATATTTTTAAAAATCGAGACTTTTTTCTCCGTTTTTAAAAAAATAAGCATCTTTATGTAGCGTATTCGAATCGTTTTTGAAAACCTCCGCTTTTGTCCGTCCACACGTAAACGAAAAGCCGGCGTTTTCAAAAATCTCCACCCTGGAGAGCATTTTTAAAAAGATCCGTTTTCGGTGACCGTTTTCAACGGACACGTGTGGACTGTAGGCCAAACGGGAGAAAAAATATCAAAAATATATTTTTGTTAACAAAAACAGTTTCGTGTGGGCGGAGCCTGATTCGGGGTAGTGCTGTTTGTACTGAAAAGTTCAACAAGCAACAAGAGAAAATGACACCTTTTAATAAGGAGACCATTCCGCATAGGGAGAATGTCAGTGGAATTTTGAACTAAATTTTTCCCTTGGTGCTCAGAGCTGAAAAAACCCCTTAAAATGCCAACTTTTGACCGTCTCCAATACAGAGTGTTATGGAAAAAGAATTCAAAGTTCTCGAAAACTTTTTTGTTGTTTCAGAGAATTAGAATATTGATCCGCTACAATAGATTATAGAATATTGATAATAAGAGGGAAAAGGTTTCCTTGTTTCACGTCCTCTTGGTATTAGCACTGCGACTTAAACAGCGAAGATAACCGTCACTTTTGGTTACAGATATTGGCCATTTTTGATCACTTTTGAAAATGTAATTTATATTGACTAGCATACGAAACGTCAAGCGTATGTAAAAATGCGAAAGTTCACAATGTTAACCACCGCTTTTGAGTTCTATTTTTGAATAGAACCCCAGCCTCTGGCGATCTGTGGATAATTGACAAAATTTGGTTCTTGTTAGGAACGCGTGCGTACCTTTCTTCGGATGTTCCCTGACTGGTAAATCTACCATAAGCCGAGGATTCAGTAGATCATAAACCTTTTCTTGATAGACTTGCAGAAATGAGCACATAACCTGGGCAGAGATAACCAATCCAGCCATGATTAAATCCAGATGTAGTTAATCGATAAACCGATAATCGACGGTAATCGATACGAACCATCGATGAATATCGATTTCCGATATCGATGGATAGAAATCGGTGAAGAAAAAAAGTTGTGACTTCGATTAATATTCGACGATTTTCCGATAGAAATCGATGATGATTTTTTATCGATTGTTATCGATTACTATCGATTCCTATCTATTCGATTATAATTGATAAATTATTTTTCCTGTGACTTCGATTTCTATCCATTTCCGATATCAATCGATATTAATCGGCGGATTAAATCGATTAATATCGATGATATCGATTGATTTCCGATATCGATTTTTATCGATTAATTACGTCTGGTTAAATAAACAACGAAGAAGAGGTTAGTTCTTCAAAAGAAACTGTATAACTGCGTCATTCAGTTTGTAATCATAAGAAGGTTCAAGGCTACTCCTTTTGTCAGATTAAATAAAAGCTCTAAGACTTATAATTCGCCACTTCTACCACCTCTTTAACCGGGTACTGCCTTTTATATAATGTCGCCAACCTAACTTAGTCATCGTTGACTATGAGGCAGACAGCTCTCTAAAGCGGTCCTTAGAGTTTTCCAACGGATTAGGCCTCTTAAGTAAAGTAGGCTGTGTTGAATATTGTTCTTGACAAACCCTGTGGAGTCACAATTAGGGCGCCATCAGAGGCGTTTCAAGTTTCGTTTGGCTTAAGCAAGCAAGAAAATCAAAGAGAGAGGCGTTACAAAAAGGAATTGATCGCTGCATTGGAAGGAAGCCTTCAATGGAACGAAATAAATCTGGCAGGAGTAGTAAAGGAGGACAACGTCAAAAGTACCTTGTATGTGTGAATCTCATCGTTGTCAATTTTCTCAAAACAGTGTTGAACAACTCTTGTGGTAATGCCATCATCTGACAACAATGTGAAGGTTTTTCCTGAAAGGTTTAATGTAGTTTAAAAGGTTAGATTTAGATTTTCATCTGAAAAGCAAATAACCCTGAGCTACGTCGCAGATACTTCATTTTCCCACCTCCTTGGTAGATTGCTTATTACGGTGTCTTATCGGGCTAAACGAGGAGGTTCACTGGACAATTTGGTTTTATTCATTGAGCTGATGGTCGACGATGGGCTTGTCACTGAATAGACTAGCTTGTATATTATGTTGCAGTTAATTTTTGTTTTTCCTTTGCTTAAAATTCATTAGGATACATTACCATGCCCAAACACAATAGAAAAATAAAAATTAATTGAGTTAAAAAAATTAACTGCAACATATACCATATTGGCACTCCCCAAAGAGGGTTTCTCAGTCATCATACTAATTAACTATTACTAACGTAAGTTAAACTGATGGCTTTTTCAAAAATTACAATGGTGTAATAATAAATAAAAATAGAGTATGAATTAAGCTTAAAACAGTTGCTAAAATTATAAGATTTAAACCTGTATAAAAGAAGGAATGTGGTGGTATTGATACCCAACTTAAATTGTAGTTCTGAAAAACTATATTCTGATACCTAATTTAAATCGTGACCTGATAATTTTTGTCATGTTGTTTTTTAACAATACCTGTTCCTGTTTGTCCATATGTCAGAAGAGTCCCTTTGTATCCATTTAGAGCAGCATAAACCAGCGGCTTCCCAACTTTAAGATAAAGCTTGAAAACGGCAAAAAGTGAATCCATTTTACAAGAGTAAGGGCACGTCATGTTAAAGGAAAATGTTGCAGTTGGAATGTATATAAATGTGCCGAAGCTATGAGCAAACAAGGACTTGCGCGGCGTATTCTGTTGTTCAGACAGCGTGTCTCAGCGAGTCTCTGCTTTGGTTTGTAATTGGCTACAATATCACAAGCCATGTTCTTTGATTGAAACCACTAATCGCGACTTTTGCATGAGTTTCCCGTCCTTAGTTGTAATTTAATTGCTGAATGTTATTGTGCCGAAATTTGACTGGTTTATTTGCGTATCAGTTCATTTTGTCAGTGGGCAAAGAAATTGTTTGGGCTTAAGTTCAACTAAAAGATTTTCCGCGGAACTCAAATAACGAGTATGCCAATCTAGAAATAAAAACATGAAGACAGTCTTGGATAACACAGTACTTAAATACGATATAGATTTACGGCAAAGACTTGTTTGTAGTGAAGATCGTGATTTAAAATTACCTCGTGATTAGTCGCCTCTGGGCTGAACACACCGTCGAAGAAATAGTTTGTTCGACTTCTTGGGTCGAGAACACGAATCTGATTATGGAAGAAATACGAAAATTAAAGTAATTTTTACAAGTTCATATGTCGGTTTACATGTTAAAAAATTATGAAACGTTTGTTTCAATTGCGCAATATACCACTGCGTCGAATCGGCCATTTCTGAGTTGCATCAAACCTCTGTTTTAAAACGAGGTTAAGGGTGAAGCCTTTGATATGGAAATGAGTTTTATTCTCATGCACATAAAACTCTTTTTTACAAAAAAGGCTTCGCACTTGACCTCACAGTTTTAAAAGTGAGAGGTTTTGGAGTACGGAAACGGCACATTGTAAATTAATGAACTTTACCTTATGTCGTATTACGGGGACCATAATTTGACATGATATTCGTAACACATACCAGAGAATGTTCTTGGTGAATTTCAATCGCATTTGGTTCACGCTTTTCCTTTTCTCTTTCCGTAAATGGACGTACTCGAACATAAACTTGGATTTTCCCTGCCTCTGTGTATAAAAATAGAACCAATGATCGGTTAAGTCAAGGGAAGGAGACCTATCACGCGTACCACATACAATAGGCAGGTCGATAAAAACTTTGAAAAGGTGTCCAGCGTTGATCCTGTAATAAGTCAACTCGGATTTCATTTGTTTATTGTTTAGCGCTACTAAAGTGATGACGTCATAAAAATTAAATTTGTGAAATTATGAGATTCGTCAGGATATTCTGAAAGAAAAACGTCCCGGAGGCCTACTTGCCAAGAACTAGCATTGTAGGGCAAATCGTCTCTGAGATATTAGCCCAGTTATGCTCTGATGACTCTATACAAATCCATCTAAATTTGACTTGGGTCTAAACGTTATGACCCAAGTCAAATTTAGAACATTATGCCCCCACCTTTTCCCTTGCTCATGGTAGTTGTGTGAATTAAACTCAGTGGCTTCTCTTACTGATTCCAAATCAGGGCTTGATTCTCAGGTCCAGGGGCCAGGGTATCTAGTAATCTCGCGAAGGGAATCAAGCGGATTCGCCATTTCTCTAAGTTTACATGGCTATTTTCTTCTGAGATCTGAAAAACGAAAGCATAAAAGAAGAATGCATTGGTTTAAAATCATGTGCCGAAAGGAGATGCGCAGTTACAGTGTAATAAAACAGTACTAATTTGTCTAAAGTATGTTACACGCTGCAATTTATTGAAAGAAAATTTGATATTTATAGTAAATTTTATCACACATATAGCACTGTTTATGATGGATGAGAGTAATTATAAATTGAAGTGTTAGAGAGGACCTATAAAGTCCTCCGAACATTATATATTAGCCCTATTAATGACGTGAGCCCGGATGTAAGCCCGGAGTGCTTTCTGTTTTTAAACCCTGCACCCTCCAACTATGACCTGATAGATAGTAATCACCTCGATCGGCTTTGAAAACGTGGGAATTTGCAACAGATACTAGTTGAAAGTCTCTCTTTTTCCTCTCAAACCTGGACCGATGGCGAAACACCATTTAAGAGAATTCGTCCATACACAGTATATTTAAAAGCAAGGTAAGTGCAACCATAGTTGATAAAGTGGAATCATGGCTTTGAAGTCGGTCAGACTGACTTTCTGTCGCTTTTAAGGACTTCTCATTTGCATACCTGTCATTTAAATCCTTGCTTAGACCAATAGAAACGTCGCATTTATGTATTCAGTCATAACTTGTGCACAGCCACGAGGGAGTTTACAACTTGAACTGCAGTTAAAACTGCAGCTCCGTTGTTTTCCAACTTCTATAACCAGTGCTCCTCGCGCTAGGACCCCTTTATACGAAGACAGCCTCCCTCGGCTAGAAGAGTCACCTTCAATCTCCTTCCCAGGGACCGATATCCTTTTGATCAGCGACGGGGATTGGGTCACCTTCTCAGCCGAGGCAACAGCGCCCACGCATGCTCTGGTTGTCTAAAACAGCGCTCACGCATGTTCTGATTATCTCACCTCGACCGAGTTTACAAGGCTGGGCAAGCCAAAGTGTTTATATGGAGAAACGTTCGCCCGGCTGGGAGGATGTCTTTACCATTGCATGGCCGAATCAACGTTTTGTTTTTCATGTAAACGTTTCGCCACGTTTTGTAAGGAAATGAATCAAAAGTTGACTCGCCCTGGGTAGCTTGGGTAGGCGGATCATCCGGGGAAACGTTTTCTTCATAAAAACGGAGCGTGAATGAAGTATGTCAAACATGAACTGCGCGTGCCGGTAATATTGGAAATGTCGGGGGAAGAAGCAGAATCATTTGAATCTTGATATTCATGATTCCTGCCCTTTTTGCCTCAATGATTAAAGATTCCTACTAGAAACTTCTTCCAGATTCATTGTTCACGAAGACTTCTGATTTCCTATTGACTTACTGATTCTCTCAGTGGCAACTTAGTCTCCTTTTGTATACTTTCTTCGGCGTTCAAACTTTTACTTCATCCAGACACTGTATCATCATTTGTTTGATCTAGGTGTGGAGTGTTTTTGTAACTGCACATTAAGCACCAGGTTACTGGAGAAACAGTTGGACTATCAGCCCCGATTACTCGAACTATATAGGGGGGTCCGGGGGCATGCTCCCCGGGAAAAAGTTTGGAAAATTGGACTCTCTGAAACCCCATATCCTGCATTCCATGGATCGAACGCAACTAATTTATACGTGTATTTTGTTGAGCTTTTTTCTCAGAGTCTCGTTATTCATGATTCCCGAGCCGAAGTGCAAAGATTCATGATTCCCAAGTTCTTAAAACAAAGATTCATTATTCTTACATGTTTTGTAAGTAGGAATCGTAATTAATGATTCCGCTTCCACCCCCGACAAATGAAACGGAACAACGGTGTTTAACTGTGGTAAAATGCGATTTAATTGACGTACTGTTTAAAATTGAAATTATTTTGCTCATGATAGTGCTTGCTATACAAACTCGGAACATTTCTTCTGAGCTCAGCAGGAAAGGGAGAATTCACTAAAGAAACCGTGGCCTGAGTTACCCAGATTTCATCGCGCGGTGGGTGGAGTAGGGGTTGGAGGATGTCCATCTTGCATTTTTACAACAATTCAGCATCAAATTACCTTACTCAGAAAAAAAGTCACTATTTAATGTCTACAGACGCAATTCTCAGAAAATTCAGGTTGTGCGAGTGTAGTTTTTATGAAAGCTTTGGAATAGTTCGAAGCATAATTTTCTATTTACATTCAAGCCGGTTTGTCTCTGAAATAATTCTCATTCAGCAATAGGAAGCAAAATGCCTAGGTATTTGCTTTAAATTCGTAAAAGAAATTCCCGTTTAAACTGGTGTTATTTCCCATACAATTCACGGAGCTTTCGGAAGAAAATACAATGGCTCCGGCTCGTATGGCCACATTTTAAGGTTAGAACCAACCACCTGTTGCGGCCACCTAACATTGTTTTTCCGTTGTTCGGTTATCTTTTTGAAAGATGCTATTTGTAAAAACAACGAATTTTCATAATGTAGGGGCGTACGAAAATTGCTCTATCAAAAATGTTTTTAAAATTTTAGCCAGTTTACGTTCGCAACATCAGCAAAAGCCCAAGAAGTAGTTCGCGGCCAAAAAGGTCTATTTAAATCATTGCTTTCTAATCACCATTAAATTTTAAAGAACGGTTATAAACCACAGCGCCTTTGTAATTGTCACAGTTAAAAACATGACTTCAGACCACGGTAAATTATATCATTTTCTAATTAAGATGTTGCTTAAAATATTGCCAAAAGACACTTCACTCAAATTTAGAATTTCTAGGCTGTATGGTATGAAATATGTCCTGAATTTATAGACAATTGTTTTTGTTTTGATTTTACTAATCGCAGTTATCATTTGAACCGCCGTCCTTTAAGATTGAAAGGTTTCTTTGGATCAGTGAATGCTTCAAGATAGCGTTAACTTACCGAGTTTCTGTCGAATTGTTCTTTTTCCTCTCCTAACTACAGCTCCCTGGAGTTCATTAGTTAAGTAGGGGAAAATATTTTCCGACCATTAATCTCAGTTGCTTATTATCCCCTCTTGCGAAGTGCACTTTAGCGAGAGCACCAGCGAAACACTGGAAACAAGAAATAAATTATTTAGTGTGGTGTAATAAGAAACGCTCAATTTTAGCCTGTCCATGTTTTTCATGGTCATTTGAAATGTTGCCACTTATTTTACTCTGATTTTATCTTCAAGCTCTTTCCAGTTCCTCCATCATGTGCCGTCCGGTAGTACATAACCTACGAAAATGCGAAATGAAAAAAAATTATGTTGTTAAAAATTGCCCAAAACAATTTTCCGAGTCGTCAAAGAATAGTGATAAGTTCGCTTGTTTTACAATTAGCAGAAGCGCATAACCACTCAATTGTGAGCATGACTTTACATTCGAAACGGCATCAAAATATGTGATTATAAATGTTAGAAAAGTGTTTTAAAAATTAACGGCAGGGTTATAAAATATATGAACGGGGGGCGGGGATCTAGGCTTGGGTTTTTTTGATACCGTATATGACCTAATAAACACCCACTTCCAAATAAACGCCTCTTATCTAATAAACGCCCCCTCTACGCTTTGTATGAGACGCCTCTCTGTAACAAACGCCCCCTGTCTAATAGACAGAATTATGAGAACTACTCAAAAGTACTAGGAATTAGCAGATTAAAGAAGCAAAATCGTTCTATTCATTTAGTATCTTGCTTGATTAACAAGGGTTTGCGTATTTCATCTTGTTCAATGTCAAGTTAAAAAGATAGCAGAGAATCAGACGTTTTATATTGTTATATATGAACTCCGATGACGGCAGCTGCTGATTTTAACACATCATCGTAGTTAACAGCATTAGGGAGGTTCTCCTTCATCCACTTTGTGCCTCTCTCGGCGATCATCTCCCATTCATCTTTCTGATCCGAGAACATGCCCATCAACAGAACCAGTGCTAGGGCAGTGGTCCATAATAGCTTCCCTTCAGCTGTCTCAACTGCTATCTCTCTTGGACATCCTGCGATCAAGGCATCTTGGCTTGTTGTACACAGGGCCACCAGCTGGTCAGTGAGGTCCCAGGCCCCTGAGAATTTCTGTAAGGACATCAGTAGTAACAGTAGTTGACATTGTTTTTGACATCTTGCAATGCGAGCATCTTGCAATGCCAGCACGGAGTGTACCGCTACTACCCTTCGTTTTGCCACACAATCTCCCTTTTCTTGGAAGTTTTCGTAAAAGTCATCCTGGTCGACGTGATACTTTGCCACAGGGATGTTACACAGACCCTCGCAGTCCTCGTCTTCACACTCGTCGTTTGAACTGCCCTCCGAATCACTATAAAAATCACCTCCTTCCTCCCAAACCCCAGGTCGTTTTTTCAACGGTTCTGACACCGGCTGATGATTGTCTTGGTCAACAGCGACAAACGAAGTGAATTTGGAAACTATGTTCGTTGCTTTGCTAATGAAAATCACTGTGTGTTTGAAAGCATCTTTTTTCTCGTCACTCCAAGTCCGGCTTCTGTTGTTGTAGGCATCTTGTTTTTCTTGTATGAGCTGCTTGGCTGCAAGACGATGCATACTCCCTCCATTCACTTCAGCTTCATCCCCTTCACGAGAGAAAGTAAAATGAATCTCGTGATGTATCGCTGCCTTTTTGTTCTCCAGTCTGCCTTTCAGGATTGCTTTTGCAGTCAATTCTCCGTTGCCCTTTTTACAACTTTTGGTAAGACCTCCTTGCCGACAATTGAGGTCACCATACACAACAAGTCTGTCTCCTAGAACCAACAGAGGAAGGGTTGCGGGGATCTGGTACCCATTCCAGTCTTTTGGTAGTTTCCATGACAACTCAACATCTGTGATAACTGGTTGCAGAGCTCTCTTTAATGTCTTGATTACCAAAAGTTGGTAAAAAATAATAGGAATGAGCAGTGCTGCCGTTTATTTACTAATAATCCTAAAAGAAAAGTAAATGAACAACACAAGACTAACTTCGACTGTCTAGTGCAAAGCGTTTGACGAACTGAAACTTGACCCTTGATTTCCTTTTTTCTGCCCCGCCGTAAGTGTATTAAAAAGAGATTTTTGTTATCTATTTTTCCCCTTATTAATTTCATCCAAGACATGTGAAAACCAAACAAACAAACAAAAACACCAACAGAACAAATTAGACTATAAGGGGCATTGCCACAGGCAGTCCAATACAAAGTGACAGGGACTCCGCAACTGCATCTCACAGCAAAAACTTGAATACAGTAAACACCCGCATATAAGAATAATTAAGTAGATTTAAAACATCAGACTGAAAGCTGGCTAATAAAGCACTATTATATATAAGAACCGCGCCGGCAACCTTAGAGCGCAAGTCGCACGATTAGAAGAACCTGTTAATGAGACTACTGAGAAAGAGCTCGTGAATTTGAGTCTGGTGTAAGGCTGGTAAGGAATCGAGCTTCAGCAAAGGCGTTTGTGAGCGACGCACGTAAACCGAAAGAGAGGCGTTTTCTCTTTTAACACATCTTGAGGCTACTAACTTTGCATAATTGCTTACTGTTCTCCTACTGAGAAACAATTTGCCTAAAAATATGGGTAAAACCACCGCCCAAGAATGCAAAAAGTTCACTTTCGGTTTACGTGCGTCGCTAAAGCAGCAATCAGCCTCTCGCCAGCACAGCAAAGAAGGTGCTCCTACAGCCATTTACTACGTAAGTTCGATTTGTAGCCGGGTAATTGATAACCTGAAGATTAACAAAATGGGACTGTAAAAGAGGTTATCAGTAGGCGCTTCCTTCGTAACGCTAGCCGACGAGTAAGTCGGGGTGGTCCTGCCCGTTCCAAGAGTTCGCCTCTCTGTGGGCTTGTCCCACACAAGAGCGATTTCCCATACCTTATTACCAAGTCGTGAATACAGTCAACTCCCGCTAAAGGTGATGTTACACGGGACGATTCGCAACGACGATTTTTAGCGCAACACAGAGTTTCTATGTTGGAACAATGATATAACTATGCGAGCAACAATTTTGCAACGCTGTGTTGCGCTAAAACTCGTTGTTGCGAGTCGTCTCGTGTAACATCACCGTAAGACGGACACGTTTGGGACAGGCAGTAAGTTTCCATCCAAGAGTGATGTCCGTCTTATAGAGAGTCAAATAAAAGGCATAAAGAAAGGCAGGGACCAACTCTAGGTGTCCGTTTTACAGAGGTGTCCGTTAAGAGAGAGTCGACTGTACCTAGGGTAGAATATTACACTTTGTTATATTCCTAGACTTTCACTCAACCAAACAGGGACTGCCATTGGTTGATTCTTAGTCACGTGGCCTTGACTAAAATCAAATGTATCCCGATCGTGATACATTACGCAATGTACCCCGCTCGGGATACATTACAGCACATGATCAAAGCATGGCGGAAAGTGGCGTGTGACAGAGGGCGGGAAAAACACTGCCAGTTTTCTTTTTCGTGAATGAACACAACAACACAAACACGAAGCCTCAAGCTAAAAAGCAACGATCTTTAAAGTTATCCCTGAAGAGCAACAGCAGCTAGTAGAGGAAAAATATATAAGGAAAGTACTTTGTAAATCATTCATTCAGTGGTTTTTAGAATTATATTTGTGTTGTTATAAGTACCGAGTCGACAGTTTTGGTTAGCTCCGGTAATTCCTTTCTTGCTGTTGAATTGAAAGTCTAGGAATATAACAAAACACTTAATGTCAGGTCCCTCCTGAAACCAGTTAGTTTTGTTTTCCCTCGAGTCCTGATGTTTCCCTCGACGTCATCTCGGGAAAACAAAACTAACTGTTTCCCTCGGGATCTGACATTAAGTGTGTATTATTGCCCCTGCCAATTATTCCCCCAGCCCCGCCCCCTCCATTGCATAAATGCAATACGTTTCCTGGTAACGGTTTGCTTAAACTCATCATTTACGGTTTAAGGACTCCAAGTGAACATAAGGAGCTTGACTTGGTTTGGGTCGAAAACCTCTCTTTATTATCTTCTATACCTGCATTAGATTTGCCAATGTTTATTTATTCATATTACTTAAAGTTAGCTATCCAGCCTAAACTGTTGGGATGCAAAGAAATACATTTGTTTTGCTCTCCGTAAATGGCCTTGCTACCACAAAGAATTGTGTTGAAAAAGAACCACGAACGGTTCCACCTGAGGAGTGATAACCTGCGTAGCTGGTGGGATCACAAGTCACGTGACATGGACAGGTTCAAGCAGAGCCCAAAAATCGGAACTTTAGACTTTATTGTAGTGAAGAAATTTTTAATAGACCTCACGTGATAATACTACAGAAAACTGTTTCTTTCAAAATCCCCTGAGAGCTGAGACCTTCATTGGGAAATAAAACGTACAAGCTAAAGAGGTCTTTTAGGTTATGGAATTTCCGGAGTTTAAGTGGATACGAATTAGCCGGAAATGAAGTATTTCTGCGGCACGGAAGTAGCAGGGACTGAGGCGGTTTCAGTTGATGTGCCGTATGGGTAGACTGGAGTCCTATAAAAGGGATGCTTATCACGTGGGAAAGCATTCTAGGCCGACACCTCGTCTAGCTCACGTTATTATTTATTTACTTATTCATTTATTTATTATATATTTCACTTATTAAGTGATAAATTGAGTTTCGAGAGGGTTTTAACTTGTTTTCGATATTTTTCGTTTGTTTTCAAATAATTATTTTCAATTTACCGTGCTTTGTTGGAATACATGCTCAGTAAGTGCGGGTAGAGACTTTCGAGCCGTGTAGCCATCGTAGGATAGGCTTTTCAGAGCACGAGCCATGGATCCTACCGAGATTTCCTGCCAAGCTTTTCCCTACTGGTTTCTTCTTCTTTTTTTTTCCGGCAGGTTTTTTCTGGCCTCCGTTCTTACAGTATTTTATGCTAAATGTCGCTCAGCTCTGTTCTAGCTTATCTATACCAACAGAAGGTGTAGTATAACGTATTGATATATCTGCGGTGCTCGGCCGAAACAGCGCTTGCCTTTACGGGCGGCCATCTTGGTTTCACGTGTACCGAGGGACTGGTAGTCAATTTGCACTCAGTACAATTGAAACCAAGATGGCTGCCCGTGAGGGTAGGAGCTCGATCTCGGCCATCTTACGGGAAAATAGGGGACTGTGAGCAGCGTACTTTACAACTAACATAGCGTCTTTTCGTAGGAAATGCAAAAGTCGTAAAAGCCTATGATTTGAAAAGGCTCAATTTAAATTACGGAAAACGAACTTCAAAATTACAACTTTAAAATACGGTCGGTACAAAGAACATGACCTCACAAAGTTGCGCTAATAAAATGATTGTGTTTATATTCACCAATACTAGCAAGTGTTCTGTCTGCAAGCTTATGAACAACTAGTTCTCGATATTTGAATAATCTGTTCAGCTGTTTATGATATCTGGACTCCAACTGTAGCTGCTGCAAACGTTATGACTTCGTCGTATTTAATGGCTGCTGGTAGATTTTTCTTCATCCACTTTTTGCCTTTCTCTTGGACCATCTCCCATTCATCCTTCTTATTCCCGAACTTGCCCATCAACAGCACCAGAGCCAGAGCAGTGGCCCATAACAGCTTCCCTTCAGACGAGTCAACTGCAATCGCTGCTGGGCATCCTGTGATCAAAGAATCTTTGCTCGTTCCACACAGAGAGACCAGCTGATCGGTGAGTTCCCAGGCTCCTGAGGCTTTCTGTAATGATATAACTGACAACAAAGCTGGGGCGTCTCCTTCTGGTTCGTTTTCTTGTTTGGTTATGTTATCGTGTTCCGCCTCTTCCAAGGCACAAGCAGCATTAGAGGATTGCCCTTGATCTTTTCCCTTTGGTCGCGACAACGATGCCCCGCTAAACAGTTTCGAGAAAAAGGAGCCTATAGACTTCTTCAAACTCGCCTGTTCTTCAGAAGGGGCTGGTCTACTTGGTCTGCTGGCCATCCTCGGCACACGTACATATTCCAACGCAGCACCTTTATGGCGTTTCAAACATGCCACATTATTATAATTGCCCACAGCATTAAGCCTAACAAACGAATGAACAACTTTTCGCTGAAGCGGTCCAGATACCGGCTGATGGCTCTCTTTATCAACAGCCACAAACGACGTGAACTTTGACACCACATTTGCTGATTTACTGACACTGATTAACAAAGTTTTGTAGCCTTCATCTTCCACGCCTCCGTTATACCCTTCATTCAGGACATCCTGCTTTACCTGGATAAACGTTTTAGCTGTCAGGCGATGTAGGAAGACACTTGCATTTGCTGCATCATCTGTCACACAAGCCGTCGGCAGGAGAGAAGTAGGAAAGGTGATCAAATGTTCAACTTTCTCATTATTTCCAAACATGCCTTGTAATCGTACATTATTCATTCCTCCTTGTTTGGCATTTTCTGAAGGCTTCAGAAGGCCATACACCACAAGTCTGTCACCACTGAAGAGCGGGGGAAGAGATGCAGGGACCTGCTGCACACTCCAGCCTTCTGTTAGGTCCCAAGCTACGCTCACATCTGAGATAACTGGTTGAAGAGCTCGTTTCAGTGTCTTGATAACCTGAAATCAACATGTAAGTGCCATTTACTTGTTTCCATGTACTGATGTCAACCTTTTTACAAGCTAATAATTCAAACATAATTTTAACTATCGTAAAACAGTATTGTTTACAAAGAAAAATGGCTGGGATTGATAATCTAACCATCGAAAGACCTTTAAAGTACAGTGACTCTCGCTTCGTTGTGGACACTTCGCTTTTATGGACAACCCCATCAGCACCTGAAGACCCAAAATGAGACCAAAACCTGCAACTTAAACCTCTAAGACCGCCTAGAAAAGTCCTCCTCCCTGGTCTGCTACACAGTAGCCTCCCACGCAGACGTTGTGCCTCTATATCAGAGATGGCAATTTTAGATATCAACAACTTGATGAACGTTCGTGTAGCAACGACTACGAGAACCTGCAGTGGGTGCAGTTGCAATCGAACCGACTGCCAAAGGGTTTCTCTTCCCTAATCGTTGCAGTAGTCTACCATCTTCACTGGACAGGGAAAGGAAATTATTCTATGCTTGATCATTTATTTCAATCCCTCCCAGCGGCTGAGTCAAGATACCCTTATAGTGTCCTTATTGTGGCAGATGACTTCAATCGTCTGGACGTGAGGTCGATTAGGAAACACTTTCGACTTAAACAAATCGTGAAGAAACCAACCAGAAGAAATGCGGCAATCCTTGACTTGGCTCTTACTAATCTGCATATTTACTATGACGAACCACGTTCATTTCCGCCCTTTGGTGTCTCAGATTACAATATTGTTACAGCCGAGCCAAAGGTGGAGGACAACAGCCGCTGTTCTATAAACATTTTACTAAAGGCTTTGAAAATCTTTAAGCGGAGGAGTTAGCTAATGCGATCAATGAGGCCTTCCTTGAGCCCTTATTTTATAGTATTTATTTTATCATTTTGCCACACAAAATAAATTACAAGTACAGTAGAATAAATAATAGGTTATTTGACATTAAATTTAAAATTAGCATACAGCTTGGAAGGAGTAACTGTGGCGGGGAAATCTCCGAGAAGCCAACGGGTATATGAGGAATACAGATTTCCCCCCACCGGCAATTTAAATACTAGACGGCATTTAAAATTTGAGAAAAAAGACGTGCGTTTGAGTATGTAAGTGTGTTTAGAGAAAAAAAATAGATATGAAGGGCTGCGTCTTGTCTGACCCTTAAGAATGGTTTGATCACACGCCTGAATTTATTAAGAGTTGGGACGTTTACGATGTTGTTCGGTAAAGAATTCCATATTCTAGGACACTGAAACAGGATCAAAATTTTTTAATATTTGTTCTACAGGTATGAGGTCGGTAAAAGTCAGAGTATCTGGTTGAATATTGATGAATTTGATTTCGAGTTTGAAAGATTTGAGTAAAACAAATAGGTAAAGCATCATTATGATATAGGTAGATGAAAGAACTTACTTGGAAATAGTATAGGTACTAAAAACATCAAGATTTTTCAAATTTGTAAAAAGAGGTTTACTTGAAGTTAGAGATCGCCCGGAATGTTCTTTTCTGTACTAGGTAAATTTGTTGCAGGTTGGTGACATAAGTAGAGGCCCAAATTAAATTGCAGTAAGATATGGATAAATAAACGCATGATATAGTGTACGAAGAGATTTTGAGCGCAAATAGTATTTAGCTTTCTAAAGTAACCCGACAGATTTTGAAATCTTAGGAGTATCGTCTACCCCAACCGCTAGCTCAACTATCCGGGGACGAGGATTCAATGAAACTCACTGAAGTGTCTGACTTGCGTCAGTTATTGGATTGGCGAAGCTTAATCCAACTAAAGCATGTGGTTCTGATGAGATCCCGAACTTGATGCTGAAGGAATGCGCGGAAATTCTTGCTTTTACAATAAGCAGGATTAACAGCACCTCCCTTCAGGAACAGCGCCTTCCCCGCTTATAAGAAGCTGGCTCATGTATCACCACTATCGAAAAAACTAGTCTAAGGCCCATCTCTCTGACACCTTCCTTGTCTAAGGCGGCCATGGACTGTCTTGTGACCGACTATGTCAAACCTGTGGGTCTCAAAGTTCTCGATTCTCAACAGTACTGCGCGGTTACGAAGTCATCGACTACGCAAGCTTTATTTACATATAAATCATTGCTGGACAAAAGAAACGGATGGCAACGGTGCTACTTTGAGAACTATACTAATTGATTACCGCAAAACCATTTGACTTAATCGAACATACAATTCTTTTAACCCTTTGAGTCCCAATAACCCGGGCGGGGGGTGGGTACTTAGGTAAATGTTTGCTGGGTATTTGCCGCTGGCCTCTCAGAGCCCCTACCCCATCATAGTCTATTTTTTGGCCAATTTTAGACCCCATCTTAGTCACTGTTTGGAAAATGTAATTTTCGCGATCCCAACTTAGTCACTTTTTATTTATGCATCTACCTTATCAATGTGGTTTCAAGTGGCGGAATGTAATGCGGTCAATGCGAGCTTATTGTTAAATTTAATAAACAACAACTTTCTAATTTTTTTTAACCGAGCATATTCCCATTTTGAATCCCTACTTACCCCAAAAATCCGAAAATTTGGGACCCCATTCTAGTAACTCTGTTGAAAATGCAGCCCCATTATAGTCACTCCAGTCGTGAAAATGCGACCCCATCCAGCGGCACATCCCCAATAGCCTCTGGTAAGGGAGTACCCCCTCCCCGCCCAATTGTGACCAAAATCAATTTTCTCCTAACAATACCAATACGTAACCAAGAGAAAAGGTTATGAGAATTAATAAAATGATCACTAAAGAGAAAATGCCTTGATCTTTTATTAAATTCTCTCAACTAATTCTTAAAGGAAATGTATGGAGATCAGTTTGGAGAATTTGTATGGGGCTTAAAGGGTTAAACAAGCTTTGTACGCAAGATTTACCAACTAGTATAATTTATTGACCACTCCAGAAATACCATAACATACCATAATGCTCTTTGTTTGTCACTCCAAAATTTTGCATAAGCATTGTCTTCAGTTTCTCTTGGGAGTTAAAATGGCCCCAAGAGGAACTAAAAACAAGGCTTATGCAAAATTTGGGGTGACAAACAAAGAGCATCATGGTAGTTATGGTATGTTCTGGAGTGGTCACAGCGTATTAAACTTGCTGATGGATGTCTTTCTGACCAAGGATCAGTCCCGTCAGGTGTGCCTCAGGGGACAAAGCTGGTGCCGTGGCTTTTCCTTGTCCTAATAAATGATTTACATCTTAGCGATACCTTAAATGTCCAACTATGGAAATATGTAGATGAGACGACGACTTCAGAAGTTGCTGCTAAAGGTTGCGAAAGCAACGTACAGCAGTTAGCAGATCGCGTAGCTCAGTGGTCCTCTGACAACAGAGTAAAGCTAAATAGTGACAAGTGCAAGGAACTAAGAATCTCGTTTGGGAAAAACCAGCCAGAGTTTCAGCCCATCTTAGTGAATGGACAAGAGTTAGAAGTTGTCCAAAGCGCGAAACTGCTTGGTGTAACAGTAACCAGTAACTTATCATGGAATGAACACATCACTAATCACACATCACACATCACTAGTTAGCAAGGCTTCAAAACGGTTGTATTTTGTTGAGCAGTTAAAAGGGGCACATGCATAAGATCTATCCTAACTTATGAAGCGCCCGTTTTCCATTGCGCACTGCCTTTGTACTTACAGGATGACCTAGAGCGTGTCGAAGGAAGAGCGTTATCAATTATTTGCGCCGGTTTAGATTACAAAGAGGCACTAGATGTAACAGGTATACTAACTATACCAACTATTATTTCATACAATGAAGGTATCTGCAACAGTACTTTAACCTCGACCATTACCGACAAAGAGCACAGCCTAAGCAAGTTGTTGCCTGCCATCAGCCATAATTCGTATCCCTCAAGGGAATATGGGCCTTAGCAGTTCCCAAGTGGCGTACTAATCGTTTTAGAAATACATTCATTATGTCCTCCTGTTTAAAAAACGTTTTATCAACTTCTGAGTAATAAGGTTTTAAAGGTGTTTTGTGTATATTAAAGTATTCGTTTTTATCCTTTCAGCTTTATCTTTTACAAGTTTATAGAACAGATTATAAAAGTTTTCTCAGTTTTGGTATTATATAAATAATATGAGTTGTAACTTGACAATTTAGCTTTCGAACTGCAAAAAATTAAGTAAACTACCTAAATAAAAAAAAAATTAAAATGTGTATATTAACCTTTGCGGACTGAACTTCTTTAGGGGCTGTTTGCATGGAGGTGGGGGACCCCACGTACTTAAGGTAAGTCGCGATTGGTCACCCCACTTGTCATGTAAACGTGATCAAATTGAAATGAAAGATTAGATGGACAAGCGGGTTACGTCACCTACCAGGGGTCCCCCACTTCCAAGTAAACAGGTCCTTACAGAAAAAGTACCGAATGAATATCTTAAAGTCATTTACTATATGCTATTGAAATAAAATGTTTTAAAGATGATCATATTGTTTTAATGACGTCCCCGTTCTTGGCCCTCATTTAAATTTTGTTTTGGCAGTCAAAAGTTATTATATCTGAACTCCAATTGCAGCAGCAGCAAAGTTTAGCATTTCATCATATTTCACATTGACTGGTAGATTTTTCTTCATCCACTTTTTGCCTTTCTCGGCGACCATCTCCCATTCATCCTTCTTATCCCCAAACTTGCCCACCAACAGCACCAGAGCCAGAGCTGTGGCCCATAACAGCTTTCCTTCAGACTTGTCAACTACAATTGCTGCTGGACATCCTGTGATCAAAGAATCTCGGCTTTTTCCACACAAGAAGACCAGCTGGTCTGTGAGGTCCCAGGCCCCTGAGGCTTTCTGTAACGATATCACTGACAACAAGGCTGGGGCGCCTTCTTCTTGTTCATGTTTGGTTACTTCATCGCGCTCCGCTTCTACCAAAGCACAAGCAGCTTTAGAGAGTCGCCCACCAAAAGATTTTTTCTTTTGTCTAAACGGATTTGAACACTTGGAGCCTTTAAACTTCTTCACACGCTTCTGTGCAGAGGCTGGTCTGCTTGCTGTCCCGAATCCCGTAAGCCCAAATCCAAACATACTCTTGTCCTTGCATTTCCTTGCAGAGTGATGGTAGGCCACATTAAACGAAGGAACAACTTGTCGCTGAAGTGGTCCCGATACTGACTGATGGCTCTCTGAATCAACAGCCACAAACGACGTGAACTTTGACACCACATTTGCTGATTTACTAAGGCTAATTAATAAAGTTTTGTGCTCCTCATTTTCTACATCGCGGCTGTACGCTTCATTCAGATAATCCTGCTTTTCCTGGATTAAAGTCTTAGCTACTAGGCGATGTAGGAAGACACTTACATTTGTTACTTTATCCCTCGCACAAGCCTTCGGCGGGAGAGAAGTATTAAAGGTGATCAAATGTTCTACTTTTTCATCATTTCCAAGCATGCCTTGTAATCGTACTTTATTCATTCCTTGCTTTGCATTTTCTGAAGGCTTCAGAAGACCATACACCACAAGTCTGTCACCACTGAAGAGCGGGGGAAGCGATGAAGGGACCTGCTGCACAGTCCAGCCTTCTGTTAGGTCCCAGGCCACGCTCACATCTGAGATAACCGGTTGAAGAGCTCGCTTTAATGTTTTGATAATCTGAAATTAACATGTAGGCACTATTCACTATTTTGCAAGCGCCGAAACATATAATTTTAACTACTAAACCGTTCACTTGACCATATTAGTATCGTAAAACCGCCCTATTTACAAAGAACTATGGCAAGGATTGATAATATAACAATTGAAAGTACAGTCGACTCTCGTTGCGTTGCGGACACCTGGCGTTCACGGACAACCTGATCAGTAAGGGGAGCAGTTAAATCCCCGGCAAAGCTCACAGACATTTGACTGAAGCAAACTCGCGTCCCGTTATTACGGAATACGCGTACTCGTATAGGTCCAGACAGCAAACTTATATCGGGCAGCTGGCAGCACCTTTAAACATTTATACACAAAGAAAACCATTTCCTCCGTTTTTATTTATTTAATGAATTAATTATCAGACAATGTCCATGTTCAGTGGTTGAATTTTCGATTCTTCTGTTGCGCATTAATCACAATTATTGTATACTTGTGTACATGTTACCGCTCGATCACAACTTTATACCCTAAGCGATACCTGTATGGGGTTAAAATAATCGACTTCCTCCCTAAACGATGAGACCAAAAACTGTAATCTACAACTTCACGTGAAACGACGAGCATCCCCGTCACTTTCAAATGGGAGTCTCCCGCAAACAACCCCCCCTACCCCCTGGATAGTTAACCAACCAAGTAGGAGTGTTTCATCATGTTTAAATCACAAGGCAAAGCCGGGTGGTTTAGAATAAATAAATCGCGAACGTCTATTTTAATGAACTGTTTAACAGTCTTTTCTTTACACCCGTTCTTTATTCCAATAATTGTCAGGTGCTTGATTATTTGTACCGAGAAATTAGAACTGAAAACTTGGCCATATTTTGTTACCAGATAAACAAACACTCGTTGAACGTAAATTACTTATGAATTTTCTTCCACTTAAATTAACTTACTGGTGGCCACGCAAGGAAAATACTGTCGAGACGTATCGAGATCAGGGTGGCAAAATACCAAATTTACTTTGGAGATAAAACTTGTTTATAACATCAAGTCGAACACGACACGTTCTTGATAATGTTAAGGTTATAAAACTATTTACTACAGATAATAAGTTAAATGTCAAGGTTTACTGTTGTTCATATTGTTTTAATGACGTTCTTGTTCTCGGCCGCCATTTTTAATTTGTTGTTAATAGTCTACAGTTAATATATCTGCACTCCAATCGCAGCAGCTGCAAATTTTAGCACTTCATCGTCTTTCACATTGGCTGGAAGATTTTTCCTTATCCACCTTTTCCCTTTCTCAGCGATCATCTCCCATTCATCCTTTTTATCCCCAAACTTGCCCATCAACAGCGCCAGAGCCAGAGCAGTGGCCCATAACAGCTTCCCTTCTGACGTCCCAACTGCAATTGCTGCTGGACATCCTGTGATCAAAGAATCTCGGCTTTTTTCACACAGGGAGACCAGTTGGTCTGTAAGGTCCCAGGCTCCTGAGGCTTTCTGTAATGATATTACTGACATAACACCCGAAGCTTCTTTCTTTGACAAGTTGGAAGGTGGAGCTGCCTTCTTGGATGGTAGTGGCGGCAGGGCGGCGTGCTGCAATGTGTCTCCAAACGGAGGGGGAGGGGCGCCTGGATGTCCACCCCCATATATTGCTGCAGCAAGTGGGGGTGGGTGTGGGGGCGCCCCTCCAAAAAAGGTCGATGATTGCGACTTGAACCTTGCCACTCCGTCAGGCGATTTCAAGCATTTAGCTCCAAGAAGGGTAGAAGAACCTTTGTACGACAATCCAGAACCACCAATTCCTTTCGGCTGACCAAACAGCTGGGAATCACAAGCTGAATGCACTACGCCTAATGTCTTAAAGCACTGTTGTGAGAATCCCATGACTTGCGAAGCAAACGAGGGGACGAACTGCTTTCGCAATGGCCCTGATACGATCTGATGGCTTTCCTCATCTACGGCCACAAATGAGGTGAACTTTGACACCACGTTGGTTGATTTACTGACGCTGACTATGGAGGTCTTTTCACGTTGGATTTCCCACATGCCACTTATGTCGTCTTGTTTCACGTTAATAAAGGTCTTGGCTGCTAAGCAATGAAGTAAGACACTAGAGTTAGTCTTAGAATCCATGAAATAGGCATTTGTAACAGGCGGTGTTGAAAAGCTGATGAAATGCTCCATTTTCTCTTTGTTTCCTAAAGTGCCTGTTAATAGTACTTTGTTCATGCCGTGTTTGGCATTTTCTGAAGGCTTTAGAAGACCATACACCACAAGTCTGTCACCACTGAAGAGCGGGGGAAGAGATGAAGGGACCTGCTGCACAGTCCAGCCTTCTGTGAGGTGCCAGGTCACGCTCACATCTGAGATAACTGGTTGAAGAGCTCGTTTTAATGTCTTGATAACCTGTTTGAGTTAAAAGTTGAAAGTTTACACCTTACTCATGACAAGGTGTACACTCTGAAGTACTGTTCAAGACTCACTAGATCATGATGACGGCGCCTGAGATATAACAAAGCTTTAGGGGTTAACTGCACCACAAAAATCACTAGAGGGAAAATTTCTCTCATTTGTCTAAACTCAGAACACCATGAACAATTGAAATATTTCAGGAATGTTCAGTGTTATGACCAATCACAAGGGCTATCAGGCCAAGCAAGCAAATCAGAAAACCAGAAACTATAATTGCATGCACCACCGCACCCACCTTTTTTCTCTTTTTTGTCACGCCTAGAAGTTTTTTCCCCTCCACATGATAATAAAATTATTTCAATAATTCTTCTGGTACCAAGTGGTACCACAGCAGACCAATGAGGGAGGAGATTGTGATATGACCAATGCTGTCAACATCCTCCATTTTATATTATAATTATTCATTTAAATGTAACTTATCATTCACTTAAAGTGCATTAATTGTACATCCATAAAATTACGTCTTTGTGGGTTTTGTGAGTAGATTTGAACCCTGTAAAGGACTTTCACACTTCTGACTGTATGAGTTATTATTGTCTCATTTCCAATAATAATGACACTAAAGATAATGGCAACAACCATAACAATAACGGTGATAGTGTCATGGTGATGATGATGACGACAATGATGATGATGATGATGAGACTTTGTTTCATAGCACATCATAGACATTGATTCAGTCATCTCATAATAAAATTAGTAATTAATAAATTAATAAAGTTAGGTTTAACTGGACCAGTCTTGCTCCCAGCTAAGAGAGTCCTCCAAAGGACCTGCCAGCTTAAACTTCAATGGGACGAGAAATTGCCAGACGACTTGCTGAGAAGCTGGACAAAGTGGAGAGAGCAATTGGAGCTCCTCAATCAAGTCAATATTCCTCGTTGTTACTTTCCTGACGGCTGCCATGCTGGTAAATCATTCCAGTTACATCACTTCAGTGATGCCTCTGAAATTATCCTTTTAGCTTTATCTTTTAATTTTTGTATTCCATAAACAATATTAGTTGTAAATACGTGATTCAGCCTTTGGGCTGCAAAAGTGCTTATTTCATAAACTATCCATCTACATGTATCTATCTCACACATGTACAGTTGTGGACAGTGTGTATGTCCATGACTTTTAAGTGTGTGATTCAATAAAAAAATGCAGTATTTTAGCTTTGGTTTATCTTGTATTATGTGATTCATTATTGCAACATTTACATGTAATAAAATTGCATGTCATCGCTAGAGTCAACAATCTAATTCATCGCACCTACATTTTGCCCCTGTTCTAAGAAATTGATTTCTTGGCTTTTTTGCTTTTACATGAAGATTGAATCAGTGAGCTCATCAGAATGTTTGGAGCACTAGTTGTGCAAAACCAGAAGGACAATTAAAACATTCCATGCATAACTACTTTGAGGTAATATATCAATGTGAGCAGCCAACACCTGTGCAGTCATCTGCAACAATTTGCACAAGGTAGCATAAAGTCATATTATAAAGAACTGATACATTAAAGATCCTGTCCGACAATGACTGCTGAGCAGGAAGTGAAAGAAAATTCAGACATGACTGCAGCAGCATCGCCATCAACAGATTGAGTCTCTACATGTGTGGTCAGTGAACATTGCAGGCTTGCTAAGGGAGGACATGTATGTACTATGAATTCTTTGGCCACATGCATGTCTCAGAAAATTAGGCAGTATTCTACCATTTACTGGAAGGGTATAACTGTACCTTTAACAAGAATGTTCTTAATTTAGCATTGAGTCTTGCTTGCTTGCGGACAAGATTAGAAATGAGCAGGTGATTAGACCGAGAGCAGTCATCCTTCTTTCCTCAGAGCCATGTGCAGCAAGCAAAAAATGAAAATTATGCTCTCGACCTACTGTTGCTCAAAAGAGTAATGAGAGACTGCTTGCAGTCTAGGAGACGATAATTCTACGTGAAACAGAATTTCCTTGCTAAAAGTTTTTCACTTCCAACTTTATTGACAGTGGAGTATTCTACTTTATTTCTGAATTGATTAGAACCGCATGTGTAACTACACAAAAATCAAGGAATTAATGCAATGAACATGGCAATCATCTGATATTGCCGAAAATAAACCTCATGCTCATCACAAAACTAATTTGCAAACAATGAAAGTTTCAAACACCCGACCAGTTGGCCTGACCATCAAAGTTTTGCACATTAAAATTGTTCTTTTTTTCGACCACTGAAGTAATCATTTGTTCCAGAGTAATCAACGCTTTCAAGTGATAGAATTCATGGACCAACCTGTTCCAGAAAAGTTTGACATCTTTCGCAGTTTTCTATTCTATGCATGGCTTTCGTTATATCCCCAGTTTCCATGGTATCTGCTAAGAATGCCTGAGGACCACAATCCCATTTTGCACACACAAACACACACATGACACACAAAAAGAAATGCCTGCAATTTAAGAGTCTCGCTGCTAAAGCAAGCAAGACTATAACCAGGAAAATTCCAGGCAGTAGAATAGATGTGGACACATTATTTCATTTAACCCACAGTTTTTATGAGTGGTAAAAGGCACACGTATACATAAGTACAAAATGTAGGAAACATTATTCTGGCATTGCAGTTAAATCTCTCCACATGTATCCAGGGCAATGAAATAATCTGTCAATGTAGCAAATGCAATGATCAACGGACAAGACAGTGGCTAACTAGCAGAGCTGGCCGATTTAGACAGGTAACTGTTAGTGGAGGTTTAACCATGCTGTTAGCAAAAAAGTAGTACGCAATATGTGAATCAATGCCACTTTTTTGGTAGGTCGTGTACTCATGATTAATTCAGAATTTTCATACCTTAACCTGCAGACGATCCTCCTGACTGGTAACAAATTCTGCCGTACCCTTTCCAGCTCTGGCCACACCCTTGATGAGGGCTGTTGATACTCCAGATCCTATACCAAAAGTAAAGCACCTGAAGCAAATAGAATAAACAATTAATCCTTACATCAGTGACGAATAACATACCATATTTATTCGAATAAGCGCCCAACCTCGAATTGGTGCCCACCTCGAATAAGCGCCCATCCTAAAGGCAGAAAAAGTTAATAAGCGCCCACCCCACCCCACCTCCCTCCCACTCCCCCTTAAACTCAAATAAGCGACCACCCCCACCCCACCCCCAAAAAATTAAGTACTAGTAAGAGACTTCCCCGAAGACAAAGTTTTCTTCAAAGTATTTTACAGGAACCTTGCTTTGTTACATCTTCGCGTTTTGTCATTACCATTTATTGTTTTGTTGCAAAATAAACATACTACACTTGCTAAAAATGCTGAAAATTTAATAAGCGCCCAGCCCCGAATAAGCGCCTACCTCGAATAAGCGCCCACTCTTAAAGTTCAAAAATTTAATAAGCGCCCAGGGCGGTTAATCGAATAAATACGGTATTTTAATGTGCATAGGCCACACTTTTTGAGTAAAATAATATTATATTTTGTGCAAAATGATGGCTATATTGGTCATAACTGAAACCATAAATAGTATGTCAAAGTAGAAACCCTCTAAATTTTTGGAAGCAGATTGTTTTTTAATGACACGTACATGTAACATGCATCTTGCATTATCATCTCATGGGGTGATAACCAAGTACAGTGAAGCCCTGAATCTATTCTGTGGGGTGCTTAAAATTAGCCAAAACTGGCTGGCCTGACCAGTTTAGTTGTAAAGAGAATTTCGATAAGGGAGTTACATCATTTTGTTCATTGTTGTTGACCCAGTGACTAACATACATCATTCAGATTAAGAAGTTATAATGGACAACCACTACAAGATTAAGGTTTACCAGAATACAATTCAAAACTTCATAATTCATAGTTAAAAAAGTATTCTACAAACTTCCAAGAATTCTTCTCTAATAAACTTGCAGGGAATGACAATAATTTTTATGCATACAATTATAGGGTATGTAAATAGTTCTAGTTTTGCTATAACTATTAAAGTACATGTAGGTACGTCTAGGTCATGAAATATACATGTACATCAACTAGATCAGTCAATACTGTAAGATTTCCATAAAAATATATTCTGAGTTGTTAATTCATAACATTTATTTTTGTATTGTATTGACTCTAACTTTGCTGAGTTATATTGGACGTCCTGAGATCTGCCACGTCTTCCACTGCATATCAGTGTTATTTCCAACTTGGAGTTAGTGGTTAGTGGTTAGTGGTTAGTGGTTAGTGGTAGTGGTTAGTGGTAATGCAGTATAAGGGCAAATGTTACTGTTGACGTTGTTCATGTTTATAACTTGCCCATAATCATATGCTTCAGTGATGATAAGTATACTTGACTCTCCTTCAACAGAGATCTCTATAAGATGGACACCTAAGTAAAATGGACACCTACATGTAGAGCTGGTCCTTACATCTTCTTTACATGTACTTCCTTTATTCAACTGTCTACAGGACAGACATCTCTCTAAGACAGACACTAAGTGTGGGTTGCAAAGTCATCTATTTTGAGACTGTAAGCATTTTGCAATTCAAATTCAGGTGTCTACAATATCATTTCCTTGTAATTACCATGTACGTAATTCTCTAATCAATATCACTTTTGAAACTGAAAAGGGCATAGCACAACTTCCTTGTTACAATTTCAATTTACTGTGCTAACAGTTTAAATGTCTTTATCCGCACACAAACCCCCCACCACGCCCCCTCAATGAACCAAACATACCGGTATATACTAAACATCATACTTCGGAGAAATAAAAGAAGTAAATTGTACCTTGTGTTACTGGAATTCTTCTGCACAATATTAATAACTTGCTCAGTGTTCCCAACCTCACCATCAGTCAACAGGAAAAGTTGTCTTGGATGGCCTTTCACATGCCCCTGGGAAAACACCCACTGCAAAGGTGAGAGAATTTCTGTACCACCAAGATCTGCTTGCATGGATTTAGCCAAATCAGTGGCTTTCTTCAGGTTTGCATCGTTGTAGAGTTCACTCTTTTTGAAGAGAGTCTTATAGCTACTTCCAAAGCCTACGACATTGAAATAGCAACCATCTGGCAAGCTTTTCAGAAACAACAGTAGTGTCTCTTTGGCGCTGTCCATTCGACTACCACCCATGCTTCCGCTGCGATCAACCACAAAGATAAATTCACCTTTTTCTGACGACTCAGAGCTTTTAAATTCAGGGAAGAAGTTCAGCATTACGACAGGATTCGACATGAAGCCGTCTCCGTCTTCTTTTCCCTCAATTTTGATCCCGTTTTCAACGATCGCCTCGGGCTTGAACGGCTCCCGTGTCAGAACATGAACCACAACATCTTTATCGAACTTGTGCGATTCTGCCAGGCCCACTTTGGCTTGAGTGTTGTCATTCTCGTCAATCTCGACGCGCAGCGTATTTGACGGGGAAGTTATCTCACCGATGGCCGAGGTAGCTTTCACTTTCATGGCAAACTCGAACGAGTAAGGTGAATCGACGGAAGCAGCTCGAGGAATTTGAGTGCTGAGACTTGCAGCGCTGTCCGCCGGAGAATACCTCGGGTTGAGAACGGTCGGCAGCACAAACACAACTCGACCTTCAGCTTCCACAGAGAGCTCTGTGACAAAGCGGAGTTCCACAAGAGCTTCCTTCTTTGGCGGTAAATTTCCAACGCTTATCTGAAAAATATCCGAACTCTCATCGCTCTCTTCGAGGAGAAATGCACTTTGCCCGCTACTAATGGCATCGTCGTAAGTGTCCCGGGCCTCTTCTTTCTCTTGAACTTCTGCAACGATCGTTCGACCATCGATTGTCGCTTGAAATCCGCAAACAGCAGCTTGTTCATCGAGCGGAAAGATGTAAATTGCTTCGATAGGATTTTCTTCCTTGTTCGAGTATTTCATCGAGGCCACGACGTGAGCGGTAAAACCTTGAACATCAACATGAATGTTGATGCTTTCCAAAGGGATCCGTGAACCGTTTTCTTTTTGTAGAAGACCAAATCTTCTATCCATGTTTAATACTTCTCGTTGGATGAATCTGAACAGCACAAAAGGAGATGTTTATATGCTTGGCCTTTCGCAAAGTGACTGCATGGTTTTGTAACCGGGCGCCTTGAGATTTATATATGCTCCATGCAAGGTAGAGTTATTTTTGGAATGGAACACGTCATCTTTGTAGCAATGTTATGCTAATGAAATTGACTGAGATAAAAAATTAACCACAACATATACAACAGATACAAAGGAAAACAACAACAACGATACATATTGAATTAAAATTATGTGAAATTTATAAGCTGTTTCGCGTATTAGAAGACGTATTTTTTACCTATACGATCTTGGGCACGTTGCAATTTTACAGGAATTTTATCATAAATTATATATAGCAATAGACACGTCACAAATTCCCACACGGAACTGGAAACTGCGTTCTCAGCGATTTTCTTTATTTGACAGACAGCTGACTTTTCTCGAAAAAATTCTAATACTGCACTCTCTATTTTAAGTTTTATACTGTTGTTACAAGGAAACATATTGAGGAAATAGTCAAGACTAAAGAAACGTGTTTCGCAAAGAGGAACGCGTGACGGACCTCGAGCCTTGAAGGACTTGGCTTTCGTAAGACCTCATGGGATTGGTTGGGGAAACAATGAAAAAAGGACTCATGATATTGCGTTCATAGCGGGGAGTTATGAGCCGGGCAATGCTACGCTAGTTCCTGAAACTTGGCCTAGCATTTGACAATTGAGTTCCAAAATAATGGTCCAGTTTTGTGCCATGATCAGTGCTCCCTTAGGCCATCCCCATAAAATGTTTCGTTTCCCGTCGCCCGACCGACCCACGATCTTCTCTTATTAGCACCAATTGTCTTAAATTATCGTCGATACTTCGTTTTTGTAGCCTTTTTAGACATTTGATAGTCCTGTTAATATACATCTTTTACCATCTGATGATATCTTGCAGACTAAACGTGAGATTTAATATGCAATCGTGTGTTCATTCTTTTTTTTTCTTTTTTTTTTTGCCCGACCGACCGACCCACCTTCACGAGAGGGGGGGCGATGGGAAACGAAACACTTTGTGAGGATGGCCTTATGAAATTCGTTTGATATCTCCCTCATATTTCTATGTACGGGTATGGAGGCGGACATGGGGGTTTACGGTATTGGGGTATTGAGCTTTTTTTCAAGCGGTATTTCGGAAATTTTGATTTTAATGTGCGGTATTGCGGTATCATTCAGCCGTGCGGCATGCGGTTTTTCATCCTTCTGGCTAACGGTATTCGGTAAAAGGAGATCCTTCACGGTATTGCGTTAGGTCAATATTTGGAAGACTTTAGACTTAACCGTAAATGAATACACAATTTCTGATTCTTACTCTATGATATGGTAGGACATCCAATGACCTGGCTTTTCGATCGTTGTACCCATCAATTCGAGATCTTAATTCTCACTTTTTCTCTCGAAGGCTGAGGTTGATTTCTGGTGTACACATTCTTGAGACAAAAAAAAAAAAAACTCGCGAGGCAACGTTAAGTAAGCTTCACCGATCATAAAAGCGGTATCGGTATTTCGTCCATTTTCGACACGGTATTTCGGTATTTGCCAATTTTTCGTACGGTATTGCGGTATAGGGTAACCCCCAATGCCCCCCTTGGTATGACATCAGCACAGAATTGACTTACTGCAGCAATATCGATCCTTTGTGACATAGCCCATTTACCAACTCCTCTTATTTAGATAGATTTTCCCGCCCAAGTGGTCATGGAAATGAATAAAATGAAATTAATTGCAACCTAAATGGCCAATCTCGACCCCAAAGCTCTTCTGCGCCTGATGGTGAGCTAGTATACCCTGTGACAAACACACTGCCGCACGGAACACAGATTGGCATTTACTCATTGTTTTCTTCGTGTACCGGACACAGACGACGTAAAACAAAAGAACAAAAACCATGAAACAATACCTAGCAGATATTTTCCCTGAACAGAAAACCAAGAGGTCTTTTCTTTTACGTCATCTGTGCCCGTTACAGTAAAAACCCGCGTATAAGAACCTAGATCCTAAATAGGTTCTTATAGAAATGGTATTGAGTGGGATTTTCGGCTACTTAGCGGTTCTTAAATAGGTTCTTAATTTGATAGGGGCACTAGCGATCAGCACAGATAACTACTACAGGGCATATGTGATATGGAATATATTACTGATTAAATAATTATCTAGAATACAGTTTAGATGATAACCATACAATAAATTCAATATGTACTAGCATGCATGCATGTCTTTCATGCTGCAGCGTCCATAAAATGCATCACATTTTTGATCCTTTGACCCTTACTGACTGAAACCTAGACTAAACTTTTTTTCTGTATTTTCATCTGTGCTTTCATTTTTGTAAAATAAGAACCTATTAAAAAATTTAGGCTAAATAGGTTCTTGTGAAAAGGGGGTTTAAAATGAAAATTTTAGCCTAATAGATTCTTAAGTTTAGCTTCTTATACGTGGGTTTTTACTGTACACGAAGAGACAGTTCGACCTTCTCTTGGAAATCTTTCCTTTTGCGCGCAACCTAATGGATTCCAAAATTGAGTAATTGTAATTTTCAGTGAACAAAAACCTTGAACCAGAGTAACTTTAACGACATCGCATTCTTTTTTATACTTTTCAAGGGGCATAGATATAATTAGTTATCTGTAATAACACCATAGACAATTTCTCGCTGGACGTCGAAATAAAATAGTTTTCATATTTTATAAAAATTGTGAAAACACAGCTAAAATTTCATGTGTAAGATTTCCAGGAAGATTTCATTTCGTGAAATTTTAAATTTATTTTTTCGGGCTCCCATAAGAATGCTTTTTGGAGTCATTTCAAATTCTATAGCCTTGAAAAGTGTAAAAAAGAACGCAATATGGTTTAAATTATATTCAGGTACAAGGTTTTTGTACACTGAAAATTAAAATTGCTTAATTTCCTAATGGATTCTGTCTTAAACACCCGGGGGGGGACTCCCATATGAAACAGACGGGGATGCTCGTCGGAAATTTTGAATTTAACCCCTAAAGGAGACCATCTGGGCGTGGCTCAAGCTTTTTGTGACCCCTAAAGGAGACAAATCTGGGCGTGGCTTAAGCAAATTTTGACCCCTAAAAGAGACCGCTTAAAAACACACAAATACGACATGCAATGAGTTTTAATGATATAAAGACAAAATCATCGAATGCTTTTATCTAAAAGTAGTCTTTTAAAGCATTGTCATAAATCTCAAGTTCTTCGCAGAACCCTAAACGAGACCTTGGCGGCTTAAAATATTGGCGCTTTGCCCGGAACACCCTAAGAGAGACCAAAATCCAAAATTTACACCCCTAAGCGAGACGACGAGCATCCCCGTCTGTTTCATAAGGGAGTCCCCCCCCCCCGGGCTTAAACATCTTGGTATGTGTTCTTTTAAGGACCTTTCAGTTTATCGTTTGTCCAACGATAGTCAGTTACCAACCTCACTCATGGTTGGTGAGTTTCGATCCGAGGCATTGTTGGAATTATTAGGCCTAGGCCATAGTCAGTTACGAACCTCACTCATGGTTGGTGAGTTTCGATCCGAGGCATTGTTCGAATTATTAGGCCTCGGCCAAACGTCGAACTTTTCATGAGACGAACCAAACTTAGGGGTGTCAGTAAAACGCGGGGTCTGTCTTTTTTTTAAAGAATGCTGTTTTAGGGTTAGGATTAAAATTATGTTGGGGTTACACTGTAAATCACAAAGATCTGTTTTAGCCCAAAAAATAGGGCTATTTCGGTGAGTAAAATACAGTCCTATTTTTGAGTCTAATTTGGCTCCCTTGAATCAGGGCCAATGCAGTCCAGTTAGCTATGGCTGATTTGCTCCCAGGGCTGAAATGGGCCCTACCGTGGGCTGGAATAGCCTTTTGATTGAGCTTTTTTGGCCTAGATTATGCTGAAATAGCTCCAGGAAGGGCTGAATCAGACTTTGGCCTGCAGGGCTGAATTGACACTTTGGGGCTGAAACAGATCTTTTTGATTTTCAGTGTAGGGTAAGGGTAGGCTTAGGGTTAGTGTCAACCCTAACCACCCCTACCCCCCCTGCCCCGATCTCGAGTTTTACTGACACCCCAAACTTAGCGAGTTAAGTTCATGAAAAGTTCGACGTCTGGTCCAGCTAAGTTCGTCTGAATGAGTTTGGATCGTCCAACACGTTCTATCGGTCTGCATTAGACGGATAGAACGTCTAAAGATCGTCTCTGGGACAAACGTCGATCTTCCGACATGCGATGAACTAAACCAAAAAAATTAAAACTTAGTATGATAATGTATATTTAGCCTAGTTCGGGATAATTAAAATTGCTTTTTTGGTCTGATTCTGTTAATTGATTCGACGCGTCCTAGGTTTGACGTCTCATGACCCAACAGACGAATTAAATCAATTTAGGTCTGATAGGTTGACCCAAATAAGGGTTTGCTTCGTCTCATGCAAAGTTCGACGTTTGGCCTAGTCCTTAGAGGAAGAAAACTGTTCCCTCAGCCGTCCATTGTGGTACCGATCGACTGTTGTGTTTTCTGATTGTAGACGTAGGCATATAAGCTTCAGGAATCTCAACTCCTCTTTCCCTGTTGATTTGTTGTTAGGGTGAAATCTTGAGTGAATAACCTCTAAACCACTATACAAGTAGGTACCAAAAAAGGCTGAAAAATTGACCGGACACTTCGTTCTTTAACTGTTCTTGTCTGCTCGCAGGCTCTCTCGCGCGAGTTCGGGAAACATTTTGGCGGCCGCGCCGCCAAAATTTTCCTGGAACTCACAAATGATGAGCCTGCTCACAGACTAGCTCTCTTCATACGGAACTGAAGAACCAGGTTGAATCTATGCAACCACGCCTTTGCAATGGCCTTACAAAAATTTAGACGGTTATGGCGTTTAGACCGCGTAGGTCAATTCTCCCGCGCAAATATTTAGACGGATACGGTGCCTGTTCATACCAGGCCGGTCAAATTTTCAACTGTATCAGCTAAAAATTTGCCCTCGATCCTCGCGTTCAAACTTTTGAACGGTAAGGTGCTAAAATTTCGTTTCGTGTGGCACACAAGCCAAAGGCCCACACTGACGGAGCTTATACCGGTTTTCGTAGCATGAAGCATGCCTAGGAGTATTGCTACTCCACCCTGGACGGGATGCTAATTCATCCTAGGGTTACCCCCCAGCAGTATGTCGCCAGTACTCATTTATACACCAGGGTGAAGAGAGACAAAGTGGGGTAAAGTTCTTTGTCTAAGGAAAGAACGAAACGGGTGAGGCTTGAACCCCAGACCTCCAGATCCAAAGTTCGAGGTGTTCACCACTCGGCCACACACGCCTCCACCGTGTGAACGTAACACCTAACTAAACGCACGAATTTTCAACCAGTTGAAAACTCACACACTATGCTTTATTTTCATACTCATCATTTTGTCATCTCCGCCTGCAAATAGCAAAAGCTAGACGAGGCGGGCAGTGTAAAGGAAGTGCCGTGCCGTGTGAACGAAGCCTCAGGACACGTATTCACGCCGTTTTTTTTTAATCATTTCTCGTCAAATGCTTCCCAACAAGGTTAATTGTATTGCAAGATAAGTTAAGGGGATCTGTCTTAGATTTATTCATAAAAAGTCATAAGCAGAAAAAGCAGACCTAGCTCTTTCATGTATATCGATTTCTCCGTGGAATAAGCTTGCCAAAAGCGTAGTACATTTATTAATAATATGAACAATAATTTATGTATACTTTGGTTGTTTACGATAATAAGTTTGAAGGCCCTTTACGTGTAAATGGCTTCCTTGCGGCTACACCGTACTGTCTATCTTGAACGAAATTCGCAAGAGCACCTCGTAGACATCTTTTTCTCATTATTTTCTAGCACCGTTTAGCTTTTGCATCCAGGGAGTAAATCCCTGCAAGTATAGCAGCAGGCTTTCTGGTAAAACTTTATGCAGCAGAATCCGACTGTTTTTACCACAGGACAGTGAGCGATCAAAGGATTGTCTTCACATTTTTCTGGAGGTTTCGTCGTTGGCTCTATATATAAAAATGAAAGAGAACACAAGAACGGTTTAATATGTGTGACAGTAGAACTGCAGCCACTTCCTCGAGCCCACTGATCATGATTCGCCATTATTTACCGATGGCGGCACCTATAGTGCAAAAGAGGTAAAGAGAGGAATTTTCAATGTATAGCTAGTTCGTTTTGTTCACCCCTTCCCTCCTAAAAAATGGCCAAAGTCAAAATTCAACAAATTTCCATTTCTCACATCGTTAAATGCTAAGAAACAAATACCTAGTACCACGTGTAAATACTGCCGAAGAGCTGTCATTTGAATTGTTACATAATAGGATTACATCAAAAGACCCAAACTTTTCTCTGAGAGTGAAAGACCTAACTGCAAAAAAGAAATCAAAGGATGTTACCTTGTTTCTTAAGGACGTTCAAATAAGTTCTATCTGTGTCCTTTTCGTAGATATTTTGGGCTCGGCATTCATAATGTCCACTATCTGAAGATTCTACTTGAGATATAATCAGATTTTCTCCGGAAACTCGTAATCTGCCTTCACTAGACAAATGCGTGTCACCCTTGTACCACTCCACGATTGGTTTTGGTAAGCCACGTGTCTCGCACGTTATCGTAACATCAGCACCAGGCTGCGCGCTGACATTTTTAGGCGACACAGACACAGAAACTGGAACAATTACGATTAAACGCGCCTGTTTGGCGTCCATTGGGCCGACGAAGTTTGTAGCTGTGCAGGTGTAAATGTCAGTGTCGTCCTCTGTTATATCAGATATTCGTAGGTCGCCTTCAGGAAGGATTTGCATCCGAGATAAGTCAAGACTGGACACGGGTATTGAACCTTTACGCCACGTGATCACTGGTTGTGGATAGCCAGTTGCTCGGCAACGAAATAGGATTTCACTACCGACTGATGCGTCTGGAAAAAAAAGGTAGGTGAAGTTGCACATCAGCTAAGAAATGTTCTCTTGGCTTTAGACCATAAAAAAACCCCTCCAATGGAATGCTATTCCATCGCATACTTAGCCCAGCAATATTTGACGGTTACTGCAAGAATACTGTAAGCTCTAACATGAATGATCTGACGCTTTCTCTATAGATGCGTGCACGCGTATCTATTAATTCCGTTAACTTTAAAATTTGTGTAGCGTGTTGTTTTCCAACGCAATGTAACGTATAAATTGTGACAGACACGTTTTTTCCCTGTTAAGTTTCATAACCGTCACACTGACGATGACGGATGTACCGTCGAAACATGTTTGTTAAAATTTAAAAAGTTGCATTATTCTTGAAAACAAACGTTTTACTAACAAAGAACAAAAAGCATATGACCACGAAGAGACTTACTTGTGTCTTGTGGAGGCTGAAAGATTTTGGCTGGCTTAATTCTTAGAGCAGTAGTTGGACCTTCAGTAGAACTTTCAGGCACAGTACTTGTAGAGGTTTCTGTTGTCGGGGGTGGGGTAGTGGTCGTTGAAGCCTCTGTTGTCGGGGGTGGGGTAGTAGTGGCTGAAGCCTCCGTTGTCGGGGGTGGGATAGTAGTCGTTGAAGCCTCCGTTGTCGAGGGGGGGGTAATAGTCGTTGAGGCCTCCGCTGTCGGGGGTGGGGTAATAGTCTTTGAAGCCTCAGTTGTAGTGCTTTCTATTGTTGATACTGAGACAGTAGTGGTGGAAAACTCAGTGGTGGGTGATAGGGTGCTAATGGTGCTGCTGTCAGTAGCGTGAGTTGAGGTGGTGGTGCGAGCTTCACTGGAGAAAGGCATGGTTGTAGCAGTGCTAGTTTCGGTACTGAAGGCTTGTGTTGTAGAACTCTGGGTGGAAATTTCTGTCTTTCTGGTACTTTCTGCTGTAAGGGTAGAAGCACTTGGCGATTTAGTGGTAGATGTCTTCGTTGCCTCCTCTTCTGTTGCAACTTTAAAAGTTGTTACAGTTTCTTCTGTTTCTTTTGCCTTGATTGTAGTACGTTCCTCTTCTACAGTTTGAGCTGCTGTCGTCGTTGTTTCTTTTCTTGTTGTTCTTTCCTGTACTGGTGTCGCTGTTGTTGTCAATTCTTCTTTCCCTGCTTTCGTTGTGTGAGTTTGAGTTGCGGCAGTAGTGGTTATTCCGTCGTCTGCTTCTGATGTCGTTGATTCTTCTAATCGTGTTATTGTTAAAGGTGAATTTGTTGTCGTCGATTTTTTGTCCCCTACTTGCGTTGTTTGAGTTTGAGTTGCGGCAGTAGTAGTTGTTCCCTCTTCTGCTTCCGATGTCGTTGATTCTTCAAATTGTGTTGTTGCTAAAGGTGAAGCTGTTGTTGTCGATTTTTTGTCCCCTGTTTGCGTTGTTTGAGTTTGTGGTGCGGCAGTAGTAGTTGTTCCCTCCTCTGCTTCTGATGTCGTTGATTCTTCAAATGGTTTTGTTGCTAAAGGTGAAGCTGTTGTTGTCGATTTTTTGTCCCCTGCTTGCGTTGTTTGAGTTTGTGGTGCGGCAGTAGTAGTTGTTCCCTCTTCTGCTTCTGATGTCGTTGATTCTTCAAATTGTGTTGTTGCTAAAGGTGAAGCTGTTGTCGTCGATTTTTTGTCCCCTACTTGCGTTGTTTGAGTTTGTGGTGCGGCAGTAGTAGTTGTTCCCTCTTCTGCTTCTGATGTCGTTGATTCTTCAAATTGTGTTGTTGCCAAAGGTAAAGCTGTTGTTGTCGATTCTTTGTCCCGTGCTTTCGTTGTTTGAACTTGAGCTGTTGTTATTATTGTTTCTTGGCTTGTTCCTGATGTTGTTGATTGTTCAAATTGTGTTGTTGCTGGTAAGGTTGTTGTTCGCTCCTCTTCTACTATTTTCGTTGTTTTAGTTTGAGCTGCGGTTGTGGTTGGTTCTTCGCTTGATTCCGTTGTTGACGTTGATTTTGCTTCCTCCGTTGATGTTGTTGCTGGTGAAGCCGTTTCTGTAGTTTGTCTTTCTTCTGTTTTCGATGCTTGAGTTGTAGCTAATGTCGTGCTCAGTGTTTCTTCCTCTGTTTCTGCTGTTGGTGCCAAGGTTGATACTGTTTTCAATACTGCAGCGGTTGTTGTTTTCTCTGGTGGTTTCGTCGTTGTTCCTGCTTCTGATGAAATGAAAGAAATAATGAATTAAGTCTAAAAAGATACAGAGGAAATTCGATTTTCCGTTTACACCATGTTTCGAATGCAATAGCGTTCTCGCTCTCACTCCGATTCTCCTGCATCTTTATTGGAAGACTGTAGGCGAACGGAGCTTGGGAAGCAGGTAGTAACTATCATTCTTCCCATCTGAATTTTTTTTCAGATGAAACAATAAAAAGCCTCTGATTGATCAATCTATTCTCGGTTTTCAGGTGACGTCACAAATGTATGCAACTATTAAGCGCTCGCCATACTGGTCCCCATCCAAGGTGTGAAATTTTATGCAAACTTAAGCCATTTCTATACAGGACATCGCTTTCACGTGCAAATAATTTAACCTTTTATGGATAATTTCAGGAACAACGCAGAGAACCATCTCTGCATTCGACTACGTTCTTACATTGAGGGAAGTTTGTTCACATCTGGACGGGCACCAGCTTGGCGGATAGCAACCGTCGTCAAGACGGAGGTCATGTGAGTGAATTCCAAGAATTGTTGTGCAGGTAAAGATCGAACATTAAACTGTGTGACTTTCCCTGCATCTGGTCACATACCTGACACCCGAGAAGACACTATAGCTAACAAAAGTAAGGTAATTATACGGGCTTATGAGAGGTAAATAACAAGAGGGGGAAGGTCCTTTTTCTCGGTTTCACGTGCTGTTTTCGCAGCCAGATTCCTCTCGCTGCTGTGATCGTTCAGCTTTTAGTACGTTTTTGCGCCAAAGTAAAAGGAAAGAGAAAAAGATCGCACTGTTTGGTAAGCTCAGACAACTTGAATACTGTAAATTCTCTCCTAACAGACAACACAAGCACGTGCTCCTCCCTAAAACGAACACCTAGAATTGGTCCTTGCCCTTCCTTAGCCATATTCTGTCTGACGCACTGAAACATCCAAACATGTTCCATCATCGGGAAATAGCATTGCACGTCTCCTCTATTGCCTTTTTTGGATTGAGAGTCTGTTTGCCTTCGAAATAAGTTGTCAAATGAATTATAAGACATAGAACGGTTCCAAAGTACCTTTACATTTTTTCTGGAGACACTGTACTTCAGATACTGGTTTATCCTCCGCTTTGCACCATTTTTCTTCGGGGTCTTCTTTTGAATCAGCAAAGCACTTGACGTTTCGTCTCCTCAAACCTTGTCCACACGTCGTAGAGCACTGTGTTAAAGCAATGAAAGGGAAAAGACTAAGTAGCCCATCATAAGTACTGACATCCAAAGCCACGTTCACACTTAGTACCTAAACACTATTGCCTCGGTTTTGGTCACACCTGGCAGGGTATCCAAATTTTGAACACATTTGCTCTATTTCACCCTGTCAGGTCTGAGTGAAGCAGGCAGTTATGCAAAGCATTGATAGCGCAGGGGCACCCAACGACAGTACAGTTCAAAACCACTTAATCATAGCATTGTTAAACGTATTTTAGTATTCAAACAGTAGATATAGGCATTTTTTTATCCCCTAAATTTTTTTCATCTGTTCGAATTTCCTAGCCGAAAGTCTAGTGATCCGAAAATTATAGGGATCAAAACTTAACTATTCGAAAATTTCAGCCAGAAAAAAGGCTCCCGAAAATTCTAGGTGACCTTTTTGGGGTACAAATCTGTTAAAAATGGGCGATTATACCATATTTTAGATGTTCGAAAATCCTAGGAAAGGCAGGCAAGCAAGAAATTTTACAACAAATGTTCCGAAAATTCCTTATCTCAAATCGTCTTCCGAACAGATCTATCCCGAAAATTGACGTTGGGTGCTTCTGATAGTTAAAGAAGAAGAAGTGCCTTTATTTACCATACATTCATAATTCATACACATAACCTACTACATTATTACAAAGCAGGAGATCAAGCAAGCTCTGTTGGGCTTTTAGACGATCTCCGCTTTATTCTAAGTTGTAGAGAATATTAGAAGGCGGACTTCCTGTTTTTAGGAATGATATGAACTAAAACTATTACAACTGTTTCTTTATCACATACTCTTTGACTTGGTTCTTAAACATATTGTAAGAACTTAAGTTTCTTATATTTAAGGGAAGGCTGTTCCATATTATTGCTCCCTTGAAACCTATAGAATATTTGCCATAATTTGTTGTTCTAAGTTCAATATCTCAATATCTCATAGCGTCGGGACTAAAAGAAAACACGTGCAATCAGGGACCGGTGCTCACTTTAGTGCTCATACTCTGGCAATAGCACCCTGCTGAAATTCTGGCGTGGAATCTAAAAAAGGGTTCACATTAATGCTCAGCGAGAAGTGGAAACCGTGTCAGGGCACAAAGTATGAACATCGTTTAAGAATATCTCTAATGTATGAGTAATTGTGAAGAACTCTTACCGGTTCCCATGGGTAAATGTACCATCCAGCTTGACATGGTCTGACTGAGCACATTTGCATTCCCTTTATCTTTTTTTCGTTGGCACACTGGTCTTTCTTTAAGATTCTAAGCATTTTGGGTCCTTCCCTTGTAGCACAGTACACATTTCTCATTTGCATCCCTACGCCACAAGTAGCAGTGCACTGAAATAGATGATCAATTTAAACAAAAAAGGCAATATCCCCGGGGAGGGGGGGAACTTCCTTATAAGAGGCTAATGGGGATGTGCTGCTGGATGGGGTCGCATTTTCACGACTGGATTGACTATAATGGGGTCGCATTTTCAATAGAGTTAACTTACTAGAATGGGGTCGCACATTTTCTGATTTTTTGCGGTAAGAAAGTTGTTCATATTTACGGTTAGCAAACGTACCAGAATATTTGTAATGTAGGTGAAAAGTAAAGTGTTCTTCATTCAATTTATTTAAAAAATGGGTCAATTCATTTTAGAATGACCTATTTAAAGGATTGATAAGGTAGATACATAAATAGAAAGTGGCTAAGTTGGGATCGCGAAAATTATATATTTACCCCAAAGTGACTAAGATGGGGTCTACAATTGGCCACAAAATAGACTATAATAGGGTAGGGACTCTGAGAGGCCAGCGGCACATACCCAGCAAAAATTAACCCAAGTAACCCTTCCCCCCCCCCCCGGGGTCAATGTCGGCCTTAAGTACTAGCAAATAGTCACCCTTACGACTTATTGACAAACTTGCAGACGGGTGGCGAAAATGTACCTTCTAGAACAGACAAGCAGTTCACAACTTAAAAAAGGAGCCTAGAACATATGCTGATTTCGAAGGTAACTGCACTAAGATCGGCTTGCTGGTTAAAGCGTATAGTTAGCCATTATAACTACAGGTAAGTCTTAGTTGGAGACCTTTAGCATCAGGTTTAATTTTTCTTGGGAAACCGAAAACCGCGGAATGCAGTTTGCAGTTACGCGTTCGCAGTTTCAAACGTTGACAGGATAATTTTTCAATTTTAGCAAAGCATTTGTTGTTTACAACCGCCATAACGGTTTTGGGCAAGTCGCAGTGCTTTACTTTTGTCGCCTGAAACAAAATTATGAATTCATTGAGTCGAGTTCAAAAATCTTAAATGGCACATCACAGGCGGGTGTAGAAACCTCTCTGTTGCCTTAAAACGTGGGGCTGTACAATTTTCAATGGAAAAAAAGCTTGCCACTTACCGCTGGAAGCTCAAAGCTTCAAAGCTTCAAACGTGAACTGCAAACTGCAAACGCGACCACTGTGGTCACATGACATCCTCAGGTTTGCCGTTAACCATTAAAGTCATGATGCTAAAAGTTTCTTATAATTTAAAAATTATTTTGCACAACGCAAAAAAATTTCATGTCTATCTTATTAACGATAAACGATTTAACTTGGGAGTTCAGTGGAACATAAGGCGCCTTCATTTGTACAGAGATATTCGTCATTTGGCCAAAGACCTGCCATCGCTCTCCAAGGCGCCTGCGCCCTCAATTGACTAATCGCTACATATTAAATGCAGCGATTTGGAGCATTTGGTAGAAAATTTCAGTGAAAATTTGCCGTGAAATGTTGTACTGGTATTTTTTCGAACTGAAAACAGAAAATATGGGATTGAGTGACTGCTGGTAAAATTTTCGCTTTCTCTCGCGAGGAAGCCTGGCTCTGGTAATGAACCGTACCATTTGAATTCTCCCCGGAATAACCAGATTTTCCGTTCAAATGGTAAGCGCTCCTGCAGACTGACAGTACACATGCTTCGGCATTTTTTCGCTTAGCTGAATGAACGGAAAGTCAAAGCACAAGGAGGCCCAAGTAAACGCCGCCACACCGTCTTGTCTCACCTTACTCCACTGTGATGCATGCCACATGGGTGGACACAAAACGTCACTGGAACAGTTCTTCTCATTTATTGGCCGAGAGGAAACGTCACATAGTTCATCCGGGTATTTTTTGGTTTTATCTGTGATGCTGACGCAATAAACCATTCTTGTACTCATTCCTTTTCCGCACTTCGGATAACACTACAAAATTGATAATACTTCGTTATTGTAGTCTAAAAGTCTATTTTAAGCAGAAATTACTAATTATTCAGGACCTAATTATGACGGGAAGCCGGAAAAATATCATAAAAGGCATTGGTTGCCTGAAAATATGGATAGTCCTCCCTAAAACGGACAACTGGAACTGATCGCTGCCTGTTCTTTGATCGTTTTCTATGGCTCTCTAACAAGGTTTGACACCTCCCTAGGTAGGTCACTTAATTCCGCTCCAGGAGTTGAATATGATCAGGTTCTGAACCATTCTGGCACTTTCCTGGGTCAATGGCTACAGCACCTGGTTTAAGTCACCTTAAATTTTACAAGCTGCAGTGATTCAGGGAGAGTCCAGGAGATCATCGTTTACCATATTTGCTCGAAATATCGGGCCCTACTTCGTCGCCCACGTATAGGGGCGAAACTAATAAGCTCCGAGGCGCCTTTTGAACAAATAAGGTGAGCCTCATTTACGGTGAAGTGCTTTTAGTGTATCAATCTTTTATTTTCTTTCTCCAATTCGTTCCTTTGTATTTGCGCATGTTAAGAGCAAAGTAAGCGGGCAAAGAAGAGCTCCTTCATCGTACCTCGCTCCATTCCGCCGCCATCCATGTGACAGTGCAGGGGCCTGGGCTACAGAGCTCTTTCCATTTTGGTTTTCTATTTGGGTTACAGCTTTCTGGCTCAAAAACTTGCTTTGTATCAAGCAGCTGGCATGTAAGGTTTCGTTGTCTCGATCCGACTCCACACGAGACAGAACACTGCATTGGGTATGAAATAAACACTGGTCAATTTTAATGACAATTAAATAAATAGATTGATAATACGTTATTTAACAATTAATGAATGAGGCTGAGTATCTTATGAAGAATTATGGAGATCGAAGAGGATGTTATCTGGCCATGTCATGGGTTAATAAGTGCCAAACTTTTGAGTTTCTAAGCCACTCTACAATTTTTTTTAACGATGATTAATATGCAAAAAGAGTATCGTTTAGACGTGCTAAAGTGATAAACGAATCAATAAATCAGGCGCCTTAGTCTTTTCTTTCATTATTTGTTACGCACGGCTGATTGCTCCCTCACTATTGGATCCATTACTTTGTTACCCTGGTCCCTACTAACAATTGTTAAAATAACACCGCACAACTTGTCTGTACCTTTGACCATTGGCCCACAGACCACACTGGACATCTCTTCAGTATCTGACAGTCTCGCATGATAATAGCTTTTTGACCGGGGCACCGGTCATCCGGGATCATTTCAGCGTTTCCGCCTTCCACCACGTGTTGGCAGTGAACTCGTCTGACCTGTTTGCCTCGACCGCATGTTACCGAACATGAACTCCATGAGCTCACGTACCAGCTAAAATAGAAGGTGTAATGGAAAGTAAAATGAATGAGTTCCTACAGTACGAGGCGTCAGTTTTAAATTACTATCTGGTAAGAGTTTAAGAGATATTTGATTCCAATTTCCCAAAATTGCAGCAGCTGTTCAGAGTGATAGCGGGTTAGTTTCAGAGTTACTACGCTTCTATCACCTAATTTCAGTTGCAGCTTTACCAATTATTCTACAAAAATGCGACAGAAAAGTAAGAACTGTCGATTGTACATCTATTCTACAATATAAAATCAAATTCAACCGAAAATAAAAAGCAACGATCGCCATGTGACATGATGACCATTGATTGAAAGACATTGTTTAAACCTTATCATTTCCTCCCCTCCCTAATTCAGTAGCTTCGTCACTAACCTGGCAGGGCAGGGCTGAGTTTTGCATTTCTGTTTATGTGATGGCTTCTTGCCGTAATCACAATTTGACTTTGAAACTTCTTCCCCAGTATCCTCGCGAACACAGTATACTCGCCTCTTTTGCTCACCTAAACAAGCAGTAGACAATCGATATTGGTTATTAGTAAAATCCAACAAGTGGTCTATTCTGATTGGTTGAGCTACTACTAGGCTATATGTTATAACCCACTAGTAGCGAAAAACGCGGGCTTTTTGGCAGCAAAAAAGGATTAAAGTCTAGCTTTAACTAGCTAAATTGTTTGTATTCTCGATATTTTTGACCAACTAGTTGGATTTTACTAAAACAATTATTCCTCTCGCCCTCATGGCCTCTGAGTAAATAGCCCATTCGGCCGATGACTCAGAGCCCATTCGGGGTCGAGGAATAATTGTTAATTATCTTTTTCAGTGAACAGCTGTTGGCCAGTTTTCACGGTACAACTTAAATGACATATAGGTCAAAGACTTTGAGCAGGCTCTTAGCTTCACTGCGAAAAATAATTGCAAAATTTTTTACCGTTCTATTTACAAGCATTCTCATCATTTAATTCTTTTTATACAGCCTGGTATGGGTCCTTGGAATCGACGTTTACCTATTTTTGAGGTTATACGCACGGCAGCGGCGACACGAGGGACGTGGGCGGTAGTCGTTCGCGGGCGCTTGGCTTGTTTCTACTCTTGCGCCTTTCACTAAACGAACCACCAAAAAAGGATACTTTTCGCCGTTTACTTGTTGTACATTATGGCGTTCCCATAAATGACTTGCTAGGCTTGCGCGCTTCGCACCTTTTTTAAGGAAAAAGGCTGTGTTGCAGTGTATCAATTCTCCTTTTTTTTCATGTTTGGTATCTGTGATGGAATTACTGTTCTGCCACGGGAATCCAACGATGTTGTTTATGTTAACCTGGATTATCAGGGTAAAACAACAGCGGAATTTAATTGAAACCTTGTGATCCTTGTAAGCCCGATTCCGAGGAGCTTATGACTTCGCGCTTAGGACAACATGTGACTTTTAACTTGATTTCCAGTAGGTCGCAATAAAGCGACTTCGGGTTCAACTACCACCTTGTTTGTGGATATCTACCCTTAGTGCCAATTTTATATAATATTACACGTGATAAAAACTCACCCCCTGCACACGACGCACTACACTTGTCAAAATCGCCCGTCCGCCAAGTAAACTGCGCACGCTCAGGAAGTACGGTGACGGATGTGGGCAATGAAAATTCGTAAGAGATACCAGGATTCTTCTCTCCCATTAGAAGGATCTACGATAAAATGAAACTTTTGAAACCGTTTGCAGTTTTAACATAATCGTGATTGGCAATATGCTTAAAATATCTTAAAAGAAATGTCAAAATGTTAAACACGTAAAAATTGTTTACTCGATCTATATACAAATGTAACGAAGAAATTACATGTAAAAGACAAAATCCTAGCTCCTTGTTCAAAAAACTAATTTATATCTAGCCGATTTTTTGAAAACCAACCTAACGAAATTTGCAGTCATTTTGACGTGCCTTTTGACGCTTTGAAAGCGTCAAAAGGCACGTTTCTTAAGCCCGAGAAGCTCCAAAATCATAGTAACGAAGGAAAAAAAAAGGAAAAGGAAAGAGCGAGGAGAAGGAAAGGAGGAGAAGAAAAAAAGCAATGGTTGCACTCTTACTTTTTTTAATAGCTACTTTTTGGCCGAAATAAACTGTTGGACGCAAATTAAAGGTCTATTTGGCGATAACGTTATCAAAAGTCCGGCTAGATATACTTCCCAAGCATTAAATTAATCGTCTCAAACAACAAAAATGAACTGTACTTTAAAAAACCCACAATTTCAATCCGTCTTAATTTACTTTAAGATTGTCCATGTGTGCCTTCTTTTGCATTTCTGGTGTTAACAATAACTCCTTTTAATGTTTTGAGCTATTATTTTGATGTTTTACTCAGTGTGGGGGCAGTTCCTACTTTTAGAATTTTGATAAAATTCGCGTCACTGTTATTTTAAGTCAAACACAAATATACCTCCACGTGGACGGGAATTGAAGTTGGTCCCAACGAAGAGATTCTCTCCTGTCCAAAGCCGGTTCGCTCGTAATTGAACACAGTACCGGCAATATGGAACTTCCTCGGGCTTGTGATAAAATAATCCCCATTGAAAAAATAACTTCGAGATGAATCGGAAAGAGCTGAAAAATACAAGAAAAAAGGAATTTATGCCATGTTAGAGAAACTTAAAACTAAGGCCTGAACTGTAGAACATTTTCAGCCTTGGACGAAATTCTAAATGTAGGGCAAAACAGCTGTCTAAAGGTATACTAATCGTTGACAAACCTAGGAAATTTGAAGAAGGTGCGAGTTCTTGTATGTCGATGTTCGTTGCACTGGCAGGAATCACCAGAATTTCCTTGTATCCTGAAACGTAACATAAGTGAAAATCAAAAGATTACTGTGAAGCCGATGCACGAGTTCTGGCTAGTCTAAAGTTAAAGATTAAATGATTATTTTACCAGAAAACTCGTAACAAATCGAAAACTTCTTGTTGCTTTTTTTGTCAACTCGTAAATACCCGAAGCAGCTCAATTATTAGCCTCAGCCTTCAGCTTCGGCAATGATCTGCTCGCCACTGACAAATCTTTATAATTTGTTCAACCTCCTCTAATAATTGTTAATATTTTTCATATTTTATTTTATCACATCACGTCTCTATTTGCTAAACAAAGTATTCACGAGTTGCCCATAGTTTGTACTTATAAATAAATGATTTGCTTTGTAGCAAGTGCGGGTCCTGGAGAACTTTTGGCTTTGGAGAACAGCTTGAAGTGTGTAGAAATTGTCCCCAGTAAAAATGATATGGTTTCTTGTAATAGTCCAATAGTTATGTTATGCTTATTCTAGTTTTTGAAATACAACTCACCATCGCCAATATCTGTAGTGACTCCTTTGTGTGTTTTACAGTTTTCTCCAATGCCATTACATACGCGGCATTTATCCTCTTTCGCAGTAGAGTTCAAAATAAGATCGCAACCAAGTTTCTGCAGAAGAAATATGAACACTTTCTTAGTCCAGACTCTCCAAACTAATGAAACTTCAACATTTCTAAGCGTGATGGGGGGATATCTGTAAACTAGCCGTATAGCTTTGTTAATTTCTACGCTAAATAAAGTGTCCTATGTGCGTATGACCTAAGTCCTATGTCAGTCCAATGTTAGGCGGAATGATTGAAATTTACCAAAACTGCCTTGAATAACATTTTTTTTTTCATCGATTGGCTCAAGCATTGCAGGGAGGAGCCTTATTTATCTTGGCAGCAAAACAACAAACGTAAAATGAACTTTCCCCGTTGAGAGCACCGGCAACTTTTAAAGTGTCATAGCAGCAACATTTTTGATAGCAAAACAAATTCTCTTTTGCATCTATGGACGACGGTTAGTCGATAAGTTTATCCTGGACAGTTTCAAGGCCTACGACTTAACAAAGAAAGTTTTCAATGCAAAAAGTGAAAAAAGACATTTCATGCAGCGACCAAAAGCTAATTTGGGTGCTTATACATAAAAAAGGAAATTCTCGATCCGTCTGATTTACAGGAACAAAATAATAATAATAATAATAATAATAATAATAACAATAACAATAACTTAGTAGGGGAATTTTTCAATAAAACGCAGCTTACTGTTTGGAAATTAAGTTATCCTTTGGCAGGACAAAGGTCACAATTTGTACATTTGTAAAAAGTTTCAAACAGGAAATATTTTTCATCATGCACGTTCCCTAAGGGAGGCTTTTCTAGAGATAAGTCTCGCGTTTGGTAGGGCTGAGAACAAAAGGTTTTACATTTTTCAAGGCTGGTGAGAAAAGATTTTGGCGGGAAAAAGGTGATTTCTAAAAAAAATTACGCAGTTTCTAGGGCAGAGTCAGAGGCTTTACATGCTTTCGCGATGATGGGTAAGAAAAGGGAAGTTTTTCAAATATCTCATGAATGTGTCATAGATTCTCTCTCCTCTGACGAGACTCAAAAGGGCAGGGCGCGAGTGAGTGTGGGCGCGAAAATTGTATGGTAAGCGAATCTTTCGGTTTTCGCGCCCGCACTTACTTTGCGCAGCGGAACAGCCAATAACGCGTCATTGAACCACTGACGAGACGAGAGGTATAGATCTAAAGAAGCTTTTGGCGCCGAGAACTCTCATACACGTGTTCATTACCTCACACTTCCCGTCGACGCAAATGTCATACGAATCCATGCTGCATCTTGTTCCATCTGCGACTTTACTCGCCCATTGCATAAAGAAATTTTCTCCTTTAGGCATACAGTTTAGTACGCATCTCTCATGGGCTGCAAGAAATGCAACAATGTTGTTTTGGGATACCATCAGTACTTGGCAACAGTAACAAGCAAGGTTGGAGACATCTTCAAGATATTACTGTGACCTTCGGAAGGTCAGAGTTAAAAATGCATGACGAGAATGGTGTCAGTAACGAGGATAGCCATATCAGTTAAACAAAGGCCAATAAGGCCTAGGAGCCATAGGTAAGATAAACTAACAATTATTGAATAAGGCTTTCAAATGATCTGAGGCGCTATGCAGATCAATCGAGGAGGATGTTATCCACCCAGGCCGTTGGCCTGCATGATTCTACACATCATACGAAAGACGCATTCGATATTTTATTATTCATTCAAAATATGTAGGTTCTTAACAACCTTACCTCCTCGTAGGCTTTCTGCAAATCATTTGCCTCTTTCTTACCCTGGGTGCCAGAGGCTTTTCATGCGCGGTTTCCGGTTTCGAGAAAAAACCTCTGGTGCCCAGGGTACCTCTTTCTGGGTACGGTTTCAGAATTTACAGAAGTTGCTTTATCTTGCCGATACTCCTCAAAACGTAGATGACATCCATCGAGCATTATTTTGGCATATTCTTGCATTTGTTCGTTCAGTTTTAAAAAAATTCAGCTTTTTCTCGTCTTCAGATAGCCGTAAACTCTTCCGACATTTTTTTAAAGCATACTTTTGCATCAACATCTCGGTTGCCGCGCCGCTGCCTGAAAGGTTGCTATTTTATTTTGGGACAATATCCCATACCTTCACTTTTCAAATACGGTAAGAGCCGGCTGGGTATGATTTATGAATAAATAATAATTTTCAAACTTTTTTCCTAAATGAGTCCCGAACCAATTGACTAATCCCTTTCTGAAATATTTTTGGAACAATAAATTGATTAACCCATTTTTATTTAATGAGAATCAGTTCTCTTACTTGGTATATATGGCATCCACTTAAATTTTCGTCCATCAAGTACGCGGCTGTTGTAAGCTTCGCACTGTTCAAGGCGGAAATCTCTTGAACCTTCAGGACAGTCCTAAAACGCAACAGACGAAACATACAAGACAAGAACTGAAAACATCTCTTAGCTTTTGTTCAACACCGTAAAATCCCGGTTACAAGCCACCCTGTTTACAACCCCTACCCCCCCTCCTAACGCTACTACCACTTCCACCACCACCACCACCACCACACCTCCTATATATATCTGGTTTTGATACGCTTTACCGTTATTACGTTGAGTTTCGTTTTTTTTTCCATTTAATGAAATAAAGAATGTTTCGTTATCAGTTTGTTTCGTAACGTTTTTGCTATTCCGCCTACAGGTACACTCACATCGGATATAAACGAAGAGTGGAACTCGCGGGAAAGAGAAAGCATCCTCTTATACTAAGTCGCTTAAAAATAATCAAAGTTTCTTCCCACTTCTTTTTTAAAAAAATCAAATCCAGAATTCTTTCCTGGTACACATGATTTAGCTATTTATTTGAGAGACTGTGCGCTAGTAATACTCTTTGACTCTTTGCGAGATGAGCAAACGATTTGAAAAAAGTCAGAAGGAAATATATTTACGTTAATTTATGAAAGAATAATGAGTAGATTAAACAGTCAATATTTCCTATCTTACAAACCTGAATATTGCACGTCCTGTACATACGCTTATTTCCCTTGCAATAATCTTCTGGCCTAGATCACAAAAACACAAAAGTATCTCTTGTTCGTCAATAAAGGCAATTAAAAAATGTAATGAATTAAATAACATACAATTCTGCAGTCACTGAAAGCAATCTTCAAAAATTTTCAAAAATTTCCAAAAAAGAAGACCACCTCGCGAGGTATACCCAAATTTTTGCATTTTTTCTCGCGGAAGTAACTGTTCTTTTTCCATTCAACTTTGCTCCCGAAGTTTCTAGAATTTTCGGTTCAGAATGGTTCGTATTTCGGAAATTAAATAGTTTCTTTTTTCTTGGAACTTTCTATACCCTTTGCCACAGTTTCCAAATTTTCGAAAGTTTTGGTTGGATGGAAAGCGCCCGTTACTTATGTCGGTGCAGCCTCGTTCTGGTGTTGAGTTTGCAATCGAGGAAGGGAAGCTGAAAACATTGATCACCATACCTTTTTCCTTTCGGGTCCTTCAGAGTGTTATTCGAGGACTTTGTCAAAGCAGCTCCTAGTTTTTAAATTACTCGCATTAATTAAAACTTATGTTAGCATTTTTGTTTTTTGTTCTTTGAGCTTTGCCCATTCGTCCATTCTTTTGAATTTGCAAAGTGAAGGCTTAGGCAAGTGCTCCATCACCTTTAAAATTTGAAGTTTATTTTCGTGTATAATAACTTAATTAGATGGCCAGTTGGTTCCTTATTGCTGAATTTGGCTAAACGGAGGATTTTGATTATGCTGATTATAACGGGGCCTTCAAAATATGAAAAACAAATTAAATCTCACTTTTCCTTCTCAAAGCACTCTCGTTCTTGGTAAGTAACTCCTACACCACAAGTTCTGGAGCATGGACTCCACTCGCTCCAAGGCCCCCATTTGTCGTCGCTCTGTCCCTGCGAAGAAAAGTGCATTTGGTCAGCGAAATTACATTCTTAAGTTAAACTCAAATTAGTCGGTGCCAAGTTTTGAAGTCCTGAAAAGTTCTTCTCGATTTTTCCCCACAGCTAGAGTAAACCAAATTTCTGTTAGCGGTCACTTGTTTCGGAAGGTAGAAGTAATTTTTATATTCTTCACCTGCACTGTGTCATTGGAAACAAATCCAGAAGATAATGTGAGCAAATAATTCATATGAATCAACTAAATATGCAGGTTATCCAATTCTCTTTTATAATTATTTTAGAATTTTGTCGTTTGACAGGTCGTTCGTGTTCCTTCAAAATCGAATGGTGTTAACTTTCCTTCCAATGCGGTTAAAACTCTACCCAAACTTCTGTGAAATTTTTACTTGAACATGCCGTCTAGTCCATGTTCATCCCGTTGACTTGTTGTACACTTGATTTCGGTTTTGAAACTATTCAATTGACTTAAGATATTCCAAGAATTGCTATTGATAAAATTAATTAAATACGATGCATTTGCGTTTTGAAGACCTTGCACTAATTTTCTGGCGCAATAGCATTCCATAACATCGTCAAAATAATCTTGTCCCGAATTAAGTAGTCATACAGTGCAAGTACCACATGGCAATAAGAGGCCTATTATATTAACATTGTTCTATCCGACGTAATCTCCTCCAAGACAGATTAAGCTGTAAAGTCCGGACCGATATCCTATAATTAAAGTAATTGCTAGAAAACCACAACACCTTCAAACATCTTACAAGGAAGGATTTTCTAATAAAGAGCCAGAACAGGAGCTGATTACTGGCCAGAAACATTCCTCAACAGGAGAACCAAGCAGAAGTTGGACTCACCAACTTTCACTATTTTTAAGCTGCTATTTTAGCGCGAGAACTCAACTCAGCAGGAAGGGTTTAACCTAATCCTTCCACCCTATCTCAAAGCGTTGTAGAGGGCGTAAACACTAGTTTTGTAGGGTACAAGTTTAAGCCCTTTAGTTTAGATTGGATTAGACGCTGAATATAATCAGAGAAGGAATTTAGTAAGCAAACAACGCCCGCCCAGCTGTGACATTTAAAATGTCTCGGTCTCAGATAAGGCTTTTCTAGTTAAAGTAGTAATATTCTTGATAGCACTAACATTTTCAAAATGGCTGTAATAAAGAGCAAAATTACGAGGAAGTAGATTAAATAGCTGGTAAAAGCGACTCGTTCGATGGCTGTCAAACGTGCACAAAACACATGGGCGGGGAGGGGTCTTCTTTCTTTGTGATGAAGAGATTGAAAAAACAAAAAAACAAAAAAAGGCAACAGCACCTCCCAAACAGAAAACAACAGCAGCAACAACAACAAAGTACTCCTTTAAAATGGAAAAACAAAGCACTGAGCAACAAAAATGAAGGAATCATGAACCCCTTCACTGGCTCCCACAGTAAGCTAATGTATGCATGACGGGTGAAATAATTTGTTGCACTCTAACTTTCGTTGCATTTGCGGATAAACGAAATTCCAAACGAGTTTCAAGATATTAATTGACAAGCTCGCCTTATCTCTTCAGACAGATCATCGTTAATACCTTTATTTTGAAGTGAACCACAATCCCCTATAGCCGACCACTGGGGTCGCCTTCCAATGCTAATGTTTTACACAAACAACCTTTCCGACACAACGCCTCAATTTCCCTAGAGAAGAGTTTTCACTCAAAAAGACATATACTCACGAGACCATTCTATTGACTTTCTTTCTAGCCGCGATGTCCGCGAAACGTCTTGAGAGAGACATTTTCAAATTTCAAATGAAGATGTGGGATCGATTCCTCCCTTTGTTAAGCTACGTACGTCAGAAAGGAAACGATTTGACGATTTGAGTTATACCCCCCCCCCGCCAAGGGCATTTTGCTTTAGAGTATATACGGTGTATATTGAATTTTGGTGAAAACCGGGAGGCGTAGATAGCTTCAACTGCTACATATTGCTGAGCCCAGAGATCAGCCATTTCATGTGTGACATTTTTGTAATTACATTAACATGTTGTGATAATCTGAGAAGACACACTTGTCGTTTACGGATTAACTTATCAAAATACGTAAAAAAAAACTACCAGAACACGCAAAATAATAAGGAATGTTCTAGTGATCGAATGGGGCGCCGTTCCGATACTGACTGCTTCCTTTGTAGTCATCACCTAACAATAATCTTCTTCTGCAATTAGCTAATAAATAATTGTACTAATTGAATAAATGTTTGTCCATTTTATATTACTGTTGCACGCGAGTCAATGCAATAAAGATGATATTGATATATTCATCTGAGGGTTCTGTCGGAAAAGGAATGAGACGAATTTCGCGTCATAAATACTAAGCCTGGAGGGGGGATACTCCTAGGAATTCTTGGTGGGGGTGTGCCGCCCGGTTCTCTAAATCATGACTCTATTTCAGACCAAAAAATGTCATTTTTCTCATCCGTTTCAGACCCGACCTCTAAAATCCATCCCCTTTTTCAGACCAGGTCTCTAACAAATTATGTCACCATTAGTTAGATTAGAACGCCAACAGAAAAGATGTCTTAAAATCAAATTCGAATTTGCATATTTCTCTTTCTTTCTTATTCACTTGGAATTGAAACGATAAATACGTTCATACCCTCCCGTAGCTCCCTTGAAAGACATACCCTATTCCAGACCAAATAGTCTATACGCTATACCCGTTTTCAGACAAAAACGACGCAAAAACCATACTCTTCGGGGTGGCACATACCTATATGGCTTATATAAGGGGGTACCCCACAGGATACTAATAAAAAGATCTTTTCATCAGAATGACTTAGTGCTCCAACCATTTCATTTTTCAATTACTCTTCCATGTTATTCATAGGCAAAAAGAGTGTGGAAAAAAGGCTGAACAAATACGTGGCGTAACCACCTAATTAAAATTGCCTTTCAAAGACTTTGCAGAGATGGCCTGCGATCATCACAAGCTTAATGTTCACTTATCTAAATTCCATGTATGTAGTCTATTGACAAATTGTTCTTATCATGTTTGATCAGTTATAAACCAACACTACCCGATGAAGAGAGATATGATTCGATTAACATCACGAAAGTCACTCTTTCATATCATGATTAAACAGCGTTGATGATAACTCGTCGAAGTCCAAAAATTGGAATCAATCTGTCGGGAACTATAGTATGGAGCCATCAAAATCTGATCTATCAAGTTGTCTTTACAAAAACAAATGTTTTTTCACCAAGAAGAGTTTGCATCAACTAATCCTGAACCATAGCTATTTTCTCCTAAATCCGAAAAACACACTGTTATTCATCAATGAAAATGTCCATCATAACAATTCAGGCACTTGTTTGATCTTATGCTGAATCGATCTTATATAATAGAGTCGCAGACAGCTTGGCTTATCTTGTCTCACAAAGGTTATCTCGAAGTGAACTTAACTCGAAACAATTACAACAGACTCAAGATCCTCAGCGCGCGGGAAGAGAAAAAGAACATCAGAAATAAATTTTAAAAAAAGCATTATTTGTGACGAATGATTTTGATCATTTTCGTTTTAGCCCTCCTTTGCCCCCGATGAAGGTTCGTGACATTTCGAATAATACAACAATTTTTTTTTTCATTTCATTTAAGATTTTCTTTCTCTCCTTTAAAAAGTTCGAACGCATCTATGCTTATTACATTCCAGCAGCATTTCTTCTTATTTAAACATTTACAAAAGTACAATCTAATTTGAACAATAATTTTTGAACAATATTTAATTGGCAGGAATGACCTTCGTTTCTCTTTCATGCAATTCCAAGCCCTTTGTGAGCTAAAAAATTCAAAGTAGTATTTAAAAGGTGGCAAACCTTTTTAATACAATAGACTCCTAAAACCGCGCCCAAACTGAAAAACTCGAATTTAGATTAAGAAAATATGACTTCCAAAAACAAAAAACGTTTACAGTACCAATTGAAAGAATTGCCGAAAAGGTTTTATGGGAATATTAGGTACGACGAAGAATTCTGTCCATGATACTAAAAAAAATTTAACTACATTTATTGACTCTTGAAGTGGGCTTGAGTTTGGCCAGAAATGCCGATGAAGTCCATTTGGTTGCTATGTTTACGCACAGCGCTGAAACAGCTTACAATGCATGGAAATGGCGTGATCAAGGCCTTCATCGGACAAATATGTTTCAAGCATTGCCTTGGAGGGCAGGCAATAATTTATAACTGGTTACTTTATCGTATAGCCAGGGTTAAAGTACGGTTCTCAGTAGCATCCCTGACCCTGTGAGGATGAGTGATGCCGGGGTTTGATCTACCTACATCGGAGAATATTGTGTTTATGACGACTTTTGATCTGAAACACAATGCTGAAAGTTCTGCCCTTTCAAAGTTCTTCATTAGGACTTCAGAATTGTAGTGTGGAAGAGGTATGATCATGCACTGCGGAATGGAACGCCGACAGTTTGCCTGGCCGAGAAATTCTCTCGTCAGTAATCAATCCTTCCTTTGATACCTTTCATGTTTCATTAAGTGGTGCTACTATTGTTCTCGTTAACAAATTTTATCCTTAAAGATGTTGTCATGATAAAGTAGAGAGTGCCCCTTTAACCTATGTACTATGTTAAGCAAACAGACGTTTTTACCGCGGGATTTATACTAGAAACAGTGATCAACACAAAAGGGCTCAAACCTATTTCAAGTTAATGTTTTTTTGTCACGACTTCAGGGGCGGATCTAGGGGGAGGGTGCAGGGGGTGCGCACCCCCCCTCCTGAGATGACCTACGGTTTTCTAATGCAACTGGTATTCTGCAAAAAAAAAAAAAAATGTGGTTTATTGGAGGTGAAGTAGAGCAAGAGACGAGTGCACCCCCTCCTAAAAAAAAATCCTGGATCCGCCCCTGGACTTCTTTGCTATTTTGAGATACAGATCCAGGGATAAGTCATTTACAGCTTATGCAAAGGGCAAGGTCGCGTATTTTAACAGTTAAATCTCCTGGCAATGTGCATAGCAG